GGGCGTTGCGCTCGCCGAGCAACAAAGGTACATGTATTGAAATGATCTAAACTTGATTCTACCCGTGTGGTTTCATTTGTAACTTCTTTTAAATTGAAGTGTAAAGCTACTGCAAGCATGTGTATAAAGTCACCCCCTGGGGGTGGGGATGGGGTGTTAATAGAAAAACATGGGGATATTTATCATTAATATTTTAAAAATGGTTATTACTTTATTGATAGGGAAAGCATATGTCAGTTAATTTTGGCTAAAAACCAGAAAAACGTAAGAGAAAAGAGAAAAAAAAAACCTTAATATTATAGGAAATTATTTACTTCGTAAAGTTAATGCAAAATTTTGATATTTTCATTAATTTAAATTGTGTTAATTTTTGTAAATGTTACTTTCTGCTTCATTAATTAAGTGGAATGTTAATTTCCATGCAACCCTAATTTCCATTACACTCTGTTGACAGCTACATAAGAGGAGTATTTTGGAGATCAGCCATTCTTTGCCTGATCCTCTTCCTACCTTGTAGTAAACAAAGTTTTCATTTCAGGTTATACGTTTTACTTTGTCCTTGTTGTCCCTATAAGTTTTGGTTTCTCTGTGAACGCCACGTGAATTTCCTACATTCTGACATTTTACTTTTAGTCATGTTAATTTCCAATACCTTCATTTCATGGACCGTTAATTTCCTTTAATAAGGTATCTGTCGTAGTTAATTTTTTATCTCAGGTAACTTTTATTTTTCTGTGTCAACTTCATTAGCATGTACATTACCATACCCAGGAGAAAAACACTTGGCAATAACATCTGAAGACTGCAACCAGGCTGTTTGTTATCCAGACACAATTACTTGAACTCTGGACAACTGTTGATGATTGTTTTCCTGACGGAGGGGATGGTTCCCAAACAAAACCCTCTTTCTGGCCCTCTTTCCTCCGTCCTCACTCTCCTGACTCTCCAAATGCGCTTCCTCTTGCAACTTCATTTCCAAAGAAGAAAAAAGACCCTGGAAGCTACTGCAAATTGTTGCTTCTTTTTAATAATTATTATAAATGAATATTTCACTTTGCCATTAAATTCTAGGCACTGGGAAGCAATTTCAAGATGGAATGAAGCCATATCGTTAACACCAAAAAATGAAAAGCTTTATGAAATGAAGTCACAGGTGAGATTGAGGGTAGAAGAGGTAAGGGGAACCGGAAGCCAAAGATGGCTTACTTTCAACATAAATTTTATTTCATGTTGAATGTTTGTAGACAGTACAGAGGGTGTGGTTGATTAAAGAATTTTACTATTATTTTATAGGATCATCTACCTCAATGTAATTTTTGTGGTTCAATTAGTATCCTTGGTTTCAATTTAATTTTTTGTTATATCAAATTCATTAATTTTATTACTATACCCAATGAAGTATTAGAAGATAGAGTTACACTGACATTAAGTCTTTTTTTTAGCAGTGTGAGTCACATTTTATTTGTTAGTAACCATGCAACACGTCAGAGTTTGAAAATTTATTAAAGTCATGCCTAGCTAGTTCATTTTGTCGATAATGCCAATTAAGCTTCCTTATCCTGGGTCCTTATTGGCTATGGAATTTGAGAAATAACTTGTTCATAAAAAAATAACATCATCGTGTCAAGCAAATTAATATGTCGCCAAAGCATTATTTCAAATGTTTCAAACAACAAAAAATGTACTTGAAAAACTTTAAGGCTAACAAATTTTCAAAAACCACAAATGCTGTCCATTCCAATCATCTTCAAGTTTGTCAATCTGTGTCTCTTTTTGTATTTGCTGTGTTATTTACATCATCCATTCATGTTTTGAGTGGTTATATTTTTTGTGTGTCACTCAGTTTGGTGGCGGTACCCCGCAGTACCCACTGTTTGAATTTTGATAAATTTTGTCACACAGCTCCTTTAAGTTCTGTTTTGAACCTTGTAAGAATTAATGTCTTGAAACTTTTCAGGTTTTAATGACAATTGACAACAAAATTGTTGAGACATTGTCCTCAAATAGTTGGGAAGCTATTAAATAGGTAGCTTGAACAGCGGCACAACATTTCGTGGAGTGGATGGGGGAGGGAAGCTTTACTTTTCCCATTTTGAGTTCGCAAAATGTCGAAGAGGCCCTTCAGGGCAAAGTGTCTCAACTGATTATGTTGCTGATTTTGAGCTTTTGATAGGCTTCCAAATGTCTTGGACTCAAATTTGCTTATTAAATGCAAAGCCTCAGTCTTGAATTTGGTTAGAGAAGAAAAGTCTCTGTCTCAGATTTTGTGATCTCTCTACTTCATTCTTCATGATAGTTTGCTTCACTTAACATGATTACTTTTAGGTTTTTTACACTGGGTATATTTTTAAAATACATAATATACTGTCAAACAGTACAGTCAGATGGAATAAAATGAAAATGTTGGGATTGCAATTTATAACATTAAATTGCAGGTACTCTTGGAACTCCATGAGTTATTTCCTGCCATACAAGCAGCAGAGAAAGCAGTCTCACTTAACCCTCATTGGTTTGTGGCACATCAAACTCTTGGCCGGGCACAGATGGGATTTGGTGATCCTGAAATGGTAAGTACAGCAGAGATATTTTTACAAAACATCTTTGTTAACCAAAATTCTCCCCATGACAAAATTACTGAAGTTTTGTTTGAAAAAATAATCATGGGCACCAGTGCTACTGTTTACACAAAACCTTATGAAGGATATAAGCCTGGGGTTACTGTCGCAAGTTTTGGGCAAGGGTGTGCTGCTATATTAGGACCCAGTGGATTTAGCCTTAGCCTTTTTATATACCAGACTACAGTGCAGTTCTGCTGTTGCCACCCTATACATACTAGACCATAAAACTCCCCAAACCTGAACCTTTCCTACTGAGTCACTATTTTCCAGAAACTGTAATTGAGGTCTACTCTTCCCCTGCTACTATGAAACTAAGTTGCGGGTACTTCCTCCAATAATAGCCATCTCTTGATTAATCTCCTCCCTCGAATAATTGCTACCCAGCTTTGACAGAATTTAAAATAATCGCCTCCCTGAAATAATCACCACCTAACCCCTCTTGCCATCTTTTTTTTTTATCCACTCCCTGTCTGGTTAAAAATTGACAAATGAGATAACAAACATATCTGAAGTGGAGTCTGATGCAGCAAAACTGATCAGTGATCGTTCAAGCTCTGATGTCAAGGATATTGACATTTGAAAATTTAAATCTGAGGAACCAAATCTGGAACACTTAAAATTCCATGTTCAGTTTATTTTTTATTAATTAATAATGGAATAATAAAACAAAATATATAGGGCATGACTTCCAGTGAGCAATATTTGAAAGAATCGCCTCCCTCGAACTATCACCTTCCCTTGAATAACTGCCCCCTTTTGGTTCGAAAAGAGAATAATATTGCCCCCGGCTATTATAGAAGGAAATACAGAATGCAACTTAAAGTCTTGGGTTTCAAAAGCTATGTCATTTTTTTTGCGTAACTTTTTACTTCTCCCAATCATCAGTCACTCATCATTTTTTATGTCAGTTGTTGAAAGACTGATTATCGCTAACATGGGGTTAAATTTTTATCCAAGTTCCTGTTTCTTTATCTTCTAAATGTTTTTCTGTTCGTAATTGGATTAGTCATTTTAGAGTGTCTAAACATCAACTTTTGATAAAAAATAATTTACTGGGGAATTTCCTTTGTAAGCATTCAGATTGGAAGTCAAATTTTATCTATGGTAATCCAGTTTTATCCTCAACCGACTTTGAACAATGATGTCATGGCTTGGGGGTCTGAGGGGGTCCTCATCAAATTTTTATAAGTGGAGGCTCCACCCTGAAGTGTAACCCCTTATACTTCTATACACCATTTTTGACCAAAAGGTACCCCTTTCATATACATTACATTAACAAGTGGTACACCTTTCACATACCTAGTTCACAAACCTAGTTTAGATGAGAACATTACATCTCTTCTAACTGCTTTTAATGCTTGGTCTTTTGATGAATAAATAACTAAACCAAAAAGTTTTCTTGTCTCTAGTTTGTCTGTTAGCCCTTTTTGGTCCTTGTACAGAGTGAAATGACAGATTTCCCCAGCCTTTCATATAAACTTCAACTTATGAAATCCCTTCTTCCCTTTTTATATACCTGAAGACTGAAAAAGGTAGCCCTTTTGCAGGGTTCTCACTAAGATTTCAAGTTGCCGCATAAATACAACAAGTAGGCAGGGAATCAAACAGCTGGGGGTTTATTTTGGTTCTATTTTTCTTCCATTTTCCTTTAAAAGTAGCCAGCAGGGCCACGTTCATTGTAGCTGAGGAAAATCCCTGGCCCCCACCTCTTAATGACAGCCCTACCTTTTGGCTGGGGCCTTCCCTTGTATGCCTTTGTAGGAGTACCCGCTGCAGTGGAGGGGGGGTGGGGAGGATGGAGTATTATATTATTGATTCAGTACATGTAGGTTCAAAAGAAATTTTTAGAGTGAGGGCTGGGAGATTGAGGGTTTGGGTAATTAGGGGTGGATCTAGGGGGAAGGTGCAGGGGGGTTTGCACCCTCCCCCCACCCCACCCCTGAGATGATGATGTGCAGCTTTCTAATACAACTGGTATTTTGCCAAAAAAATAGACTTTGTGGTTTATTGGTATTGAAGAAAACATGACACGGGGCTGAAGAATTTATGTTACACACCATAAAATGGTAGTTCCTTATGGGTTCACCCCCTCCTAAGAAAAATCCTGGATCCGCCCTACTGCTTTTGGGAGTAGGGAATTAGAGCGTGAGTGAAGATCCACAGAAAGGTAGCAAAAAAACTGTTTTACTTTTCTTCTCTTTTGGGGGATTTTTTGTGTGAAAGTAATGCTTGCAATAACTAGGCATGCAGCTGCTGGTTTAAGTTTTTATGGCCCATTTTCTCCCAAGCATGAAACATCAACAATAAGTATGTTTGCTGATGGACTTGTCATTAATTTTTTTGATTGCATTATTCTTTGTTTGGAAATTATGTTAGGGTGTGAAGAGCTTCTCAAAAGCTGTTCATCTGCAGCCTGACGATTTAGAGGTAATGGGAAATGCAACTTTGATAATACAGTGTAGATGATAATTTAATTTACAATAAATTAGTTAACAGTCCAGCAATTGTTCTGTTACTGGCACCATTTTGACCAGGAAAGACAGCTCATCAGAATTTTACCTTAACTCATGGGCCTTTTAAATGAAAACAAAAATGCATCTACATCTTTGCCAAACAGGGTTCTTACAGATTCAAGACTTTTTCCAGTCTTTTTCCAAAACAATAATTTTTTTTTCCAGACTCAAGGTTATCAAATAGGTGATCAACAGACACCTTAAAAACACAACAGCAAAGCTTTTTTCATGATGTGCTGGAAACATATGGGCAAGTTTGAATAAGATTTGACCAAAACAAAAAGAATCAAGACTTCTTGCCATTTTTTCCAGACCTAATCTCCATTTTCGAGCCTTTTTCAGGGTCTGGAAAATTGCTGTGCAAATTTCAAGATTTTTTTGAGAATTCAAGACTCTGCATGAACCCTGGCCAAAACTAGTTGCATGGAAATGAGACTGGTGACTCCAGTGACTAGAGGTTTTTTCCCCTTTGTGCATAATTATTTGTGTCTCACCGTCACATCAGATTTTATTTTAATGGGAGTAAATTTTAGGAATGAAGGAAAAAGCTCTGGCACCCCACACCACCTCCAGGTATAACCATAATTGTGAGACTACCCTTGGTTACTGATATCTATAGCAACATTATTTTTCATGTACCAATGGTAGTTCCTGGAGGTGGGGAGTGGGGGGTACTTAACAAAGTTTTATATGCAGAAACCCCACCCCAAGGTCCAACCCCTTACCCATTTGTACCCCATTTTTGACAGAGAAGACTCACCTTTTGTGTGCCTTCCAACCCCTGGAAAAACCAGGAAATTTTCTCAATTGTTTTACGGCCATAAATTCTTCTATTGGCCCTTATGGGTCTTTTTACAGACTGAATTGACAGATCCCTTCCCTTTTATATCCTTCAACTAGTGAGATCCCTACCCTTTAATATACCCGACACTTGAAACAGGTACCCCTTTTGGGCAGAGCCTCCCCATATATAGGCCATAATAAGGATTACTCCTCCCCCCTCTCCTGATAGCCTGTTCCAGGCTCTCAAAAAGTGGGAAGATGTGAAAGTGAAATGCATGGAAAAGGGGGCAGACAGGAATAAGGCTACAGGAATAGAGACCCTAACCCATCACCCTTTCTCTCCTCGATCAGTTTCCTCCCATTGTATTTTCATCTTTGCGCTTTCTCAATTCTGCGGACCTGACTATCTCGGAGCCTGGATCAGGCTACCCCTTCATGTGATAGTTTTATGAACGTGAGACCAATATAGACTATTCTTGCCGCAGATGTGGACAGAGGACCTCCACTGGGCCTGGAAACTGAGAGATCAAAAGAGACAACAAGACAAAGAAAAATTGGACTCTATAAGTACACAACATAGCAAAGAACTTTCGGAATTATACACAGCAGATCTTGATACTGAAACAGAGAAAGATGAATTTGTAAAAAAAACAAACAGCATCAAGGAAGAATCTCTAAATAATTAAAGACATGACGAATTTCTTGTGTCGCTTAGGGACTGGTCAAAAAGTATGGGGGGGGGGGGGCCGGAGCAGAGAGGGGGTGGGTCATGAGGTTTTGAGCCTTGTGCAAGGGGTGGGTCGTGCAATTTTCAGCTACCCTCAGGGGGTGGGTCACCCTATTTTTTACTAACTACTGACGAGAAAGTTGACTACACTTGTTATATAAAACACAGCCAGCTGAATTTATTGCTAAAATACTCACAACCCTTTTGTGCGAGAAAATACAAAGGTTGACAGGCCGCACATCTATACGGGCGTGGAACCCTCTGTCAACCTTTTTTTTTTCGGCTCTAACGAGCATGTTCCGTTAACAATTTTCCTTTTTTGTAAGGAAATGATTGGGGGTTCTTTTAAAATTTATTGAAGGTATAGTTGGTTTTGTATAAGATTCCATTTTTTCATTCAAGCTTCCTTTATAGTATCTACACTGAGGGCTGGTATTGTGTCACGAATGGCAATATTTCTTTTTCCTCCTTGTCGTTTTGTTTTACAAGTTTAGACTCCCTTTTGTGAATTTTATTTCTGATAGTAGGTTTTCTATCAAAGATAGGGGGCACCCAACGAGAATATGGTTCAAAACCACTTAAACATAGCATTGTTAAACGTATTTTAGTATTTAAAGAGTAGATATAGGCATATTTTTATCCCCTAAAAATTTTTCATCTGTTCGGATCTCCTAGCTGAAAGTCTAGTGATACGAAAATTATAGGGATCAAAACTTAACTTTTCGAAAATTTCAGCCAGAAAAAAGGCTCCCGAAAATTCTAGGTGACCTTAGGGTAAAAATCCGTTAAAAATGGGTAATTATACCATTTTTTTAGATGTTCGAAAATCCTAGGAGGGGCAGACAAGCAAGAAATTTTACAACAAATGTTCCGAAAATTCTAGATCTCAAATCGTCTTTGGAACAAATATTTTCCGAAAATTGACGTTGGGTGCCCCTGAAAGATTGTGGGTAGCCTCCGTCCGTCAAGCATTTTTTTTAAAATTTGAATTATTTTCCTCAAAGGTTGTTTCTGAGGAGTTTTTTCGTAGGATTCTTAAGGCTTCTCCTTTGACAAATTCTTTTTTAACATTTGGAGGGTGACACGAGGTGAAATGTGTGTGCAAGAAGCTTTCCGTTTGTTTAAAATGTGTCTTTGCATCAAGGATAGATTTTTCCTTGAATCTTGTGCCTTTGTATACAACAGTGTCTAAAAACGCAGTCTCAGTGTCAAATGTTTCGGCCGTGAATTCAATAGTTAGGTGATGTAAGGTTGCTTGTTCAATGAAGGCTTCGATGTCTGGTTTACTCATGTCCCATAGGGCAAAGATATCGTGTACGTGGCATTTCCAAACTGTTGTTCTAAAGACAGTTTTGCTTAGAGTTGTTGTTTCAATATATGTCATGAAAATATTGGCAAAAGAATCCAAACTGCTGTCTTTGTGCCCGTTGCAGTTCCATGGTTTTGTAGGTATTGCTTTCCACTGAAGTGGAAGAAATTTTCGTTGAGGATTAATCTAAGCATTTCCGGCAAGTAATGTGTAGGAATGGGTTGTCTTTGTTGAAATTTTCATATGCTTTGTGACAGATAAATTCAATATACCCTCGTTTTGCTGTATATTTGTGTCAAGACTCATAACGTCCCTTGAAACAAGAAATGTTCGGTTTTTTACATTTGTCTTTTTAGTGAAAGGTATGATTTCTGTGATTTTGATATTGCTTGTAGCAGTGTATCAACAAATTTTGTAAAGCACAGAACAAGGTTTTACTGGATTATTAAGAGGAAACCGAACATCCATGTTTTAACTAGGGGGTGGGTCATGCAATTTCTAACCTTGCTTTAGGGGTAGGTCAGTCATTTTTGTGCCGAAGGGAGGGGGTGGGTCATGTGTTTTTTATCAACCATATTTCCAAATGCTCCGGCCCCCCCCCCCTATACTTTTTGACCAGTCCCTTACTAGAGCTTTTCATTACAGAATTTTAAGTCACAGATCAAATGGGGTTTCACAAAGGAGGTTTTAACTAGAGCTGGTCACTCACATGAGTGGTCGCAAGGAGAGCTTTAACTGTGGTTTAGGCCTTTTAAAATATGGAACAACCATGACGATTCTGATGAAAGCTATCAGAGGGAGGACCAGAAACTTTGAAGGACTTTTAAAAAAAGCCTGAATTTCAGCTGTCCCCGTGAGGCCGTAAGCTCCCAAAAGGAGGGACGGATGAAATTCAGGCTATGAAACAGAATAACTGTGTTTACTCTAAGAAGACCGACTTCCTTAAAACAAAGTAGTTTGTGTCACCTGAGAATTCTTTTTTCTTTAAAAAAAGGGAATTCATGATTTAGGGAAAAACATAAAAATCATATCAACTGTTTCACAGAACCAAGTACAGGCTTTCTTTTGGAAACTTTTAAAATTTAATGATTTGATGACCATGGTGAGGGAAACAAGGGAAAATTTAGTTATTTATAATAACAATTAACAACCACAGTTTTGTAGTTTGGTTTTCTTTATTCATGGAGTAAAACCATTACATTATCATTTCATATCATTTCCAGTCTTTTGCAGCAACATAAAATAGTAATTTTTCTAGCTAATCTCCAGATGAAAATGCACAATTGCATCGTAGTTGTGCTAGCTTCACACTTTCTATGGACATTCCAAATTATTGCTCAACCCCATAAGCCCTTATATCAACTTGCAAATTCTCCACACATTTCTATAATACTCTAGCTAGAGGACACTCTCTGGCCAGGCTTAAAGGGTTAATCAAAAGTAAAAAAACTGCCTAATACACTACAATACGCATGCAGTTTTAATAGTACAAACTTTACAAGATACTTGTCCTATATCTTTGTTTAAATCTGAATTTCGACTCCCAGATTGATGGCATCTTCTAACTCTGGAGTCTGGATGAAATACCATGGTACTACCGCTTAAATGAAAACCCTTCTTCAGTAATTTCATGTGGTACTATAAATGGATTAAGTTTGCACTTCTAACTTCTGACTGTGTGGACATAATCCTATGGTTTTACTATTCATGCAAAGGAATTGTCATCAGTACTATTTTCACATGGTAAATTGTAGACCTATCTCTTTGACAACTTCTGGGAGCGAAAGATTGAAAAGGGTGCAGGTTTTAGAGTGTACATGAAAATAATCTTCATGCAAATGGCAGGTATGAGCACAGTGTATGGAATAAACTCCTTGGTGAGAACTGTTGATCTCAAGCTAAATTCTCCCTTTGTTTGTCAAAAAAGCTTATTGTAGTTTGCAAGGAGAAACTAGCAGTTTAACAGCTAGACCTTAACCTCGTCCTACAAAATGATATGGCAGGAAAATCTGTCACCTGACTGACTGTTAAATCTATAGGCAAAACCCATCATCAATAATACAACAAAATCTCAGTCATTTGAGTGCAATGGTAGACGTGTAAAAAAATACTTAAGCTTAGTGAACAGAAAAATGGCTTTTGAGATTTCTTCGGAAGGTGTACAGAACACAGTCAAGTCAACTTAATCTACAACAGATGCCAAAGGATCTGCACAAAGTGCCCATATCAGAGAGTTGCCGAATTCTTTGTGTCTGCCGAAAGGCATCTCATGATTCGAAACAAAATGTTAGTTCTTGTAGTGTATCATTCTCATCAATGCAAATTATTGGTCAAACATTTAGCACTGCTAAAGAATAAAATTATACATTACATGTATGTACCTAATGTGTGCTACAAATGCTTCGAGCAGGAATATGAACTTAACAGCCAGCCTGACTCCAAGATTCAAGAAGTAATAACAATATAATTATTTATTGTAATTGTCAATGTCATACATGCATTAATATGTTGCTCCCTTCATTTCCAAGATCAAACGCTACATGTATTTCTCCATTAAGCCTCCCATACTTTTCCACTTGTTATAGTACTGACAATTTGCCACCTACCCCCAGCCTCAATTGGGTACAGTGAATTGTATAAAGATGGCCGCTGATCCACCTTCGCAGACAGATAATTTTCTAAGTGCTGTTACTTTGCTCATGTATCTCCAGGATTCATAACAATGATCAAAATTCTAAAAAAAATAGGTACTTTAAATTATCTAACTTTAAAATGAGGGAATCATTTTCATAACACTTTGTCAAATATCTACTCTCAACTGATTTCCACACAATCTAAAAAACAAGATCGTTAACTTTCACAAACAATGATTAATTTCTCAGGGCAGATGAAAGGCGTTGAATACTACATTTTCAGTCTTACATGTATCTGCACATTTTTAAAGTCAACAAAAATAACTAATAGAATGTTCCCTGTGCTTTTTATCTTGCAGGCCTCATAGTATTATTTGGAAACTCATGCCCCGTGGAGCACATCATAAACACTTACAAAGCTTGGCTTCTTAATTTCTCAAGAATGTGGAGCTGACAATGCCCCCCTTTTGTAAGATCTGCAACTTTATACATTTGAAAACGAGCAGATGCTTCTTACTGTAGAAGCTCAACTGGCCGATAAAGAGTTATATTGCAAGTCACTGACATGAACTAAAACTTTCCACTCTGAAACCAGTTGGCATTCATTACTCTGCTTTCTCTGTTTCCGTGACCTTCTCTCCTTCATTTTTGACATACTTTGCAGGGCGCTCACCCTTCTTGCTGAATTTCTTGACCAAGGCATCTTTAAAGCTCTTCTTCTTCTTCACCTTGGTACCCTTTTTCTTTGGGTTGCCTGGCTCATCGTAACTGGGAGCCAGCAGCTCTCCATCTGGTCCATCTTCATCCCCATCTTCATGATCAGTGCTCTTTTCATCACCTGCTTCCCCATTCACCTCTGTTGTCACCACAACTCGCTTCTCTGTGTACTCATGATATTCCTGCCTCACCTCCTTAGTCTCATCACCATTGATTCCTTTTTCTGGGGAAGATTCAGTGACCACGACTTTTGTTGACTGTACGACGACTTCTGGGGTCTAAACAAGAAAAAAAGCACTTTCTTTATCTAAAAATTAAGCCCAAGCAGCTTACTTGCTCTCTTCTACTCCATGGTTGTCCCAACTGAGTCCATGCATGCAATGAATGAAGCTCAGCAGCACAACATTTGTCATTTTTGAAATATTGAATATAAGCAAGTTCTGCAGGCATACCATTAAAGGTTTTGATCCACAGACATGAAAGTGTGTGTGTGTGTGTGTGGGTGTGGGGGGGGGGGGGGTTGTTATAAGGGGCTTATAAGCTGGGGAACATTATGGTATTGTTTTAACTGTAATGATAGGTTGCGAGCAAGCACTCCGAGTCACTCTGGCAGTGGGGTGGGAAAAGGAAGGAGAGCTTGCAACTACAGCTGCAATTTTGAATATCTGCAAAATGCAAAATGCTGATCAGTGGAGATGACATTAGTAATGACATCAAACACAAACACATTTACAAACACACTGATTGGCCAAAAATCTGACGGCTCAGTCGATAGGGAGCAACAGGGGAATTGGAGGTGGAATTCAAATTCCAGAGACCTAGTTGCAAGCTCTCCTTCCTTTTCCCACCCTGCTGCCAGAGCACCCCAGAGAGCTTGCTCACAGGCTAATGTAATGAAGGAAGCCTCTACATGAATAATTTATGAAAGTGGCCTACTCTGAAAACGGTTAGTTTATGAGCACATTCTGTACCTGCTCCAAGTCTTTGTCTGCCCTCTCTGGAATCAAATCCTTTATTGTAACAGGCTCATCACTGTCCAACTCCACCTTTTCCTTGTCCTTTTTGTACTCTGTTGACTTGACAGGGGTATTGAGCCACTTAACACGATTCCTATAAGTGTTTGCACGGCCTGTGGAATGTGCTCTTCTGACAGGCTGCCTTTCAATCTCTGGAGTGTAAAACATTTTTGCACGAGTAGATGACACTGTTGAAGGTGTTGTGACTTCTCTTTCAGCTGGCTTTTCACCATGGAAGACTTCAGGATTTCTGTAAACATAACCTGTCTTGTAACCCTAAAAAATCACAAGAAAACTCTTTCAATAATCATAGTATGATACTAATGATTTTCACTGAATTGTCAAAACAACACAAAAGAAAAAGGAAGGAAAAAGAAGGAAGGAAGGGAAGAAAGAAAGAAAATGGAAATGAAAACCACACTGACAAGGATCACTGGTGATTAACCAACTAACATTCATGGTTTTCAAGAATATCTTTCAATAAGCATTATTGACTAAGCGTGATGTCAACATTGCTGGATACTGGCCAAGTTGTTTTTTTGCGTTTTTATTGACTGAGATGAAGCAAGACTGTCAACCCCCCGTGTATTCAAATATCATTGAGAACTGACAGGGAAGGGATGGTAGATGACATCATGATGCACGGCACGTGACATCAATTGGGCATAAAAATACTCTCCGATAGTCATGGATTTGCGAGGACACAAAACATGTGAAAAAGGTGTTTTTGACTTGCAAAACATATGACCTGATTGCATGGTTTATTTCCCACCAATCACATTATAATCAAAATAGCTCAAACAACACAAAATAGTTGAAATTTTCTAGTTGAAAAGTCTAGTCTCCTGAACAAATGGCAAACTTTGGGCGATTATGCGGGAAAAATTTCATACCGGGAGATTCACTCTAAAATCTTGAGTCTCCGGGAGACTCATTTCAACCTCTCTACAATGGCCACTTTCTTCTGTTCCCAAGGTGTCCATTGTGGAGCGGTTCAACTTACTGTAAAATCAACCCTTAAGCCTCGTTCAGATGCCGAAATTTTCATGAGCTGAACCTAATACATTGAATTAAGTACATGAAAGGTTTGGCGTCTGAATCAATTAGGAATGGCTGTTCAGCCTTTCTTCACACCTAGCCTGGGCGGGAATTTCGCCTTTGGAGCGATTTTGGAACAGCTTTGTTTCAGATGCTGAACTTTTCATGTACCGATCTTAATGCATAAATTATTATAACGCATTTTGATTGAAATGAGCATTTTTCGTCTTTCGAACGTAGTTCAGCTGCAATTAAGATTGGCGTCTGAATCAATTCAGCCAGTCTAAATAATTTGGGTCGGCCTTAATTTGAATTAGGTTCGGCTCATGAAATGTTCGGCGTCTGAGCTGGGTCTTAGACTCGCATTGCCTTACCATAGAATCTAACAGTCGCATCCATGCTTCAAATTCTAACTCTCCAACTCTCCATTTGATACCACTGGAGTCCACTCCACCTCCACCTGCTTTAGTGGTTTCTTGAACCTGTTCTTTTGCAAAATCATCACACTTGATCAGATTGTCAATTCCTGCAGCCACGGCTTTCACCTACAACGATAGTACAAAACTGTTTGAGTTTCCATCATGTAGTCTTCTAACATAGACTAGATATGAGCAAGAGTTGTTTTTCTCCATTTTTTGTTATTTATTTTATTGCCCTGGAAGTACTAACTTGACTATGGCTGTTTTCGATGTACAGTGGACTGAAAACTCTCTTAACAAACACTGATGAGCAGACAGCTCTACTTTAACTGCCTCCACAAAACCCTGTTTCAAATCCCATACAAACTCTGTACTTTTACATTCCCATACGAGGCCTGGGACACTTTCATGGTTTGAGTTAGATCTAATTTAGCTTTGTTTTTGAACTCCAGCAAGCGGACACCTAAAATGAAATCTCATTCGCCCCTGAATCTTGTATTATAATAAGTCAACTTCATACCACTGTTTGTCATAATCACTTTATCTCTCAGTGTTTTTCCTTTTCACATACATGTCAGGTTACCCTTCAAGAAAACCACTTGAATTTTATGCTTGTGACCGAATTACAGCATTGTCAGAGCAACAGTGTAGCCAAATACTAACAGGCAAAATTTTTTGCAATTCAAACGTTTATTTTTTGAGCTCCTGTAAGCGGCCATTCAACTCTTATCTCTGGTGGCCACTTATGAAAATCATTCTCGTAAAAGGCCGGCTCCAATAACAGACACCTTTTTCCTGTCCTGAAAACAGGGCTTCCACTGTATTTTATATAGGCTAACTAAAATAAGTGCTACTCGTGAGTCTCGAAGTATCAAACAAGTGCCCTTGGCCCTCCCCAAATATATGGAATAGAATTCGTAATAGCCACAAAAATTTATTTTAAATGAAAGAATTGTATGTAACCTGGTATTTGCAAGCCTTTACTGCATCATTTGCACTGAGCAAAGCTTCCTCTATAGTTTCTCCACAAATGACAATACCATGGTTCCTCAGAACCATAACCTGAGCAGTAGAAAAGTATCCATTAGTTAATAAGTTCTTGTAGCTCTTACTGAAATATTAGAAATGCTTGTTATATTAGAACCCCAACAAAACCACAAACTAATAGCAGTAGTTGATCAAGTGATCAACTTCCTGTAAACACGAAAACAGTTTGCTTTTGGAAAATTCTGTTAGCAGCAACTGAAAGAGCATATCAAAATAGGTAACATGTAAATTTTCACCTGTATATCTCAATAATAGTGATTGCAAACGGCTGCCAAAAATTAAAAGGATTTGTATCGGAAAAGCAACTTGTGCCACCCAGCCACAGTTGAGTCAGGTCCTCCACACAAGTCCTTGCAAATTTCAAATTTTCTTTTTTTCATAACAGTGGCTGAGACACTTTGCTCTTACGGGCCTTTCTGACATTTCACTGATTTCAAGAGGGAAAAATAAAGCTGCCCCCTCCAAGCAATGTTGTAGCACTGATTGAACTACAAGTGTACAAGTACATGTACTACTAGGAAACACCTGAATTTTTTACTGTAAGGGTGCAATTTACTTTGTTCTCCAATATGTTCATCCATGACAGTATCTCAAAAATTTTGTCAATGATTGTGCTTGAACTGCTGGGCTAGTCCCAGGACTCGCCATAACTTTTTGTAACAAAATCACTGTTCTTGCTCTATACAATTCGTGTTGCACAGGAACCAGATGCAAGTGGTAACTTGCTTTTGAGCGGTCCTGTACACTCTTTTTTGGTCCCCTATCAGGAGCTTAAAGTACATACCTTGTTTTCTTCACCCAAATCCTTCACTATTGACTCTTTTTCTTCATCATTTGTAAAAATGCCTCTATAATCATGGTAAGATACTTCGCCAACCTTAAATAAAATAACAAAATGACCATGTCACACCACTTGCTATCTTTTAAAATGCTAAAAGGAATCATAACATTTTCTTACACAAAGGGCATCCTGGGTTATTGGTAGAAGTCCACATTTCATAGATGACACCTGAAAAGTAAATTTGAAAAACAGAAAAAATTAACATCAACACGTTATTTTCACGTGTGAAGATATGATGTTTTCGCGCGAAAGCTCACCTGGTATCTCATTAGTGTTTCAATATAATAATATTAGATATTTCTTTAAAAGTGGTTTCTGAGGTTGCTGAATATTTTTTTGAAGTTTTTTTTTTCTCACACACACTGTGGCATTATTTTGTGTGGGGTTGTACCAGACTCGTATTGAAACTTACTTGAAACAGTATTTTTAGGCTTGGAGGTATCAAAAGTGAACTTATGCAGCAGGACGGAAGAGTAAAGAAGATGGCAAGCCTTGCGTGACAAGGGTGACAATAATTTTGTTTGAAACAAATTTGCTTCAAACTTCACCTTCCGTTCAACAGATGTTTTTGTGAAAGACCAGAAAACATCAATGTTAAGTGAAGATCATGACAGAACATGCAAGTAATAGCCCTATCTCTTCGTCACAGTGACAAGCGTTTTGCTAAGCTCTTCTTTTTGCAGTCCTGTTGCATTAACTCAGTCCCTAATATTATCTGAGGTGAGAGGGAGAAGGACAAATATTATACCTTGTACTCACTACGTCTTCACATTAGCTAAGACCCTACAGTTAATTTAAGAAATCATCAAGCAACATACAGATATTAATTTGCTAGCACATAACTGCTATAAGTTGTCTGCTAGCAAATCTACCTGTGCGGTAGTCATCTTCAGAGTCAAAGTGAGTAGTATCACGTCAGTTGATGGTATTATAGTCTGAATTCACCAATCAGATCAATAACCAGAGTATAATACCATGAACTGACATGATCCAACTCACTTTGACTCTGAAGATGACTACCGCACAGGTTGTCGAAACGTCAGTCACTGTCAACAACAATAGTCCTATTCAGGACTACGTTCACCCGGACGATCAAACTCAACCTACTTTTGAAATGACTCCTGGGTTCAAACCTTTCACAGTTTTAAACATACGTGCTAAAATAATGGAAACCATGGCTAACCCTGGTTAAAATACCATTTCTATCTGTCTTGATTAGTCGAGCTTGCTTAGCAGTGAGAGTGTAAAACTCTGAGCATTTCTTTTACTTTTCTTTGTGTGTGCTCACTAAAAGGGGGGCTCATGGTCCCAGGCTTTCCTAAAGGAGAATGTGGAAACTGGGGATAAGCATTGCGACGTGACTAACAATATATATTCAGAGCACCATGCGTGTTTTGTGAAGAAAGCTAAAGAATGATTAATGCGAAATGTTGAACTTTTCTGGAATGGGTCGGTCCACGAATTTTATCACTTGAATGTATTGATAACTTTGGAACATGTGAATACTTCAGTGGTTGAAAAAAAGAAGAATCTTTATGTGCAAAACTTTGATTATGAGACTAACAGTACTGGTCAGTTTATTTTCAGCGATGATTGAAATGACACATAACGTTCATCATGTTAATGCTCTCCATGGCAATGATGTAATAATTTATCTCAAATCGAGGCCTTTGACTTTCGTGTATTTAAACACGCGTACAAAATCAATTCAGAAACAAATCGTTAAATATGACATGAAAAGTAAATATCCTGAATACTTGACTGTCGATAAAGAGGGACATTAAAAACTTTCAGCGAGCAAATCCTGTCTTGTATAGATTTGATCACCTCCCTATTTCTTTTCTAATCTCCACACAAGCTCGACTTTATGCTTTCAAGTCTGATCATTCTTGTTTGACAAAAAATGCTACATGTTTTGGCAGATTCTTTTTACTGTTAACCATCGACTCCGTAACACGTTGCCATTATGGACAAACCCCATAATATTCACTATAAGACCAAGCAAAACGTTTCTGTCAGCCACCATAGATAAACAGGCCTTGGTATGGAACACACTCTTTTCTGGTCCAATTTTTGTGGGTTTGTTTTGCAATTTTAAACATTGTAAGAGTTGAAATTCAATTGGGGCCTCTGCCTGATGTTGTCATCTCCCGTCAGAAAGCTTTTACAACGTATGTTTTTCCCACGTTTATGTATTCTTGTTATCTGAAAAAATAATATCAACTAAACTAAACTGCCGACTTCAGGAAAATCCTTGGCAAAATGAATAGCGGTTTGAATGAAAAAATCTCCCGCTTATACATTACAAACTCTTGCTAGTTATGGCCCCTAAATCGCGGAGCCTCACAGGTGTCTGCAATAGCGGAAATTCACTGTATTTGATTCTTTCTCGCTGACCAGATCAACGTAAGAGCCATCCTTCAATTTTGATTTTCCTTTGTTCAATTTTTGCATATTAATGTCTGTACACTAATAAGCAAACATATCTACCATGTACTAGTGAACACCATATCATTTTACAAAAGACATTATCCACTGAAAAATAACTCCCTGACATGGGAAGAAAACCCTAGAATGTATCAAATTTAGACCATCCAAGTATTACACATTGCCTCTATCTTTTCTTGATCTAGCAAATTCCATAGCTCAAAATCATACTGATATATACAAAAACTTCAAAAAGAATCTCCTTCCAGAAACTTGCTAGAATATCATTGAAAAAAAAGGAAAAAAGATCTTGCCATCATCAAGTAACCAACCAATAAAAAACTGAATATCTAGAAAAAAAAAATTGAAGATATAGAATGTATGCATGCTTATCAGGATACAAGTGAGGATCGATATGCTGTAACCAGGATGGAAATAAGAAGCTAAAATTTTACAAAGCTTGTGCAAAGCCTCTGAAGAGCAAATTCAAAAGTGTACCATTCGGAGTGAAGACTTCAAGCCAACTATCAATAAACTAAACTTTGAACCCACTAAGAATTTTTACCAGGTTATATTCAGAGTACATAGTATTGATGACCTTGTTTAAAAGGAATTATCATAATCGCCACTGAAACAACCTAGCATAATGAACATTTAATCGCAACTCTTAGATCAAAACAAACGTCAATCGTATAAGACGAGAAGCCTTTTGGGGAAGCTTCGAGAATACTGGAAAGGTACGCTGATAAAAACGACAAATTCAGTAATTTACGATGTAAACAATAAAGAATAATTTGACTCTGGAACCAAGTGGCAACATTTAAAATGAGATACATGTGCAGCTCTCTCCAGCTACGGTATTTTAAACGTTCAAATTAAATATGCAGAGTAAGTTTACCCGAAAATACACTGTGAAAGGACATTTATTCAAATCAAAGAACCCAGGGTTGGTCGATGGCAGGTGATAGACTGCACACACACATAAACACCGGGAAAAAGGGCGAAATAGTCAATAATCTGGCCGCATTTTGAACAATCGCTTTTCCTTCAGCCGATACAAGCCTCACCGTGAAATATAACATCAGGAATGCCGCTTGCTAAGTTGCCTTATTTATCAGAATAATCAACCGCAGAAGACCTTCAAACAAGGCATCGATTCAACTGTATTCTTTGTCGACATTAAAATTTTATTTTTATGAAGCCGACTAAATCTTTCAAACGACAATTTTTTTGTCCGCCTAGAATCGAGATGTGCTTTTGAAAGCGGGAATGAGTTTTTGCATCGAAAAGAATGAAATTCGATCCAATACTTTAGGGGAGTACGAAAACAAACAAATATCCGACGTGTGTGAAAAGAACGTTTGTTTGAAACAAGCAGGGTTTTCTTCCACGAAACTCTCATACATTTCGTTTTTACACCTATACGACATTGTTCCTGATCGGTAAATAAAACCCTGTCAATTTGGGAACGCGACGTTTTCAAGAGCGAGAAAATGGAGTATTTTAAAATTCCTTTAAACTAATACTGGCCAAATTTATATGTGCGTTTGCGAGGGTAAATTCGGCTGTCACCCATTTTCAAACCGCTGAATTGTCGTAGACCCCTGCAGATGAAATGACAAAAAGTCACGCGAAAGTAAAACTAAGCGAGCGCTGATTTTAACTCAGTTAGAAGAAACTCACTCCCAAGAGGTAAGTGCTAACTTTCGCGTGAACTAGGAAAATGCATCTTCCTGTATGATAACTTAACGCCTCGAAATTATTTATCTCTTGACCTTCATAATCAGAGAAAGAAATCGTTACACTGCTATACGGGAAGAAATCCTGACTTTCAAAGCTATGGATTTAAACTTACAGCAACAACATCATCTTGGTGCAAATGGATGATGGCCCTGGCATCCTTTCTTGCTCCGTGGATCGCAGAATGTAATAAAATACCAGCTTTGTTCACACCAAGATTTGTACTGCCTTGATCAACGACGCTGCCATCGGGATTTATTTTTTGCAAACTGGATGCGGTCACTTCGCTGTACAATAATCCAAAGGGATGGATCAAGAAGCTTTCCTGATCCGTCGACGGGCGAACCTGGAATGAACAGAAATCGACAGGGTATTGTTACTGTCACAGACAAGCTGTAGACGGATAACTTTTTCAGGATGAAACATTTCTCTGCTGCGGTCAATAGTCAATTAATTTGAGTAAACTAGAAGAGTAAAGGTATAGTTTTCCATGGCATTAAAAGACCCTGGCATAAACTATTCGAAATTGCAGGGGAAATCAAAATCGTCACGTTGTATTATGTAGTAAGCCATTGAAAATAAGCCATTGTGACAGTGCATCCGCGCGCGAGGCTAACACACAAAACAAACACATTGTACTCTAGTTCCACTTCAAGAAGTGGACAAATTTTCGAATACTCACGGTTATGAAGCCGTAAATGCCCTTATGCCAACCAAAAAGGTCGACAAGACGGTACGTGGAGGCCAGCTTGCAGCGCAATAACCTTTCTTGCTTGGAATAATTCAGGGTTTCGGAGCCTCTGATGTCTGCTATTGGAGTGACAACGGTAGACATTCCCCCTCCATAGTAAGTACCAGAGGGAATAAGAAAATCCTGATACGTTCGAATGCCTTCTCCGCCATCCTTAGGACCATTCTGTACGTAGTTTTGAACAAGGCCTTCAAGCTCGTCACGAAGAACCTTGTCGTTCAATACAAGAGAAACACGCTGTCGAAGCTTCAAACCACGAACGTCGCGAACAACATCTTCTGGCCTTCGAACTGCTCTGCCTCTCGAAGGAGCACTATATCGCCTAGCTCTCCCTTCGATGAGCGGTTTGTTTCCCTTCGGTGTCGACATGTTGGCGAGTTCGGCTTAGGAAGCGAGGTCAAAACTAAAACGAAGCGTTTTCCAAACGGCGATCACACCTTCGTGAAACGCCCAAACCACGCGCAGAAAACTCGGGAACTTTCACTGCTCATGCGTTACACTCGAAATGAAGAAAATGAAGTAATTTCTTATTGGCCGAAAAAGATCACGTGCTCTTAATCACGACTACCGCGTACTCGAAAATGATTTCAGTCTTATAAGACACGCGCACGAAACGGAGCCTTTTTCAGTCGATAAAAAAAATAAGGTTATGCCCTTTGAACAAGGTCTTGGAAATCATGGATCACGAAATGAGTGGGCCAACATTTTGTATCCCAAACGGCCACTCTACCCTCGTACGTGATGCTCTAGAAGACCTAGAAGCTAGAAGATGTCACGTGAAAACACTAACAAAAAAAAAAAAATTGAACAGTTGGTCCAAACAGGAATCGCCTCTTGCTGGGTGACAAAGAAGTTATGGAGTTGAAACATTTTAAAATAACCTCTTACTAAAAATTTATCACTAGCATGCAATAAATTTTTAGAGTCCTTCTTCCGGACGCTCCGAACATTCTTTTTTTTAAAGCATTCCATTTGGCAAAACTGAAAAGCTATCAATCTCATTTTGTCATTTTCGAGCGGTGCGCTTCCTCCCGTTCCTTCATAATCTAGCGCATAAACCATATTTTTGCCCCATACAACAGAATTTCAGTTTGTTCCGTTTCTAAATTTAAACTGTTGAGAAATACTTGGCAAGGCACAGCAACAAAATATCGCTCGAGCGGTACGTCTGTCAACATGATCCAGACCTGCCCATTTTGTGGCTCCAAGCTGCTTGACAACCTTTACAATCATATCAAAAACGCAATTAATACCGATTAAGGACGAGTAAAGTCGTTTAACACATTCAAATTCCTGTTAGAGGGCAAGTCACATGCGCAAATGGATTTAGTCCCAAAGCAAGAGAAATGATAAGGCTGCTATCCAATTCTAGGAGAAAATCCCCATGAAATTCGGAGCAATAGCGGGGAACAGACGTTACTTGATAGCCAAGTTTCGCCATATGAAAACGACCAGGAATGCATCGCAAAAATTGATTATTTTTTGACAATTTTCATGACTAGATTAATATTCCTCCTCATCTTAAGCTTACACTATCGCAAGACTGCATATCAGACAAGTTTGATTGAAATAATATATTATTCAAAAATGAAGGTAAGTCGATTGACAACCTTTCACCCTTACTCTCGGGAACTCACGCGCGCGTTTTGTGTCTGTCACGCAAGGGTATCGCGAATTTTCCAGAACGTTTGCGATGAAATAACACTGAAATAAAAACAAATTCAAATGCACCCCAAGAAAGAAGCCGATTATATTGTAATTCATGCAGTTTTCCGTTTCTGAGCAATTTTAGCAATACTCGTCACAAGCGTATTGCCCGTATACTGTGTCTGAAAATATATTACACGGCTTCGTTGACCGGCTTGTATTAAAAACAATCCGAAATTCATTCACGTATACTTTCCCGTGGAAAATTATTCATTATTGTTCTTTGATATCCGAGAAGTCACATGCGGTTCATGCGTCGCGACCTTTTTTATGCACGTTATGTATATGAAACAGCAAGTGTATTGAAACGACAAGCAATCTGACAACTTTTTTGGACCCCCGGCGAGACGATTTGCGCTGCGCGCCCTACTACTCTAGCCCATCTGGGCAGCTAGGGCCGCTTTAGCACTAGCCTGCGTAACTGGCGGTATTGTATAGTAGTCAAGTGAGATTTGGCGGCGGAGCCGTTGTAATATAGTCGAGTGAGATTTGACGGCGGAGCCGTCACGAGCGGCGAAGCCGCGAGAAATACCGCCTCGTCCCTACTCCCTTTTTTTGGAACACGGCCCGCCGCCAAAACTTTAATCTCGCACCCACACTGATACCGCCAGCTACGCAGGCTACTTTACCACCCTTGGAAAAGTTATGCGGGCGCTGGGGAACTTTTGAACCTCGTAATTTTTTTTGTTAATCTTCCTTGCATGAATTTTTTCTAGGCCAGTGCAAGAATATCTTATTAGGGCCACTCCGCGTGCTTGATTATTTTTCTTTCCGGTTAATTTTTCCTTGAAAGAATATACTCCGTACTTTGCCAGCCCCCGATTACAAAATTAAAAATAAAAGAAAAATTTCGTCAAGTAAGCAAAGCATGTGAAGTAGTTCTTCCGGTTTCATAAGCCGGGTCAGGCTACTCTTCGTTGCAGACGGCCCACGCATTATCTTGACCATTAGTATCATGAGTTCGTCTGTGAACTCATTATGTAAGCGTTTCTGATTGGTGGGTTTCCTACAGGTTTCTTACGCGCCTAACGATTGGTCCAGTTTTCGTATGTTTGCGTGACAGTTGGACGCAGGTTAGACAGTCAACAGAAGGAAGTTGGTAAAGAGCGTCTACAGTAATTCGCAAACGCTCTCTACAGGTTTAGAGTGTCTGAGACAAAGGCTACGTAAGGCCGCAAGTTTTTTCGTACCTAACGCTCTTTGGAGAAAGACGTGAAACTAGCGAGCCGAACGTAACAACCGATTCCATGACGTCTCAACAAGACCAACAAGAAAACTAGAATAGCCATAACATGTATACGGTCTGTTTTGTAGTATCACAAGGGCCAGTATTAGTTGTATGTACAGCTTGTTCCCAACCTTTGTCAAGTTCTCAAAGCAAACTAACGAGCAGCACATCAAAAGGGCAAACGCCCCTTCCGCCCACTCGCGGTCCACTCTTCCAATTCCGGCCTAGGTCATCGATTTAAACTGCTTGGGAATCGGATATTTGACACATGTACCACAGATGCAGTATGAACACGGAGATATTTGTTATCATAAAATTTTAGCAAACATAAATATGTTAGTCATAGATGGCTATGGTAGACATCGATAATAACTATTATAATATAAAAGGATACCAAAACGGCCCACGCGCTTCTTTTTCTTTTGTCACTTTTTTTGTCACTTTTCGTGGAACAGCGTACTTTACCACTCTCCCTTCGCGTGGTACGCGTGATAATTAATGTATAAGAATTTTAAGAAACTGCTCCCAGTCTAGACTATATCTAGAAGGTCAAGTGTTACGCTTTATTTTTCAGCATGGCTAATCACTTTATTCCTCGAAACAAATATAATTACTTCATTCAAGAGATCGAGAGATATTTTTAGCAAGGATAATCCCTTTTCAGCCGTTTAACTCTTTTATTCTCTTGTTACATCAATATAAAGTAATTTCGTCAGTAGGGTTACTTCATCGCTAGAGTCTGATCTTGGCTCAGCAAAAATGCTGCAGAAACAACTTCACTCTTCAACCCCTTCCCCTCCCCCCGTTAGTTCCATTCAAGAGATCCAGTTACATATATATATCTTGTTCTGTGATATTAGTTTAAAAAATTACCTTATACTGTACGCAAAACAAAAAGAAATCAGGGCCATAAAATAAGGTCTCTTGTCTTAAAATGGGTAGCGAAATTTTTTGTCTTATAAAGGGTTTAGACTGCAAAACAGTCCGTTTTTTTCTCAAAATCTGTAAAGAAATCGGTAACCGTGGCGTAAGAGTCTTACTCGCGCGAGGCGCGCGAGCCTCACACGCCCGAAGGGCTTGTGAGGCCTATTTTTTTGCGTCTCTCCCCAGTTTCGCTCTCTGTTTTCAGCCTCATTCCAGACCTTTTGTTTGACTGCTCGCGCGTACTTTTTTTTTTTATATATATATTTAATATGTCTGTCGCGCGTACTTGAATACGCAAAAATACGGGCTGTTTCGCAGTCTAACAGGGTTAGGTTTTGAAGGCTTTCGGAGGCACAACCGAGGCCAAACTTCCCCTGGATTGTCCCCCCCAGGATTCGACCAACCTGTCTCAGTTATTCAGGTCATCCAGCGCCGCCATTAGGAAAAGTGACATCTGTACTTTCCGTTGGATTCCTGAGATTGAACTCTGACTCCAAAGGTAAATCAAAGAAGAAGTCGGATCAGAGGTTGAAGCACTAGCGAAGCGTTTTAAAGTTTACGGCCACGAAATTTACTCGGCCTAAGAAATTGGCTCGGGACCCGGCTCCGATTTTCCTCCCTAGCTATCAGTAAACTTAACCCTTTAAACCATAATATCAAAATTCAAATTCTCATTTGTTGTCCCTATATGTTTTTAATAGATGCAGTGGGCAGAATTTGTTGAAGTATCAGTTAGATTCATCTTGTGTGATCAGGCCCTCAATTCTCATGACCACTGTGTTTTATAAAGCAGTGATATTACAAGGAGAAATTTGACGCTGATCAGGGTTAATACTGATATGATCAAGGCTGGGTGGATGACAAATTACATTCGTATGGATTTGTTAGACTGAATTAAAGCAGAAGTGAACGTATTTTATGAGAAAAAGGCTTGGGGTACTTCCTATAATGGCCCACTAGGGGAGGTTCCGCCTGAAAGGGATACCTTTCTCAAGCATCAGGTTTATGCAGTAAAAATCCGATTTTTCCTGAGGGGAGGGGGGCTCTGTTCACAGGCTAATGCAGTACGGGAGGCTCCTGGTATATGAAAGTAGGAGCCTGGAATCAGTCACTAGTTAAAGTATGTGAAAGGAATTATCTATGTAAATTTCTGATTTGACTAATATAAGCTGGTCATCCTTATTTGTATACAAAACTGTTAAACACGTCTAAACACAAACTCTTCAAGTTGTTAAAACTGCCTGTTTTCAGTAGCCTGTGCCAGGCTCTTAGATAGTATAGTGGGGACGTATTAAAACGAGCAAAGTGACAATAATCCCTGTCTCTCCCCAGCCCGCGCAGGTTTTTCGCATTTCTTTTTATTTACTGAACGACTTTCCACCACAATCTTGGAACCTGGAACAGGCTATGTTTTCAGCTACAAGAACGACAATAAAATATATACGTTTATTTTGATCTTATACTAATATTATTGACGGACGGCGGCGCTAGCGTTTCTTTGGCCAATTTGCTCGTATCCCAAACCCATTAGTCTTAATTGCTACCGGCCCGAACTGACAGCTTTATTGAGCAGTAAGATATATAAATACTTTTAGCGTGCCGCATCCCTTTGTACACATTTAATTTTAATATTTCATTACACCGAACTGTCATTTTTGTAAGTATCCTTGTCTCCGTACTCTTCCATTCCTTTGACATTGAACTTGAACAAAATTTCTTTTTAAGCTAGCCTATACATAGAAGTTTTCTCTACCCCTTTTTCCGCGACAATTTTTAATTAGGGAGCTCGCGCGCATTAACACCACTGTTTTTCATTTCGGCACGCGCGCGCGCTCAAGCAGAGAAAATAGAGGGCGTGTCCATCAAGCTAAGTTAAAGATGGTCCTGAGTTTTTATCTAGTCACCAAGTCGGTAAAAAAGCAAACTGTTTGCTGGTAATAAAAATTAAAAAAGGTTTGGAGGCTTTGGTCAGTCAAAACTACGAAAACTTCTTAAACCGTTCATGACACCGGATTCCTCTGAACATTCTTAGTCTTTATAGTGGGCCTTTTTCTTGGCAGTTTTCTCGAAAGTCCTGATAATTAAGGAAATTATCATTATAATTATAGAGGTCGTCAACTAGGGGGGTACTCCCTATAATTGCTTATATGGGGAGGCTCCGCCCCCCAAAGGGGTACCTTTTTCAGGCTTCATGTCAGTGAAAGGATATTAATTTCACGAATAGGGAGAATTGGAAGGGAAATCTGTCTTGGCTGTCATTATTTAAACAGTTTTTATCAAAACAATTTTAAAGGCGCAGCTTATGGCTCCGGAAATAAGAAGACTCCTTTTTTTCGCACTTTTTTTTTATGCAAAACACGAGCCAGTTACAGCAGTTGTAAAAAGGGATGCAGCGTTCTTAGCTTGTTTCCACCGGAGGGTTTCAATAGTTTTGCAGACTTAATGATAAAACTGTCAGTTTCTTTCGGAACAGAAAACTGTACCGGGACTTTCGAGAAACGGACCCTTTGCATTTGTTAGAAGAACTCAACAATAGCGATTTCTACCCCTAGGAGGACGAGGTGATCCTCTTCATTTTAAGATTTCACCCCCCTCCCCCGCCCAAGAGAAAACCTTGTTGCCTATACTACTTTAAGGCTATGTTCATATTATGCCGGATAGCTTTTGCGCCGGTACGAGAACCATACAAGATAGGACTTCTGTTAACACTACTTAGGACACTGTGATTTAGGTGCAATTTCTTTAACGGAGTGGAGAGTCACATATCGTATAGGTGTTCATGCTATACCGGATAGGGGAATTAACATATTTGCAAATTTTCATAAAAAGTCAGACTGTACTGACCGGATAGCTTTTCGTACCGGCTCGAGGGGCTATCCACTATAGTATGGACATATTATATAGCCTGCTATTCTCGAACTGCAGAGCATTAAGGTTAACTGATAAAGTATATTAACACTGTAAATATCAAGGATGATATATGATTGCTTTGTTATGCTGGTAACCCAGCATAATATAGCAATCAGATCGATGGACAAGGCCTTGCAACATTTTAAAATTGACTGGAGCTCTTGCATACGCCTGACAAGATCTTTCGAGAGTAGCCTGCGTGGCAGGCGTTCGAAAGGGAAGGGGAGGGGAATTGGGGCGCCCAAATCCCCTTCCCCTTCCCCTTTTAACGCCCGCCACGCTGGCTATTTCGACAGCGACTTACCGAACGAACTCGAGGCGGAGAAGCGCTTTGTACGCAAGCTCTACTAAAACTCGTCAAAGTGAACTTGTAAATAATTTTGGAAAATAACAGTAAAAAGATTTATTTTTTAAAAGCTTCAAATATTTGTGAATTTATAGTAGGGAACAATACAGGACAAATTTAAAACAACTGCTACTTGCCCCGCTTTTTTCGTTACTAGAGAAGAAGCCCATAACGCTTACAAGAAAAGAAGGTGTGCGTATTAACGGGGATTAACTGTATTGATAAAAAGTCTTTGGTTAGTCCCCTAGGCTCTTCCCTAATACGGTCGACAACTACGCAGGCTAGAAATGTTGAATGGAAGGCGTGAGGCGTCGTGTATTCGCGCGAGTTAACACGCGAGGCGAGAGACCAACTCTATGACAAACTTAAAAATGCGACGTTTTTGCAATTCTAAATTAGCACCGTTGCTACGCTGGTTTTGAAATTATTTCTGCATTAGATTGGCTGGATTTTACCTTTCTCGGATCAAGCTGGAAATAATTACTTTGAACACTCAGAAAGTGTTACAAGGCGAAGCCTGTAACTTATGTAACAAAATACTGAAAATATTTTCTCGGGTCGATGACAGTTAGCCACATGTTTTAAAACTCGCTAATTTATTCTCCACCGTCTTTTATTGCTTTCAAGTTTTTAAACGCAATTGATCCCAGCTTTAACAAGCACATCTCCTTTAGTGTAGTCATTTTTGTGCACCGACTAACAAATACGCAAAACTACCTTGAAAAACAAACAAACAAACAAACAACTGGTTTCGCTACTGTGCCCCGAGGCAAACACATGGCAACCACCTTATGACTCCACTGAGTAAACAACATACGTCATTAAGATCAGGAAATTCTACTCATTTTTTTTTAAAGGGTATGACACATGAACTGCTCTAAAATGAGGCAAAAGGTGATTATTTTTTTTCCCCCGAGACACAATGTCGGACCTTGCTTATTAAAATTTCGTCCGCCTTTGCATGACCTGAATCCTTGACAACTGACCAAATTCATAAGGGCCATTTATACGAGGAAAAATAAGACGCAAACTATCGCGTCGTATCGAAGAAGAGGTGTTAGGGGCTGTTCTTAGATAAGACGCGTCTAAGCTAAATTGCAAACGAAATGTGCTGTTTATACGGGATAGTTTGAGTCTTATTTAGGACGCGTCTTAGTTTTCCTCGTTTCAAACGGCCCTATTGTTTTCATGTTTCTATACTTCCATTGGAATTATAAAATGTTCGTTTTTTTTCCTTTTTACAGTAATCACCAAAATTCCTTTTAACTGCGTACCAAAAGTTCAATTTGTTGGAACTGGTTTGTTTTGTCTCCAACTCACCTGCTACCTGGGGTCGTTTTTCAGCCGGGTGAAACTTTCTTAACTTTTCTTTTTACGCAAAAAAGAGGATTTCCCCCGCGCTTGATCTAGTCTGATATGTCATCAGTCTCTTCGCCTCCCTACCCCGCCACCCCCGCTTCCCAACGGGAGGCACATTTGGTAGGAGCGCGGGCTCATTTCCCGAACAGCGCCTTCTTATGGATGCGCAGTGTGCACTGGAGCTTTACGTGGGCTGGGTGGGTGAGGGGATGCGAGAACTAAAACTCGTATAATAATGGCAAGTTATGGGAGGAAACTGCGACTGCCAGGCCAGGGCAATAGGCATGCCAAATAATAGGCTGATTTAGCATCAGGACGGGAACGTCAGTTGACGACGGGAAAGCGTACGGAAAGGACTAAACTCGACTTCCGGTGCCCAATTTGTCGCTCGGCCATTGATCAAGCGTCTTGTCAAGCCAGTTATTTGATTTGCGCGCGCCGTCGTCAACTGACGTTCCCGTTCTGTTGATAAATCAGGCTAATGAGGGTGTGCGACGTCAACGTTGAACTGGCCAAAAGGCAAAAACCAAGAAATTCTAAGCAAGGGCTGTAATGCATCAGGCCACTAGCGCGCACGCCTAACACGACGGAATATAAAGGAGTTACTTATTTAGCGCGTCATGGGCCAATTATGTACGCAGTGAGAATATTTTCTTTTTCCAACGCGCCAGCTGCGTGACCTGGAGTTCTTGTGGTTCACCGTGAGCTCCTTTGTCCGTCACTTTTTGCTAAGATCTTACAGGACAGAGCTCATGCTAGGACTTTCGATGTCAAGTTTAAAAGCTACAGAGCCAGGAATAGTCTTATTATTTCTCAATGCCTCTCCGGGTAAACTCTTTAAGATAGCTATCAGTGTTTTTTCAAAATTTATATTTAGACTGCAAAACAGTCAGTTTTTTTCTCAAAATCAGTAAAGAAATCGGTAAAGCGTGGCGGAAGAGTATTGCGCGCGCCAAGCGCGCTCGCCTCACATGCCTGAGGCGTATTTTTAGCGTCTCTCCCCAGTCTCTCTCTATGTTTTCAGCCTCGTTCCAGACCTTTTGTTTGACTGCTCGCCCGTACTTGAATACGCAAAAATACGGACTGTTTTGCAGTCTAGTATTTACGCTGAACCGACTTTGAGAGAAAAACCTAGTGTTTAGCAGTATAGATTATATTTGGATCGCGTGCATGTCTATGTATATATTTTCACATGCACGGGCCTCTCGTGCCATTCTTTCAAATTTCTTTGAAAAACAGTGAACTCAAAACCACCCACAATACCTTTCGTCGCTCGCTATAGTTGACCGGGCTAAGGGTGTAACCCTTCTACCCGAAACAGGTTTACTCCATATAACCGGGGCCTTATATATAAGTGTACGAACTAAAATACATAAAATGTATATTAACAAAGCATCTGCCCATTCCAATCTCTCGAGCTGAGAGTTGGTGGTTCCCAGACCGAATGAACCGAATGCAGCGGACAATTAAACCAATTTAGTTAACAATGGCTGTTTTTATGCTAAAGACTTTAAAGTCTTCTAGACGTATTTAACGTCTGAGACGCTAAAGTAGACTGGTGTAAAAACTGGACTTGGACGCATAAAAGTAGACGATAACTTTAAAAAAATTGAAGAGTTTTCTGAAAAAATAAAAAATAATAATAATAAAAAATAATAATGATGATGATAAGCAACACTCACTCTTTCCAGTCGTCTCTGTATCATTTGGACATAAATGCGTCCCGTTTTTATACTAGACGCATTTAACGTCTGAGAGGTTAAAGTCGTCAGACGTTAAATGGGTCTGTCTTATTTACCGTTTTTGCACTAGACGCCAGACGACTTTTACGTCTCTAGCATAAAAACGGCCAATCAAACACGTTTGAACGGCAGCTATCTTCAGCGTGACAAAAAATTATGAAATAAGAAATCACTGCAACCAACTTAGAAGAAATTACTTCTGACTGATTTATTCACCGTCATAGCTAGGAAACAATACTGTCGCATAACTTTCACAAAACTCTTTACAAGCGCCACAATCTCGGAAATTTCTCGTTTAAGCGCAAAGCGTATTTACAAAGAGAGAGACGGTGGTTATTCTTTGTCTTTTTTCTTGTCTTTGTCGGTGTCCTCCTCGCCCATGGGCTCATCTTGGTCATCTCTGCCTTTAGCATCTTCGCTATCTTGCTGAGCGAGTGATACCATGACTTTTTGAATGGCTTCACTGCTGGGATCTACTCCGGGTAAATTCTTAAGAACGTTTTGAATGAAGTCCGTATCGGACATGACTTCTGTGATGTCCTGAGTCCCATCTCCCTGAATATACACACACAAAAAAGAAAAAGAAATAAAACAAATGTCACTACAGAGACACTGCACTTCTTTCCCACTAGCCTGCGAGCTACAATCTTGGACAAAAATGTTGAGAAAAATGGACGTTACTATGTCTAGTTTAAGATAAAGCTCCTGAAAGCACTGGCAACTACAAATACTTCCCCTTCCCCCCCAAAACAAAAATGTTGAAGTCCGGCTGGCTCATTTTTGATCCCGACTAAGAAAACAAGGTCAGCGTGGGCGAGGGGAGGGGCCATAGCGGTGCCAAATCCGCAGTATAGGCGTTCTGTGGGTAAGGAAGTGCAAAATTGTTAACACTTTTTATCCAAGATTGTAGCTCCATGGGGGAATCGGGGCGCGGGAGAGAAAACCTTTTTCCCCGCCTCCCTGGGTCCCCCAAACAGCTTGCTCTAGGCCACTTTCCCAAGGGCGTTCCAAAACGAAATTCAGGAGTATCACACGTTTGAAATGTTTTTATGAACTACTAAAAAGGGAAGAAGGGGTCTCATTTGAATTGCAACGCGATAGTGTTATGTCGAAAGGCTCAAACGTTAGAACTAAATTAGATAACTCAGACTTTTATGGGATGTTTAGCAACGTTAATTAATGAATGAGGCTAAGTATGATCCAAAGCAGGGGGAGCTCCCCTGATCCAAAGAATTAAGGAGTTCCGAGTAAAATATTAAACACCCTCCTCGATCTAAATAATTCTTCGGATCATACGAAAGCCGCATTCAATAATTGTTTTATTCATTTAAAATAATTCTTACTTAAGAAAAAATGCTTACCTCGATCGAAGTTAAGTTCCCATCTCCATTTGGCAGTTCCTCAGCAAATTACCAGGGGGGGGTACTCCCTTATATAAGCCGTATAGGTAAATGCAGTCCCAGGGGGTAAGGTTTTGGGGCCTTTTTGGTTTGAAAACGGGCCTAGACTTTGCCCATTTTGGTCTGGAATCGGGTATGGTTTTCGAGGGAACTACGGGAACGTATGAAAGTATTTATCGTTTCAATTCCAAATGAATAAGAAAAATAGAAATATGCAAATTCGAAATGCATTTGAAGAGATTTTTTGCATGCGCTCTGATCTAGGTAATGATGAAGTAATTTCTGCCTAAAGGCCAGGTCTGAAAACGGGTATGGAAAATGACATTTTTGGGTCTGAAATAAGGTCAGGATTTGGAGAACCGGGCGGCGCACCCCACCAAGAATTCCCAGGAGTAACCCCATCCCTACTGGGCAAATTAGTTAAGTCTATTCGAAATTCTTTTTCTGTTCACGCTACTTTTTAAGGCAGTAGTTCGGCTCCTTCTTCTTGCGGATATTTTCCGCAATTTTCGCCAGCTCTAACAAAAACAGCTGAGCTGAAACAACCTCGTCCCGACTTAAATTCAACCCCCGTCCCGACTTAAATTCACGCGAATTTGTTTTGAAATTCGCGTTCATTTCATGCAGCGTTAACTTTCTATAATAAGATACTCGAAAACTACTGCACCTTTCAATAAAAAAGAAAAGTAAGAAGAGAACTCAGACCTGTGTATCTGTTTCCATAGCAGTGGCTCCAACCTGTTCTTGCTTCTCATCTTTGTCTTTTTCTACATCCTTCTCACCGTCAGCCCCTGACTCTGCCTCCATGTTTTGAAGCGACAGCCTCATGGCATACTCTATCTGCTGCTCTTCCGTCATAGCACTGAAATCAAACACTGGTGTCTGTGGAGTAGACATGGATAAAGCCTGTTGAAGCATTGCTTCTTCACTGTCTGCAATGGGAGCCTGGGGGGTGGGCGTGTCATCGCCACTGACCGCTGTGGCTCTCCGGGCTTCCTCCTCTTGTCGCTGACGCTGTTCTTCCATGGACACACGAAGAGCCTAAAAAATAAATGCAACCTTTTCAATTCCACTGTTTAAGGGGGCTATTTCACGCTATTTACTAGCTTTTTGAAAAGCTTAAAATGTGTCTTTGCATTAATTGAATGAAAAAAAAATGTTCCAGTTTTGTTATTTAAGACATAAACTGTTAACTTAAAAAAAAACCATGGCAGGCCTGTTGTTGTGTTTCTGCACTGACCCTTTGCGCCCCAATATCAACACACAAATTCTCTGAACTTATCTCCCCACATTTCCTTAAACGTGACATACACTGTTTACAGGAAGCGATTACGACTCCTGAAGGAGGGTCAAGAGGTTATCCATATTATTAAGATCTCTCGTTACAGATAACCCAGATAACCTCTTGGAACCACTCACCAGTGCAAGCTCTGGATCAGAGTTGGGATCAAAGCCATACTCCGAGGCATACTCCATTCCTGGCCCTGCTCCATCTTCACCTTGAAGTATGGGGGATGAAATGAGGGCATCAGACAACAGCGGGCCTGGTGGTACAGTTACCAAGTGACACAAGTTGCCATCCTTACCATTGATGGTGTTGATAAATGTCGTCAGCTTTTCTGAATTTATCGTCTGAGAAAGAAAAAAAGTATTCTGTATTTTTCTCGATTTAAGTCCTCAGGTTTTGAGGCAGAACTTGGCTTTAGGATCTGGAATTTGCTTGACCTCAGAGTGCATTTTAGCCCAGTGTCCCAGTGTTTTTTTTAACCAAGCATTTTATTTATTTACTTAATTATTGATACAGTCGAACATCAACTATCCAGACTCGTTGGGACTTGAGTATATTAATATAGTCTCGATAATCGCGAGTCCGGATAATCGAAAATATGAATATTAATGAGGCAATACTGCAAACACAGGGAATAAAGAAAACAAAATTTAATTGTGAATTAGCTCCTACTTGCATTTATGTACGGTCTGTATGTATTACGGTATGTATTTACAAATAAAAAAAGTTACTTTTTCAAGTGTTCCTGTTCAAAACAGATTAAAACAGTGTTTTAAACACACGTTTGGAAGGATTAGTGAACTTTTAATTGCTTCAATTTTTGAAGATCACATCTTGTGAATACTGAAGACAATAACGGGATCAGGAAAAAAACGGATAATCGAAAAGTCCCGTTAAATGACTGCGAGGTTCGACTGTATTCATTTTTCACAGTCACATGCCTTATTACTATAGTTAAACCTCTCCTCAATGGCCACCTTGGGGACAGAAGAAGTGGCCATTGTAGAGAGGTTTAATGAAGAGTCAATGTTTGGGCTGTCCGCCAAAAAGTGGCTGTTGTAGAGATGTGCCGTTAATGGAGAATTGACCGTATTCCTGTACGTGTAACCCAACAAACATGACCCAGAACAGGACCGTGTGCAAGATTTAAAGTTGCTGGGTATAATTTAATAAGTAGGTAAGGAATTAATTTAAAGTTGCCAGGTATAATTTAATAAGTAGGTAAGGAATTAAACAGCAAGGGATTTCTACTTTTCTTTTGTTTCCTGAGAAAGTAGTTGGGCGTGATGCTCTCAGAAGCCAGAAGAAATAACTGGCCCGCGGCCTAGTAAGAGCCCTGCCCTAGAGGCTTATTTAGGATTCCACCAACTGGTTGAAACCCTTACTAGATGAAATCTAAGCACCCGGCTTATAAATACAAGCAGTTGACTCATTTGTAACAGGTACTTTCCCCAAAAAATTCAAAACTTTATTGAGTCATTCAAACAAATGAACAATGAGATAATGGGTATATTTGATAGAGCACGAATTTTGATTTGAAAACTACTGCTCTAACTCAGACAAAACTTTGTGATTGTAGTAAAATGCAATCAAAGACCTTAATAACAAGATTCATACCTCCTCTCCAAAGTTAACAACATCTACATTCACTTTCTCCTTTTTCAGCTTCTTGGCTAGCTTGACAAGCTACAAACATAAAATACATAATACATATAAGATATTTTATTGGCATGTAAGAATGCCGGCGACTTCAACTTTACATCATAGGCTGTCAGAATGGTGTGCTGTTGCTTACCGTTATCATGGACAAATAATGAATATTTTAAAAGTAGGTTGAGTCTGATCGTCCGGGTGAACTTAATCCTGAATAGGAATGTTGTTGTTGACAGTGACCGACATTTCGACAACCTGTGCGGCAGTCATCTTCAGAGTCAAAAATCCTGGGTTCAAACCTTTCACAATGAATATTTTGTTAAGAGTGCCATATTTTGATTGACTTTTGCACACTTGTAAAGAAATTTGGAAAAAAAAAAACTGAGAACCTCCACCTACACCGGTAAATACAGCAATTTCATATCACTCACCACATTAATTAGAGACAGTAATTTCTCCTTAAATATCCCTTGGGGCAAAGGGCCATGAGAAGTGGCTATAATTTAAAGGCTACCTCTGCCTTCAAATACGTTGCATGCACTGATAAGTTGATGCTCACTGCCTTGAATGCTATCTTCCATCTGACAGTGATCCAAATATGGGTACTTATCACTCGGAACTTTAGCGTTATAAGGGTTGCCGCACATTAAAACGAGGTAATAGCGATCAATCTTCAAATAGGTTTTCCTGGACTTACATATTTGCACATTCCCCTTGACCTTTTTTACAGGTAGTGAGTATTTTTTGTTTCATTTCCTTTATCTTAACATTTTTATTAGATTTGGATTTTTTAAACAAAATTTCGAGGATTAAATTTGAAATGTATTATACCATCAGCTGACATGATACAAGTTGATTATACCATCAACTGACGTAATACAACTCCCTTTGACTCTGAAGATGACCACCGCACAGGTTGTCGAAACTTCAGTCACTGTCAACAACAACAGTCCTCTTCAGGACTACGTTCACCAGGACGATCAAACTCAACGTTCTTTTGAAATGACTCCTGGGTTCAAACCTTTCACAATTAAAATTCTTTAGAGGATATTATCCTCTTTTAGCTTTTACAAAACCCCATGACATGCTGAGACTAAATAAAATTCCCTCTTCACTGACTCTGACCACAAGACTTTCCCTTCGCCCCCTTTCTCTTACCTTAAAATATTTTTCCCAACGAGTTTTTGCCCTGACAATGGCAATCCTGAATTTACTTGTGTTTTATTATAATTTATTATTATTCAAGAATGAAAAAGCTTAACTTGTAAATCCAACTTACATCTTTGTCATCAGCTTCAACAGGACTTCCTACAAACACCACAATTCTCATTTTGTGATTTTTTCCTTGTCTGTGTTTCAGTACCAACTGGAAAGAAAAAGGAAAAAGAGGGAAGGCAGTGAGCCAAAACATTTTTTGACCAATTCTCTACAAGTGGAACATCAATAGCTGGCAGATTAAAGCTGTTTTTCATTTGTTTGTTTTGAGGGCAATACCTCACAGAGTTCAGTCAAATCAGTACGATACTTTTTACAAACCAGCCTTGGACCACAAAAAAGTTAAATCCATGCGTCTCTTCCTTTCATACAGACATGTCTCCTGACCTTAGTTAAACTTGTAATGAGCAAATGAGGTTGTAATGCACCAAATAATACTTAAAAATTCATTTTTTAAAGTAAAGTAAAGAAAACGGAAAAGTAGGAAAACAGAAAGGTGAAAAAAAGAAAAAATACAGAAGAAATGTAAATAATGAGCATCAATTCACTAGCAAGACAACTTAAAATAGAGATTTTTCACTTGTATTAATCAAGAGAAGACTGTTCCCAGGGACGTCCATTGCGTGCAAGTTGGAAGTAGATGTTACATTGCATGTATATCTATTCTCAAGTGAAACCAGTATTCAAAATAGTTCGAATCAAAATTTCCTTTTTTTCCTAGCCCCTTATTACTCATAGGAAACAAAAGCAATTCTGGTTTAACTTGATAACTAATTTTACAAACAACACACACATGACTTGTAGAAGCCAAGTAAAGAATCCTAAAACAATCCCCCAAGAAGAGATTGGCTCAAATTAACAGCCGATCAACGGACAATGTCTGTCCAAGATCACCATTTGGTTGTTAGGCTACAGTAGTTGTACCACACTATAGTACCTTCAAGTTATTGTGTTAGTTTAAATATTTTGACTGGTCAGACGTGATCAACTTTCCTCTCTTATTTCTTTTCAAGTCTGGAGATGGAAACAATTTTTGGAATCCATAAAGTGCTTAGAGCTGCCAAATGAATGTCTGGGTCTGAGGGCAAATCAACGTTTATGAAATCAATTTATGGGTTGGGACTATTAGCGTTGGTTTTACAGTCAGACCGGGAAAACAGTAGAACACCAGAAATATTTTGGGAATGTTATTGTTTTGCTAGAGAAAAGCCAATCAGGTGTGAGAAAACTAAACCGCAAGCAAGAATGTTAATTAGTTTGTGGTTTCCTGGCCAGTTCAAGTGTCTTGATCTTTGCTTTGTGATTGGTCATAACACAATAACCATTCCTGAGATGTTTCAAGTGTTCACGGTTTTCCCGGTCGCACTGTAACAACTAAACAAATTGAAATGATAAACACTTACATGGGCTATTTTAACTGCTGTTAGGAAGTTTATTGCTCCCTTAAATTGGACTCTATGCAGGGATGATAAAATTTTGCCAACATCTGGGGTTAATGTTACCAGGACTTCGAGGCTGTGAATAAAGCATAAAGTATGGACAAGATAATGAGTAGAATCCTTCAAAAGTCAAGCATGATCAGATTCCTTGAAATATAACTGTTTAAAGAAAGGTGGAGTTTTCAAGAATATCAAAAATGATGAGCCACTAAACACAATGAGGGGAATAGTGTGTCATACTTTTTGAGGTTATAAAGGAAAGTTGTTTATTCAGCTTGTCATGAAAACTCTCCATTAAAGTATGTCTTCTTTTTCTTGAGATATACTTTAGGTAAGGCTAACCAATCAGCTAGTCAGAGTACACGTAACATCAAAATTTGAATTCTCATTTCTCATTTCCTACAGAATTAGTCAGGAGAAGTTGATAAAATATCAAGCAAATTCATCTTGTGTGATCAAGTCCGTAATTCTCATGACCACTCTGTTTTACAAAGCATTGATGTTACAAGGAGAAATTTGATGCTGATCACTCTTTGGGCTTAAAGGGTTTAGCTGTATCCCCGCTGGAAAACCTACCCTGCTTCGCAGACGTAATCTAAACCCTGTTAGTGATGTCTGTCTAGCAGGGCTGATATCCTTGTTGTGGGTCCCAAACAGGCTCAATGAATTACTGGAAATGCTTTTCAAATTTCCCTTCAACCTGATTGGCAAATTGACCATGGCTGATTTAACAGGCCAATCGTGGCACATACTCAAAACTTGGTACAAAAGTGGTGGCCCAGGACATAGATTTTGGAACTGTTTCACTGACCAATTTTACATATTTGTGGAAATAACACAGGAAACATTGGACAAATCCCAACTTGGGTCAAACTTGGTTCTAACTTGGGAAATAATAATTCCCAACTTTTAAAGTTGGGTTATTCTTGGGGCAAAGTTGGGTTTTACTTTAAGAGTTAAATGCTCCACTTATAATTCCCAATATATGTTTCCCAAATTAGCCCCAAAATTAGTTTCTTCAGCTTATTACATTGGGGATAACTTGGGTTTACATAAATTAATTTGCACCTTCTTTGGGGCTATTTCAAGCAAACACATTTTTTATGGGTCAAAATTGGGACATGCTCACCCCAACATTAACTGTTTTGGGGTGTAATCGGTTATTCTTGGGCCAAAGTTGGGTTTATTTTGAGAGTAAATTTCATTTCTTGTAATTACCAATGTATGTTTCCCAAAGTAGTCCCATAATTAGCTACTTCAGCTGATAACAATGGGGATAACTTGGGTTCATAAAAGTTAAGTCACACCTACTTTGGGACTATTTCGTGCAAACACATTTTTTATGGGTCAAAATTGGGACATGCTCACCCCAACATTAACTGTTTTGGGGTGGACTCGGTTATTCTTGGGCCAAAGTTGGGTATATTTTGAGAGTAAATTTCATTTCTTGTAATTACCAATGTATGTTTCCCAAAGTAGTCCCAAAATTTGCTACTTCAGCTGATAACAGTGGGGATAACTAGGGTTCATAAAAATTAAGTCACACCTACTTTGGGACTATTTCGTGCAAACACATTTTTTGTGGGTGAAATTGGGACATGCTCACCTCAGCATTAACTGTTTTGTGGTGTGCGGTAATTTTTGCAATTTGTGTTAAAGAAAAGGAAGACAGAAAAAGAAGATGCACCAGCATAACATTTTCCCCAAAATAACAAAAATTCATGTTGAGTGGGATAAACTCTTCTTACTTACTCTAAAAGTTGGTCCGTTTAAATTAAGAACTAGTCACTTCAATCAAAGAACAACATCCTTGTTTTAAGAAGGAAAAATATTGATTTACAAACGTTTTAAGAGGCCGAAAATGGTTTTAAGACAAAGCTTGAATTAAGTATAAGGATCTTGTTTTAAGACAGCATTTCTTCTTTTTATTTTTGTTACAAGGGCTGGAGTTTTGTAATCTTCTTAAATCAAAAACATTTTTTGTCTTACACTGTAAATAAGTCGCTTAATTTTCTTCTCTAGTCTTGCAACAGAAAAATTTATACCTAAAAATTTTGCAAACCTAAGCTTGAACACAGCTATGTTCAAAGCTACTTCTTACTGAAAAAGTCCTGGGGAGAACCCGTTGAAAAATGAAATTTGATTTTAAAATAACAACTGGGCAAGGATTTTATACTTTTAGGCATTTGAAACACAGAGGTTGTAAAATTATCAACCAATTTTGAAAAAGTTTCAGTTAAAAGTATATGTAAGAATAATAAAATTGATGGGCCAATCACAAAGCAGTAATTCAGCATAAGCGGACCTCTCGGGAAACAGGCAATTAAAATGCCTTTCTCTGATTGGTGTATTTCGATCCTCTGCAATCGAACACCTTTGAATTGTTACATAGTACGCAGTCTTCAGCCAAAACGTTTTTGCCATTTTGAATTTTTGTCTTGAGGGGTTTTTTTTACAGCAGATGTACTTGCTATTTTTCCCCTTGCCTTTTGAGAGTTTTGAGAACTTGAAGCAATGAATTGTGAACATTTTTGAAGCGGTTTTCTGGGAACTTTTGGATTTTGGATTTTGAAAAACATGTTTACGTGCGGACTACTAATTCCATTACGGCGATTGTCACGGAATGGATTTTTTACGGATTGCCTTTATTCACGGGATTTGACTTTTGGATTTGGCTTTCACAAGATTACTGGATTCTGTTAAGTACGAATCAGGAACTTTTATTGCGGATTTTGTTTCAAGTTTTGTCATCAAAGGCCCGCTGGATGGAATCTATTTAAGGAACAACGCAGGACTGTGCGTGGGAACTTTGTGTAAGGCTTCTTGTGAGGAATTTGTTTTCGGGGATCGAGGACTTTGCAAGTGGATTTTATTGGCAAGTAATTCAGGAACATTGTACAGTTTTTGTGAATGATTGATGTAACGAAATTGGAATTGTATGTAAATTTACACTCTTAAATACCACATTACGAATTGTAAGTGTTTCCAGTTTATGTAAATAAAAGAATGACATTTTCATATCAAAATCAGTTTGGTGTTTTAGTTAGATGTTCCCTGCTAGCAGAGGTCTCTCACGACGAGGCAAAAATGAGAGAAAGGAGAGAGTCTCTCTCCTTTCTCTCATTTTTGCCTCGTCGTGAGAGACCTCTGCTAGCAGGGAAAGTTAGATGTGACAACTAAATAAATTATTGCTGTTTAACCCTGTCCTTTAGGAAGAACTTGAACAGCGCTTGGAACAAGGAATAAAAGATGGGATCAGTTTGACCCAATTGTGGGACTATATGAGGCTAAAAGGTCCTTGTTATTTTCCCAATTCTGACACTATTTGGGACCACTTGGATATGACTTTGGGACAAACCTGGGTTCAGATAAACTCTACTATGGGACTAAATGTGGTTTAACTTGGGGTAAATATATCCCAAATTAGACCCTACATTTGGGTCAAATATGGGTCTATATTGTTGATTTAACAATTCCCTATTTCAGCACAGGTTGGGAATAACTTGGGAGTTGTTCCCATTTCCCAACTTGAGGTATTACTTTGGGAAATAAACAGTTCCCAAGTTTAATTCCATACTAGACCCAAGTTAGGCCCAAGTTAGAACCAAAGTAACCCCAATTTCAAGATATTGGGAATTCTTTTATTTTTCCTGTGTAAGCCTGTCTGCAGAGTTTAGCAGAACTCAGTGGTATCTTAAATGCATAGGACAATTTCATACTAAGAGTATTATAAGCTTGGGGAGTGGGGGTGGTGCATTTGTGAAAGCGCTCGCCTCCCACTAATGAGGCTTTGATTCAAGTCCTAGCATCCAAAACATTATGTGGTCAGTTCTCTTCTCTGCTCCAAAGATTAATCTCAGAGTAAAACAGGTTTTCCCTTTCTAAAAAACTAACATGTCCAGATTAAAATCTGATCTGGAAAGTGGTTTATTGGTTATTGAAAGTGTCACGTGCCCATGCCCTCTTTAAATAAAGTTAACTTTTTTGAGTTTTAAGTTTTAAAACAGGAAAACTGTGTATGGCAATTGCCATACTATGTAGACTGTGATATGTGGATATACATGTATGTTACATGTAGAGTGTAGAAGTCTGGGGCTGAGACCCAAGAGCATGGTGGGATATGGAAAATCCCGCTGTTGTAAAGGGTAGTAAATTGTTGCTGTTTGGATTCTATTCGATCGCCAAATAAAGTTAAAGGAGAGGGAAGACAGCGTAACATTTGGTGACCTCGACATGATTTAAATACTGAAGGAAAAGGCCAACAAACCCGAGCAAATTGAGGAGGCACAAATTGAGCTGAGAGGGCCGATTTGTCGCCTCAGTGAAGCATTCCTTCGAGAACTATGCACAGAGTTGCACATCGAATTGAAGGAGAAAGACACAGGCTGCCTCGCTCTAATTCAAACTGTGACAAAATAATTGGATGCTGAGGAACTGGATATTAAGAAGTTGAAGGAGTTGAGAGTTGTGGTCGAGCAGAAGGGGGCAGAAGGATCGGCAACAAAGTTTAAAAGTGAACCGGACGACGAACGATGCAACTGCGATGCAAAAGTCAGACGCGGGAGCCAGTGCGAGTGTCCATGAGAAGTTTCTACCATGACAACGTTTAAAAAGAAGTTTAAAATTTCTGGCCAGATCGGAGATTCGCATCAGAAAGACCAACCCAGCTTTACTAGCTTGGCCCGTCAAATTAACGCTGGATTAAACCGTGGATACAAAGAAGAGGATGTAATAGAGGCAGTTATCCATGAAGTGAATCCTGGATTGAGGTTAAGGAGCTACCTGGAAGGTAAGCCTGATCTGACCTTAGCAAATGTATGCAAGATCCTTAGATCACACTATCAAGAGAAAGAATCGAAGCTACTGAAATGTACCAGTTACTTAGTTCTGGGCTGCAAGAGGGTGGGGAGACCCCCTAGGACTTCTTGGTTTGCCTTCTTAACCTCAAACAGAAAGTACTATTTGCTTCACAAGAGGCAGAATCTGATTTGAAGTATGACCCCAAACTTGTTCAGAGCATGCTCTCATACTCATTGCTGACGGGTCTTCCAAGTGACAGTATTAAATTGGAGTTGAAGCCAAACCTCCAAAACACTCATGTTACAGTTGAGGAACTGTTTGAAAAACTAAATGGAGCTGTCAGCAAAAACTTGGTTCACTTCATGGGCTTGCTACAAGTACAAACCCTGTACCACTTGTACCTAAAGTAACCCCTACCAAGGAGACACCATCAACAGAAGCAAGCAAAACCCAACCTTCTTACAGAAGTACAGGAAATGAAAGCAGAGCTTGCTGCCATTAGGGAGTCCATAGGGAGCCAACATCGCATCACCACCCCAGATCAATACAGGTTCAGAAATGAAGAGAGGGCACAGCCCAGAGGGTGTGCAGATTGTCTAAGAGAAGGCTTTAGGGAGTGATGCACCCATTGCTTTATTTAGCGGAGGAGTGGTCATTTCAGCGACAATAATTGCTGGAGATCACGAGGCAAAACTGGGCATATTTCCAGGGAAAGGGTAAGGAGAAGGTGCATTGAAAGCTGTTTACTACAAGGGAAGAAGGTTGATGCCCTTTGGGACACGGGTGCTCAAGTTTGCATTATATCAAAGTCACGGAAGGAAACCTATCTACCTGATCTGCCAGAGAGAGATAAAAGTGAGTTATTGGGGGAACGTGAACTGGACCTGAAGGTTGCAAAATGGTAGTGCACTTTTGTATGATGGCTGGATTGAGGTAGTATTTCAGTTGGTTGGGGAATATGGACAGTCAGAGCCAATAATAGTGCCCATTCTAGTGGGTAGGCAAGATAACCAAGAATATCTCATTATTGGATTTAATGTCATCGAAGAGGTAGTAAAACAAGGGAGCAGCATCGGTACCAAACATGGCGTGACCTGACTTGTACAAACTGCATTCCCATGCCTTTCAGAAGGCAAGGGAAGGTATCTTGTTAATTTCATGCTTAAACAGCTGCAGTGGTAATACCTACTTCACAGTCCTTGGCCAAGGAAAAGTGTACCATCAAGGCTTCATAGCTGAGGAACATCGCCACCGGACAGCATTTATCACACCTTGGAGCTTATATCAGTGGAACCGCATTCCGTTCGGGTTGAAAAATGCCCCTGCCGCATACCAAAGATACATGGAGAATTGTTAGTGTTTAGAGGGTTATCACAGCATGGTGCTGCAACCTGGCGATTGTGTTCTTGTCCAAAATTTGTCAGAAAGTGAAGGACCAGGGAAGCTTTGTTAACATTGGGAAGAACAGATACACATCATTGAGAAATGAATAGCAGACAGTCCCGTCTATTGGGTGAGGCGAGAAGGTGGACGGGGCAAACAGAGAGCACTACACTGTAATTTGCTCCTTCCTTGTGAAGCATTGCCACTTGAAACCCCACCTTCCCTCAAGAAAGTAGGGGACAAAACTTGTCAGCCCACTAGTGCTGTGCCACCAAATCATGTCAAAGAGGACCAGGAAAGTTCAGGTGAGGGGTATACTGTGAGTACACCACATGCCCCATCTATTGGCCAACGACTACACAGGGACCAAGAAGACATTGACAAAGGGGCAGATGCATACTCTACTGCTCAGTGTGACACAGACAGCGGGTGATAACTCACCGCCTCCGACAGTTGTCCCACAAGATATAGCAGCAGAACCAGCGACGAGCAGCCCAGAAAGCCCAGCATCACCGGATGCTCAGTTGGACATGGACAGCAATGGTAGCAGCAGTGCAATGCAGACCTGTGCTACTTCAGACTAAACCATTAGGACATGACTGTGAAGGGGGCAGAACTGAATAGAACTCCCTCACTCCTGGGGTTACTCTTCTTCTTAGGGTGGACTTTGGTCGGAACTTTCTCATGTAAATTAGTTTTTTACAGTCCCACAAGTTCATAGACCCGAGTTTTTTTTTGGTTTGTTAGTTAGTTTGTTAGTTTTTTTACACATCCAAAGTTAGGCCCAGGTCCTCCATTTTGTTTCCTTCATTGTTGTCGATGCCAGTTAGTGCTAATTGTATGATCGATGTAAAATAATGTCAGGATGCCATTTTCGTCGGCAGGGGAGAGTATGGGACGTGGAAGTCTGGGGCTGAGACCCAAGAGCATGGTGGGATATGGAAAATCCCAGTGTTGTAAAGAGTAGTAGATAGTTGCTGTACGAATTCTATGCGATCGTCAAATAATGTTGAAGACAGCATAGCATAAAGGTCAAAATTAAAATTCAGGTTAAAATGTTTTAACCTTGGTTGATTCTCATTTTTTTTGGTCTCCTAGCCCTAATTATTCATGAATTAGGACCAGGAGAAAAAGGAAATTGAGAAACAACCGAGGTAAAAAAAATTTAACCTGAATATAATTTTGACCAGTAACAGACACATTGCAGGTCAAACTGTTCTCAGGTTAAACCAGTGCTCAGTCTTTAAGGTTTAGCTCTTTACTAGAGTTCTAACAACAACAACAACAACAACATTCTTGGTTGAACACTGGTTTAACCTAGGAGGTGGATTTTACCAACAAAACGTCCAAATATCCAGCTATTTTGAGGGGTTGCTTCAAAGTGGCTTCAACGTGTATTCTGACAATAGAGAGATTAAGATTCACGTTTACGTCAAACGGCAAATGTGAATTTGCACCACATGACGAAGTTTTCCCCTTAATTGTCACTTACTGTTTATTACTACTACACAGAAATAAGTAGTTTCAGGTCAGATTTATCCATGAGAATTGCTCTGGACAGTTTTTATTTGCTTATTTTCTATTCTGAGAAATTCTCAACTTGAATCTGACGTTTGCCGTTTTCCGTAAACATGAATCTTAATCTCTCTAATAAGTCAACTGGACTCTTACACCAGAACAGTCACTGTAACAACAGCCTGCATTTTTCAGGCTTTTTTCCCCGCAACTGTATGCGTTGCATATTTAACTGTAATGATCTTTTCTGCATTTATTCCTTCATCTCACAATATTATTCAAATACTTAAATTTCATATAGTCATTATTTCATCTTCCTTGGGTATATTACAAACCAATTTACAAATGTAATGACCAGCTCACACGTGGCTTGCTAGCTCAATTGGTTAGAGCCTTGCACTTGTATCACAGAAGTCGGGGTTCAACTCCTGGCAAGACTGAGTTTTTCAGGTTTTCTTTTCACAAATGTACAAGTTGCATATTTAACTCGGTTGATCTCCTGAGTTGCATTTATTTCTTTATTTCACAGTTCAAATATATGAAATTTATATAAATTATATCAATCATATCAGAACAGTCAGTGGTAAGCTATTATACCTCTTTGCTTCCAGTTTTTGGATTCAGTCTTGGAATAAGTATAATCTGAATTAAGAGGCTGTCTGCGCAAGAACCAATAAGACAATTTTTGGGCTATCACAGAAAAAAATATCCTATCCCATAAAGAAATATCACATTTACTTGGACCAATTTAATTTTTTCTCTATATTACAGGAATATTTTCTAGGTCACCTAAAACTAGCCAGTTTGCCATCGGAAGTGGTGCAATTTTGCTGAAACTTTAAGGCTCTGTCAAACCTGCCTTACAAAGCCGAACAAGCTAAATATTTTACACACAACTCTGATTAATAGTTTCAAGGTTTAATGGTTGCATTCTGTGAAAAGTTGGCTGAGACATGAATTTTTTTAAAATGACCTTTAATTTGCTCAGCAGGAAAAGTAATTTGCATAGCTGAAGAGTAATTGTGCAAAAGTGGCACCTGACCCAGACTCAAGTCTATGCTAAGATCAGTCTACTTCTTAATGTAATAAAAACTGTGGGCACTCTTCTTTGCATGCTGTACAAAGTTCTGTTAATGTTCCAAAATTCGCCATATCCACTGCAAAGCTGTAAGTCCACATCTGGCCTCGGTTGTTCAAAGGCTGGATAGCGCAATTGGTTTCCCTGACACTTATCCGCTGGATAGTGATTTATCCAGTGGATAGCGCTATTCAACGTTTGAACAACCGGGGCCAGATCTACTAATTTCCATACCTAGTCATCACCAAATGTCATTAGACCCTCGAAATGTTTGAATTTTGAAAACACATGGAGAAATCTTGGTAGTCGCTTTTTTGTTTTTTTTTCTTGTCTATGATGAACATGACTTAATTCTCCATATGCAAATTAACCTTAGGAGCATCGTTTCAACAAATGGACAGGAAATATAAATCCTTGCATTTCACATTTTCAAGGGAAAAATAACCCTCCTTTCCATGGAAAAACATGAACCATGGTTTAGAATTCCCTTAAGATCTGTTTCTTTAGAGGGAGAAGCAGCTGAAGAATATATGTTTACGTGGCCTTAAAATAACTTAATTACTGTGGCCTGTCATGCATTCCTAAAGAGTGGTGGTCGATTTAAAAACAATAGTGTTGGTGTATCAATCAATTCTATGATATTATCATCTTTTTTAAATGATTGTTATTGATAATAATAAAATAATGATTAACTGAAAAACTTCATTACCAATATGGAAAATTATTGATTAACACATCAAATAAATCAAGCAAGATGTTATGCAAGAATGCTAGGCCCAGGTACTGTTTCCGTGGAAAAAAGTACTATCATGTGCGTATTGACATGAGCAAATTATACCATTTCACTGAATTCATTAATCGCTTACATTTCTACCGAGAAGTTTCATATAGAACCAAACTTTTGAAGCTGGACAGTGGTGAAGCTATGGAAATGCCAAATGTCATGCGTACAGTTGCACACTTGACAATGATCAATCAATGTGCAGTTGTGCCACGTTGAAAAGTGTGAGCCCCTCAGCTGCAGTACGTTATTCAAGATTCTAGATGCATGGGAAGCCTCTCAGAGCAAGTCACTCCAAGGTCTCGACAATGCCGCTGCTAGTTGATCAGCAGCTTTCCACATGGTTGAAATGATCATTGATAGCCTAGAGAAGGCAAGATTGGAGAAAAATGGTGCACATATACGAAAAGAAAGCTTTAGGATGCTAAACGCTACTTGAAGACTGGTTATCATGATCATTGGAAGCCAGAGGAAGCCGCGTGTCCCAACCACTGCTACAAATTCGCCCTCAGTAACAAACAAGATCCCCATTTTCATGAAATCTGTTCTCTTCTACACTCAGAAACTTGCGGTTACTGTGAAAATCTGAAAAATGTTCATGATGAAGAAGAAGTTCAAATTAGAGGCTCTTCCTGGCACTGTGAGGACCAACATTTCTCTACGACTTCAAGCAGGTCTGCAAAAATATGTTTCACTGGAAAGCTCACAGCATCAGATCAGTGAATCAAGAAGCAGCAAAGCAAGATCAGTTGAAGATGATAGCTTACAACCCAGAATCAGCACTTCTTATAATGGATTGGGCGATGAAGTTTATACAACTCAGATATCGTGAGAAGCAGTCAGATTGGTATGGAAAGAGAGGCCTGAGCAGGCACATCTCTAGAGTCATTTGCAGTGATCCAGAAAAAGCAGGTACACTAGAATTACAGTCTTATGCTCACCTCTTTGTTGCTTGTCAGGAGGACCGATTTGCGGTCTGTTCAGTTGCTTAGCACATTCTACAAGAAATCAAGAGGCAGAAGCCACATGTTTCTAAGATCTATCTGCGGTCAGACGAAGCAGGCTGCTATCATAACAACTTCCTTATTGCTGCAGTAAAGGATTTTGGTCAGAGGATGGGTATAGACGTTTGCTGCTATGATTATTCAGAGCCACAATATGGCAAAGATGTATGTGACAGAATTTTATACCCAATGAAATTGTGCATTAGAAGATTCTGCGACGAAGGACACGATATTCTTACAGCGGCTGACAAGAAGAGGGCACTGTAGTCAGAAAGATCTGTGATAGGAACAATCGCCCGCATCTGCACTGTTGATGAGACCAAGAAGACATCAGAAGTGAAGAAGATGGAAGGCTTTAACAGGCTACACAATTTCCAGTTCGAGGAAAAAGGTGTACGTGTCTGGAGATCATAAGGGAAAGGTGGTGGCAAAGAGTTTCCTTTCGACCAGTTGTTTTCACAATCTCAAGAAAGCACTGCGCACCTTGTCATTAACAGGTTTTTTGATTGCAAAGATACACGGGTTAACAAATGTCAAGAGCCCCTGTCAGAGAGCTCAGATGATAATAGGCATAACCAGCTACATTTGTTTGAGTGCTCAGAACCCGGATGTGTCAAAAGTTTCCCAACCATTTCAGAGCTGGAGTCACATCTCAACGTCGGGGATCACATTATAAAACAAGAAAGGAAGGATTCCGAAATACTTTGCAACAAACTCTGGCCCGACTTGGTGGAAAGGTTCACCACAGCTGTTAACATAACTGAAGATATGCCAAGCACATCTAGAGTCTAAAGCACAAGTGATCAGCATGATCGATGGCCTTTAGACCCAGCTGTTTGTATGGGTTGGGCATTGGTTAAGCCTAGAGCTGGACCTTCCACGTTTACTGACACAGTGAAGAAATGTTTAACGGTGAAGTTTGACCTTGGTGAGCAGACGGGACATAAACCAGACCCTCTGCAGGTTTCTAACCATATGCACAAAGCCAAAGATGCACAAAACAATCGGCTGTTTACTAGAGAAGAATGGTTGACCAAAAGCCAGGTGCAAGGTTTCTTTCTTCCCTCGCAATGACAAAAAAAAAGACAAGGTTCTGCAGAAATTGAACTTGACCAAAGAGATCTGTTACAAGAAGACGAGGAGTTCGAAAGGCATAAGCTTGTTGCAGAAATCACTGAAGAATTGAGACAACAACACCCACTGATATGACGCTTTCAACTTACGTGTCTGTACTAAGATCAACTTACTTCAGTTCAACGTGGCAACCATTCAAATCCAGAGAAAGAAAAAGAGATGTAATTGACGAACTTTCGTCTTTCATATAAGAGTGAACGTGCTTTTCTCCATCAGCTCAGGAGTGAACATAGGGATCCTTAATTTAGTGTGATTAACAGCAGCAAAAACTCTTGGGATTTAACAGGTGACAGACTGTAAACATGCTTGCATACCATTCCTAACTTTTACTGAAATGTTGTTAATAAGCGATAAACATAATGCTCTGTTAATACCACCCTAAAGTTTGTAGGGTAGCCTAGTTAGCTAGGGATCTAGGAAATGTGTATGCTGCTAAAGGACTTTGCAGGTGTGGTCCTGTGGTGTCGAACAGTATTCCTGAAGTTGTTTGCGAGCTATTTTCCAAAGATTAATTGTTGGTTCTGCAATAAAAAATATTGTAGTAGTGCTCCTGAACAAGAGTGGCTGTGCCCGAGTGACTATTTATAGCTATTTGTAGTGTATTACACCATGGGCTGTCATAACCTTGTCCTGGTAGCAGTATCGGAGATAGACACAGTTAAAGTGGTCGTGGAAAGAATAAATCAACAGTGCACAGTATTTTCCACCCAGCAAAGAATCAAAATTAAAAGTGATAAAATTGTATGATTATCAATAACTATGACTTAAAAAAAGATCATAAGATAATAGAACTGATCGATACACGGCCACTCTGGAGGAATACGTGACACGCCACCGTAATTAATTTTTTTTTTAGCCATGCAAACATAACTTCTTCAGCTGCTTCTTCCTCTACAGGAACAGACCTTAAGGGAATTCTAAGTCATGGTTTGTGTTTTTCCGTGGAAAGGAGGGTTATTTTTCCCTTAAAAATGGGAGATGTAAGGATTATATTTCCTGTCAATTTGTTGAAACGACACACCCAAGGTTAATTTGCATACGGAGCAATATGTCATGTCCATTGTCGAGAAGGAAAAAAACAACAACAAAAGCGACTACCAAGTTTTCTCCATATGTTTTCAAAATTCCAACATTTACAGGGTCTAATGACATTTGGTGATAACTAGAAACATTATAGGCATGGAAATTAGTACATCATATGTAAACTGTTACAATTCCAGCTTTGCGGTGAATATGGCGAATTTTGGAACATTAACGGAACTTTGTACAGCACACAAAGAAGAGTGCCCACAATTTTACTGCATTAAGAAGTAGACTGGTCTTAGCACTTCTGTTTTAGCATAGACTTGAGTCTGGGCCAGGTGTCACTTTTGCACAATTACTCTGCCAAGCAAATTAAAGATCATATTAAAAAATTCATATCTCAGCCAACTTTCCACAGAATGCAATCATTAAACCTTGAAACTGTTAATCAGAGTTGGAACTTTTGTGTGTAAAATATTTAGCTTATTAGGCTTTGTAAGGCAGGTTTGACAGAGCCGTAAACTTTCAGCAAAATAGCACCACTTCCGACGGCAAACTGGCTTGTTTTAGGTGACCTCGAAAATATTCCTGTAATACAGAGAAAAAACTGAATTGGTTCAAATAAATGTGATATTTCTTGATTTTCATGGGATAGGATAGTTATCTTCCACTGAAAAAATCAGGGCAGTCTGTAATAGACAGAAATTTGCCTTCTCGGTTCTTACGCGGACAGCCTCTAAAATGCCCATTCACTTACCTAGCTAAGGTTATCAGACCAACATTATTCTCTGGATTTTGTCGAGTTTTTGAACGACAAACCATACTGACCGCATCTTGCTGTGCTTGTAATCTCGTGGGAAGGAAATCGCCATTTCTCATCCACTCACTATTATCAACACTGTAAAAGAAAGGAGATCATTAAAGAAAAATGTGACAAGACGTTACCATACTTACGAAGCTACAAAAAGGTGGAAAATTGTCAAAGAGTTTTACCAAACAACCGTCGATTCAAGGACCATTTTTAAGGAAAATTCAATAGATCTTTTTCTGAAGTTTCTTCAAGATTATGACTCAGTGTGTTTCTGCGCATGATCTTCCTGCGTTGCCGCTGAGCAAACGCAGACTCTTTTAGAAAAGTTGCTACTCATACTAATCAGCGGTTGTATTTTTTTGTTGATTATTTGTTTTCGAATTTTTGTTTGGCGTCTCGATGCAGAAATTTTCAAGTTCTAAGCTTTGAATGCCAGAAAAACGATATTCGTTATCATGGAGAAACTATTCGAGAAGATTGGAGACCATTTTAACAATCCGGAGATGTCTGACCGAATTTTAGTAGTGAAGATTAGAACAGATGGTTGGGAAAAATTGGAAGCCGCGCGCCGGGTAAAAAACATGACAAAAACCAGCTCGGACAACAACGAGGATTCAAGTTCACCAACAAACAACAAGTCTGGAGGAAACACAAATGTAAGACTAGAGGAAAAGCAACCGGTAACTTCAGATAAAGGCAGCGATGTGCCTAGTTCTTCCGTAGAGGAAGGCAACACGTTTGGGAACGTGGATAGTTCTAGAACCGTGAGTAGTTTAAGCTGCGACTCAGGAATTGGCTGTGAAACTTTGCCTTCCGAAGCAAAACGAACTGTCAAAAGTAAAAAGCGCGAGGATTCACTTACTGTGGTTGAAAACAGAGAATCTGTTGCGAGGGATAATTTGGATGCGGAGAAAACTAGTGATTCGAACGATGCATCGACCAGTAGCACAGTGTCCTCACCCGAACTAGACTTGGATATCGCTTACACCAAGTTGTTACTAACAGACATAGGCTACGCAAATAAAGCTGGTGCTATTGGCCTTACTGGTGCAAGTAATTCAAGCTTGACCTCCGGGGAGAACGAGGTTAACAAAACAGCCGCAGACAATGGTGTTTTAAAAGCAAGGGAAGAGGACTTGGTATTAGCTGATACCGTTATCCGTGAACATCAGCTTTGTGTCCACAGTTTCTGGTTGGCATTGAATAGCTCTTATTTCAGGAGCCTGTTTTTCAGCTCTGGAATGAAAGAAACCAAAGTGAAAAAGGTAGGAAGCAAGATTCTCAGGATTGGGGGTTACAGTGTACCTGTGTGAAGCACTGTATTTTAGGGCATCATCATCATCATCACAGCAAAGCTGTACCAAACAATTAATCAGAATCTTATTGAACAATTCCCACTGTGAGGCAGCCAATCACAGCCCTTTCCCAAGATCTTGGTAACTCAATACAGAAAATCCCCTTTCTACATGCAAGAAAGAAACAGGAGACTTCTACATGCATGCTAACGTTGAATGTGATACCCTGCTGGGAAGGGAGGTGCTAACCAGTGGGGGTGTGTTACCAAGACTTTCACACCTGGAGGTCCCTTGTTTAAGATGAAAGCTGCTAACCTGTTGAAGTCAAGTACTCCAAATAAAATGCTCTGTTTAAAAACATCTCTACTGTTTCTTTAACTCTTTTTCTACAGATCAATAATTGGTAATAATATTAACAAAATTGACGGATTTCCATGACACCTGTAAAGTGTTCCTTTTGAATCAGTCAATAACCAGTTGCACGGATTACACCACGCTTGTAGACCAATCACCACCAAGGTTCACACTCTGTTTTAGGCATCCAGTCGAGAATGATACCCTGTTCAGGATGATAAATAATGAAAATGTATTGGATGAAAAAATATTCCTTGTGTAAGACTTAAGACCCTAAAAACCATTCCCTGTTTGGCAGCATGTACCCCCTCCCTCCTAGGACACCCCAATACTAAAAACAGGCTAATTTTTAAGTACATATATCATATTCATTTTGGACCACTGGAATATTTTTTATTGGCCTCAGGTTTTGCAGCATTCCTACAAGCTCTCTTATGATTTTTACGCTTCATATTGTTTTTTAGTTGCTTGAATATTTCCCAGGAACTGAACAGTAGTAGGTTCCAATTGAGTTCTAATGTTGCCTGAACTTTATTTTTAACCACAGTGATCATAAAAGTAATAACTTAAAAGTATTTTGGCAATGGGTTTAATTCACCCATTTTGTCATTTCTGTCACCAGGTTGAAATGAACATAAGTGAGTCATTGTCAGCGATGTTCCTGTTGTTAATTGAGTCATTATATAAACCTGAGGTTGTGATGACAGAAAGTGTGGAGAATCTTCTCATCCTTATGAGGCTTGCACATGTTTATGATGCAGAAAGTACTCTTAAGACATGCCAAAAGTAAGTTGTACCCATGGAGATCATTGTTTAACACAACTACAGATTCTTTTATGCACCACTTCTTTCCTCTGACTCCTACATGTGCTTAACCAGATGCCCCTTCTACCTTTCCCCAGGGCTAGTGTCCCCAACCCCAATTTCCTTTCTCCCCTAGCCCTAATTACCGTAAAATTCCGAAAATAAGCCCTGGGGCTTATATTTTTCACAGGTCCTTTTGAGGGGCTTATATTCGGAGGGCTTATCTACGGAGGGAAATGTGCATTTCAAAATCGATTGGGCTAGCCTTATAGTTGAAGTAAATTTACCGTTTTTGCTTTGTTTTACTTTGTATTTGAGGGCAATTTTCCAAGTACAAGCCCTGGGGGGGCTTATATTAGTTTTGGAGGGGCAATTTAACGGAGGGTTTTTTGCGTTCCCGGTTTGGGGGGCTTATATTTGGATGGGCTTATACATGGAGGGGCTTATTTTCGGAATTTTACAGTATTTGAGGAATAGGGCTAGGAGACAAAAAAAATTGAAAATCAACCTAGGTTAAAAATTTTAACCGGAATTTAAATTTTACCTGTAACATATCTCCTCCCTATACTCCTCTTTCTCCTCTACCCTTCCCTTCTACTTTTCTCCCCTCCCCTCCTATCTTCTTTTTGTCCTCTTTCCGCCTCCCCTACTACACTCCTTTTTCCCTCTCACTTCTCCTTAGCCCCGTTTTGTCACAATTCCCTTTCCCTTTTTCCCTCCCCTCTTCTCCTTTCCAGTAATTTTCTTGCACATTCTTTCTCCCAGTTATCTCTTCGCATACGTTCCCTCTTTTCCCTCTCTCTTCCCTTCCTCACTTCCATCCCTCCTCTCTTGACCCCTCCTCCCCTGTTTTTAATTGTCTCCCCTCATTATTAGCCTGTGAGCTGGCTCACTTGTGTGACTTAGGGAAAAATTTAGCTGGCTCACAGTAGCAGCTTCCCCACAAAAATTACCCCAAACTTACAGAAGTGTGCCTGCTTGCAGGCTAAGTACTCCATTATTATCAAGCTCTCCTCTCTCCTCTCCTTTCGTCCCCTATCTGTCTTTTGCTGCATGCTCCCCACATTTCTTTTCTTATCCCTTCTGTACTCTAATTCTCTTAACCTCCATCTTCGTATTTCATTTTCCTTATTTCATCCCCTTCTCTGTTCTTTGTTTTCTCTTCTCTGTTTTAGGGATGCTTGTTTAAACACCATTCACGTTCCATACCTCTTTACCTTTTTAACATTCCTTTCTTCCCCTCCCTTCTTCTCATGTCTAGTGTCCTTTGATGTTCTTCCATCATCATTCATTTCTTTTTTGCCTTTTTTTTGCTTTTCCCTCCTATTTCTCTCCCCATCTCCAGGCTAGCTATTCATCAAACAGTATTTTCTTGTCAGACCTGCTTAGTACAGTATCTTTCTTTACCATAAAGATATGAATCATAAATTGTTACATGCAATTTGGAGCTCATAAACAGACCTCACCTTTAAATGTACTTTGACCTTGTCCCAGCGAGAGTTCCTCTAATTGAGTGATAACATGTATTTATCTGCAAGTAGCAATGTGAATGGTTTAATAATTGAAATTTAAACACTTTGAATTTCAGATTGCTTGGGTCTGCTGAACTTACAGTTGAGATTTGTGACAAATCACTGAACATGCAAGAACATGAAAGGTAGATTGTGAATTAATATTTAAAATGACTAATGTACATCACTGGCATGCAAGCATCACTTGTGTCCTCTGCTTTTCACCTCCTGCTTTTCACATGAAGTAAGGGAGGCATCTGAGTGCAGGCCACATAGTTTGCTGTTATTGTTGACTATCACCATTTTTACACCCTACATGTACACTGTTAAATTAATGAAGGATCTTCACGTTTGACAACAAGTTACTAGAGCCACTCCTCCTTCTTTTTCGTACTTTGTCTGAGACATGATGACACCAGTTGAAAAAGTTAGCCAAAAAGACAACCACAAGTAGGCACCCTTTTAAGGCTGCATTCATTGCATTCATTCTGTATACCACAGGGGGGAAGGGGTGCAGAGGATTTTTTGTGGGGGTCTTAAAGGTTTTTGACAGGAAAAGGGGAGATGGTTAAAATTCCTGATGGCAGGAAGGAAGGATGCCATTTTTTTTAGATTCTATGGAAAGGTTAAGTATTATTTTGTAACATTATTGATACACCACTACACAAGTGAGGTTCCTTATTTTCTATTTCAGTAAGGGACGTTTTTATTATTATTTTCCCTTGGTTACAAAAAACGTGGCCCCTCGGCTACTTTCATAGGAAAATAGAAGAAAAATAAAACCAAAAGATTTCTCTGATATGGGCTGTTAAGAACCAATCAGATTCAAGCATTTTGTTATTGACACAATTATTGCAGAAATCATTGTAATTGATACCCTTACTTTCGAGTTTATGCACCTAGACACAAGGGAGGGGCTGCTTTCGCGCTGTCAGCCTCGTTTCTGGCATCTCGTGGCCTCCAACTAAGGATGCGTGATACCGGCACTATGTCGTCTAAAATATACTCGAAGTCTGTCATTTCTGGGCCTTCCTAGGAATTGTTAAATTATATTGCCTCTTCAAGAACTTAACAGTATACCAGTGCACACTGTATTTGAAAATTATGTTTAATGTGTCTCCTTTTCAGACTTCCCGAGATGGCAGAGTTTATACGCCGCTGTGAAGAATTTCTTGTTGAAGAATTCAGTCCGTTAGATTCTCAGTGGTCAAACGAAGACTTTCTTTCCTTGAGCGCAAATGGCCTGCAAAAAGGTTTGTTCTTTTAAGGAATTATCCGCGACAGGAGCTCATTGACCGAGCAATCAAGTTCCGCGCCTCCGTTTCGCTACTTGCTAAAAATTGAAATAAACCACTTGTACATAGTCCTATTCTGCGAGCATAGGCCCTTCAATCTTGCTAGATAAGTCGACTTATCTAGGAAGATCGGAGGACCTTTGCTCGTAGGGTAACATTGTCCAATCCATTGGTTGAAACCTAACCTTCTTCCCTGCTTTCTCTTTTCCCGTCGCTCTTCCCAGAAAAAAAGGAACGCCTGATCGCAGGTTGCTGAAACCCCTTGGTATTTTTTAGATGCAGTTTTTTCCTAACGATGTCTTGTTTTATCTCATGCAGTCCTATCCAGTAACGATCTCTGCGTGTCGTCGGAAAACACCGTGTTTCTTGCATTGATGAAGTGGGCAGAAGTGAATGAAGTCTTTGATGAACAACTTGAGCCGCTGCTGGAACTGGTTCGGTTTAAATCCATGACAATCAACTACTTGCACGATGTAGTGACCAGTGATCATCCTATCGCATCTACAGTTGCAAGGTTTCCTCTGTTGTTCGAGGAAGCTGTGTTCTACCATGCATTTTCTAAGGTAACTGAAGAATTCATATACCATTATTCGGAAAGGTTATTCATCATATGGGTTTCCGTGCCGACTTTCGAGAAAAAAATAGACTGAAAAAGAGCCCGTATTTGTGCGTAGGTGAGGAATGCGCAATTTTGCGTCGCCGGTGCTTTGCGCCTTGCAAACCCGATTTTGAGATTTAAAAAAACAGACTGTTTTGCAGTCTGGCGAAAAAAAAAAGGTCCTCGAGCAAGATGTCACTAAAGGATCTGGGGCCTGTTTCTCGAAAAGCCCGAAAACTTCTCGGGCCCGAAGGCAAATCTTAATCAAAACCTGTTGAATCAGTAGCACAGTTCCTAACTCACAAACTGTTCAATTTTGCTTTTTTAACTGACAGTTTTATTGTATCATTTTCAAAACTTTTAAAATTTACAAGGTTGCTTCTCCTCTAATCAACTTTGGTAACACACTCCCGAAAGCCGTCAATAATCTTTGATAACATGTTTGTAGTTGCTGGCGCTTAAGGACAAAATATGTAAGCAGAGTAAGTAGCTTCTCTGACAGGGATGCTTACCTTTGGAGATTTTCTGCTTGTTCTTATTCCCGTTCGGTTGCAGATTTCTCTCAGTTATTACCACCCAAAAAATACCGTCGAATGTGATAAATTCTTCACTTGCTCTCATTCCGGATGGGCCAGATTGACCCAACAACAAGTGTCTTAAAGAATCGCTTTGTATTGTTAGTCACCAACATTTAGGAGATGTCAGCATTCATGAATATTTGCTTGTTTTTCCGTATTAACTGGCTACTTCCTTGTCACTGAAAATTAACAGGAAAGACAATGTGAAGAGGGGGAACCGATTGCGAGGAAAGCTTATGACGAGCCCGTTGTGTTTAACTGGACAGTGGACATCGGAGAAGACATTGAAGTGGAAAAGAAAAAGAAGATCATCAAATCTCCCCATTTCTGGGTCAGCGGATACGAAATGTAAGAAACGAATAATAAATGATAATTGCAGTCGAACCTGCCATCTCCTAAAATAATGCGAAGATTTAAGAGGTCGCTTACGAGAATCGAACAACAAGGTCTCTTCCAAGAAATGGTCCGCACACATCTATTTTTGGAAGGGAGTGTATTGCATGCAATTTTACGATGTGTGTGGTTTCGTGTTGTCACTAAAAGTTTTTTGCATATTCTGAGTAGCGTTGTGCATAAAACGGACTAACAGATCAGACCATTCTTCAAGCGGTTGCCTGAGAGATTGAAAACAGTGGAAAGTTCTATACCCTCCGAGCAGAGGTTTATCTCTTGCATGGCTTTTAGCGACTGACGAGGGACGTGAACGACTTCGTAAACGCTAAAAAGCCATGCAGGAGAGAAACCTCTGCTCGCAGGGTAAAAAAGTCTTAACACCATAACCTCAAAAAGTGGTCGCGGAGGATTACGAGAGGGGGTCGTTTATGAGAGGTTCCAACTGTAGAGATTATATTGGGAAACTTTTGGTCTTTATGGGAGGGGGTCGCTTACGTGGGGTGATCGCGCTTGTTCAAGATCGATCGATCGATCCTTCCAGTCCTAAGAATCAATAACATCAATTTTCTCCCAACAATATCATTACATCATCAATAAAAAGGTTATGAGAATACAAAAAATGATCACCAAAGGTAAAATGCTTTATCTTTTATCAAACTCGCTTTTGTGTGGTGATCTTTTATGTGGATATTGCGTGTTATTGTAAAATTACAACAGGGATCTATCATGTTTCGCAGGAAAATGTATCAAAACTAATAAGAAATCGCTTCGACTATCTCCCCGTTGGAAAGGACATAGCAAAGAACTTACTTGACGCCTTATATGTTAAATGTTTTGAGCTGTCCAGAAACCGTTTACAGATTATCGTGTCCTATACCAAAGCGTGCGAATTTTTAGTGAATTTGTTTCATCATAGTTAACTAAGGTTTAAATGTTAATATGAAATTTGCCTTTTTAGGTTCTTGGAGCTTAAGCTGAGGACTTCCGGTTGCCAAGGCCTTTACTTAACGATAAGCACCCGTGACTTCCGCCATAACAGCAAAGGATTTGTCAAGTTGGCTTACTCTCTGACTTCAAACTTCCCAAAGGCCACGCGAGTCATCAACGAAGCGGACGTGTTTGACCGCGAGGGATCTGGTTGGGGGTATGAGGAATTTTTTCCACTTAGCTGGTCAGAATTCAAAGATCAGTTGAAACGAACTCCTTTGATTATTACGTCACAAGTCAGCCTTCTGGAGTAGTAAAATTAAAACAAGCTCAATCGTGCTGTGTTTAACGTTTAAGTATTAATACTTCTATACAGAAAGTGGAGTTAAAACTATTTTTAACCAAGCGGACAGTGACGCCTAAGTCGATGACCTTGCCAGTATTTTATTTATTAATTAGGTAATGTATTTTTAAAGGTGGTCCTATTGATAAGCCTTATTAGCTTCCTTGGTCTTCCTTGCCTCATCGTTTTTCTTTATTTTATGTATATATTTAACTTATATGGGAAAATGATAATAACATAAAACAATAAGTGACGGCCGTTCCGAAGAAGACTGTACTTAAACTACCGGGGCATGTTAAAAGTCCTATGGTCTAATTTCCGGTGGCTTACATTTTCTCTGTATAAAAAGGCATGTGTATATGTTATAGCTAGCTTAAGTTATTATTTAAAAGAGGAAATTATTCCTGGGAAAATGCTCTTTTAAAAGAAAAGAAAACCAACTTGTTTGAAAGAGGTGGTGTCACGAAATTTATCAAAATTCTAACAGTGAGACCTGCCACCAATTTTATTCAAACATAAAAATATCTCCTCAAAAATTAACACAGCTGATATAAAACGACGCACAGATGGAAAAACTTGATGAAGATTGAAACGGATTGAAATTGTGGGTTTTGAGAACTTGTTCATTCTCGACCCCAGTACTTACGCCTGTGACCAATGTACAGTTGACTCTGCGCGCAAGCTCTGGGAAACACTGCGCCGGCGTAGCCAAGATCTGGCTATTTGGGCCTCACGCTCTTCTATCCAACCAAAACTCATTCCCTACCCCAGTGCTTACGCTTCTGACTGGCCGTCATGCGCAGAAAAGCTCTGGGGTAGAGATTGGAACTTGTTCGACTGACAGTTTTTCAAAAGCCATTTTTATTGTTTGTAACGTTTAATATGATTCCTGGGGACATTGTTTGATTATGTCATTCACAAGTCAAGCAATTTCTTAAGTTCTACATCGAACTAACATGAAAAACAAGATGAACCGTTTCCAGCCATGACGCAGTCCCTTATTTTGGAATGCTTTATATGGTTTGCATAGGAGAGAACTACAAACAGAAAAATGAAGTCTCTGGCTACGAAACGCTGTGGGAGGAGGAAGTTGTGATTGTAATTTTGAGGCAGAATAGGTATTGTAAAAATGTAAATAGAAATATAATAAAACAAGAAAATTGAAAAAGTAAAAGGAGAGAGAGGTAGATGAAGTCGTGAAAGTGTAGGAACAAACGATTCTGGCATAGACCCTGGGTGTGTGGGTGGGGCAGGGGGGCAGTGGTTTGATCAATGTCTTTGGATAGAGGCCTTAAACTGGGGCTCAGTGCACCGCTCATTCATGAAGGACTCAAAAGTAAACTTCCTAAAAATTATTTTGACTTTTTTATTTCGTTTCTTTTTATTATTTTTAACGGTGGTATTCACAAAAAATGAAACAGCTTTAAAAACTTATAAATAACTTCAAACGTTTCTTGTTCAAATTCTGACCTGGTTTCTTGTTTGATTGGGCGATAGTGGCATATCCTATTAAATATATAAAACATTTTCTTTGTAAAAATTACACACACACTTGGAAAAAAGACTAAAACAAGATCGAAGATCTAGATAAATCACGAGACTCCTCTCATCCAAGCCAAGAATTTGTAGCTAAATTGAAATATTTTTCCCTTCACAAAAACAGAGCCACTGAAAATCGCAACTTTAATCCTTATAAATATTCAAAGGAAGCAATAAATGTCAGTTCGTCTAGTACCATATTGGCCTGTACGAATACGCCCATTTGTTTGGAGACAAGAAGGGCTCTTGCGTGATGGCAAGGACGTGTAGAGGTGTCTTGTAAGGAACATCCGGTCGCTGAAACCATTTGGTCGTTGTTGTTTCTAACGGAGCTGATCCAGGCTTAGCGTCTGGGTGAACCCTAGGGAATCGTCTATACTGGCTGTTATCTGCCCCTAGGGGACCCTGATATGAGGCCATGTAGCACGATCGGGCGTCGTTAGGTAAATTCCATGTGATCAGGTTGTTAGAGTAGTGCTGACAACGGTCAGGAAACGTTCGTCGGCCAAGACCCTGAAAAAAATTTCATAAAGTACAGACATCAGGCATACTAAACAAACAACCAAATAAGATTTACTGAGATTTTCAATTAATTTGACGAGAAAATTTTTGAAAAAATTTCAGTTGCACCGTAAGCACCAAGCTGTGACACAAATTTTAACAAAATTCTATAACAGTAGTTGAAAAATAATCGCTCAAAAGAAAATGAATAAAAGAAGTTTTAAATAACACAGCAAAGACAAAAGTAGGCCCAGATGAACAAACTTGAAGATAATTAAAACGGATTGAAACTGTAGGTTTTTAAAAACTTGTCAGTTCAAGTCTAACCGTTTTTGAAAGTTCATTTTTGTTGTTAGTAACGTTGGTATAATTGGGAAGTATGTCTGTTGGGCAAGCAGCTGTGATGGTGTCGTTTGCAAGTAGTTTCTGATCTTCGTTTACGTTAAGTTTCATAGCTCATAAGGAAGCGTAGTAATATTAACAAAATGAACTGTACAACTGTGACGCAGCCATGTTAAGAACTCGTTTACAGATCGAGTGTTGGTTTTTGAGGAGAGGAGAAAGCCGGAGTACCTGGAGAAAAACCTCTCGGAGCAAGAGAGAGAAGCAAACATCAAACTCATACCACATATTTAGCCATCCTGAGCAAGCTATAGAACTGGTTGACGCTAGTTTAGCGAAACGTACCGCTGCGTATTTCACCTAGTACTCGGCTGTACTTACATTTCCAAAATACTCTCCTTGGTCTTGAAATGTGTGCCTATTGTCGTGGGTTGAAAACGAGAATCTCTTGAATGGAACCTGTGGAGTAAGGGAAAGTTCATTTAATATGACAAGGGGGGATGAAGATATTGAAACTCGAAGCTTGAAATTTTAGCAGCCCCCCTTCGCTAGCGGTTCAATTTTTTAGGAGCCCCCTCCTTGGTAGTCGAAAAAATTTCAGAGCCCCCCCCACCCCCCTCAATTCCTTTGCTCCCCTGAAAAAAGATCGCTAGACTGTATTAAATATATTTACCGTTATTGTCTTCAGTGGTTTATACTATGACAAACTTGAGATACAGTTGTGATACAATTTTCTAAAGCATTTTAAGGATGAACAAGAGTGTAATAATTACTGAGATTACGGGCGCTTTCCATTTAAGAAAAAAACCCGGAAATTTCGGTGGTAGCAAAAGTGGAATTTCCGATTGGTAAAAAGTTGTTCCATTTGGTCTAAGACCCCGGTACGTGGCGGTGCCCGACCGTGGACCTGGAACTGGTACAAATCTACGAGAAACGTAAATGGAACACGACATTCCGTTCGGAATTTCCAACCGGGAAAACGGGACCACCTTTTTAGATTTTCCACTTTTTCTGGGAATTTTCCAGTGCGACGAACCGACGAAACGTGTTCCATTTACCGCCGAACCGGAAATTCCGGAAATTTTGACTAAATGGAAAGCGCCCTACATTTGTTATATCTGTAAACCACGTGATATAGCTGAGTTGCACAGGTCATTAAATTGTTGAGCTGAAAACCATCCGATCTGTATGATGTCATGTGTTGGTTTTGAAGTATACAAATTTTCGGAGCCCCCCCCCCCTCCTAGCGCAACAATTTTTTCAGAGCTCCCCCTTCGGGTGTCTAAAAATTTTCAGAGCCCCCCCACAATATCTTCATCCCCAACCCCCTTGTCATATTAAATGAACTTTCTCTAAGAGGTATATTTTATCATTACATTCACCATTAAAGTATTTCTTTGTTTTGTCGCCGTGTTGTTTCCTCGTGAAAGCGAGTTTATAATTTTGTCGGAATTTGCAACGCCCGGGACTCCCACGAGGATGGCAACGTCATTCACTCATTCATGTCAGAATGGCAACACGGCGACATTCAGAAGTGACATAAAATATACCTCTTAGAGAAAGTTCATTGTGCGGACCTGTTCCAGGCCGAAATGGTGGTGGGAAGTCGCTAATATTCGGGGGCTGCGGATCCCTAGCTATATTCGGCTATCCCTAGAATCTTACCACCCCCGGTAATCTACGCGGCTATACAACTCTGAAGACACAGACCCTCACCTACTAGGTCGCACTACACAATTATGAATTCCAACAGATCTTGTAAGCTCTACCTCAGCCGTGGAAATATCTTATTCTTCTCCACACCGCTCCTGTCAACAACACGCCTAACCTCCAATTCTCCACTCCAGCAACCGCCCAACTATACATCGCGGGCTTAACCTCGACCGCTACAACACCTGCCCTATTTATCTGGATCTCCTATACATCTGTCGCCGCCCACTGTTTCAGAGCTACAACACTGACAACCGCTCCTCGCCCTCAACCGGCCTTTAACACTAACGTCTGGATCTAAACCCCTCTCTTACACAATAAACACTGCGACATTACATGGAAAATTGCCCACATTGTGGAAAAATTGAAATAATTGAACACCTTCTTCTTGACTGCCCTAATCTACGTTTTTTCTGGACCGCTATTGCTACATAGATCAATGAAATCAGTCAAAACCAAGCTCCAGTCACTCCCCATCCACAGCTCTTTGGCTATATAAGAGCCAAGAACGATCAGCTAAGTAGCTGCACTGTATCAGTACTAAACTGGGCCATGACGTTAGCTCGTTATGCAATTTACAAATCCGCTTCCGAATATCGCCTACGATATCACTAACCCTATGATTATTTTTAAATCCGCTGTTCAGGCGCACATCACATATCAATTCAAACTTGCCAAACTCCGGCACACCATGTACTACTTTCCCTTCCGACTGGTGCATAGGCGAGGCCTTTGCCAAATTCACTAAAGGAGTACTTGTCTTTACACTGTAACCTTCTAAGTCTGCGCAGGGGCACCCATTGGATTTGTTCCTCAAAATATTTGTTCTTCAGCCAATTTTTTGCTGGCTGGGAAATTTGGAAAAAATAATATGTCCTTGGAAGGAAATTATTGCTGGGAAATAGACAATCCAAGGTGTTTGAGGGGATTTGATGTCTAGAGTCTAGAAAAGCGGGTATGTGATAGAAACCTCTGCCCCCAATGAAGGGGGAAATTTTGCCCTTAAGCGACAACCAATTTCCTATCGACCCTCCTTCCCCCTACTGGAGGGCTGAATTTTGCCCTATGACCACACTCAAACCGGACATCCGTCTGCCCGTGAAACTTCCCAGTAAGTCAGGTTGCAGGTTGTAGGTGCACCTTGCTGGCTGGGAACTCTTCCAATAGTCTTGTTCGGAGTGAGGAACAGATAAATTTTTTCCAGCAATCTCCCAAAATGCTTAAAATGGCTTCAGAAAGCTTTATTCATGCTTTGTTGTTGTTTTAAGGTCTTTTTCTCAAAATTTTCTGTTGGGTGCCCCTCCTGTTTGCGAACCATAATATACCTCGAATTACTCTAAAGAACACTTTTAACGCTTTGAACGAATAGAACCTCATGTAAAAGAACACAGCTCTAGTATAATTTACCATATTTGTATATAATAAAGCTTATATTGAGCACTTTAGAAATTAAAAACAAAACAAAACAAAAATGGCCCGGCGCGTAGGAAGTCGTGAGTTCGATGCGGGCGAAACATGTTTTTGTTTTTCTCTCCTTTACTTTTTTTCTTTTCGTTTAGTTTTTTTAGTTATTGTAGGTTTGTTTTGTTCCTTTATATAGCAAAACGTTTTTTATAATTCATAAATTTTCTTCCCTACTGCCCTCAGTTTCCCTTCCTTCCAACTTGTTGCCGCTTCCCCCTAGTGCTCTGCGAGGTCCTGCTATTCACGTATTTCTGGTAAGTACGTGAACCGTATTTGAAGTAGGTTTCATTCTTCCTCTTAACTGGAAAACTGATTCGGACATTTCTACTTTTTAAGCTGGTTATTGTGTCAGTGCAGCCCTTCTTCTACCAGTTACTGTTTTTATATACCTCGTGTTTTGCTTCAAATCGCTTAGGTGGCGAAGCTACGTGTTTTTCTGACGGTTTCTTGTCATCAAGCCTCCTAGGCCAGCCACGTGTGCAAAACTGCAATGCAATAAAGTTAACAACAATTTCTAGAGTTTGCAGAAGGATAACATGCTCTACATAAAAAGTATGTCTGGGTAAGGCTGTTGCAAACTTGTGCGTTCGAGTTTTCCTAGTACGGCGTCTTCACAGGCCTTCCCGGTCAATGCATTTCGGTTACCTATCCGAGACCATCCGAGACGAGCGGATATGGCTCGTTCAGAACACGTGAACCAAAAAGCACTTGCCGCGGAGAAAAATTGGCAACTTTCGCATATGGGCTTTATGCCACGTTTACTATCTCTTAACGTAATGCCATGCCATGGCTGGAGCGTTTCGTGTCACCACGAGAATGACGGGGTGTAGCCGCAAGAGCCTTGGCCTGTTCCAGGCGTTCAGATCGTACGGACGACGCAAACAGATGTGAGCAGAAAAAATTGAACAGCGAGCATTTCACTTCCGAGCGCGAAAAATAGTTTAGCCTAGAAACTAGTCAACCTCTTTATATCAAGAAAGCTAGAGCCCTATTTGATCAGAGTGCTGAAAGGAGTAAGAGTAAAGAGAGTAAAACGCTGTTCACACGAAGCAGTGCGGTCCAATTTCCGCGCCGCGCGAAAATTCTCTGAGAGGGTTCAAATGCGATAGTGTTAAATTCCTTTGGCCTATCATTGAAGATTTACCAAAAAAAATTTTTTCGTTTCTGGAGTTTCTTTAAAAGCACCAAAGAATAGTTTTCCACCTACTCTTTTATGTTTTAACTCGTTTAATCCCTACCTCTTTTAGCCTGAGAAAACAGCCGACATTTGGCGACGTTACCACTGGTTTCCTTGCGGGGAAAACCAGTGTTAGCGTCGCCAAATGTGGGCTGTTTTCTCAGGCTATATCTCTTTAGTAAAATCCAACTAGTGGTCTATTATCAATGCTGCTTTCTGATCGGTTGAGCTACTACTAGGCTATATGTTATAACCATTAGTAGCGAAAAGCGCCGGCTTTGTAAACCAAAACAATGACAACTGAATCGCGTTTTGCTAACTAAAGTTGTTTTGTCTCGATATTTTTGACCAACTAGTTGGATTTTACTCATAGCCTCTGAGTCAATAGCCCATGAGGCCTTCAGCCTCATGGGCTATTTTCTCAGAGCCCATTCGGGCTCGAGGAATAATTGTTAATTATTTTCTGGCTAGGAGAGTCTCTAAAAATGGAATCAACGGAAATATAGTGTCATCTAGCATGTCAGTTCAAAGGAGCGGTTTAGTTTTAAAATGAACTAACGTCACTATAGTTGAGCCAGTCAGTAACTCATAAGCGGTATACTGACCCATTGATTCAGTTACTTGAAATTCGTCAGACTTCATTTTAGGAATTCCTTTGCAACGTTTTAGGTTTAAAGACATCAATTTTGTCCATACCAAACCATATCTAGTAAAACCGACGGCCGATTTTTCGAGACAGGGTACTCTGTTATTGAAGTTCCAGACATCCATTCTTTGTAAACGAAAGCAGTCATCCCGCATTTTTCTTAGTTAAATTCTGGGTGTCGAGTGAATCTCTTTTTTCCCCCGTGGCCAAAGTTAAGAAAGAAGAAAATAAATAAATATGTTCATTTAAACCTAACTCTTTGCCATTTTTTGTACTGGAGACTTGAACATATGCTTTTAGTTTGTTTAAGCTGTTTTTGTTAGTTTAAGACAAAACATCTGCCCTATTGTACGCATTGTGTTCCCTGCATTTTTAAAAAACAAAAACTTTTGGCTGACTTTTGTTTCAATAATTTGACGGCTGAACAGGATTTTGTTTTCGTAATTAAACTTTGAATTAGTATGCAAATCGTTACTTGGACTGATTCAAGAAAAACTATAATGCTTTAAGAAACATATGTTTTTCCAACCTATGCAGAAAAGTCACTTCTCCCGCTGATTATCACTGTAAGAAGTTGGCAAACATCGACCATGTTAATTCACGTTTAGGGTATCACACAGAAGAGTCTCACAAAGGCTTCTTCGCCGGTTTCACAAAATAAATGCGCCAAAATATTTTGCTCAGCATTACTTCTTAAATCTTTCTTCACACTGATCCAGAGCTCATAGCCACTTGCTAAAAAAGTAACTTGTCCTTATCTATCAAAGTGAGTCAAGCTATATTTTCTAACTTAAAAGTCATTCATCTGATGAACCATGCCCGGCGGCTGTGTGATGCGATGTTCATTTTAAGTCTTCAGCAATAAACTTACCCAGGTTCCTTCTTTTTCCTTCGATGGAACAAATTTTCGCCCCTTTGCCATTTTGCCTAGTGTTCACTGAAGTCGTTTTGTGGCTTTACTATGGCTTACATCTCTAAAGGCAGTCGTAATTGAATTGCATCTCAAGACGGGGTTTGTTTTGTGAAGGTGTATAATTCCACGGTTGTTAAGACGCCTTGGTAACTAAGACTGCTGACTACTTACGATTGCTGTCTCATCTAATTCATCAAATATGGCGGACGAGAGAAGAGCGAAGTGGTCTGCGTGTTAAAATATATGAAGCGATTTTCAGTTTTATCTATGGACGGCATAGGAGTAGCTCTACGGAGTGTTATTTCTCGAGTCAAAGATGCAACGGCTAAACGGCCAAGTGTAAGTCAGAGCGTCGACAAAAAACATTGTTTGATTTAATCTGAAGGTTTTATGTTACGTTTTCTCTAATTTACTGTGGCATCCTTTTTTACAGTAGTAAGCTTACTTACGTTAGGACGTAAAGTTTACATTAATTGCATGAGCAATCTACAGTTTTCGAGATAGTCAACAACCTGTAATTGACAGTCTTTTAAGTCTGATGTTATTTGATTTGAGCTTTGGAAGCTCAAATCAAATAACATGTGATGACCTAGTCCATTACGTAACGGACTGAAAACCCTCTACAGAAAGATATACTATTTTGTCATTGGTATTTGTTGCATGCTAGTGGATTCAAAAAACACCTGCACTGGTTCCTTATGCACATGGCATTGGCTTTAATTTTCCCAAGGGTAGGACCCTGCCCTCCAATTTCCAGACTAATTGGATGACATCAACTGTCAATACGTGACCAATCACAAGTAGAGAGCACTTGTCAGCATGGTCAAACTTAATTTCTTTGTTTACAGGAAACTGTCAAGTCGAGAAGCTTATTTCAGGGTTTACGTCAGTGTAAAAAGCTGTGAATTCTTTCTTTGTTTTCTAGCTATTATTTTTCCCGGCTCTATTGTGTTGACTTCTCAGTGGCTTCTTTGTATTCATTGTTTTATGTCACTCATGAGTTTCACAGGTTTTTACACCGAGGATGAGCCCTTTTTTCAAATGATATCATGGGTGGGTGTAGTGTTTTAGGACACCAGAAAACACTAAGTCAATCACAGAGTCGGACATACATGGTTCACATGGGCCTTGAAAAGTCCTTGAAAAAGCGTTATGTCCTTGAAAAGTCCTTGAAAATTGAAAAATAATATTGTGGGATGTCCTTGAAAAGTCCTTGAATTTTCCACAGAAGTCCTTGAATATTTTTGAAAGCTCCTTGAATAAAAATAACCTTCATTTTAAAAAAATGTTTTGCGCAAAGGAATGATTGAAAACACAACAATACACAAAATTTTTTTCGGTGATCATGAAAGTGTTTTCTTTATATGACTTTGGTGTTCCTGGCACAGTTCATTTTCCATTATTTGAAGAACCCTAGGAACTGTGAAGAAAGGTATTGCAATAAGCAAACCCCCCTCCCTCCACCTACGCATTTTAAAGGTCTTTACTTCATGTTATTGGGGAAAAAAATTCCTTGAAAAATGATTTTAGTTCTTGAAAATTCCTTGTCTTTTTCCCAAAAAATACTGTATGAACCACGGACACAAAGTCAACATGCTTTCTTCACTCCATCTTCTCCGCTTAACTTACAATTCCTGATGCTAGTACCCAGTACACCACAATCCCTCCTTTTCTTCAGGAACAAGCTTAAATGACTGGCAAAAGAAAAACAGCTAATGAAATAATGAAATCTTAGACTAAACACTTGCATAGCTAAATGAAACAAAGTTCACTGTCCATAAGAACAAAGGAAGAATCTGTCATCTTATGATAAAGTTACTAATCTGAGTGAGTTCCATTAAAGTTTATTCAAGTACATAATCTTCCAGAGCTCTAGGGGGACGACTAACCCTCCCAGAGTGGCGTCTGGGTGGTGGTGGGCACACTTTCCATAGTCTCTGACGGTTCCTGTGGGTTGGGAGCCACGTGATCTGGACTTGAAAGTTGATCAGGCTGGTCTGGGTTGTCTCCTGTACTGTAGTCACTCTCTGGAATTTCTAATGGCTTAAGATGCTGCAAGTTTCTTTTAACTTCCACTCCCTGAGGGGACTGCATAATGACCTGGTCACTGTGATGACGGGTAACTATAATACTTGCTTTCATATGACGCAGACAACTTATTCTTTTTCCTTTTTTCAAGCAGAACTGCATCTCCTCTGCCCACGGATCTGTCTTTCGCCTGGTACATGTATCTTCTATCAGCATAATCTTCGGCTAGCTGTTTCTTTTCTGAATCTCTGTCTCCAACGTGTTGAAAAACCACCTTCCCCTGCTGCTCTTCATCTGTGTCTTTAAGCTCGGGTAACCTAGTTGTCAGCTTTCTCTTGAAAAACAGCTCTGCTGGGCCGACTCCAGTAGTGGAGTGGTTAGTTCACTGATATGCTAGGGAAAACTTGTTGAGCTCAGCCTGCCAATGTTTGCCTTCCACTTGGGAAACTCACATCGCCTTTGGGAGTGACCAGTCTTCACGCTCAACCTTGCCATTGGCCCTGAGCCACAAAGGTGTGGTGTGGTGGTACACCACACCCATTTTCTCTAGGCAATTCTGCATTTCCTTAGACACAAGATTAGGACAATATTATCTGTCCCTTAGAACATCAGGTACACCAAATCGAGGAAAATGGTTGTCTAGGCACTTGATAATAGTGGCACTCGTTGTACTACGAATAACATCCACTTCCGTCCATCTGGAGAAGTAGTGTACCACTGCCAACAAATACTCTCCCCCAGGCAGTGGTTGTAGCAAGTCCAGGGCTATCTCTTGCCATGCTCTGTCAGGTAACCTCGTGGGCTTAATTGGTGGGGGTGGGACATGTTTGTTGACTAACTGACAGTCAAAACAGTCTCTGCATTGCTTCTCTGCATGTCGATTGATCCCAGGCCACCATACTTTGGACCTTAAGTGCTCTCATCTTCACAATGCCCTGATGCCCCTCATGGGCTAGATCAAGAACTCTCTTCTGAAGTTTTTCTGGGATTACAATTCTTATTCCTCGTAACACTACCTGGCCAAGGTAAGTTAGTTCATTGCATACCACTGCAAAATCCTTAGGCATTTTGCTCCGGTCAACACTCTGCAAACACGCACTTCCTCAATTCTCAAGGCCACTGGTACCGCTTATAGAGTGACTTCCCATACATATTCTTCGTCTTGAATGTACCACTGTGATGCTGGGATTTTTGTTGAACGCGATGGTGCATCAGCAATGTTGTTTTTTGATGAGACAAAACACACTCTGTAGTTATAAGGCTGTAATCGCAATACCCATCGTTTAATACGGGCTGATGGCTTTGATCTTGGGCCAAATATGGTCTTCAGGCCTTGGTGGTCAGTCACTAGGTCAAACTCAGGGAAGCCATTCAGATATAAATTAAACCTTTCATATGCCCATACCAGAGCTATAGCTTCTTTTTCAGTTTGACTCTACCTCCGCTTTACATCACTAATACTCCTGCATAGCACACAGTACGGCTCTACCCATTCACCTCCTGAACTAAAAACGCCGCTAAGTCCTACCGGGCTGGCATCCGCAATAACCCTTGTGTGTGCGGTCTTGTTGAAATAGGCCAGGATAGACTCTTCTGCTAGTTGCTCTTTCAGTTTTTGGAAAGCTTTCTCCTGTACATTGGTCCACTCAAACTTGACTCCATTCCTGGTAAGTGCTCTTAGGGGCTATGCGGTAGAGGCAAAGTCTGGAATAAACTTGGAGCTGAATCCAACCAACCCAAGAATTAGAAAGCTCCTCACTTCTGAAGGTGTAGTTGGACGACTGACCTCCTTCACGGTCCAACACCATGCTTAGAAAGGAGAATTCCCATAAAGACTATTATTTTTATTCATTCTGAAGGTACACTTCTCACTTTTGAAAGTCAGATTTTTCTCTTTCAACTTGGCCAATAACTTGTGCAATCTCTGGTTGTGCTCTTAGACTAAGACAGATTTCCCATGGCATATTAAATCATCTGTGACATTAACAACTCCCTCTGTCCTTGCTATTGCTTGGCTGATAACATGCTGGTGTTTCTCGGGTGCAGCATTCACCCCAAAACTGAGCCTTTTGTACTTGAAGAGGCCTTCATGGGTGATAAAAGTAGTAATGTCGCTCAAATCTGCATGTAACTCTGTCTGGTAAAATCCTCAGTGAAGGTCCAGCTTTGAAAACAGCTAAGTGTACTACCATTTAACTCTTCCAAGACCTCATCAACAGTGGGGATAGGCAGCCTTTCACGAACGATAGCTCCGTTAGTGCAACGCAAGTTGTTGCAAAATCTTATTTCTCTGGAAGGCTTGGTGCTATAACAACGGGACTCGCCCACGTAGTAGGGCCTTCTACTCGATCGATGATATCCTCTCTCAGCAACTCATCTATTTTGGCAGAAACTTTTTCACGAAGTGCAAACGGGACTCCTTAACTTTTGCACCACTGGAGGTATATTTGGGTCAACATGCAAATGCAACTTAAAATCTTTCAGCTTTCCTACTCCTTGAAACACTTTAGGATACTTCATCTTAAGCTCACTTGCCAAACAGTATTGCAACCTACACCCCTGGGGCCACATTAGGTCCTACATGAAGAACACCCAGTTCTCTTACAGTTTCATTTCCCAGAATGTAATGTCTGTGCTTGCTGATAACAAAATCAGGAGATACCTTCACATTCCCAGCACACACTACAGCTCTAAACTGACCAATCACATCAATTTGCTTTCTCCATAAGCAAACAGTTTCTTTGAGCAATGTTCAACCTTTCCCTTTAAACTTAATCCCTTCAATTTAAAGAAATCCTCCTCCCCCCTCAAATTACTCACTGACCCTGAATCCGTTAACATTTCCTGAACAAAACCATCGATACTCACATTCATCATAGACTTGCTTAAAATCGACACCATACACACCTCCTCGAGTGCTTCCTCCATTACAGCAAGTGCAAATGCTGGATTCCTTTACTCGCAACTGACATGCTCGTCTTCCTCAGAGTAACCTCCCACTTGGTTTGTTTGTCTTCCAGCTCCTTTTTTGCCATTGCTAGCTTTTCTCTGTTGGCTGTCTTTACCACTTTCTAACGAAGAACGATTTCCTTTGCAACAAGAAGAAAAATGTCCTTGTTTTTAACACTCTGCAGCAAACTTTCTTCCTTTTGCTGGACAGCACGAATCCTGAGTGAAATATCCCTTCTTCCCAAAACTGAAACATGTTTTTCCTGACTGGTCCCCAGCCTTTTCTTCTCTCTTTCCGATGGCATTAACACTCGTTCCAGCCATCATGCACTGCATTTGTTGTTTGGCTGCTTCGAAAGCTCTTGCTTTTTCGAGAACCGCATCCAAAGTGATGTTTCTTGTTTCCAACAATTTCTTTTTCAGCTCCATATCAGTTAACTTGTCGATTAAAATTACAGTTTCTTGCCTGTTGGTGAAGATACACTAGGTATTCGTCCACTGGCTCCCATTCATTTGGCACCGTTTGCCCAAATATGTGTCGCTCGAACGGTATGTTTTCTTCAGCATGAAAATGGTGATTCAATTTGTTCCTAATGCACGCAGTGTACGGATCCTGATTATCTTTCTGGGTCAGGGTTTGCAATATCCTCGAAAATATCCTGAACTTCCATTCCCCTTATGCAAACCTTTTCCTTCGGCGTAATACGCGAATGCCCGTTTCCATTTTTGCCATTGATCCTGATAGACCAAACAGGGGCAAGGCTCTCTCTGACATTTTATCCTGTATTCATCGCCAATGTAGTGTTTTAGGACACCAGAGGACACTAAGTCAATCATACAGTCGGACACAAAGTCAACATGCTTTCTTTACTCCATCTTCACCAATTAACTTACAATTCCCGAAGCTAGTACCCAGTACACCACAGTGGGGGAATTTAGCAAGGCAAATTACCTTGGGTGAAGTGCTTGTCAGTGGAAAATTAACCTGATATCCGTCTCATACAACTGGGATTTGTTGTGCACAACTGTTAACAAAGACCACAAGTACTGACCACTGAAAAGCACTCCCATGCTCTGATCCCGCCAGCTATGCTGGCTATGATAGCTGGGGATAAAATTTTACTCATTCCTTTTAGGCTTAGAGAATCAATGTATTATCTATATTCAAAAAATCAGTGTAGTCATGGTACAATAAAAGAACACCTGAAAACAGTTTAACGGATTGATGCATGAGGGGGGAGACTGATTTGTCTGGATTATATAACCTGTAATAATCTACCTCACAGTGCTTTATAAAATTAATTATTATTCATTCAAAATATTTCCCCAATTCTGATTGGCGAAAAGCACACGTTTAATTCACCATAACCAGTTACTGATGACCAAATTTGGAAGAATTTTGTGTTTAACGAGGAAATGATGTCAAAAATGCAGCGTTCAGCCTTAACCAAGAAGACCTGGGGACGAGGTTGAGTTGTTTTGGTTGTGGGAACAAAAATGGCGGTCATTTCACTCATTTCAAGAGTAAGAACTAGGTGAAAAAAATAGCTAGAAACATGGCAAGAACAGCAAGAAGACAACTCGAAGGGCGACTTCTGCTATTTGGAGAATATTTGCGGAGCTGGACAAACGTAAACGTGCACTATTGAAGATGAACTTAACATCGATGGAGGTAAGCATGTTTTAGCCATGTTTTTAAACTAGGAATTATTTTGAATGAATAGTAAAACAATTATTGAATTCGGCTTTCGTATCATGAAGAATTATGGAGATCTCAGAGGGTGTCATCCTCCTCGGCATATGGCCTCGACGGATAACACCCGTCCTCGATCTCCATAATTCTTCATAAGATACTCAGCCTCATTCATTAATTGTTAACTATGTTGATGATTTATTGTCATTTATCATAAATTTCATCGTAACAAATTAAAAAATATCCTAGTGAAAATTTACTTACAAATTTCCTAGCTTTAAAAAAATGGTACCAGGTTTAAGATCAAATCTACCTGTCGTGTGGAAAAAAATTACACACAACATTGACATTACCTGCTTTGATTAAATTTAAGGAGCTTCCTAAAACTGTTCCTCGTCTTGTTGCTGTCAGCAAACTAAAGCCTTTAGAGTGTATTGTGGAAGCTTACCAGCATGGTCAACGACATTTTGGAGAAAACTATGTAAGTGGAGGACAATAAATTATTCTAGAACCAATGAGAAAGCCTGTCGTATATTTCCAGTGTTTATGTTTCATAGCAAGATGGCCAATGAGAGGTTTTTAAAAAAAGACTCTGCTTATAGTTATGGAACATTGTAATTAACCAGCTATAAAATTATGAACATCTTATTCATGTAATAATGAAACTGTCTTATTCCTACAAGTTGCATTTTATATTTCCAGGTTCAAGAACTAGTAGAAAAATCTAATGACCAAAAGGTAGGCTTAAAATTTCATGACCTTATTCTTGTCTTGAATTCCCATCTAGATGTGAAACTATATTTCTGTAATTTGTAGCCAGTGATGTAATCCTCTCTCATTTTCTTATCAGTTGTCTGTTCTCTAGTTCATCATTAAACATGACACTCATGGGAGACCCGGGAGTCTAGGGACAATTGTATGTGCATGGTAGCAGTTGTAGCCATTTTCTATTAATAATGTAATCATCCCCTCACATACAATATAAATATCACCAATTTTCAGTGGGAGTATAAGGCTCATACTGAGCTTTCTTGTCCTTCGTGATTACTTCATTATTGAACTGATCTTAATAGATTAATCCTCATGAAATATTGTGGTATTATCTTTTTTTTAGGTGCAGGAGCTTCCAGACATAAGATGGCACTTTATTGGTCACCTTCAGAGTAACAAGTGTAATAATCTTGTAGGTAAGGTACAAATAATATGAGTGAGTAGACTACATTTGACAAGCAGTTCCTTACGCAAGTGAGTAAAACAAGTGATTAAACAGACAAAAGGGAAAATGACGACCCAAGGGAAATCTGTGGTTTCCTTCTAGGCTCGTTTGCTTGAGATTCGACGCGATAAGATTGCCTGAAAGCTTTATTAGATCAATATGCCAATAACTTGGTGTACATGTCCGCTGTGCTTTCAATGACCTAAGCAACCGAGCCTTACATTGTCCCAGAGTTTCTAGCGTGTATACTCAGGGTTGTCAAAAGTAGCCGGCTCCCGGAGATAATCGCCGCCTACTTGGTTAGTATTGGCCGGCTACTCTGCTTGGCATTTCTTTATGGATGGCATTTTTTAAATAAAATTTCCCTGGACTGGCTGCTTACTTTGACAACTCAGCTGTCTTCTTCAAAAATTTATGACAACCCTGATACTAAAAGTGGCCCGTATAAGCCGCCTGTGATACTACATTCCCCCCATGCAGTAGAGTAAAAGCCTAGAGAAACATGGCTGGTTTTTGGTCCTTATAAGGTACAGAAAGTAAGGTAAGTAAATAACAATGCAAATTCATGTCCAACTGACTAATGACTGTTTGTTCACTGGATCCTGTCTGGTAACACATGGTTGGGATATTTGCTCTTGAGATATTCATCCACGCTCCGAAGAGGTTTAGAGCTCCAACCAGTGGCGTCCAGTGGCAGAGCTGGCTGAGGTGCCACCTCTATGTACTCTGTGGGTGGCTCCATTCTTTCCAGAGGATCTGAGGGCCCCACCTTGGGTAACCGCGCTTTCTCAGGACGTTCTTGCAGCCTTGGTAGCTCCCTTGCCTTGGGCTCCGCACTGGGCTTGTGACAAGAATCTGGCCCTAGCTACTGGCAACCTTGTGCGCAACTTGCAGCCAGGGAACATCAGTTCTGCTGGGGCTAGCTTGGTGGTCCCCGGTGGCGTTACTCGATAGCAGTGTAAAGATTGGTGCACTTCTTACCTGAAGATCTGTCCATTTAGTTGTCATATACGGTATAGCTTCCTAAGCACCCACATAAACTGCTCTGCTTCAGCATTGGCCTGAGGGTGCTTGGGTGTCTTGCGCTCATGCTTGAAGCCCAGGTACTTAATGAAGTTCATGAAGTCATGTCCATTGAATGGAGGTCCATTGTCACTGCCACAAACAGAGGTATTCCCAGCAATGAGAATATGCGGTCAAGCTTTGGTATTATTGCTTGGTACTTACAAACTCTACTTCAACCCACAGTGAGTGTTTGCATATGACAAGGAGAAGGTATTCACCTCTGCTGATGGGTCCCCAGAAGTCTGTGGCCACTTCCTTACAGGGTTCACTCGGCAATGGTGACATCTGCAGTGGCTCGTGCTCATTTGCTGGCGTCACTACCTGACATGGGTGGCAGTGCTGAATGTGGGCTTCCACCATCCAGTCCAAACCTGGAAACCAGACCCTAGTCCTGAGATATTCCTTTGTTTTTGTAATCCCCTGATGTCCCTCATAAGCGAGCCGCACTACTTTGTCGTGAAGTGACTTGGGCAACACTATGCAAGACCCTCACACAACCAATCCTCCTACTACCGCTAGCTCTGTAAAGACTGGGTCAAACAGGGGCCCAAGGGCTTGCCGTTCTAGTGCAGTGAAGTACTCCCTCACTATCGCACCCTTAAGCTCTTTGAGCTCCGCGTCTCTAGCAGCTCATCCCATGATACTGCATCTGGCAGTGTAGCTTGCACCACTGCCCTGATGTCCTTCTCAAACAATTCTTCTTCTTCACGAACAGTGAACTCTGTCTGTTGTACTGCCCTGGAATCAAACGTTGTAAGTGGTTCGGGGTGCCTGGAGTTGCAATCTGCTTCATTAGTCTCCGCCTTTGCTTTCTTTCCAGGTACATAATTGAGCTTGTAATCAAATCCCTGCAGGTGAACTCTCATTCATTCAATTCTAAGTGGCCTGGTGACTTTGTGTCTAGCAAACAGATGCAGTAGGGGTTTGTGGTCAGTGTCTACCCCAAACGTATCTCTGAGCCCATATAAGTACATCTGGTTTGCGAGCATGCCCATTCAACAGCTTTTGCTTCCTTCTCAAGCTGCGAGTATCTGGTCTCGGTATCCGAGACCGAGAAGTTATGGGTCTCCACCGCCTGGCATGGGGTTCATACTGCTTCAGTGTAACTGCTAAACCATGGGGTCCCGCATCTGTCCTGAGTGTGGTCTCTCAATGTGGATCAAATTACGCCATTACCGTGTCCCCTGACAGCGGCGGTTTGGTTTGCTCAAACGCTCTCTGGCACTAAGGTGTCCACTGAATAGGTGCCCCCTGTTTGATGAGGTCTCTTAGTGGTGCAGTGATCTGCGCAAAACCCTCCATGAGGTCCGCGTTAGCTCCTGCAAAGAAAAGGAACGATTGCACCTCTGCTTGAGATTAGGGCGGGCCTGCTTCCTGCAATGCTGCCACCTTGTTATGGTCTGGCGAGATTCCTTCACTGGAGAATACTTTGCCAAAGAATGTCATCGATCGTTGGTTAAACTGACTCTTCTTTATGTTAAGGGTCAGTGCGTGGCTCCGCCATCGTTGCAGGATATGCCTCAATCCCTGGTCATGTTCCTCCTATGTGGCACCAAAGACCAAGAGGTCACTGTAGATGCTGATGGCATTAGGTTCGAAGGATACGACTTTGCGGACCTCCTCATTGAATATCTCCCCTGTACTGTTCACTCCAAAGTGCAGCCTCTTGAAACGCTTGAGTCCGCGATGTGTGTAAAACGTTGTCAGCTTTCTGCTCTCTTCTGCTAACTCTAGCTGCATGTAACCATTGTTCATATCCAGGTGTGAAAAGAACTTGGCTCCATTCAGCCAGGTTTCCAGTTTCCTTTGGGTGGGTATGGTGTGCCTTGTCCTCTTGATATACTTGTTAACGTCCTTTGTGTCGAGACTGGCCCTAACACTTTCACCGTCGTTCTTAGGAGTGAGGACCACATTACTGCACCAATCTTTCGGTCCGTCTCCTACATCCGCTATGATGTCTAGAGTGTGCCATCTGTCCAAGATTTGATCAAACTTCTCTTTCAGGGGTATGGATACTCTTCTTTGTTTCAGAATAGCGCCTGGGTCCATGGGTACTACATGCATCGAACGGTACCTCAGTGGGCCAGTCGATGTTTAAGAACTTGTATAACTCTAAAGTATTGTTTCGGTGTACCTCAAAATGGTTGTTTAGCTCTTGAATATGCGACTCGTAATTCGTAGGCTGCTCCGGTATCGTTTCGATTACTTTCTGGAGTTCGTCCCCGCCCACTATCTGGAACAGATCAATCTTATCCGTGTCACTTACCACCATCCATCGCATTGACCCCTCAAATCGATCTCCCCACAGCTTCCACGCTTTCTCGCATTGACCCGGCTCCCCTTTCAGACAAATGGCGCCCACGCTCGCCTTAACTCTTGCCAGGACTCCCGCTTTACCTCTGTGTGTATTGTTTTCTTCTTGTGTGCCTTCATTTGGCATTGTGTCCCGTCCTCGTCGCCAATTTAATAGATCAATATGTCAATATATTGGTGTACATGTCCGCCATGCTTTCAATGACCTAAGCAATCGAGCCTTACATTGAGTCAGAGTTCCTAGCGTGTATACTAAGTGGCCGTATGAGCTGCCTGCGATACTACAAAAGCCACTGCTTGTTCTTAAATTACAATAATCACAGCGGATCCTGCTCCTCTCAGAGTTATGAGCTCCCATAAATTTTATTATTATTCATTCAAAATATTTTGCGTTTCTGATTGGTTAAAACCACACGCATAATTCACCATAACCAGCTGCTGTTGACCAAATTTGGAAAGAATGTTGTCATATTGAAGTGAAGTCAGCCTTGCGCCTCGGTGGATAACACCCCCCTCGAGCTGCAGATTCTTCATATCCTACTCAGCCTCATTCAATAATTGCTAATTATTATTATGTTAAAACTAACTTGCTTTGCAGCTGGTTTATTTAACGAACAGTAGTACCGTGAAGCGTGAAATTTTTGCGGGAGTTTATTCATGCTGATTGGCGTTTTTTTTGTGTTTTTCGGAAACTAATTTTTGTGATTAGGACTGACTGGTTTTCTTGCTTGGAATTAACTTTTGCAATTTTTAGAAAGTTATTGATAATAGTTTCGTTTTTTATTGAGTAGGTGGAATGGAATTACTCCTTTTCGAACAATACTATGGTGTGCATTTCCTATGTAAAACCAGTAAAACAGATTACTGCTCTTTGCCACTGGATTACAATAACACCTGCGGTGGCTGATTGTTCAGATGATCGAATTTAACTTAGAAGAAATTTAATCTGGAGTAAATTTTTGCAGAAAAAATATTTGCGGTAATTTTTTTGGGAAAACTTATTTTTGCTGATCACTGAAAAGTAGTAAAACTTGCAAAAAATTTTATGCCACATAGTAGTAGTCTAAGTATTTGTTTAATATTTAGGTGTACCCAATCTTTTTATGGTGGAGACTGTAGACAGTACAAAGCTTGCAAGTGCACTAAGCTCTTCATGGGGTAAGCAGAACAAGCAAGATCCTCTTAATATCATGGTACAAGTTAACACCAGTGAGGAAGATAGTAAGTATATTTATTTTTCTATTATTATGTCGCAGTATAAAACTTTGGAATGCTGTCCTCATTATGAGTAGTATAGGGCGCAAAACGTAACCTTCACCACTTGAGAAGCTATACTTAGAAGTAAAAAAAGGTCGGTACGAAACCTAAAACGATCCAAATATACATATTATGATATGAATCTCTCTACTTAAAAAAACAATTCAGAATATTATTAAATTCTTATACTCTGTAAAACCTACGCAAAGACATGTTGATTTAATTATCTCTACTAGAAGCCTATTTAGAAAATTATTCAGTTTTTATACTCTCATTATCTCTTATATACCTAAACGAGGCCATCATAATGTGGTTATCTCTACTAAAAGCTTATTCAGAATAATATCAAAAGCTTATTCAGAATAAGAATTATTACTATTATTATTATTATTATTATCGTTATTATTATTATTATCTTTACTAATTACATCTGAATGGTTTGCTTTAGTCTTCCTTTGACATTAAGTCATTGTCCATGACCTCAGCCATCTGATTCTGGCTGTTCCCAAGCTCTCTGTAATGATTCTGAATGGCATGTGACATCAAGCTCAATAGAGATCAAACTTATAATAGCACGGGAGGCAAATTTCAGGAATCTGACAAGTGACTCCTTAACAGAGGGCAATGATTAGTTTTACAATTTGGATATTCAAGATCTTGGAAATTGAATGAATGAAGACTCAGCAAGACATTAATAAATGAGAGCGTTTTTCAGTGAGACTGGGCATCAGTTAAGAAGGCATCTTCAACTGCAGCTATTTTGAGCTCATCTATGAAACCTTTAATTCAAAATGACATGGGATCTAGTCGGCTGATCTCCTCGACCAGTGTTCTCATCTTGGGCAAAAATGTTAAGAAAAAAATGCATGTTGAATGTGCACTAAACACTATTGTCTTGAAATCTCAAAAGGATTTATTTATGAACAAACAAACTTGATGTACAAAGTCAGCCATTTGGCAAGAGCACATGGTAAAGCGAAAAGACATACTGTGCATGTCCTTAGTGTTACATAGCTACCATTAAATATTTCAGCGCAATATCAACACATCTCCCCTTTTTTTTTAGAAAAAGGATACAACAAAATGAACTGTTTGAATACGATGCTTAAGCATGTTCTGAAATCTAATAAAATAGAGCCCTAAGCATAAGTTGTCCTATGGTAAAGACAGTAAAAAGGACTGTCCTATGTTCAAAGTTCACAGTTAACAAAATCAACTATACTAAATGTCCTGTCTATAACGAATAGCACTACCACTTGAGGCTCTCTGTTCTGGAATCGCGTTCTGATCGCTTGTGTAAGGACTGATGTTGCTGCTTTCGGGAACGTTGGTATCCTCCGCCTGGACAACCTTGGGAGTAGGCTCACTGTTGACATCCGGAATTTGGGAGTCATCTCCTGATGTGTCATGATGAGTGGGTGTTGGGACCTCTCCAAGATGCCAACGATTCCTTCGCAACCTTCGACCACCACTGTCTATGATGTATGACCTGGGACTTTGGTCTTCACTAACGACCTTAGCTTCCGTAGTCCACTCTTCTCATTATCCAGTTTGGCTCTGACCCAGTCTCCCGGCGGTAGCTTTGGTAATTCTCTCGAGCCATTCCGTTTGTCAAAGGTATCCTTTGATATAAGCTTTTTTGACTGTGTAATGGTGTGGAAGTTTTGGCTCTAAAACTTTGCTCAGTGTTGGGAGGGTAGTACGTATCAGTCTTCCCATGATCAGCTCTGATGGTGTCTTTCCAGTTGCTGAGATTGGGGTTGTATGATAGGCCATAAGAGATGATGCGGGCTTGATGTGTTATGCTTGAATCCATACTTTGTTTTGAACTCATCAAGCTGTAGTGACTTGAACGGTGTACCATTGTCACTTATTAGTTCCTCCGGAATTTCCTATCTTGCAACTACTGACTTCAGCTTTTGAATGACAACTTGGCCTGTTGTCTCAACTAGGCTTAATATCTCGATGAACCTTAAATAATGGTCCATCACTACTAGGTATTTCTGACCGGCTAGCTCAAACAAATCGGTAGACACCCTCTGCCACGATTTGTCAGGTAGGTCTGTGGTCATCGGTGGTTCCTTTCTTTGTGATGGTTCGTTTTTCTGACAGAATAGCCATGACTCCACCTTGGTCTTGATCTCTTTAGAAATACCCGGACACCACATGGAAAGGTTATCACGTTGACGGCACTTCGTTATACCCTGGTGACCTGTGTGAATGCTCTCCAGTATCTCCTCTCTCATGTGCACAGGTATGACTATGCGATCATGATAATAAACCATTGTTCATTGACAAGTGTCCACGAGAATCAAAGAACTCTCGTATCTGGAGGGAACTTCTTCCACATGTGTTGGGCACCCTTCTAATGTGAACTCCATCACTTTCAGGAGCTGGAAATCCTTCTCTGATTCTCTTAAGCTGATCATCTGTGGCTGGCCTTGTAGATTCAACCAGCTCTACAAATGTCTGAACGTTTTCTACTGTGTCGGGTTCCTGTTCTAACTTACAAGGGCTTCTGGACAGAGTATCTGCCACCACCATCTGCTTGCCAGGTACATGTTCTGCTCGAGGATTGAACAGCATAAGGCGCATCAGAAGCCTCTGGCATCTTAGTGGTGTTTTATCAAGATCTCTGTGGCTGATCAGTGGTACCAGAGGTTTGTGATCTGTCAAGAGCTAGAAACGTGGAAGCCCTACTCGATAACGTGATAGTCTCTCACATGTCCATACTGCTGCCAGGCACTCATTCTTAATTTGAGCATATCTGACCTCAGTCTCTGTGCGTGTTCTACTGGAAAAACACGCTGGGCGGAGCTGGTCACTCGGACCTTGCTTCAGAACCCCGCCAATTCCATAACTACTAGCATCTGCACAAACAACAGTGTTCTTCTTAGGACCATAGAATGCTAACACTGTATTACTTGAAATCATTTCTTTGACCTTGGTAAAAGCAGTTTCCTGGGGAGGTCCCCAAGTCGAAGCTGTATCTGACTTCAATAGTTCGGTCACTGGATGCATTACTGTAGCAAGGTTGGGAATAAACCTCCCGAGGTAGTTAATCATGCCAATCAGTTTGCATAGTTCTGGCACATTGGTTGGCGTTTGAAGCTCTGTAGTTGCCTTCACCTTCCTCTGGGTCTGGACTTACACCCTCGGCACTGAGAACATGTCCAACGTATGTTAGCTTGTTTTTCTTGATCTCGCACTTCTCTTTGTTCAGTTTCCGTCCTGACTCCATAATGACTTAAAAGGTGTTCTGTAAGTTCTCTCCATGTTCTTCGGCGGACTTCCCATACACAATAATGTCGTCCACAATTGGTTCACAACCTTCTCTGTTCTTTAACAGATCACTCAATAGAGACTGAAAAATTTCTGGAGCAGACGTGATTTCGAATGGAAGTCTTTTAAAACAGAACGTACCAAACGAAGTCATGAACGTGTCAACTTTGCACTATCTGGATGTCGGGGGATCTGCCAAAATCCACTGGACACATCAAGTTTTGAAAAGTACTGGGCACCAGCGAGTTTGGACGCGATATCTTCCAAGCTGGGCCCTACGAATCTTGGGTGCTTCACTGCACTGTTCAGCCTTCTTAGATCGACAGAGATCCTGAGCTTACCATTACTTTTCTGTACTGATACCATGGGCGCGCACCATTCTGTCGACTCTGCGACTTTTTCGATGATACCAGCTTCTTCCATCCTCTTAAGCTCCTCCTCTACTTTTGGCATTAAAGGAAAAGCTATTTTTCTTGCTGTGTTGACGCAATAGGGTTGGGCATTCTCATCCAGTTGGATCCTTACTGGCTCACACTTAAACAAGCCTGTATCTCCAAGCAACTCATCATCCACCTCCTTTAATCTCGCAACTAAACCCATTTCACAAGCTGCTTGTCGACCCAGCAACTTACTTGCAAGTTCTCCACTGATTACAAAAACATTGAGTTGGTACTACTTGATGAAATGTGTCGCTGCTGTCGTAAACTGTCCAGCGCACTGCAACTTGCCTCCTGGACTGAAAAGGGCTATCTTAGATGGATGTAACTTGGGCTATCTGCACCGGTATGAATTTTGAACACCACAGGTTTACGACTGATCTTAAGCTGGACCTTCTATTTATCATCCTGATCCGAATCACTTGACAACGCACCTAAGAACCAACGACCAACACGGCTATCATTTGAAGCACTGCCACTATCGCTATTCACCTCACTCACAGACATGGACCAACAAACGGCTGCAACGTGGCCCACCTTTTGACATTTCAAACATCGTTTATCTTTTGCTCAACAGTGTTCAGGCTTTGAGTGATGAAGACCGCATCTACCACGCTTCTTCTGACCTTGCTTTTGGGATGGATCCTCTTTATTCCCTTTTCCCTTTTTCCAACGTGGATTAGTCGGTTTCTTCTTACTGTGCACCTCTTCTACACCCTTTGATGCGAGGGAATTCTGATCTGTAACCTCGCTGATACTTGACCATTTCTGACTGGCGAGCTATTTGAATCGCGACTTCCAGCGTTAAATCCGACTTTAAATGCAATTTCTGCGACACACCTTTATCCAGAATGCCAATGACAATTTTGTCCCGTATTTGTCGATCACGACTGTCCCCAAAATCGTAGTGTTCGGTTAATTCGTAAAGACTTCGTACGAACGAATCGACTGTCTCTCCTTACTTTTGGATCCTTTGGTGAAAACGTGCCCTCTCGTGAATTATGTTCCCTTTCGACACGAAATGCTCATCAAACTTTGCTAAAATCACGTCGAATTTTGCATCATCTCTATCAGCTAAGGTAAAAGACTTGTGTACACATGTTCTGCTTTTCTTCCCATTGTGTAAATGAGAGCACTGACTTGCATGGCGCCTTCCTCTTTGTGAAAATTCGTCGCGAGTCGAAATCGCAGGAAATTCTGCTTCCAATCTGGCCAGTCAAGCGGTTTGGAAGGATCAAATTTCTCTGGAGGGCTTAATTTCAGCGCTTTACTTGTTTAACCGCTGCCACCATGTCTTGAAATCTCAACAGGATTTATTTATGAACAAACAAACTTGATGTACAAAGTCAGCCATTTGGTAAGAGCACATGGTAAAGCGAAAAGACATACTGCGCATGTCCGTAGTGTTACTTAGCAACCATGAAATATTACAGCGCAATATCAACAGGAGTATTAAAGCACGATTGATTTAACATAATCCCCCCACCCTTTCCCCCAATAAACAATGATGAAGTCCAGCCAGATTGTTTTTGTGCCCGAATGAACTATTTTGGTCAGGGTGGGGTGGGGGAAGGGGGTTACTCTGGTGCCAAATCTGCATTGTTGTTGTCCTGTGTTGTTGTTATCAATAGTTATACTTACAGTGTTCTTACCACGCCGCGGCATTGCGGCATTTGCGCACTTTTACAGAGAATGCCGCACTCCCAAGGGGTCACATGGGCGCAAACAGGAAAAAAATCCTATTACAAAACGTACATAAACGTACGTACACACACGTACATTTCCTTATAAGCCAACAGTTACTTGGTTATGGCTTCTTTACTCTAACTCAGAGCTGTATAACGTTGAGTTAACTGTACGTAAAAATTGGATATTTTATTATCTAAGAAAGGGCGAGGTATTTACTCTAACTCAGACCTTTGAGGTAAAAGTTGAGTTAACTGTATCTAAAAATTGTGACCCGCTTTTCTCCCTCATGACCCCCTTTATCTGCTCCATGGGTCGTGTGGACCCCAAGGTGGAAAATCCTGGTAAGAACACTGTACTTACCTTAATAATATTTTGATAGGTAAACATGGCTGTTCAAGCGATCACTGTGTGGAACTTGTTCAACATGTCATCAATCACTGTCCACATTTGAAATTCAGCGGGTTAATGACAATTGGTGAAATGGACTACGACTGGAGTCAAGGGGGCAATCCTGACTTCATTGTGAGTAAGGATTTGTTTATTTTATTGTCAAGGCATTTACACCTTAAATGTTCAATCTTTAGGTCCTGGAGTCCACCTCTTGAAAGTCCCGGTAACTTTTCTAGCCCGAAATCAAACACTTTTAAAATCAAAATGTGTAGTTCCAGAAAATATCCATACTCCCCGCCCCCACGGAGGGAAACGGAAATTCGGAGGGGAGGAGGGGTCCAAAATGAGGCAATCTCCGAGGGAGTGGGGGTGGCCTCTCGAGGTCTTTTTTCCGGGGACTCTGAGTAAGATTGGTGAGTTATTAGAAACTAATAGCTGTTCTGTTGAGCAAGCTGTCAGTTGTTTTACTGTTACTCGGTGTTTTAAAGCAGAAACTATTGTTTTCATCGATGATCTTTTATTTGCGGTCGGCTGATTGGTTTTTTTCACGGCTTGCACGATAGTTTATTTAACACGATTGTCGTCGGCTCATGAATAAACTTCTGATTATCTATCTGTTGCTTTGTGACACAATATATTGTGGTATTCAATGAAATGTGGTCATGTTCAAATAAGCCTTCTTCTAACATACAGTGTTCAATTAGAAATTAGTCAAAGTGGGTCATTCTTAAAATGGTGTGGATCAAACTATGATACTGAAAACTTTGAACTAACAGACATCACCCAAACACAGCTGTATCACGGTGTGACTTGTTGGGCTTGAGGCTGTTGCCTGTTGAAGTTCTGGAGGTTGACTTATTGAACTGACTCCTCCGGCTTCATCATCCTTATTTAGTCCATCTTCATGCTTTTAAGTATACCTTATTATACATAAGGTAACTTTTTTGCGTCAATATGCGTCAGAATGGAATATTCCGTGTCATTGACGCGAAAACGCGGGCTATATTGAACACTGAACTTGTTTTTAACTGAAAGGAAGTAATTGAAGTTCACTGCTTTGAGAGATGGCATTACTTGTGCCGTGTACGTCCGTACCGCCTCCATTGACCTTAGTGACTAAGTGACTTTTTATAATTAAGAAAAACCTCTACAAGGCAAAATTGAGATTATTTGACACTGTATTAACATAAATGAAATATTTTCCTCGCTTTATCGCAGAAACAGTTATCTTTTACATAAAGTATGGTGCAACGACATTTTTGAGGGAAATATTCTTTCCAGGAAGTACCCATCCAAGTTGGAATATAACGGAAATTCCAGGAGTTGGGAGGGTATGACAAGCACCCCCTGGAATGGAAATTCCAGGGTGGTGGGGAGTCTAAAACAAAAGTGCCCTCCGTCGGGGAGGTATGGGATATTTTTTGGAACTACACAATCTAAAGAACTGAAAGTGTGGATCCTAGCTGACAAATCATTCAATTCTGTTATGTTAACCGGTTGTTTTATCATGTTATTTGAACAACTATTGAAAGCTCTGTCTTGGATGTAATCAATAGCAGCTTTCCGGGCCCGTCAATTATCGGGACTTTCGAGAAACAGGCCTCTGGTTCGCGCCTTGCTGTCATGTTGTTTCCTTACACAAGAAACGTTTTTGTGTGCTGAGATAGTACGCAGTAAATACGGAGCTACATGTAAATGCTGTGAATTGTTTGTTGGCCGGTTTTGCTTTAGCAGAAATTCAAAAGATGAATGTGTACATGACCAGATATCTGAACTTCCTGTTAGGGTCACTGTCCCTGGCACGCGGCAGAGAAGGAAATGGTAATTGCAGTTACTTATGTGTAACTAACCCTGTTTCGTTTGTCTTGTTGTTTTTTTGTAGTGCTTAGTGCAGTGCAGGAAAGATGTTTGTGAAATACTAGGCCTCAGTGAGGAAGATGTGGAGCTGAGTATGGGAATGTCAAGTGATTTTGACAAAGCGGTGAGCACTCTTATTCATGGTTGGTACAACTAGCTGATGTTGTAGTATTTGATTTCCGTGTTGCTGTAAACACCATAGTGCCACACCCGCAACTAAAATACACACAATGCACAAAGAAACCCTGCCCTGCATTCAAGGGTATCTAGATTATAAAACACACATTGAGGACGCCTGACCATGGATTATCATTGATTTAGTGATCTTTGTACCAGTTGTCGGAAGTCCCGCCCCAGCCCAAACACGTTCCTTCCTTAGGTCTTTCTTCAAGGTATTATCTGAAGCCTCAACTTAACGTCTTGCTTTGAAACTAAAATTACGCGGGACTTACGCCATTCACGTAGTTACGTCACTTGCTGCAAAACAAGTTTGCCTTGTGCCGGTTAAACGCACTACATGTACTGATTTTGTTCCAAAAAGTAGAACCACTCTCTACATTCTGCAAAAACCTTTCGCAGCCTACAACAACCTGAATTGTTGCAACACAGGTTTGATTCGTGGTGGTAAAACGCGCCACATCGCTCTTCAGCTCGTTTTGCCTTAGTGCAGCAATGGTGTAAAACAAGTTACACCTGTTTGTTGCCCGTTTTAACATACCTTAAAAAGAAACGATTTTTAATGTCTTACAGATTTTAATGGGAAGTACAAATGTGCGAGTAGGCAGTACAATATTCGGTGCCAGACAACCCAAACAACCAAGCAGTGCCAATGCTGCGGGGGGAATTCTTCATCAATCTCCGCGGGAAACAGTGTTATCCGGTGGGACTTCCCAACCAAAAACGTCCCAAGGAACAAACCCAGCACCCGGTGCGGAACAAGACACTTTTCCTCCGGAAAGTTTCAATGTCCACTAGCAGTGACAATATGTGTGACAAAAATTATGGTTTCGCACGCTGCGGGTATATGGGAAAGCGATATATCGAGCATTACATCATTTGTTGCCCTAATCAAGGATGCTGGTGTAGCAAAGACTCCATGCCAAGGAACCTTACCTAACTTCATTAACGCCTCCGCAAGTTTGTGATGGGTAATTCAAGCGACATGATGGAATATGCGCTTGATAGCCTATGATAACAATGAGTCCTTGATGAAAAATTCTTTGGATTGCCGGTGTTAAAGTAACGCGCGCAATTGAAAACAGATTAAACGCATACAAATGAACTCGTAAGATATCTTATTTAAGGGTTTTTGATCAAATATAGGGTCTTAAATGACGTAACGAAATACCATAGTACGCTGTTAACTTGAAATGTTCTTCATTGTGGACGTTTTTCCCTTCATCCATCCATTCCACATCTCTTCCCTGGTATAAAGAGGGTTTTAAAGACTACGTCCGTGCAGACCAACAGTCTTCAGAATTCCTGAGTAAAACTGTTTGTCAGTGGGGATGAAGTGTCTTCGAGTGTCTCACAGAAAGATTTTTTCTGGGCTGTATTGTCCCTGCACTTGGTCCCTCCATGTAAGGTATTCCGGATCCAAATCCGGGAAATTGTTGCTTGTGGACTTTGGAATACGGAATTCAACTCAAAGAATCCGGAATAGCGCTAACGAATGGAATCTGGAATTCAAGTTGCACTGACAAGAATTCGGAATCCACAGCGTGTAATCCAGAATCCAAGACTCTCTTGGATTACTTCACACAGGGCAAATTTGTACAAATCGCAGGAACTTCTTACTGATTTCTCACGGCAATTGCTTTTCTAAGCCGGCAATCGCAATCGAACCTCATTTGCCCCCATGTTTGTAATCATAACCACAAACATGCGAGCGGTGCGCGGATTGTAAATTTTTTGAAATGGTCGTCAAGTTAAGGCTTGTGTCTCCAAATACCGGTTAATGAAATCGCCTGGTCTCGTTTGAAAATGGGTCGATAACAGTTAGTGGAATATTAAAACATTATGGTTTTAGGGTTTTAACAGGAAAACTTAACCCATCACAAGGGTGTTCGGAGAGTACTGCCGAGTAAATATCTGAGATATATTTTCCAGCAATTGGTTGCCCTTCAATTCCTAAAGTCCAGAAGCTACTGCCAAAAATGAGTTGAGAAAATCAGATGAAGCAAGAATCAACGTTTGAAAAATTGTAAAAATTAAAATTGTACCCTCAGGTGTTATAGACTTGTTAGGGACGGAGAGTGAGAATACACAGCACTCTACAAAGCATGCACTATCTCCATAACTCTTTATTGGTATATTAAGGTAACCTGAATAAAAGAGAAATTGTTATGAAATTCACCTTTGCAAAGTGTAAAAGCAGATGACTAACGTGTTTTTGTTACTTGTAAGTGCCCGATCAAAGTTTTTAAAACTAGATGATGACCTTTGCACGACCTTAACTGAACCAAAAATAATACAGCTGTGTTTGTCACTGCAGTAATCGCAGGAACATACTACAAAGTCCGGTCTAGTACCTCGTTCAATCCCTACCCTCTACCGGTTCCCTTTCCATTCTTCATGCCTGTAGGACTAACATAAAACAGTAGGCTATTTTTTGTCGTTTTCTGAGCAACCTAGCCTGATCGTGACTCTCTTGTGATAGAAATCGGCGTGCCATATGCATACGACCACCCCTAGCCTCGCTTCCACTCAAGGCTTGGATGCTCAGTACACAATTGTAAAATGGTATATACTTCTGTAAAATAGCCTATTCACATAATTATTTCGATGCTCAAAACTATGGCGGTAATTCTCAAATAATACTTCAAATACTAAAGCAGCTTTGAATATATGGGAAGTCAAGATATCTTAAGACAGTCTTTCTAAACTGTAAACCGAGCTCATTACAACGTCAAGGAACTTCAAATTACCGTGTGTACGCCGTACTAATTAATTGCCTCTTAAATAAGGTGAGGAGAAGGGAATTTGCATCTTGTAAGTCCTTGGCTATGGAGGATTCCCTATTTCTTTGTTAGCATACAAACAGCTGAATTTATGAACGAAAGTACCAAAAACGAAAAGCAAAAAAATTCACTTTATCCATCCGCGTCCGGAACGTCCTGTGGAGCTGTCAGAAGTCAGTATATATATCCATACCCCCCTCCCCCCCCTCACGGAGCGCAACGGAAATTCCGATGGGAGGAGGGGTCCAGAAGGAGGTTATTTCCGAAGGGGTGGGAATAGCCTCTAGAGTCTTTTTCCGGGGGCTCCGAGTAAGATTTATGAGCAAGCAATCAGTTATTTTACCGTTAATAGATTTTTCAAAGCAAAAACTATTGTTTTCATCGATGATCTTTTATTTGCGGCCGGCTTCACGCTTTTTTCATCGCTTGCACGATAGTTTGTGTAACACGATTGTCGTCAGCTTGTGAATAAACCTCCGGTTAATAATTATCTAAGAAAGACCTCTACAAGGCAAAATTGGGATTATTGGACACTGTATTAACATAAATAAAAAGATTTTTACTCTCTTATACACAGAAACAATTATCTTTCGCATAGAAGTAATGTTGGAAAACTACGGAAATTCCAGGGTGGGGGGGAGGAGGTTATGACAAGTACCTCCTGGAAATTCCGGCTGGGTGGGGGTGTAAAACTAAAGTGCCGTCCGTGTGGGGGGTCGGGGGAGGTATAAATATTTTTTGGAACCACACAATTTTCATTTTGAGTCTGCTGCGTCTTCCAAAACTTCTTATTATTCGTTGTTAGAAGTTTTAAGGAAACGAGGAAAGGAAAAGTCTCTTTTCTACTCAGAGTAATCTTTGCACCTACCTATTTTAAAACCTCAGTGGACCTATGAGATTCAAGGCCCTTTTGATAGCCTTCTCAAAGTGTACTCATGCATAAAACTTCTCCAAAATACCACACAATACAGAAAAGTGTAAAGCAATATTTGTATTTGTATTTGTATTTTTTTACTCCATCCTATAGACAATACATTAGTTGTACAATATCAAATTAGTACAAGGTTGATTAAACTACGTGTACATAATAAAAAAAAGAAAGTTAGAAAAGCAATATGAAAATTACAACCCCATTCAGATAGAAAATACCTAGCATCAAGCAATACCTACAGTACCTTCAACTTTTGAAAACTACCTGGATGCAATTTTTATTTGCAGCTATTATAAAGTTTGACTGTTCAAAGGAGAGCTGCGTAAGTGAACTGTCTGCGTTCACCTACTTCAAGGCAATTTTTAATAGCTTCAAGATTTATGGCAAAGAAAAGATCAACGCGAAAATTAAAAAACTATATATCAAAGTCACGTGGATCAAAGTTGTTGATATTTGCCATGTCAGAAAAGGCCGCGTAACGAGCTCCATCCATGTCACGTGCTAACTGATTATCGTGTCTTAGGCGATGATTATGACCACCAATCGTTGAGCCACATTCTGGACAGCGACCCTCCTCCATCGCACCACCACACTCTGTGATGCAGTAAATGTGTCCTATAATGGGGTGAGAAAAGCAGATCCAGGCGACAGTCATTCAAACTGGGCACTAGGTTTACTTTAGGACTAAGTAAGGGGATCGATGTTAAAAGCGGAGGTGTGGGCTGGCTGGTAGGAAGGACAGAGGCCGGGTTGAGGGGTCTTTGCTAAGGTTTAATTTTGAAGAACTGAGCCTTTTTTTAGTTTAAATTTCATGTGGAAAATTCTGAAACATCCGTGTAAACTTGAAAATTTATGTTTCGAGGTTTCGTTTGACACCGTTCGTTTGTTTTGTCGACACCTTATTGTTATGTAGTAGGTATCGATATATAAGTATTCGTTTTTATTATTAGTATCTTGTAATAGTATTATCTTGTCCTAATGACGCTCTCCTTAATTGTGTCCGGTGTAGTTAAATTTTCAACAATTCTAAAAGCGAGAAAGGAAAGATTCTTCTCTTATGATAACCTTACTCGATTAAAGAAATTGAGAGGAAGGAAGGGGGTAGTTTGGCGGGTGTCGACCCTATTTTAGGGAAGTGTGAGAGTTACAGTGCGACTACTCGAACCGGTGCACTTGGCAGAAGATTATCCAATCACAAGGTTTTTTTGAAAACAAAAGATTCTCAAATTTTTTGCAAACGGACCATTAAAATTCAAGCATCAACTTTAAAACCGTTTGAACCTACCCGACCTCTCAGGAAACAGCCCTCAAATTCATGAATGTTATTGATCCGTTTCCAAAAACTTGAGAATCTTTGTTTTCAAAAACGGTTTTGATTGGACAATCTTCTTCCTAGTGCCCAGGTTTAAGAAGTTGCACTGTGAATGTTTTAAGCTGGCCCTCATGGACTTGTGTATTGGAAAGATGATCTGATAGAGTCGGCCTTTGTAATCCAATGGAAAGACTTTGTTTACAAGCACTAGAGGAGATTGACAGTAATTCTCACCCTTTGGACACTTGAACCAGTGTCCTTGCGCTAAACCCATGGCCTTCACAATGATGTCCTTTTCTTCTCTAGTGACATTCTGGTAAAACACTTGAAGCCCAAACGATTCCCTGATCCGCTCAATGCGAGCCGTATAACGTTTTCGGGTATCTTGATCTAAAAGTATTTAAAAAGTTTTAATATCTATCGTTCACGATTCCTAAACGCGTGTGAGGGAAGACGCCAATAATTATAATTAGAAACTTGTTTGCTAAGTTATTCAGCTTAACAGGTGTTATTTGTTCGAAATTTTGAGTATAGCTATGACCTATGATCTTGACATGACCGTTATTATTTTCAAGTAATTGATGACCTTGTTAAAAGTCTCGAAAGTTTTCTTGGTAATGTCATGAACTTAAGTTGGTGACAGTCTCTTTCTGTTCGTCTTACTCCCGATGCCCCTTCTACTCTTGCGTCAGTTTACAAACCCCTAACAGCACTCTTAAGATAACGTTTTTTAAACCCCGCAGCTTGTAAATAAGATTTCAGACTGCTCAACTGTATACCATCCCCGTGGTCTAACTGCAACTACTAAGGCAGTGGTGGACTTTACTAGCTGTTTCGTATAAACAATTTTTTTAAAATACGATTTTGCGTTGCTTTTTTACTATAACATTGTTGTTCTCTACCTTCCTGCCCTTCTTTATATATGCCCTTACCAATCACTTTCTCATAATCCAAGGCTCTCTGTATTTGGCCAATTTGTACGGAATCAATGACATTCAACTTCTTTCGTCGGATGTCAAGCTGCATGTGTAGAATCTTTAAGTCAACAGCCAGCTGTGTTCTGTACATCTCCTCTTTCAGTTCCTCTAACTCTTGGTCACTGAACCGCGCCCGAGTCCTCATGACACGGAATCGAAGTTTTTCCACTAGACTGTCTAGTTCTTCTTTCGTCTCCTGCAGTAGTCTCAATGAGTGATAGCTTTCTTGCGCCCTCTCACTCTCAGCTTTTTCGCCTTTGTGTATCTTAACCTTGATTTCCTGGAGGAACGACAACAGGCTGATCTGGTTCTCAAACACATTTACTTGTTCATCTGTAAGATTCGTGCGAAGGAGTGACTTCACAATTTCCTCGTTGTCATTTGGAAATGCCTCAATGCTCTGTGCTTTCAACATTAGCCCATTGACCGCTTCCTCGCGCTGCTGTTTTCCAAGTATAATCTTTCGCTTTATTTTCTCGAAGTCAGCAAGAATCTTCTTTATAATGTTACCATACCTCAAGCTGGTACGAATAGGAGTTGAGCACTTGGGACAGCGTTTGAGCTGGACATTAACAGCCTTACCGTCATCCCCTGCCTCGGCCTGGTCCATCCACTGGTCCATCATCTCGACTTCAAACACATGACCACAATCAGCCAGTTCCACAAACCTTGCGTCCTCGTCGTCTTCAGTTCCGAAGAAAATCTCGGTGACCTCATCCTTATGACACACTCGGCACTTCTTTGGACATATTTCCCCGCAAAGACCAATACAGGGATGCTTGCAAGTAAGAAGCTTTTTACAGGGCTCGTTACATCGCTGACGATTACATGGCTGTCCACACAATCTAGTGCATCGGTGATGCAGACATTGCCAACTGCATTTCTCGTTGCAAGGTTCACAAGGCTCGCCACATGTTTCCTGGCACTTGCTGTGCGTACAGGAGTTGCCGCAGGGTTCTTTGCATGGGGGACAGTTTTTGGTACAAGGCTCAGAACAGCTATGACCACAGAACAAGGTACGGCCGCAGTATGCCTTGCAAGGGACATGAACTCGACCGCGGAAACACAGACCACAATTACCTGATATATGTGGAAAAGACAAATAATAATAATAATAATAATAATAATAATAATAATGATAATAATAATAATAATAATAATAATAATAATAATAATAATAATAATAATAATAATAATGAAAGTGAAGAAATGATCGTCGCAGTAACGCAATTTATGCAATTGCGTAAAGAAGCCTGAATGAAGCCTGATTTATTTCATATATCATTAACACTCATTTCTTTCACGGGAACATATGAACCCACAATTGACCTGCTCCCAGCGTCAGTAGCTTCATAGCTTAGTTGGTAGAGCATCGCACCGGTATCGCGAGGTCACGGGTTCAAACTCCGTTGAAGTCCTGAATTTTTTTTTCAGGCTTCTTTACGCAATTGCATAAATTGCGTTCACTGCGACGATCATTTCTTCATTTTCATTTCATTTCCGCAGTTCATATATGATTTATTTCATATATCATTAACAATAATAATAATAATAATAATAATAATAATAATAATAAAACATGAGAAATTAAACATTGCTGAGATGGCCTCTGAGAGTCAGTATCAAACTTTCTACCAGCTTAAGGGAGAGACGAGAGATCACAATTTGTCAAGGTTAAATGTAACTTCTTTGGTCGATGCCTACTTTTTGTTGCAGGAAATAGGTAAATGAGTTAATCGATCTACTTTAAGAACTTGCTTCCAGACTTACCAACACAAGGGTGTTCACACTTCAAAGTCTCTCCACAGGGTGCCTCACAGGGAGTCTGCATAGGATTCACGTGACACGCTGTCTCGTTTTCGTGACCACAGGGCCAGGTTTTCAGTGTAATGGCGGTACACTCCACTGTACACTCGTCAGAGCAAACGTTTTGGCAAGGATGCCCACATGCGGGTAGAAACTTAGGACAAGGTGACGTGCATTTCACTTCAGATGGATCCTTGTAGCAAGGCACACTCTGAGTATGGCCACAACCGGGCAGGATCTTTGTCACTGGTTTTATGCATGGTCCACAGTCTTGGTAACACAGCCGAGGGCACTTGTGATTTCTTGTGCATATGATTTTTTCGCATGGCTTCTTACATTCATACTCCTTATGCTCCGGGTCTGTTGGATGACATACCATTTCACATACGTGACCGCACGCTAGTCTGGTAACACAAGGCACTGTACATCCCCCTTCGGGTGCTTTCTTGAAGTCATCAGCACATGACGCCTGAATCACGTTCCGTGGGTGGTTTTGACACGAGAGTGTCAAAGCGTTTCCGACATTACCGCGCTCTTCCATGTCGTCCATTATCTTTCTCCACAGATCGCTCTTCTCTTTCAGAAGACTGATGTTGCCAATGCAATAGAAACCTTTCTTGGCCCGAGACAGTGCGACACAAACCCGATTGTCAGTCTGAAGAAAACCGATTTTTCCGTCCTCATTGCTTCGAACAAGTGACAGTAGGATGATGTCGTTTTCTTCTCCTTGGAAATTGTCCACCGCACATACTCGCACTCCCCGAAAGAAATCCTTAGGCATCTCCTTCTTCAGTTGGATTAATTGTCCTGTGTAGGCTGTTAGGACTGTAATCTTTTCCCTTTCATAACCTTGAAGGATTAAGTAGCGACAAAGAGCAGCCACAAACTTTGCCTCGTGTTCATTTGACCTGCTTCGTCCCTCCTCCTGATATTCCTGTAATTCCGAAAACGAACATTTCGTGATAATAGTGGAGGTGTGACAGTACAAAAGGTTTGTGGGACGAAACTGTATTACGGTAACGAATGTGAAATTTGAATCTCGAAACTACATTACATTCGATTTCTGGGATACTACTGAGAAATATAAGCAGTTACTAGTGACCCTACCTGCTAACAATTGAAATACTTCTTACACCTGAATACAGTAAGTCAGCTGTGCATTGCAGGTGTTAATGACAGCGCAACTTTGGGTGGGTAAGACATTGGTAGAGATAAATCCTTAATTCACCAAATTGAGTTTTATAGAATTTCACCCAACTTCTCACCATTCTCCTCGTGGCTTTGTTTGTGCCCTTTAGACTCTGCCTTTTCACATAGCTAGCAGTATACTGTTAATAGTGACAGCTACGCATAAAGGCAGTATTGCATTCTATGACACTAAGACCTACCTCGCTCTCGTCATGATCCACAAAGAAAATGTTACGATTCACGCCCTTGATGTTTTCAAAATTCAGCACTGATTCGTGATTCTCCAACTTTGGGTTGAAGTAAATGTGGTCGAGCATCTTGGATATTTCCGGTCTCATCCGGTGCTGTAGACGTAGTCGCTCAAAAGGCATTCCAGTTTTCACCATTCTTTCAAAGAGGGATACGTCCAAACTGTAGTGTTTAGCGAGTTCAAAGACAGTGGGATTAGGGCGGAGTTGCTGGTGATCACCAATCAAAATCAAGTGCTGGCATCCGGAAGTCAGAGAAGTAACAATGTGCGACTCGAGAACCTCAGCGGCTTCCTCTACAATCGTTATTCGCGGTTTCAGTCTCTGCAGCAGCTTGCGGAACTTTGCCGCGCCTACATGAAAATCATGAAAAAGTAACGCATGAAAGGGTTTGAAAAAGTCTTCAGCTGATAAAATGGCCCGAAACGAATCCCTGATAATCAGTACGATCGATGGTCTGGTTATCAAGCCGTGGCTAGGTTACGCTAAAATCCTATGGCACTTATTGTAAAACGGCAGTGGTAGAGGTAGCGCGCGTGGTGGACTGAGAAACTGCTGTACCCTTATTTTACTTAGACCCCCTTTTTTCAGTCCTTTCCTCTCGTCATTGTGCAAGTCAAATGCTGTCAGAATTACTAATCAAACATACCTGTGGTAGTCATGCCAACGACATCGGCATTCTTAAGTATCTCAAAGTCTTCCATGTTTTTGATGTCCTTCAGTCGCTTAGCACCCGCTTCAAATTGTTCCTGGAAAAGCGAGATAGTTTGGCGGTACCCATCGCTTACATCCTTAAGCCAACGTCGGTACAAACTCCAGCGATCGTTGACGCTTAACCTCCACACATTTCGTACTTGCGTGTTAAAAGAAATATTAAATCAAAGTAAGAAGTTTCATATTACAAAGCTGAAGCGAATGGGCGAGTGATTTTTTGAAGTTTCCCGTTAATATTCGCGCGAATCGAATCCATATGCATTCTGTCATCTCTATATGGACTCTTTGTATACATGTCGCCAAAACTAAATAATAATTCTCATATTTCCTAAAACTTACCCTCATGTGGAAATTCCTTGGTCTAGAAACATGAACGAGAGCCTTAAAATGTGTAAGTTATTTAGCGGAGCTCCACGCGCGCGCGAGCGCAGCCCCATAGCTAAGACAATCTATCCAGCCGAGAAAATTTGGTAAGCACGTGACCGTACACTGAATGACCGTCCGTCCGCACCACTGGAAAACCAATGTTTAATCTCACACTTTCTAGCTAGTTTGGGAGCACAGAAACAAACTGATATTGTACTCATATTGCACATCAATGTTGTGATCAATTGACAGCAACAGGGTATCCGCTGACCAGTATCACCTGACCGTATCACGTGCTCAGGTGTCGACCCTCCGAGGTCTAATTACTTTTTAAAGTTTTCCGCTGACAAGTTACTAGTTTTCAAATGATCGCAGGCTCAAGTTTAATTTTTTAAATTCATATGAAATTTGTTGTGCTTATGTGCCGCACTATTTAAATTTTGATTTTAAATTGACCTCAGTCGCGAAAATTCAGCGAGCTGTTACAGGCAGGAAAGACAGTTGCTTTCGACTTTCTCACCATGGTCACGCGTTGGTCACACTCTACGTCCAATTTTTGTGCTCTGATTGGTCAAAATTTGACAGGTGAGTTCATGGGAAAAATTTGCGCAGCATCTTGAAACTTGTTTACTTTGACAGCTAAAGCTTACAGAGTTTTGTGTCAACCTGTGATGTTTTTAACTGTCTTGTTTATTGGGTTTTGGTTGAGAAATGCGTCGCTTGTCAAAGTCGGAAATCCGATTTCGGATGATATCGTTTTCGTTTTTCACCGTTCTTGATGCGTAAGAGGGTTAAAAAGTCTCGAGCGATTCTGGCCTCACTTGATAGCTTTCAGGACCAGCATTCGGAATGGCAAGCCTGAGTAATTATTGTATTTGATGTTTGTTTTTTCTTTATCTAATTTCATGAAGTCGAGCGTAGTTTATGCGGCTTACGCTAGTATATGCACGTTTGTAAGATCTGAGACAATGATCTAACCTAGTATTACGTTTGATATAAGCTTACAGAAATTTAAAAAGCCTTTAGACATCTTCTCACCGCAAATAGGAAGAAAACGTTCCGAAGAGTATTTAGTTATAATTTTTGCTGTAAAGAGAAGGCTTGAAGCGGTTTTCTTGCCTCGAGTTCATCTTTGAAAAACGCAAACACCGGGAAGCCGGCTTAAAACATGAGCTTAAGCTTTAAGCTGAGAGACTCGGGATTTTTAGAGACACTTTAATACTTGTGTTCGTGAATGAAAATTGTTGTCTCTGAAAATGTTTCACTAAATTATATTTCTTTTATTGATTATTAGCCTCTTTTGCGATTTTAATCACGGCGCCGTTTGTTTTTAGTCGTCCATGAACATCGTATGCAGGAGTACTCAAAATGCCGCGCGTATCAAACACTTTTTAAGATTACACCTCGTTATGAACCATTACATAAAAAATAAACATAATAAATTCTATAATTCTATAATAAATTCTAAGCGTAACTCTATTAATGTTCATTCAAGCACAACGGCTCGCACTGCAAATTTGGCCAGTCCGAGAACCGGCTAGCTGTAGAGGTGATTTTGGACATTTTTTGAACGGTCTCGCAAAAAGCCCACGCTTGCTTCGATCGTCCTGAATATTGAATGAGTTCAATTTGTCTTGCAAAATTGTGAAATACTGCATTCTGTCTGAGGTCTGTATGATAAAAACAGCGCCTCATGATATGACAGTCGACTCCCGATAACTCGAACCTTCAAGGGAAATCGAAAAAAGGTCGAGTTATCGGGAGCTCGCAGAAAATAGCCGAGAGTAAGGTAAAAAAACAGTTTTTCCTGCACATTGAACATTTTAATCACATTTAATTGTAGAAATGTCAAGTGAAAATTAGAAGGTACTTTTAGATTATAAATCAGAACGTACCGTAACAAAACATAGCCTAAACAGAGCATGCGTTTTACTGTTTTGAGAAGTAAAGCTGCTTCACGTTAGCCTGTGACAATCAACATCAGCCTCCATTAGTAAACTATACTCCTACAACACCTTAATAGGAAATCCAAAATTCAATGTTTCGGACGCCAGTAGACGGCTTTTTTCCCGACTTTTTAAGGGCTCAAAACATGGTTCGAGTTATCAAGGGTAAAATTATATAGAAAATGACCTGAGGGGAAACGAAAATTGGTTCGAGTTAGCGGGAGTTCGAGTTATCGAGGGTAAAATTACAGTGAAAGTATGACGGAAATCCAGGGGAAATCGATATTGGTTCGAGTTAGCGCGAGGTTCGAGTTAGCGAGGGTTCAAGTTATCGGGAGTCGACTGTATTTCACCTCAGCTGTGACGTATAAAAAGTATAACAGGCTGGTTTACACGCCACCAGAATTGTTGGCAAGATTTTGTAAAGTAAACTTGCCGAAGGCAAAAAATTGGCCTGATTTGTTTTCCAGGCCTAATCTACTGTGATCAAGAGCCATTATGGCTCTTAAATGTGATCAAAGGTTATTTCCATTTTTGGATGGACATATAAGGCTATTAACTCGATGTAAGATTTGTTTTACCCTTGGAATGTTTTGCAAATTATTTTTCTCTAAAATCACTGAGCCCTTTCCTCAAGAAGTCACATGAATGTGCCCTTAAGTAAACTGATTTGTGGAGTACAAGTTTATTGCTTGATTTAGCCCTGGCTAGATCTATTTATTACTCAAATATCGGCGCTATTTTTGCAAAGGGTTTCTCTTGCCATCAGTCAATGCTGGTCGTTTGAAAGTTAATTTTGCGCTCATGACGCAAACAAAGCTAAAGCGTAAGGGCAGGCACAGAAGAACTACTTCAAAAGTGAGCCATCTAGCAGCACATTCTGACTGCATGAAAATGAAGCTCCGCAATCCTTTTGAGAAGCCAAAATTAGGCGAACTAAATAGGGCGTTTTCTTTGTTTTGTTTCCATTTTTTCCAATATCTCACCATTTTTGCTCTTTCATCTGGCATGAAATCCTTTTTGCTCAGCTGTTGAATGATCGTTCTCTTTAACCTCTTCTTAAGCTGAGCAGCGTTCTGAACCTGCCATCCGTCGTCAGATCCTCCGTCAAAAGCAAAAGGATTCACGACCTTCAGCCTTTCTCCTTTCAGGCCCGCCGATTTCGTGCCAAACACTCTTACGTCATCATTGTCCAGAAGTCTTTGGTCCTGCATAACATCTGCCTCGTACACCACATCCAGATCCTCAGTGTCGTCTTCCTCTTCTTCCTCGCCTCCTTCATCATCCCCATCTTGTGCTTCCGCGCCACCTTTAGAGAAGCGCAAATAGCGAGAGTTAGAACTACTACTGTTCATGACCTTAGTTGTGACTTAATAAGCGAAAGGGTATGATTCTACAGTAGGCACAGTTTTGTGAACTGGCTAGGGCTGTGTATGGCTATGTAGGGCTGTGTATGGCATACTCGATTACCTTCCTGAGCAATTCCACCAACAGTTCGGACCATTTCTCTTCCGAGGGATTCATTGAAAATATAAAGCTCGCGAAACCTCCCTTGAAAGCAATGACCTGGTCCAGCAGAAGCTATGGCTCCGATTCGGATGGAAAACTGAGTTGCTAATTCCATTTTGCTGCCTATAAACTTCGCATCCACTGCATTGCCATCATGCCAAAGACTCGCAATCCCAGAATCGTGATCATAAGAGGCACCAATAAAGTTCCAAGCGTTCATGGTCAACACTGCCTTGGTAAGGGCGAGAGGTTGGGAAAAATCTCTGCAGACAAAACGAGCCGTTAGTATACCCTTCCCTTCTTCCAAGCCTTCTTGCCAAATTTGGACTCCTAGGCCATCTTCATGGAAGCATAGGATAGGACCTCTGTTTCCGACCGGAAACACGTGCATCAGGAGTGTGATTGAGGTCCTAGTGTCCAAGTCACTTCCGGCTCGATTTGGAATTTCAACGAATGAAGCAGGAGTTCCTCGTAGTTGAAAGGATCCACCTTGCACCCCGTCAAGCCCAGGGGCCCATGCAACACCAGACAAAGTGGCTAGATTGGCTCGCGAAACTCTTTCCAGTCCACCACAGTGGCTATTTAGAGGGAACACTGCTACGGGCTGTACAGATGCTGATAATTAAACAAAAAACAGCATCAAAATGCTTATTTGATTTCACGGCATGGCACGAAGGGGATGCTGGTCCTAACATCTACAGCTAAACGAGGTATCAAAAATATTAAAAAGACAAACAAACAACAAAAGAGAACTCGTTCTTTATCAAACTCCGATACACTGACAAACGTAATTGTGATAGAGGGCTTTTTAACCCAGGGGCTTCTTAGGTGAGGTAGCGATAAAGGAAAGCTCTTAGACTATGAATACTGCGACGTTTTGACTGTCGCTTCGTATCATTGTTTTCTGCTATAGTTAGTTAGTGCTTTGCGGGACCTTTGAACTATCCCTGGAAAGCGAAAAGAACCGATACTAAGGTAAGCCAAGATAGTTGCAGTTTTGGGGGTAAGGAGATGGACTCTGGCCCTGACCTTGCCCTCATACTTTTGCTAGCTATAGGCATATGTTTCTGCTTAATTGCAGAGTTTTCCCGGAGAGGTAAGGGCTTTAGGAGCACACCGGGACCACAAAGGTATTTTTTGGGAATTGTAGCCACCTGGTGTGTTATTATTAGCAACACAAAGCTTGGCTCAGATCTTAACTTATATCAGCAAACTAAAGAAAAGTAAGGATGTCCTCAAAACACCAGAAAAAAAACGAACAAACAAAGCAAAACCTCTGTTACCTGGGTTGGCCGAGCTGAAAGATAGCTGTAACCAATGCAGAATAGCGCTGTCCTTTCGTGCAACTAATCCGTCAAAGGGCTCTTTTAGGGACTCGTACTGAAGAGTAGTCATGCTTGACGCACGTTGATGAAGGTCATCTTCATGAAGCAAGTTTTCAAAGCATCTCTGTAATTGTTCTGCTGCTGATTGCAATTTTGCTGTTGTGTGGTCCATTTCCTGGTGAGCATCGTAAAAAGCTCTTCTTATGTGAACGGGAGCTGATTTGTCCTGATTGAAGAGAAGGAAAGAGAAATCGTTAAAACTATAAGGCGGGATAGCAGATGGGGCACTGGCTCAAACGAAGGAAAGAATCGTTGTGAAGAATTACGTTTTTCGCCAATTGCTTTGAGTACACAAACTTGGTTTTATGTGCAAAAGACATGCGCTTAGTTGGCCTTACCGCTAAAATATTTACAACTGCGTAGGGAGGCTAATGAGCGGCGTTTTTTATTCGTTCTTGCGTTGTTCTCATGTTTTTAAAGACGCCCTCCACTAAGAACGTGTGGGAACAGATAATTAAAAGCAACAAAGTATAATTTAATTAAAAGTATCTCTGCTTTGTCATTGACAGAGATTTCTCCACTGAATACTGCTTTGTATGTAAAGAATAATTCAAATTTCGCTTCATAACTCGTGGTGGACTGTGTGTTCTTTGGTTCATTAGATTTCATCAAGCCGTGGGTGTGACGAGGAAGCGTGGCTCTTTCACCATTTGATTTGCTGGTGCGAAGATGTTCGCTTGAGGCAACGTTTCGTCGGCAGGTGTCGATTACAAACGCGGTGAAAGTTCGAGAGAATACTCCCAAGAAGGGAAAAACCGTGCAGCCTAAACGCCATTCTCCACGTGATAGTCTACTCTTACCTTGTGCATCTTGAACTTCCGCTCGGACAAACTACACTCCTTCATGATATCGCTCTTGCTTCGCCCTCCAATGCGAACGATACCCTGGGGATGAAACTTGTGGATTCCTTCTAGAAACTGATCAAGGGCATGATTGGTGTAGCAGACAACAAGGATTGGACGCCGTTCAGAAACCTGTAAACGGTCATCCATGTTGTCATCAAGCAACTCAGTCCCGGTGTCCCATTTCGTCTTATTATGCAACAAAACGTTGGCTATCTGCGGCAAACAAAAAGGGCATTTGTACAGGTAGAGTTTATAATGATATCCCGCAGCGTGTTTAGATGTGAGTAGTGGCATTGTCCTTTCGTTAAAACGAACATCGTCACATTTAATTTTGCAAACCCAATAGGTCCAGAAAGTATTGCTCAAGCTAGGTGTCTGCCTAGGAGAGTTTAAAGTACAGTGTTCGTATGTGTTTAGCATGTTCTACCTATTGGACCACAGGTGTCCGTAAACGGGGGCTCGGCCGTTCAAAAAACGCTCACAAAAAGCATCTTTTATTTTCAGGCGTTGGCAATTTCTTCAAGGCCAGTCTTTCCAAGTGAAAGTTAGGTTTAACAATCCTTATCTTATTTCAATTTGATTCAACTACGAAGGTTCTGAGTAACATACCAACCATCGAACCCCTCCTTTACTATCAAAGTTAGACAATTTACCGTCGTATTTGTTAGTCTACGACTTTTTAGAGCAGGCAGAAATCTCCAAATTAATCATTTCGACCAGCAAGAGGTCTGTTGGAGACCATGTTTTTAACTATTTTTGGACGTTTTCCCATACTTTTAGTCCAATGTATGTCTTCCCAGTGCCTGGTGGTCCTTGAATGACCGCGAACTCTTTGGTCAGCGCCATCTGTAATGCCCTGTACTGGGAGTCGTCTAGTTCCAGATCTTTCGCGGACGGCCAGTAGGCTAGACTCAGAATTGGAACGTCGCTTCCTTTGGAGAGGAGAAACGTGTTCTTATGTTGTGGGTGCAGACAAATCATTTCGATTATGTCACTTATGTCCAGAAATGGGGGCAATGGCCATTTTCGTTGTTGCGTGCATTTCAGGACATATGTCAATTCTAAAGTTCGACTGCTTTCTTATTGCCCCCGCAGAGTTGCGGCCCAGAGGCCGTAACCTGGGGAGGCATCCTAACTTCCCCCGCGTAAAGAAGTATCGTTTTTTCGCGGTATTGGTAATATGCTCGATATCTTCTCGATTTAAAGAAGCTAGGCGCGCAAAGTGGTCCCGGTTAATTTTTCTGCATGCGTGCACGGTGGTCTTGGGTAATTCTGTTTCAGCAAGCGCCCAAGGTGGTATTGGGAAATCTGGGAAACATGTCGTTGACCCCTTGCCGTCTAGCTTCACTTGCATGAAATTTCTATCAATTGTTTTAGAAAAAAAAACGGAGCTTGAATGTGGGATAAGCGAGATTCGAAGCCGCGGTCCTAGAAACCGACTGGATTCGACTGCTATAGCGACAAACCTAAGAGTAAAGGAAAGGTAGCCATTTCGAGTCAGCGCTTTGGCCTAATCACTATTATCGGCGCTTAACACTAATCACTATGTTCGGTGCTTAACCCTCCCTATAACGTTTTTCGCGAAGTTTTAAAAAGTCATAACCAAATAAACGTCATTTCTAAGGCGGGAGCAGATGTAGTGAGAAATATTGCTGCTCTAAATGTGTACCCCGTCTATGGGTGGACTTAAAATCTGGGTTTCCACTGCCCTGTGCATCTTAAATAGATGTCTCTTGGTTGCCTCTTTATGGCGGTAAGCCTATGAGTACGGCGTTTTTGATATGTATAAATGTATAAATGAGGAAGTGGAAAGGAGCAAAGAACATGTCGTAGGGATTCTTTAGGCTTATTTTGCGCTTTTCTTTTAACATCAATCTCTGTCTGTTAGAAATTTTGCATTTTATGCCAGTAAACTCTTTGAGGGTTCTAGGTTTCAAGTGGTTTAGTTCCGCGAAATTATTCATCGTAACCCAGCGGGATAAAGGAAAGCCAGTCTTGTAGAGGTTGCTGATTGGTGATTCATTAGACCGCAAGCGGTCGTCCCTCTTTCCTCACACCCACGCGTGGCGAGGGAAAAAGTAAAATTGTGCGGGAATCACTTGAGCTCGTGATCTACTGTGTCTCAAAAGGAAAGCAAGAGACGGCTCTCAGTCTAGTTATTCATATAATGCACAGGCCTTTCCAGGAGTATATATATCCATTACAAAATTAAGGTATCTGAAAATGCGTTATACTTACCCCTGCAAGAGTCATCTTGGAGATTCAACCCGGCGAGTCGTGCCCTCAACTGTGTTAGATAGGAACTGCAAAAACCGAATCGAACAAAACCGTCAAGTATAGTCAAGTATTGTGGTAATGGTCTTACATTTTCCCTTCTCGCTAATAGCACCAGAGTCCCTGTGCAGTAGATTCTTGTTAATGTACTCATTATCCAATTACAGTTTAAAGGTGTTTCAGTTGGCTTTGTTTACTTTTGTCAACTACGAACTCTAACTTCAATTAAAGAGCAAAAGTCTTTTCTTGACAAAAGCAAGGTCATGTGATTCATGAGCGCTGCGTGTAAATCACACAGTCACACCTTTTTATGGAACTTTTACACATTCGCACTCATTATCTTAAATTAACAAGTTTTTGTACACACCAAATGCAGAGTGGACTTTTAAGGCCTTGAATTTTTTGTAACTTTAAGTCCAAGATGTGAAACTTCAAGTTCAAGGTGAACTTTACAAGCACAGAAAGGAAAATAATTCTTTTCCTTGTAAAACCGTCAATAAAGGTCAGGAGGTGCGGTCAAGATCCATGCAAGGTGTTTCAGGCATGAAATCGAAGGCTGCTCCATCGCTGGTGCTTTGCGTAAGTTTCAAGTGATAAAAAAGCACTTTATTTGACATTCAATGTATTGAACACAAAAGTACTATTGGGGACACTACTTATACGTCTACACGTGGAGACGGGACCGCCATTTTACGTGGTCATCCGAGGCACGCAAAGGTCTAGCCATTTGCAGGGCAAAGGAAGTACCTTCATTTCTCACTTGTTTTAAGACCCCGAGGATTGTACTGCCCCGAGAATCGAACCGGCGACCTCCCGCTCTCCAGTCAAGTGCTCTACTGACTGACCTGAGTTCAAAATATAAGTCATTTCATATATTTCCCTACATGAGGTAATCCTGCTCCAGTAGTCAAAACACGCGTCATCAGGTTGCGTTCTATGCACTCCAATCATTCTTAGCGGAAGTCCGAACGAATGCTTTTCCATAAGTACCGCGCATGTGTAATGTCATCTTGGAGATTAGAAGCGCGCAATAATTTTTTCTCATACCTGGAAGTTGAATTTCCGGTCTGCTTCTTCATAATGGGTGTGAGGTCAAAAGTTACTCTTCCCCGGTATCTGTTCCTCAAGTAGGCTGGTGGGTCAACTTCTTTCTCACAGTTTACAATGTACTTCTGTTTTGATAAAAGCATCGCAGGACAGTCTTCATCACTGTCTATTAACGGCTAACTAGAGAATTACTAACTCAAACTGTGGAAAAACTAATAAACCTCACATCAGATTTAATGCGGGCCAAGCTATAAGTTGACCCAATTGTGAATCTCATTCTCTCTTGGTTGACTACAACACATGCGCACCTCCAAAATCGTAAGCCCGGTAGTCATCACTTAAAAGAACCTATCTATTGTTGCTTGAAGGAGAATTGCCTTTAAAGTGAATAGAGTGATTTGCTCTCTCGGGTTATGAAAGAAGTGCGCTTCAAACCTGCAACGGCAGACGTCTGGGATCCACCTCCTTGAGTCCCTCCAGTATATGACGATAGGCTTCAAAGTACACAGTGCTTTCTACCATCTGAAACACGTCTCCTTCTTCAAGTCTTACATAATCAGAAAGATTGATGAACTGTATGTCCACTATACCCTACACAGGAAAAATAAGTGCAAATGGCAGAAATTTCTCGATAAAATTCTTAACGTGTAAGAAAGGGAGTGATCAGGCAATGGGTGCTTAAGCAAAGGCGTTTTTGAGCAACACACGTCAACCGGAAGTAAGAATTTTAAAGACCTTGACGCTGCCAAAATTTGTATCGCTAAGTGTGTACTCTTATAGGGACGATTTGCCCGAAAATGAGAGCAAAACCACTCCCCAAGAATGCAAAAAGTCCAGTTCCAGTTGACTTGTGTCACTCAAAAACGTCTTTACTCAAACACGCTTTTGTCAAGCCAGACTGACAACTTGTCTTTGGAAAAAAAGAACTTGAAAGTTTGATCCTGTTTTGCTTTGATCGGTTTATGTAGAGACAATTAAAGTATATTCCTCACATCGAAAACATACCAGGGTCGCAAAAATGACATGATCTTCTAGATGTTTTGTTATTATTTAACGTTGATATTAGGCAGAATGCGAGGATCAAAACTTTGTGGAAAAAAAAAGAGAGCTTTAATACCTGTTTTAATTCTTTAGCATCGCGATTTGCTATGGTAGCAAACACAAAACTTTCAAACTTGTCCTTAGAAAGACACATCAGCGAACCAAAGATCAATCGTTTGCTGTTCTCCCAGCGCACATTTCTTAACCTGGTGTTATCAAATTTAATCCTGTACCGAAGTCCGTCCGTCGTACATATAGGGTATAACAGTCGGACATCTTTGTACACGCGGATGTCTTGAAGGGCACCAATCTTGGCAGAGCCAATGCGCTCTAACAGCTTAGCAATTCCTTCACGTAGCGGCCTTACGAAGTCTTCACGAAGGAGACGAAATTGCACGTCCAAATAATGTTCTGCATCATTGTAGCTCCCATCAGTTTTGTTCCTTCTGAGGAAGGGACGTTCTCCTTTCAAGATGTCCTGCTGCGTTGGTATAACGCTGTACTCACGGAAATTATCTGGTGGATCTACATCATCATTCTCTCCAGCTATAACCGAAAATTACAAAAAAATTGATGTGTGGCCACATTTAGAAACAATTTTTTGGGACCTATTTTTGGGCGTGAAAGGAAACAAAAGCCGCCATTATAAAGTCATCTTTTGTAAACTGTGTTTTGGACAGTAATTTATAAAAGGAGTTGGAAGTCATTCACATGCTTACTTAATGATAATAATGCATTATAAGGCGAATTCGGTAACGAGGTAGTCTTTTAATCTACGTATCTTTCAGCTCAGAGGACAAAAGAGGTGCTTGGAGCTTGGCGCTGCGCGGTTGCTTCACACAAGCTGAGGTTTGCTGCATCCAGCCTTATTTATTTTTCAAAGTTGCGCGGACGACCGCACATAAGACTACATAAAGCAAAGTCTCAAATGCAAATAGTTTGACTCCTGCCTTGAGCATCGTAAATTTGCTCTCGTCCAGCGCCATATACTAAAGATTCTTTGACCTTCTCAAATACAACCACCTTTTTATGTTAGTATAGGAAATAGTATGATTTGTAGCGATATTTGGCATAAATACCACGAGTGATATTTCAAAATTGTTATACGTAGTTTCCCGAGCCGCTAGGAGACAAATGTCACGAGTGCTATTTATGCCAAAAATCACCTACAAATCGTCCTATTATTTGTTTATACTACTATCCGCAAAGGTTTTGTAATTTCCATATGTAGGTATTTCAAATTAAGTTGAAATACCACTGTTCTAGGCCAATCAAATTGCAGAAATTTCTCATGTAGTAGTATAAATGTACTAGTAAAATAAATAGTAGTATAAATCTTATTCATCTTCACTTTCATGCTCCCTCACCATCTCTACGTGGTCTCCTTCTGTATTGGTTTTCTTCCTCCTGTTTTTTCAGCTCATCTGCCTTTTGATTCCTCAGCTGCATCAGTTCCTCTCCTTCTGCCACTAAGGCACCATCAGGCTGTTGTGTGTCAGAAAAGATCCTAATTCCACAATACAACTCAGACACTGGAAGGTCGGCGTATGAATTCGGAAATATTCGAAGCAACTCCTTCATTATTCTCAGAACATTTCTTAGAAACGTAGCTACTTCCGTGGCAGGCATGCGGCAAGCGGACAGCCTGTTGAGGAATGTTCTTAGATGTGAAGTGAAGAAAAGAGATTTAGGCAGAAGGTTTAGTAGCTTAATTAAGTACTCCTTGGAATTACAACCGCAGGCTTTGGCAACGATACTCACTGTTAGTACAATCCAGTCATCCTTCATGGCTGATTGCTGGGTCAGTAAAAACTCGGTAGCTGGGAAACGTCTGCTTGACATCAAATCCAGAATGATTTCGTCCGGGGTTTTAGTGTCCAGTTCCTGAAGTGCTTTGAATCCCAGCCTTATCTGACGGGGATTGTGCCCCTGTGCTCCGTCTTCTTCACGTCCACTTCTTCCTCCTCCTCCTCTGCCTTCCCCTCTTCCAAAGCCACTACCATGTCCCCCTCTTCCTGCTGTTCCTGTTCCGATGCCATTCCTTTCCCTATTAGGGTTAACGGCAAGGAGGGGATTGTGCCCCTGTGCTCCGTCTTCTTCACGTCCCCTTTTTCCTCCTCCTCTGCCTTCCCCTCTTCCAAAGCCACTACCATGCCTCCCTGTTCCAGCTGTTCCTGTTCCGATGCCGTTCCTTTCCCTATTAGGGTTAAGGGCGAGGATTGTTTCCCTAGAGTAACATATTCTGGTGGCACCAGTTTCACGTGGTTTTCCACTTGAAAGTAGCCTTGGGTACATCAGGAGTGGCTTTTCCTAAAAGCAAGAAGAAATCTTAAAAAAGGTCATTTAGTTTCGATGCATCTGTACTCGATCGAAGAGTGTGCAAGTGGACACTCTACAACTGTTTATTTTAATGTGATGTCTCATCTTTAACATCGTTCATGTCTTCTTGTCCTATAAGATCCGACCTTTTATTTTTTGCGACTACCCTTTCTAAACAATAGCTAAAAAAATTCACCGAGGGTTGACTGCCATAGAATGAGCAATTGCAGGTGTTGAAAGAAATATCGCGAAGACAACCGCCTTTTATCTTTCCCCGTTTCACCAAACGTGCCTAGCGACGAGAGGCGGCCTTATTCGCAAGCTAATATCTTTCAGGCTTATGGCTGTTATTTTCACGTAATGTTTTTCCTTTTAGCTGTAGATTGCGATATGTCGGTGCCCTTCTGCTCAAGATATCATCCATAAGATGTTGGTTCTATCATCATAGAGCAGGTCAGTTTATGCTATGGTCTTTATTCTTCTGCTTAAGTCAACTGCACTCGTTTCTCGGTCCTGTCAAGTCACTGTAAAGGAATCCCTCTTCAGAAGATTTGCATGGTGTTGCAGCTCGACTTTGCGAAAGATTGTTAGCCCATTTCTCGACTTTCTCTGCTATCGTTTAATTATTTGGCTCACAGATCACAACTATCGCCATCAGATAAAAAAAATCTGTAATCTGTGATTGAGATCAATTTTCAGGTAACAGTTATCCCATTTTGGCCCCCTTTCCGTCACTCTATGTCCCCCCAGGACTTGGGAATTTACCGTGGGAAAAGGAGGACCGTCTCCATTGCTCTGACCTTAGCATGGTCCAGGCGTTCAGATATTAGAGTGCGGGCGAAACACAGCCCACCACGTTCCACCATCTGAACGCGTCTGACCTCAGTAAAATAAATCCACTTTGCTCTCTGTCACTTTCCCATGCATAACTTGAAAAAATGCGCATGCCCGGGTGACGTTTGAATCAAGTGTTTCAAGATAGATTTGGCGTAAGTGGCTTTCTTGTCTATAAGATATTTCTGTAAATACAAATACTGTGCGTGGGAACTTTTTTTGGAGTTCTAGACTTTTCAAACTTCAGAACATGTTAATTTGTATCCGAATCCTCTAGTCGAGACAGCCGGTTATAAATAGCATTTCCGGTTTCATGTATCTGCTTACTCCGCGCTTTATCTCCTGAGACTGATGACCAACGCAAATTGAGAACTAGACGCTGGTAAGAGCGAAAGAGGAAGCTGAAATCTACGAAATACAAATTCCATTTTTCAATGACATAACAAAACAACCTTTGGACTTATTTTGAATAAATCCGTCACGGTTTTTAGGTCTGTTGATATCTCATTCAATTATGTCACTGTTTCTAAAGAAGGCTTTCCTTTAAGTTCAATTTCCTTTGGTAATTCTATTATCAGGATATTTGCTTTGTTTTTCTTTGTCTGTCGTTAAATTTGTCTTTTTTCAATTTCTAAAAAGGTGTGCAACTGAAATGAAATTAAGTTTATACGATGTCTACTCGTATAAAATGTCTGCGATGTCTAAAATAGTTACCATAACAAAAAGCTCGATCGAACGTTTAAAGTGAAATACAAAGACATAACTGAAGGCCTTTACAAAGAAAATTTCGGTCAGTTATTAAATCAATGATTAAAAACAGAGTTACAGGAGTTCACTTTCGGCGATTCGATCGAAAGCCTACAGTCCGTGCTACAAGAGGATCGGAGCTAAGATTCAACTCACATCTTTTGTCTCGTTGCTCATTACCTGTCAGCGGCTCGCTGCCTTCAATTCTTCCTTTTTCCTATGATGTATATAAAAATGTCCGTTCCTTTCTAACTCTTGGAATCGTTTATTTTATCCTGATACCACTCGTTTAAGTCGTCAATTTTTTTAAAGTGAGAAGGGTTTTTACCCAGGAACTTAAACACGTTTTCTAGGTAATTTAGATGCTTTTAATATATTTCAATGCGTTATCCAATCAAAAAGCGTTATCCAATCAAATTCCAGCTTAATTTCTCAGAAAGCGAAACCGCTTCGGGGAATACCCGCTGAATATTTTAAATCTGATAATCACGAGGAAACCAGCTGTGACTAAAGAAAGTAAACAAACCCAACGAAAGGTGAAATTCTAAAATCGGAACAAAATTGACGTATTTATAGTTTTGCAAGACCGTCTTCATGTGGAGATTTGAGAGTAGCTTAGAGTGCTTTTCATAGGTTTATACCGTGTGCGCTAAATTGTCTCTGGGCTTATTGTTTTTCTAATTGTTCGGAATTCTCTTTTTACTTACGAGTCATCTAGTTACTGTTTTCAACGTTGCCATAAAGCCTGGTTTTCATATGTCGGGAAAATCCCAGACGATCGGGGATTTTACTGTTTCCCGACTGTCCCAGATTATGCCTACTAATGAAAACTCGAAATCGTAGATATCCCCGATCGTCTGAGATGGACGGGGACAAATCTGGAGAATCGGGAGCGTTTCTATTCTCCCGACGGGTCCCAGATTTCTGCGATGGTAGGGGATCATTCCCGACAAATGAAAACTCAAATTTGTACCGTCGGGGACGTCGGCGATGGATTTCGCTCATTACCAATTCCCTACGTTGCTGGGCACCAGTCCCCTATCATACATAAACATCGCGTCTCTGGGACAGACTTGTGGCGATTATCCGATATACGGGCAAAATCTGGGATTTTCCTGACATATGAAAACCAGGCTTTAGCTTTACCTCTTGCACGTGGCCACGTACTGCTAACTGAGTGGTTCGTCAAAGACTAGCATTCTCTTCTGTCTTACTTCGTGGATGATGGATGATAGCAATACCTAAGTTTCTTACTTCACAGACTACAACACTTTGCATTGGGATATCGAGTTTTATAACATAGCTTACGGCGAGAAAAATTGCCCAATCGAATTCGGCAGTGCGAGAGTGCTTCATGTTCCCATCGTGCACGCAGATGATGTCAACAAACTGAGGCCCCGTCCACCCGTATCCGTTTTTGTTTCAAAACGGAGATTTCGTTTCTCCATTTTTAAAAAATATCTCCGTCCACACGTGTTTACTTTTGAATCGTTTTTGCACGTCCACACCAAAACGCAGTAGTGATTGAAATCGGTTCCACCTTTGATTTGTTTTACTGGTAGACGCACACCTCTGTTCAACGGATACCCAGAGTTGGTCCCTTCCTTTCTTTACTCCCTTTATTTGACTCTCTGTAAGACAGACACCTCTGTTCAACGGACATCTAGAGTTGGTCCCTGCCTTTCTTTACTCACTTTATTTCACTCTCTATAAGACGGACACCTCTGTTGAACGGACGTCTAGAGTTGGTCCCTCCCTTTCTTTACTCGCTTTATTTCACTCTCTATAAGACGGACACTTCTGTTAAACGGACATCTAGAGTTGGTCCCTCCCTTTCTTTACTCGCTTTATTTCACTCTCTATAAGACGGACACTTCTGTTAAACGGACATCTAGAGTTGGTCCCTCCCTTTCTTTACTCGCTTTATTTCACTCTCTATAAGACGGACACCTCTGTTCAACGGACATCTAGAGCTGGTCCCTCCCTTTCTTTACTCGCTTTATTTCACTCTCTATAAGACGGACACCTCTGTTAAACGGACATCTAGAGTTGGTCCCTCCCTTTCTTTACTCGCTTTATTTCACTCTTTATAAGACGTATACCTCTGTTAAACGGACACCTAGAGTTGGTTCCTGTCTTTCTTTACTCCCTTTATTTGACTCTCTCTAAGGGAGACACCTCTGTTCGACAGACATCTAGAGCTGGTCCCTGCCTTTCTTTACTCGCTCTATTTCACTCTCTATAAGACGGACACCTCCGTTAAACGGACATCTAGAGTTGGTCCCTCCCTTTCTTTACTCGCTTTATTTCACTCTCTTTAAGACGGACACCTCTGTTAAACGGACATCTAGAGTTGGTCCCTCCCTTTCTTTACTCGCGTTATTTCACTCTCTATAAGACGGACACCTCTGTTCAACGGACATCTAGAGTTGGTCCCTGCCTTTCTTTACTCCCTTTATTTGTCTCTCTATAAGACGCACACCTCTGTAAAGCGGATACCCAAAGTTGCTCCCTGCCTCTCTTTACTCCCTTTATTTGACTCTCTATAAGACGTATACCTCTGTTAAACGGACACCTAGAGTTGGTTCCTGTCTTTCTTTACTCCCTTTATTTGACTCTCTCTAAGGGAGACACCTCTGTTCGACAGACATCTAGAGCTGGTCCCTGCCTTTCTTTACTCGCTTTATTTGACTCTCTATAAGACGCACACCTCTGTTAAACGGACATCTAGAGTTGGTCCCTGCCTTTCTTTACTCGCTTTTTTGACTCTCTATAAGACGGACACCTCTGTTCAACAGACATCTAGAGTTGCTCCCTGGCTTTCTTTACTCCCTTTATTTGACTCTCTCTAAAACGGACACCTCCGTTAAACGGACACCTAGATTTGGTCCCTGCCTTTCTTTACTCGCTTTATTTGACTCTCTATGAGACGGACATCTCTGCTAAACAAACACCTAAAGTTGGTCCCTGCCTTTCTTTACTCGCTTTATTTGACTCTCTATAAGACACCACACCTCTGTTAAACGGACATCTAGAGTTGGTCCCTGCCTTTTTTTTACTTGCTGTATTTCACTCTCTATAAGACGGACACCTCTGTTCAACAGACATCTAGAGTTGGTCCCTGCCTTTCTTTACTCGCTTTATTTGACTCTCTCTAAAACGGACACCTCTGTTAAACGGATACCCAGAGTTGGTCCCTGCCTTTCTTTACTCGCTTTTTTTTCACTCTCTATAAGACGGACACCTCTGTTTAACGGACATCTAGAGTTGGTCCCTGCCTTTCTTTACTCGCTTTATTTGACTCTCTATAACAAGCACACCTCGGTAAAACGGACACCTAGAGTTGATCCCTGCCTTTCTTTACTCGCTTTGACTCTCTATAAGACGTACACCTCTGTTAAATGGACACCTAGAGCTGGTCCCTGCCTTTCTTTACTCGCTTTATTTGACTCTCTATAAGAGGGACAGCTCTGTTCAACAGAGATCTAGAGCTAATCCCTGCCTTTCTTTACTCGCTTTATTTGACTCTCTGTAAGACGCACACCTCTGTTAAACGGACACCTAGAGCTGGTCCCTGCCTTTTTTTACTCGCTTATTTGACTCTCTATAAGACGGACACCTCTGGTCAACAGACATCTAGAGCTGGTCCTTGGCTTTCTTTACTCACTTTATCTGACTCTCTATAAGACGCACACCTCGGTAAAAGGGACATCTAGAGCTGGTCCCTGCCTTTATTTACTCGCTTTATTTGACTCTCTATGAGACGCATACCTCTGTTAAACGGACACCTAGAGTTGGTTCCTATCTTTCTTCACTCCCTTTATTTGACTCTTTCTAAGGAAGACACCTCGGTTCCACAGACATCTAGAGCTGGTCCCTGCCTTTATTTCCTCGCTTTATTTGACTCTCTATAAGACGCACACCTCTGGTAAACGGACACCCAGAGTTGGTCCCTGCCTTTCTTTACTCGCTTTGTTTGACTTTTTTTTAAGACAGACACCTCTGTTCAACAGACATTTAGAGTTGGTCCCTGTCTTTCTTTACTTCCTTTTATTTGACTCTCTATAAGACGCACACCTCTGTAAAACGGATCCTTTATTTGACTCTCTATAAGACGTACACCTCTGTTAAACGGACACCTAGAGTTGGTTCCTGTCTTTCTTAACTCCATTTATTTGACTCTCTTTAAGGGAGACACGTCTGTTCGACAGACATCTAGAGCTTATCCCTGCCTTTCTTTACTCGCTCTATTTGACTCTCTATGAGACGCACACCTCTGTTAAACGGACACCTAGCGTTGGTCCCTGGCTTTCTTTACTCCCTTTATTTTACTCTCTATAAGACGCACACCTCTGTTAAACGGACACCTAGAGTTGGTCCCTGTCTTTCTTTACTCCCTTTATTTGTCCAATGACTCTCTACAAAGTCGCACACCTCTGTTCAACGGATACCTAGTGTTGGTCCCTGCCTTTCTGTACTCGCTTTATTTGACTCTCTAAAAGACGTACTCCTCTGTTAAACGGACACCTAGAGCTGGTCCCTGCCTTTCTTTACTCGCTTTATTTGACCCTCTATAAGACGTACTCTTCTGTTAAACGGACATTTAGAGCTGGTCCCTGCCTTTCATGACTTCCTGTATTTGACTCTCTATAAGACGCACGCCTTTGTTAAACGGACACCTAGAGTTGGTACCTGCCTTTCATGACTCCCTTTATTGGGTCTATAAGACGTACCTTTCTGTTAAACAGACACCTAGAGTTGGTCCCTGCCTTTCTTCACTAACTTTATTTAACTCTCTATAAGACACCACACCTCTGTTAATAATAATAATAATAATAGACGCACTTCTCTGTTAAACAGACACCTAGAGTTGGTATCTGCCTTTCATGACTCCCTTTATAAGACTCTCTATAAGACGGACATTACTCGTGGATGGACAATTCGCGCCGGACCCAAAGAGAGAGAGATATGACTGTTCAGCCAAACGGTGTTTTCCAAAATTCCTACTCTGTAGTGCGTCTTTTAAAAAGATGCGTTTTCCGTGACCGCTTTTACCGGATACGTGTATACGGTAGGCCAAACTGGAGGGAAAAAAATCTCCATTTTCAAGAGAAAACGGATATATGTATATATAAAGCACATGGGACGGGGTCTAATACCTCTAGCTCTTGAGCGCGCTTTGCAATCCTTCCCAGTGCATCCATAAGCTAGAAATACTTGTATCGCAGAACCTCGCGAAGCACCGGGGAGGAGGCCCGTAAAATGTTAGGGATGGGAGGGAGGGAAAGAAATAGAGTAAATTGCGTAACTGGGGAGGACGGGTTTCAACAGTGGCTGTAATATTGGAAGCAGAGATTTACTCAATCTTCTTTTGGTTGTAGTAAACTCGAACCGAGTGCCCTGCCTTTAAAAAGGATTTGGAATTTTAATGGGGTTGCTATCATTAAGGCAGGTTAGGCAAAGCTGTGTAGCTAACGTGTTCACTCTTTCTGACCCTCCTTCATTTACTTCAAGTTGTCAAAAGGAAATGGGGGTGTGACAGTGGGTGGGTTCAGGCTAATATGTAGTGGCATTTGCGTAATAACAGCTAACTTGTGCCATCTCCTATAATAATATTGTAATAATTTCCTCTTTTTTGTTCGCGCTAAATTTCTATTCGACGTTCTGTTGTTGCTCCAGAGTTCTCACCGGCAAGGATTTTCATCCACTTTTTTAATCCAGAGTTGTTTTGTTTGCTTTTGTGGGTCATTTGCATTGGTAGGAATTTGTTCGTGATTCACCGATGGTATAAAAATTTCTTTCACAGACGATGAATATAACACTCGAATGAACATGAACCGGAAATACATATGCTGCGTCTCGTCACACTGGATGCGGATACCAACCGGAAATCACCGATCTATCTGTCTGCAGGCCACTAGGCTTTCGCCTGGCTCCAGGCCAGTGCTGTCTCCAAAAATGTAGAGGGCTTGGCGTCTTGGTCAACACCACAGGGCGGAAAAACAAAACGTAATGAGCAACAAATTGTCATTAAAGAAAACCCTAAGGATAAAGGCTCAAAGGACCAAATTCTGTTATGTTAACTGGTTGTTTTATCATGTTATTTGAACAACTGTTGAAGGCTTTGTCTTGGATGTAATCAATAGCAGCTTTCCGGGCCCGTCAATTATCGGGACTTTTGAGAAACAGGCCTCTGGTCAGCGCCTTGCTGTCATGTTGTTTCCTTACACAAGAAACGTTTTTGTGTGCTGAGATAGTAAATGCAGTAAACACGGAACTACATGTGAGTGTGGACATTAGAAAGATGTGAATTGTTTGTTGACTGGTTTTGCTTTAGCGTACATGTAAATTCAAAAAAATGAATGTGCACATGACCAGATATCTGAACTTCCTATTAGGGTCACTGTCCCTGGCACACGGCAGAGAAGCAAATGGTAATTGCCATTACTTATGCGCAACTACTGTAACTCTGTTTCGTTTGTCTTGTTTGTTTGTTTGTAGTGCTTAGTGCAGTGCAGGAAAGATGTCTTTGAAAGACTAGTCCTCAGTGAGGAAGATGTGGAGCTGAGTATGGGAATGTCAAGTGATCTTCACAAAGCAGTGGGTAACCTAATGCATGGCTGGTACAACTAGCTAGTGTTGTTGTATTTGATTTCTGTGTTGCTGTAAACACCATAGTGCCACACCTGCAAATGAAATGCTCATAATGCTCAAAGAAACCCTGCCTTGCATTCAAGGGTATCTAGATTATAAAACACAGATTGGTATGGGGACGCCTGACCATGGATTATTATTGATTTATTGATCTTCGTGCCAATTGTCGGAAATCCCGCCTATGCGACAAGGGTCTCAAGAAAGGAGTTGCTAGCCCAAACACGTTCCTTCCTTAGGTCTTTCTTCAACGTATCTAACTGAAGCCGCAACTTAACGTCTTGCTTTGAAACTAAAATTACGCGGGACTCGCGCCATTCACGGTAGTTACGTCACTTGCGTCACTTAAGGGAGGAAGAGAGATACAATTTAAGATCGTGTGCAATGGGAATCATGCTTCAAACGCCAAGAACTTTAACTAAAAAGACATTGGGTGACCGTGCTTTTTTAGCTGCGGCACCTAAACTGTGGAATGGGTTACCATCACAAATACGAAATGAGCCCAATTTTAATAGGTTTAAAGGTTTACTTAAGACCCATTTTTCTAGATTAGCTTTTTCTTAGGTTTTTTTTTAGGATTATGTATATATTATATTTTTATAGAACCATTGTTTTTTTATATAATATTTTTAGTTATTTTGGATAACTTATTAATGTTGATAATTTACTTTCATGTAATGCGCATTTGATCATATTTACATGTATTTTGCGCAATATAAATATTAACTTATTATTATTTATTGTTGCTGCAAAACAAATTTGCCTTGTGCCGGTAAAACGCGCGACATGTAAAGATTTTGTTTAAAAAAGTAGAACCACTCTCTACATTCTGCAACAACTTTTCGCAACCTGCAACAACCTAATTGTTGCAAGACATATTTGATTCGTGGGTGGTAAAACGCGCAACATCGCTTTTCAGCTGGTTTTGCAGCAATGGTGCAAAACAAGTTGCACCTTTTTGTTGCCCGTTTTAACGTACCTTAAAAAGAAACGATTTTTAATGTCTTACAGATTTTAATGGGAAGTAAAAATGTGCGAGTAGGCAGTACAATATTCGGTAATGCTGCTGGGGGAATTCTTCAGCAATCTCTCGGGAAACAATGTTATCCGGTGGGACCTCCCAATCAAAAACGTCCCAAGTAACAAACCCAGCGGAACAAGGCACTTTTCCTTCGGAAAGTTTCAATGTCCACTAGCGGTGACAATGTGTGTGACAAAAATTCTGGTTTCGCACGCTGCAGGTGTATGGGAAAGCGATATAGCGAGCATTACATCATTTGTAGCGTTAATCAAGGATGCTGGTGTACCATAGACGCCATGCCAAGGAAACTTAACTAACTGCATTAACGCCTCTGGAAGTTTGTCATGGGTAATTCAAGCAACGTAATGATATATGTGTTTGAATAGTCCATAATATCAAGTCCTTGATAAAGAATTCTTTGGATTGCCGGTGTTAAAGAAACGCGTGCAAATGAAAACAAATTAAACGCGTACAACCAAACAGTGTCAACGTACGAAAATGCGATGTAAGGGTTTTTGATCAAATGTAAAGGGTCTATATAGATGACATAAAGAAATACCGAGGTACGCTGTTAACTTTTGAAATATTCTTCACCATGTAACTGCCTAGCTACCCAACCCCCGCCCCCAAAAAAAAATAAAACACATACACCGACATCCAGCCCCCGGCATGAAAAGGATCTGTGCAAGCCAATAGTCTTCAGAATTCATTAGCAGAATGGTTTGCGAGGGTGGTATCTTATCTTGGGTTAAGCGTTTTTGCTTGTCTCACAGATGAAGTATTTTTTTTATTGAAATATAAAGAATCGTAAAACCTCGGACTGGTTTCTTCTGAAAGTGGGTCAGTAAAAGCTAATGAGAGGTCGTGGGTGTTAACGGGAAAACTTGACCCACTTTAACGGTGTCTGCGAAGTACTGCAGAGGAAATGGCCAAGAGATCTTTTCCCAGCGTTTGGGTGCCCATAGATTCCAAACGTGCGGGAGCTAGTGAGAAAAAATTGTTGAAGAAATAATCTCAATGTTTCAACGTAAGGTGTTAAAAATGCATCGCGGAAGGGCGAGAATTGCCCAAAATCCTTAGTCTACAAACATCAACTATCTCGATTGCTCTTTATTACTATTTTAAGGTGTTCTCCTTGCATTTTTACAAGCTTGAGCTGGTTCATGAAATTTACCCTTGCAAAGTTTAAGAGCTAGTAACTAACTTGCTTCTGTTAAATAACGGATCAATGTATTTAATAAAAATAGATATGGCCTTCTACTTAAACTGAACCAAAATATTAATAATCGCGTTTGTAACATTAATTGCAGGAACATACCAAAACGCCTAATTGCCTTCAATCCCCTCCCTCTACCTGTTCGTCTCCGCTTCCTAATATAAAACAATACGCCAATCTTTTTAGTTGCACGCTGAGTAACATAGCCTTTCAATGAAAGTGAGGATTGCGGTGACTTTGTTTGTCTTTGATTTGCAAGTCAAGGTCACCTTCAGCCTCGCTCAATGCCAGAATACTCAGTTTACAACTGTAACATGGTCTACTCATACTATTGGCGACCTTAAACAACGAGAACGCTGACGTCCCGGATATCATGAATAGCAACCGGAAGTTTGATGTCTCGCTTCGTCCCATGTAAGGGAATCCAATACAGTTTTAGATTCTAAATTCCACGCCGTGGATTCCGGAATCCGGAATCCCTTACACAACGAATCTGAATACCTTTCTTATAACTCCTGCCGTACGAGTCAGGGCACTGAGAGAAAGAAAATATCAACTTCCGGTTACCATTTTTGACATCCGGGATGTCAACGTTCTCGTCGCTTAAGGTTCCTATTATTTTGATGCCCAAAACTATGGAACTCTCACCTTGGAGATTAAAATGAATTCAAGACAGCTTTTCAACTCATTTTAAAACCATTCCTTAACTTTAAACCTATTGTAGCTCGTTGCCACGTTAAATAAATTCAAATGACCGTGTGTACTCCGTTTGGATTAGCTACCCCTTCAGTGGTGTACTCATCTTATAAGTCGCTGGCTTCGGGAGGTTTCCCTGCCTATCTCATTTTTTTCATCACATGTGTGCAAATAGCTACATACAGCCGCATTCCGGACTTCTGACGAGCTGTCAGAAGTCGACAATTCTTCGTTCTTGTCAGTCTCCTATGTCTTCAAAGCTAATTATCACTATCTCTTGTTAGATGTTAGAAGGAAAAGAGGAAAGAAATAAACCCTTTTCTCCTTGGAGTAACCGTTACCCTTAAAGCTCTCTAAGCTGGCTTAAAGTATTTTAACCTGGACCTATTTGTCCAGAATGAAACGCTAACAAGATTCAAGGCCCTTTTGATCGCCTTTCTAAAGTATACTCATGGCCAAAAATTCACCAAAATACACATAAAACTGACAAATAGGCAAAAAAAAAACAAGTCAGAAAGAAAATACCAAGTTAAAACAATGCCCACTGTATCTTAAATCTTGAACACTACGTAGGTCCAAATCTTTATTTGCAGCAATTAGGATTTTACTGTTCAAAGGAAAGCTGCGTAAAAGCACAGTCTACGCTCACCTCCTTTTACACAATTTTGTATAGTTTTAAGATTTATGGTAAATAAAAGGTCAACGCGAAATTAAAAATATCATCAAAATCGCAAGTCGTTTGGGTCGAAGTTGTGGATATTTGCCATGTCAGAAAAGGCAGCAAAACGAGCTCCATCCATGTCACTTGCTACCCGATTATCATCTCTCAGACGATGATTTTGACCACCAATCGCTGAGCCACATTCCGGGCAGCGGCCCTCTTCCATCGCCCCACCACACTCTGTGATGCAGTAAATGTGTCCTATAATGAGATAAGAGTGATAATACACCCGCGGATCATTCAAACTGGGCAGCGGGGTAACCTAGGATTTAGTAAGGAGGGGAGATGTTATAAAGGTGGTGAAGCTTGCGCCGTTATTTAAATTTTCGGCGAAAGAAAGAACGGACGCCGGTTGAGGGGGCGATTGGTTGGCGGGGTTTACTTATTCTAGGGAAGCCGTCAACTGTTTTTATCTATCACTCTTGCTCTCATTGAGTTATAGAGTTCATCGGGAAATTGGTAATTCAAAAGAGTCGACTCGTCTTATCCAATGCATTAACAGCTGGAAATTGTGTGTTTTCTGAATAGTCTAGGAGACTGAGAGGCTATACTCACCCTTTGGACACTTGAACCAATGTCCTTGTGTTAAACCCATGGCCTTCACAATCAGGTCTTTTTCTTGTCGGGTGACTTCCTGGTAAAACACTTCAAGTCCGCACAATCGTCCGATCCGCTTTATGCGAGTTGTATAACGGTCTCTGACGTCTTTTCCTAAAATGAACCCAGAAAAAGTGTTTCGTTCATGATTCTTTTACTGGGATTTAGGAGAGACGCTTGAAATAGAAATTTTCAAAGTTATGCTGGAAACTACACAGTGAGTACGCAATATGGTTGGGGATTTATGACCATAACAATTTTGCTTGGATTTTGATATGACAAATGGTATTATAATTCATGACCATGTTTGAAGTTGCGAAATGTATATCCGTAATGCTTTCAAATGAAGTTAGTTACAACATTTCCCTTCTCCGCTTTCTTTGGATGCCCCTTCCCCCTCACCCCCATCCCGGTGTTAAACACTTGTCTTCACACTTAATTACAACGATTCGTTATATATACGATGGTGTTTTTGTTTGAACCCTCAGAGCTCGTAGATTGTATTTACCTATATACGCTAAAACATCAGCCCGTGGTGTAACACAGCTATAATAAAGAATTACCCAAGCACTGGGATTCGTTTTTGTTAGAACTTTAGACCTATGATGCTGTTTAGTTGCTATTCTTCTATATCATCATTGCGTTTTTCATCTCTGTCCTTCATTGTCAATCCACTTACCAATCACTTTCTCAGAATCCAAGGCGCTTTGCACGAGGTCAATTTTCACGGAATCAGTGGCGTTCAGCTTATGTCCTCGGATGTCAAGCTGCATCTTCAGAATCTTTAAGTCAACAGCAAGCTGTGTTCTGTACATCTCCTCTTTCAGTTCCTCTAACTCTTGGTCACTGAACCGCGCCCGAGTCTCCATGACACGGAATCGGAGTTTTTCCACTAGACTGTCTAGTTCTTCTTTCCTTTCCTGCAGTAGTCTTGATGAGTGATAGCTTTCTTGCGCTCTCTCACTCTCAGCTTTTGCGCCTTTGTGTATCTTAACCTTGAGTTCCTGGAGGAAGGACAACAGGCTGATCTGGTTCTCAAACACATTCACTTGTTCATCTGTAAGATTCTTGAGAAGCAGTGACTCCTCAAGTTTCTTCTGTTCCTTTGGGAACAACTTGATCTTCTGTGCTTTCAAACTTAGCCCACTAACGGCTTGTTCACGCTGTTGTTTTCCAAGTAGAATCTTTCGCTTTATTTCCTCGAAGTCAGCAAGAATCTTCTTAACAATGTTACCATACCTCAAGCTGGTACGAATGGGAGTTGAGCACTTGGGACAGCGCTTGAGCTGGACATCAACATCCTTTCCATCATCCCCTGCCTCGGCCTGGTCCATCCACTGGTCCATCATCTCGACTTCAAACACATGACCACAATCAGCCAGTTCTACAAACCTTGCGTCCTCGTGGTCTTCAGTTCCGAAGAAAATCTCGGTGACCTCATCCTTATGACACACTCGGCACTTCTTTGGACATCGTTCCCCGCAAAGACCAATACAGGGATGCTTGCAAGGAAGAGGCTTTTTACACGGCTCGTTACATCGCTGACGATTACATGGCTGTCCACACAATCTAGTGCATCGGTGATGCACACATTGCCAACTGCATCTCTCGTTGCAAGGCTCACAAGGCTCGCCACATTTTTTCTTGCACTTGCTGTGCGTACAGGAGTTGCCACAGCGTTCTTTGCACGGGGGACAGTTTTTGGTACAAGGCTCAGAGCAGGAATGACCACAGAATAGGGTACGGCCGCAGTTTTTCTTGCAAGGGACATGAACTCGACCGCGAAAACACAGACTGCAATTACCTGACATGTGAAAAAAACAAAAACAATTAAAAAGCATGAGAAATTAAACATTGCTGAAATGATCTCTGAGCATCGGTATCAAACGTTTTACCAACTTAAGCAAGAGATGAGAGATCATTGTCAAGGCTAGTTGTATCTTCTTTGGTCGTTGCCTACTTTTTGTTGAAGGAAATAGCCAGATGAGTTAATCGATCTATTTTGAAAACTTGCTTTCAGACTTACCAACACAAGGGTGTTCACACTTCAACGTCTCTCCACAGGGTGCCTTACAAGGAGTCTGCATAGGATTCACGTGACACGCTGTCTTGTTCTTGTGCCCACAAGGCCAGGTTTTCAGTGTAATGGCGGTACACTCCACTGTACACGCCTCAGAGCAAATGTTTTGGCAAGGATGCCCACATCTTGGTAGAAACTTAGTACAAGGTGACGTGCATTTCACTTCAGATGGATCTTTGTAGCAAGGGACTTTCTGAACATGGCCACAACCTGGGAGGGTTTTTAACACGAGCACCGAACAAGGTCCACAATCTTGGTAACACCTCCTGGAACACATGTGATTTCTTCTGCAGAGGATTTTAGCGCATGGTTTCTTACATTGGTACTCTTTATGTTCCGGGTCTGTTGGATGACACACCATTTCACATACGTGACCACACGCTAGTCTGGTAGCACAAGGCACTGTACATCCCCCTTCGGGAGCTTTCTTGAAGTCATCTGCACATGACGCCTGAATCACGTTCCGTGGGTGGTTTTGACACGAGAGTGTCAAAGCGTTTCCGACATTACCGCGCTCTTCCATGTCGTCCATTATCTTTCTCCACAGTGGGCTCTTTTCTTTCAGAAGACTGATGTTGCCAATGCAATAGAAACCTTTCTTAGCCCGAGACAGTGCGACACAAACCCGGTTTTCAGTCTGAAGAAAACCGATTTTTCCGTCCTCATTGCTTCGAACAAGCGACAGCAGGATGATGTCGTTTTCTTCTCCTTGGAAATTGTCCACCGCACACACTCGCACCCCTCGGAAGAAATCCTTAGGCATCTCCTTCTTCAGTTGGATTAATTGTCCTGTGTAGGCTGTTAAGACTGTAATCTGTTCCCTTTCATAACCTTGAAGGATTAAGTAGCGACAAAGAGCAGCCACAAACTTTGCTTCGTGTTCATTAGACCTACTTCTTCCCTCCTCCTGATATTCCTGAAATTCCAGAAACAAAAATGTCTTGAAAATAGTGGAGGTTAGTGGGAGGAAACTGCATTACGGTAAGAAATGAGAAATTTGAATCTCGAAACTAGGTTACATGCGATTTCTGGGTTACTAATGAGAAATACAGTGGCAACTATAACTACCTACCATCAATTGTAATACTTGTTGCACCTGAATACGGTAAGTCAGCTGTGCATTGCATGTGTTTATGACAGCGCAATTTTGGGTGGGTAGGACAATTGTAGAGATAAATCACAAAATTGAGTTTTACAGAATTCCACCCAACTTGTCACCATTGTCCTCGTGGTTATTTTCTGTGTCCTCTAGACTCCGCCTTTGCACAAAGCTAGCATTATACTGTTAATATTGACAGCGACACATTAAGGGAGTATTGCATTTCGTGAAAGTGAGACCTACCTCGCTCTCGTCATGATCCACAAAGTACATGTTACGATTCACGCCCTTGATGTTTGCAAAATTCAGCACTGATTTGTGATTCTCCAACTTAGGGTTGAAATAAATGTGGTCGAGCATCTTGGATATTTCCGGTCTCATCCGGTGCTGTAGACGTAGCCGCTCAAAAGGCATTCCATTTTTTACCATTCTTTCAAAAAGGGACACGTCCAAATTGTAGTGTTTGGCGAGTTCAAAGACAGTGGGATTGGGGCGGAGTTGCTGGTGATCACCAATCAAAATCAAGTGCTGGCATCCGGAAGTCAGAGAAGTAACAATGTGCGACTCGAGAACCTCAGCGGCTTCCTCTACAATCGTTATTCGCGGTTTCAGTCTCTGCAGCAGCTTGCGGAACTTTGCCGCACCTACATGAAAATTATGAAAAAGTAACGCTTGAAACGGTTTTAAAAAGTCCTCAGCTTACTATAAAATGGCCTCAAACGAATCTCTGATGATCAGTACGATCGATGGTCTGGTTATCAAGCCATGGCTAGGTTACACTAAAATCCAATTTCAACTGTTGTAAAACGACAGTGGCAGAGATAACGACTGAGAAACTGTACCACTGTTTTACTTAGACCCCTTTTTTCGCTCCCTTCCTCTCGTCATTGTGCAAGTTCAACCTGCCAGAAGCACTTATCAAACATACCCGTGGTAGTCATACCAACGACGTCAGCGTTCTTGAGTATCTCAAAGTCTTCCATGTTTTTTATGTCCTTTAGTCGTTTAGCACCCTCTTCAAATTGTTCCTGGAAAAGCGAGATAGTTTGGCGGTAACCATCGCTCACATCCTTTAGCCAACGTCGGTACAAACGCCAGCGATCGTTTACACTTAACCTCCATACATTTCGTACCTACATGATAAAAGAAGCATTAAATCAAACTAAGGAGTTTCAGATTACAACGCTGTAGGGAATGGGTGACTGATTTTTTTGTAGCCTTCCGTTAAGATTAATGCGAGTCAAATCTACATTCATTCTGTCATCTTTACATGGTGTTCTTGCATAAATGTCTCCAAGACTGAATAAAAATACTTACCGGTGTATATCCTTAAACTTACACTCCTGTAAAAATTCCTTAGTTAAGAATCATGAAGGAGAGGATTAATATTTGTAAGAAAGTATCTTTGTTCAAATATCAGAGCTATTTATGTAAAGGGCTTCTCTTGCCGTCAGTCAATGCTTGTCATTTGAAAAAAAATGAATTTTGCGTGCATGGCACAGACAAAGTTAAAGCGTAAGTGTAGGCACATGAAAACCACTTTAAAAGCAAACCGCAATGTAACATGCTGACTGCATTAAAATAAAGCTCTGTCATCATTTTGAGAAACCAGACTAAACAGGGCGTTTTTTTTTCTTTTTGTTTTTTTGTTTCCAGCTCACCATTTTTGCTCTTTCATCTGGCATGACATCCTTTTTGCTCAGCTCTTGAATGATCGTTCTCTTTAACCTCTTTTTGAGCCGATCGGCGTTCTGGACCTGCCATCCGTCTTCAGATCCTCCAGCAAAAGCAAAGGGATCCACAACCTTCAGTCTTGCTCCTTTTAGGCCCGCCGATTTCGTGCCAAACACTCTTACGTCATCATTATCCAGAAGTCGTTGGTCCTGCATAACATCTGCTTCGTACAACACATCCGCATCCTCAGTGTCGTCTTCCTCTTCTCCCTCGCCTCCTTCATCCCCATCTTGTCCTGCTGCACCACCTTTAGAGGAGCGCAAATGGTGAGAGTTAGAATTACTGTTCATGACTTTCGTTGTGACTTAATAAGCGAAAGGTTGATGATTCTACAGTAGGCACAGTTTTGTGAATTGACTAGCATACTCGATTACCTTCCTGAGCAATTCCACCAACAGTTCGGACCATTTCTTTTCCGAGGGATTCATTGAATACATGAAGCTCGCGAACCCGCCCTTGAAAGCAATGACCTGGTCCGGCAGAAGCTATGGCTCCGATTCGGATGGAAAACTGAGTTGCTAACTCCATTTTGCTGCCTATAAACTTCGCCTCTACTGCATTTCCATTTTGCCATAGACGCGCAATTCCAGAATCATGATCATAAGAGGCACCAATAAAGTTCCAAGCGTTCATGGTCAACACTGCCTTTGAAAGGGCTAGAGGCTGGGAAAAATCTCTCCAGACAAAACGAACCGTTAGAATTCCCTTTCCATCTTCCAAGCCTTCTTGCCATATCTGGACTCCTAGGCCATCTTCATGGAAACTTAGGATAGGACCTCTGTTTCCGACCGGAAACACGTGCATGAGGAGTGTGATTGAAGTCCTAGTGTCCAGGTCACTCCCGACGTGATTTGGAATTTCAATGAACGAATTAGGAATTCCTCGTAGATGAATAGATCCACCTTGCGTTCCGTCCGGCCCAGGGGCCGATGCAACACGGGAAAAACTTGCTAGCTTGGCTCTTGACACTCTTTCCAGTCCACGACACTGGCTATTCAGTGGGAACACTGCTACGGGCTGTACAGGCGCTGATAAGTAAAGAAGAAACAATCAGTTGTTATCCTTTTTTGAACTCACAGTATGTCGTGGGGAGGAAACACTTCCAAGGCTTTACGAGTGGTCAAAAACATCAGTAAGAGAAAAGGGCAATTGCCTTACTTAATGGTTCGTCTTAACGTCTACAATTTTAATTTTTCTACTTTTAATAGCTTCTTACCTTGGTTAGGGTTGGCCGAGTTCCAAGAGAGGTTTAGCCACTGAAGGATAGCGCTGTCCTTTCGCCCAAAAAATCCGTCAAAAGGCTCTTTTAGAGACTGGTAATGCATAACAGTCATGCTTGATGATGCGCGTTGACGAAGATCATCTTCGTGTAGCAGGTTTTCAAAGCACCTTTTCAGGTCTTCAGCTGCTGATTGTAATTTTGCTGTTGTGTGGTCCATTTCCTGGTGTGCATCGTAAAAAGCCCTTCTTATTTGAACCGGAGCTGATTTGTCCTAAATAAAGAGAAAAAATAGAACTTATTTCAGAATGTAAATCGAGGTGGCAGGTGATGCTAATTAACAGGTTAATATATATAACAGCTACCGACGAAAGTAAGGAAATCCATGATGTTTGTGGAATCTTCTTTGGTGTATTTCACAAGTGACCCGCAAATTGCTTTGGGTATGATTGGAGTCAAAATGAAATCCAGCTTATATTGATTTCAATGAAGTTCGAGTCTCAATTTCCTTCCTGAATAATTTGGTGTAGCAAACAAAAGGAACTTAGAATCAAACTTGGTTGAAACCATTTTAACCTGAATTTCATTTCGACCTACTACAGATGCATAAGGTAGTTCTACTAGACGGTATCTTGTTCTTAAAGTTTTATAATTCTGTTTAAAGGCTACGAATCCTTATCCCTATCGATCACTTATTCAGTTGCGAGAAACAACCAATTTTAAGCTGCTCTGCTTTGTTACTGCCAGAAACTATGAATTTTCGTTCGTAGTTTTTGAATTTAATTTCAACAAGCTGTGGACACACGGCCATTTCTGCTTTTTTTTCACCATTTAATGTGCTCGGTTTATCAAAGGTGTTCGCGATATGTCTATGGTTTTCGTCAGGCCTTTTACCCGGGACCTTGGATTACAAGCGGCGTCTGCTTGAAAGGTATACAGGGGTGGTTGAGGAGTGAAGAAAAGTATAGCTCATCCTCGACGTGACAATTGACTCTTACCTTGTGCATCCTGTGCTTCAGCTCTGACAAACTACAAGCCTTCATAACCTCACTCTTGCTTCGTCCTCCGATTCGAACGATACCCTTGGGATGAAACTTGTGGATTCCTTCTAGAAACTGATCGAGGGCATGATTGGTATAGCAGACTACAAGGATTGGACGCCGCTCAGAAAGAAGCAAACGCTCATCCATGTTGTCGTCAAGCAACTCTGTACCGGTGTCCCATTTCCCCTTGTTATGCAGCAACACATTGGCTATCTGCGGCAAACAGTAAACAATCTTTGTGGCGGAAGCTACTTATATTAGCAAGGGTGGGAACTGCTCTAGACTGCGAGTAGTTGAGGGAGCTAAATACGCAAGCGCGAGTGAAAATCACCACGCGCGAAGAGAAGCGAGATATCTGGTGCTCTTCCCTACGTGAGTTACCTTACTGGTGGGTGCCTACTTTCACGCGCGCTCGCGACTATTTTCCGCGCTCTAGTATCCCTGAGGAAAATGCGGGACTACTCATAGTCTAGGACTTTTTATGATATATATGGCTGACCACCGTGCTTGCCCTTGGGAGCTTTACTTCTATCTCACTAACCTTTGAGGAAAAAGAATATTAGATTATGCCGGCAATTATATTTACCATACGAGAGTCTTACTGTAAAGAAAAATATACAAAAATATGCAAAGGGGTTACATGAATATTCTCCAATCGTACATAAATCGAAGCATACATCTTTGTAGTTTTCGGCATCAAGATTTGTAGCTTTTTTTCACTGTCTTTTGTTTTCTTAGCGAAAGGTATTTTCTTGAATGAAAAGGGTTATTAGATATGGGTCGTGGAAGTGTCTACACCGCCACGTTCAACAATCCTTATCGTCATGTTGAATTTGATTTATCCGCTAAGGTTTTTATGACACGAGGAGCCGCATGCAGTAAAATTTCTGTCCCGTAATTTAATCAGTTAAATCATCAAAGTTGACAGGTCTTTCTGATGATCAAAGCGACCGTTCGGTTTACCATTTACACCTTTAGTGCGAAGACTGTCACGGGAACATTAACACCTTCAGGATAATTGCTTACCATAACAGTGGTAGGTCGCGCGCGTCTGGTCGGTTTCGAAGAACGTGATCGTGACTGTTGTTTTCATTCAGTGACTGTGCGCGTTGATATGCCAACGTTTAAAACAGACTGCAACATTAAATTTTTGTTATAAAAGCAAAGAAGCTGCTGAGTAGAAACTAAACCGTCCCAGACTTATTCCGTTTCATTCGTGTACTTTCATTTTGATGGGGTCTGTATGATGAATTTACTTCTGCCTTCTAATCAGGCACGTAAACAACATAGAGATAAAACATTTCATTTTGCTTTTGTGGAGTAAATTCATCTTAAAATAGTTAAACTAGTGGACCACTTTCTCCGCGTACTTGTAAAAATAGGCATTTAGTATGTCGCGCTACAGTGCGAAAATCTTCTTGTTGTGGATTAGATTTCAGTATACATATTCTTCATTTCGCGCCAGAATAAATTAGTTTGCGCGCAAAGGGCTTCTAAAAAGAGATCACAAGGTTTGTCCCACGTCGAGTCCACCTTCTAGAGATACGCCGGCATGGTAGCTGGAATACATTGCCGAGGCGAAGATCTGGCATTTTTTCCTCCTCGTCTTTTTTTCTCCGCGACGTTTGTTTATATTTGTAGTGAGAATGCCGCGCATATCGGTGGATTTTACTTCAGTCAAGCGGCTTCAGTTCCTGCGGCTTGCTACTCATCATAAAGAAGAGTGCCGGAATCGCTTTGTTCGCCTTTAACAGATTTGTTGTCGAATGCAAGGTAAAAGAACGGACTACTGTAAGGTAAGAATTGAAGTTTAAATTTGTTTCTCGGCGAAAAATAGTGCATACAACTCGTGAAACCCGTGCGTATTACCTCTGTTTAATATACCGGATGTCATGCGATGACCCCTCGCTTTTACGATGGATAGGACGGATACAAACAATAATTTCTTTCGCAACGTTTAGTATCATTTACTTAATATGGAGATCATCTGAGGACGATTTTCCGTTATATATGCTTCATCTCTTGGCTTATTCCGGCTACGTGCGAAAAATTAGATGACAATGTTTGTGTGCTATAATTATACTGATAATTTCTTGCACCTTGAAACTCATGAAAGCCAAACTTGTTTAACCCTAGCAAAAAACTTTTTTAATGGAAGAACTCAACCTGATAGTTGCACTAAAATCTAATAATTGTTACTGCATTTGCATGCTCTCTGTAACCTCGTGGGTAGAACATACTCGATGGTTACATTAATAATAATCACTGCATTTGCTCTCTGTAACCTCGTGGGTAGAACATACCCGAAGGTTACGTTAATGATAATCATTGCATTTTCTCTTTGTAACCTCGTGGGTAGAACATACCTGATGGTTACATTTAAAATAATAATCACTGCTTTTGCTCTCTGTAACCTCGTGGGTAGAACATACCTGAAGGTTACGTTAATAATAATCATTACACTTTCTCTTTGTGACCTCGTGGGTAGAACATACCTGATGGTTACATTAATAATATCACTGCATTTGCTATACGTAACCTCGTGGGTAGAATATAACTGACGGTTACATTTAATAATAATCACTGCATTTGCTCTCTGTAACCTCGTGGGTAGAACATACCTGAAGGTTACGTTAATAATAATCATTGCATTTTCCCTTTGTAACCTCGTGGGTAGAATATACCTGACGGTTACATTTAATAATAATGTTAATCACTGCATTTGCTCTCTGTAACCTCGTGGGTAGAACATACCTGAAGGTTACGTTAATAATAATCATTGAATTTTCTCTTTGTAACCTCGTGGGTAGAACATACCTGATGGTTACATTAAAAATAATCGCTGCATTTGCTGTCCGTAACCTCGTGAGTAGGGTATACCTGATGGTTACAATAATAATCATTGCATTTTCTCTTTGTAATCTCGTGGGAAAAAAATTAACGCCTTTCTCCTGGAAATTTTGCCCTGTCCTTTGAGCATAGTGATCTTTGGGTAACGAATTCACGAAAACAGGTAAAACGCTTTTTTTAACAACAGCATTTATATTATTTGGCTTTTTGAGGGAGGTTAAACATTAATGGAATATAATATAAAAAAAGCTGATAAAGCGGAAAAAGTTATCTTTACAAAATGCGCTTTGACAATGTCAAGGAGTGAAATAAGCTGAAGTTTTGTAGTTAGCCCGAAGAAAACCTGTTCCTGCATGAAAAGCAGTTCTGATTCCCTTCTCTTAACTAGAAGAGATGCATATTCCCGTGAACCAGTTTTTTAACTAGGAGCGATTCCCACTCACTTATGATACTTTATTGACACGAGTTCATATTTCAATATATGTCTAATTCAAGCTTAGCCGCGTGATAGCTCTTCATTAGCGAAAAGGTCCAAGTGATATTTTGATTGACGTGTTGTTTTCGATCCTTAGGTTTTTTAACACCTTTTCTCTAGCTTAACTGGCGAAGATATTCTAGGAATTTGCCCTTCAATTCCAAATTCTTTGATGTGCCGCCAGATGCCGTGCAAAAATATCACCTCTTGCGGCTCCTCGTGGTCAAGCATCGAAACCCTAAACAAGCCTATTTTTATAGTGAAGTGTATCGTCATATCCTCTAGTTCCATATGTTCAGACGATTCCATCTTCATCACATTTGTGAGAACAGATTAGCTCACAACAAGCCTGAATGACGACATGTGGAATGTCCTTTACTCGTAGACCAATTTTCACATTTTCACTTACTTTAAGTCCAATATATGTCTTCCCAGTGCCTGGTGGTCCTTGAATAACCGCAAACTCTTTTGTCAGCGCCATCTGTATAGCTCTGTACTGGGAGTCATCAAGTTCCAGCTCTTTCGCGGACGGCCAGGAGACTAGGCTTAGAATTGGAACACTGCTTCCTTTTGGGAAGGAAAAAAAGGCTGTTATGTTGTGACTAAAAATTACGCACTATAATTCTGGACATTTTTTTTAGAAGCTGGCTGACATAATTAACTTACCCTTAAAAAATTTAAGTGGGTGAATGAGTAACAGAAAGGGTGCAGTGATGATAAAACGTTCCTCGATATTAGAAGTATTCCATAGGTGCATTTTCTTTGCCGCCAGCTTGAAGATTTGAAAATTCCATGGTCAGATTGAGGTGTCTAAAAATGAGGTTCTACTTACCTCTGTGATTGTCGTCTCTAAGATTCAATCCGGCAAATCGTGCGGAAAATCGTGTCCTTAAATGCATTAGGCTGGAAGCGCTGCAAAAACCGAATCGAACAACACCGTTTAGACCGTTAAGTATGTCAGTGACAGCCTTAGTGAGAGCACCAAAGAAACTCTAATACGTTTCTTTCAGTAGTATTGTTAACGCAGTTATTTTGTTTGTTGCTGAAACTCCCTTACTGAAGACAGCGCGACACATGAGAAAGAAGAAAACGAAAGAGAAAATATGTTAAAGGATAGGAAAATGTATTGGCTTCGTGTAGATGTCCTCCTTTTCCTTGTGGCACGTGCCCACAGGCTAGAAAAGGCCTTAAAGCTTTTAAAACTAGAACCTTTTATGAAATTCTTTTGTATGTTTCAGCAAAAGTCACATGAGCCTGTAAAGAAACCCGCGACAGCGAGATGTGTCGTTAAGATTGCCTACGTGAAACCCGTCTTCACAAATATAATTGTACAAATTATTAAACATAATGATTATTTTTCGGTTTAAGGGAAAGTTGTAGTTGGTCCTTCGGGCGATGGGAAACAAAACACATCATGGGCATGGCCATATCTGCTTTGAAGACCATTTCCAGACTCAGGGGCACAGGCCTCCAGATATCATCCTATTACTTGTGACGGGAAGGCTCACGTGAAGTAACGTGCCCCATTAAGTCGGTTACTGCCCAGTAATTGGATTTTTCGCAGATCGTTTTTTACTTATTTACTGGAGTATCTCACACCAAACTCAATCGTTGCATTTAAGCAACGCCATTCTTAACTGTCTTTGTAAAATGATCTTGTTCAGCTTACCTTGTGGTAGAATTTCTGGACTCTTCGCTCATGATGGGTGTGAGATCAAACGTAACTGTTCCGCGATACCTGTTCCTCAAGTAAGCTGGTGGGTCAACCTGTTTCTCACAGTTGACAATGTACTTCTGTTTTTAAGAAAGTATCACAGAACAGTCCCCATCGTCAATTAAATTAAGAGGGGTAAATCTCTTGGGGGTAAATGGAGCTATGTCACGAGGATATTTAACGATTAATGAATGAGACTGAGTATCTTACGAAGAATTATGGAGATCGAGGAGATCACACCCTCCGAGATCTCCATAATTCTTCATATGATACGAAAGCCGAATTCAATAATTGTTTTATTATTCATTCAAAGTAATTCCTACTTTAAAAACATGGCTAAAACATGCTAACCTCCATCGATCCATCGATGTTAAGTTCATCTTCGATAGTGCACGTTTAGGTTTGTCCTGCTGTGCAAATATTCTCCAAGTAGCAGATGTCGCCCTTCGAGTTGTCTTCTCGCTGTTCTTGCCATGTTTTTAGCTATGTTTTCGCCTAGTTCTTACTCTTGAAACGGGTGAAATGTCCGCCATTTTTCAAGTTTACAATGAAAACAACTCAACCTCGTCCCCAGGTCTTCTCGGTTAACGGTGCCTTAACCTGCGAAAACGCTGCATTTTTGACGTCATTTCCTCGTTAAACACAAAATTCTTCCAAATTTGGTCATCAGTAACCGGTTATGGTGAATTAAACGAGTGCTTTTAGCCAATCACAATAGGGAAAATATTTTGAATTCTGTGCTAAGGACATATCATTGATTAATGCCTTGACCCATACATAAAATTCTCCTGTAGAGTTATGGAAACGATGTCAAACAATTTTCATCAGGGAGCACTGGCCACAATAATTTGTGGTCGATTTTTGCAGGCAAAGCAGTAAAACTCGAAAAAGTTGGGTCAACGCTTTCAAGTTTTCAATTCATTTCCATCGTTGCCATACGTACAGGAGACGACGTGGAAAAGTTTCAGTTCCTAAATATTGTCTTAAAAAAAGAAATTGGACCATTATTTTTGGAAGCCAGTTGATGCGAAGTGATAAAAAGATAGCAATTGCAATTAGCGTGGCATAGCCCCTTTAAATGCACTGGTACCTCTGGCATGGTTTTTCTCGTTTTCAGCCAGTCTCCAGCTTTCTGTTTAGTCTTTCGTTACTAGTTAATGACTGGTCACGACTTTTTATAACAGTAACGTTTCTTTTCAGTTAACGGTATTGTTTCTTTGGAGAAGGTGTAGCTAGTGATTGGAGAACGAAACAATAGATGACAAATGGTTCAAAACAAACAATACCCCTAGCGCTAAAGCTTATTTAGGCCAATAAAAATAGAGGTTTGGGAGAGCTACTGTACTACTCATTCTTTGTGGCAGGTGGCTCAAAAGGACGTCGATAGTCAATTAACTGAAATGTACGTCACGAAAGTAGTATAGAATTTCCCTAGTGCGTTTCTAACCTGCAAAGGCAGGCGTGCGGGATCCACCTCTTTGAGTCCTTCCAGTATATGACGATAGGCTTCAAAGTACACAGTGCTTTCTACCATCTGAAACACGTCTCCTTCTTCAAGTCTTACGTAATCAGAGAGATTAATGAACTGTATGTCCACTATACCCTGGAGAGGGAAATATTAGATGCAACTGCCTTAAATGATTGATAAAATTCTTATTGTTGAGCAACTGAACAATAAGGGTGTGACGATTGAAAACGCTAAACAGATTGATAATTTGTCGTGGAAGAAAACTGGTTTGAGTTTGATCTTGCCTCGTCTCGGTTGGTCTACGTTAAATAATCGGAAATATTTTTCTATTGAAAATTCAGTGCGACGAAAGTTTTTAGGTACCGGGCTCTTCTAAGCACGTACTTGAAACCCTCACCGCGCCGTTTCTTACGACCTGACTGAATTCCCCTGGGTGTCTGAGGATGACGTTAGGTCAGAAATGTGAGAAGGAGAATATGTGGAAAAGGATGACAACTTACCTGCTTTAATTCCTTCGGATCGCGATTGGCTATGGTAGCAAACACAAAACTTTCAAACTTGTCCTTAGAAAGACACATCAGCGAACCAAAGATTAATCGTTTGCTGTTCTCCCAGCGCACATTTCTTAGCCTGGTGCTATCAAATTTAATCCTGTACCGAAGTCCGTCCGTCGTACATACAGGGTATAACAGTCGGACATCTTTGTACACGCGGATGTCTTGCAGGGCACCAATCTTGGCAGAGCCAATGCGCTCTAGCAGCTTAGCAATTCCTTCACGTAGCGGCCTCACGAAGTCTTCACGAAGGAGACGAAATTGCACGTCCAAATAGTGTTCTGCATCATTGTAGCTCCCATCAGTTTTGTTCCTTCTGAGGAAGGGACGCTCCCCTGTCAAGATGTCCTGTTGCGTTGGTATAACGCTGTACTCACGGAAATTATCAGGTGGATCTACATCATCATTCTCTCCAGCTATAACAGAAAATGACGAACAATTTGACTGGTGGAAACATTCTTGTTTTGGTCTTTGCCTTTAAAATCTTTTGTATTACGACGTCATTTGGTGATTGCAACCGTCTGCGACAGCAAGAATTAAAACTATATCTTTTTTGTGACTGCTTAGTTATATTAGGCGACTTATGTCACCAAAAAAAAAACAGCAACGTTAATGCAGCCGCAATCTTATCGCCTTCACTATCATGCACACTCACCGTCTCTCCGTGGTCTCCTTCTGTGTTGTTTTTCTTCTTCCACTTTCCTCAGCTCATCTGCCTTTTGACTCCTCAGCTTCATCAGTTCCTCTCCTTCTGCCACTAAGGCACCATCAGGCTGTTGGGTGTCGGAAAAAATCCTGATTCCACAATACAACTCAGATACTGGAAGGTCTGCGTATGAATTCGGAAATGTTCGAAGCAACTCCTTCATTATTCTCACAACATTTCTTAGAAACGTGGCTACTTCCGTGGCAGGCTTGCGGCAAGCGGACAGCCTGTTGAGGAATGTTCTTAGATGTGCAGTGAAGAAAAGAGATTTCGGTAGAAGGTTGAGTAGCTTGATTAAGAACTCCTTGGAACTACAACCGCAGGCTTTGGCAATGATACTCACTGTCAGTACAATCCAGTCATCCTTCATGGCTGATTGCTGGTTCAGTAAAAACTCGGTAGCTGGGAAACATCGGCTTGACGTCAAATCCAGAATGATTTCGTCAGGGGTTTTAGTGTCCAGTTCCTGAAGTGCTTTGAATCCGAGCCTTACTTGACGAGGATTGTGCCCCTGTGCTCCGTCTTCTGCACGTCCACTTCTTCCCCCCCCTCTGCCTCTCCCTCCTCCAAAGCCACGACCACGCCCCCCTCTTCCAGCTCTTCCTCTTCCAGTGCGGTTCCTTTCCCCATATGTGTCGTCTTGTATTGATTCCCTAGAGTAAGACCTTCTGATGGCACCAGTTTCACGTGAAAGTGGTCTTGGGTACATCAGGAGAGGCTTTTCCTAAAAGCAAGAAGAAAAAAAAATGTCATTTAGCTTCCATGCATCTGTACTCGATCGAAGAGTGTGCTTGTGGAAACTCTACAACCGTTCATTTTAATGTGATGTCTCATCTTCAACATCGTTCATGACTTCTTGTCCTATTAGATCCGACCTTTTATTTTTTGTGACCACCCTTTCTAAATAACGGTGAAAAAAATTCTCTGAGGGTGACTACCATAGAATGAGCAATTGCAGGTGTTGAAAGAAAAAACGCGAAGACAACCGCTCTTTATCTTACCAAGCGACGAGAGGCGGCCTTATTCGCATGCTATTATCTTTCAGGCATATGGTTGTTATTTTCCTAGAGTTAAAGATCGACCTCTTGTCACATAATGTTTTTCTTTAATTAGTTGTAGATTGCGATATTTTGGTTAGCTTCTGCTCATGGTATTCATCCTTAAGACGTTAGTGCTATCATCATAGAGCAGGTCAGCTTATTCTATGGTCTTTATTAATCAGCTTTAGTCATCTACACTCGTTTCTCAGTCCTATCAAGTCACTGTAAAGAATCCCTCTTTAGAAGGTTTGCATGGTGTTGCAACTCTACTTTGTGAAAGGGTGTTAGCCCATATCTCGTCTTTCTCAGCTATCGTTTAATTCTTTGGTTCACAGATCGCAAATATCGCTATCAGATAAAAAAGTCTTTAATTTAAAAAAATTAAGACCAATTCTCAGGTAACAGTTTTCCCATTTTGGTCCCCTTTCCAGAGAGTCTCAATGGGGTTGTGGCTTTTACGGTTATCGGCTAAAATTTTGGCTATTTTACGGCTATCGGTTAATTTTTTTCAGTTACGGTTAACAAAAAAGTTAAAAATTAACTTATTTTGTTTCAAAAAGTTAAATATTAATTAACCTGTATTTTTTGTATCTTTAAATTGAAATAAGAGGGTCTGGATGGGGGAAAGGTACAAATGTCAGTTGTCAGTTAAAATTTCGGCCATTTGTCAGGTGTTAGTTAAATGTTGGGCTTTTTGTCAGTTGTCAGTTAAATGGTTATTAATGATTAACTATGAAACTTATTTGGATATTTTTAATGCAACATTTGGCTTAAAAGGCACATATAATGTACATTAAACATTAAATTCCAAAACTGATGCGATAGTACCTTAATTTTTAATCAGTTTTGCTATTGTAAGCATTTCAAGTGGCCCTTCTTTTTCCCAAGTCTTGTGTTACTCTCCTCCACTCAAACGTTTTTGCTGGCCAGAGTCCAACATAGCAGCCAATCATTAAGCCAATCAAAATTTATAACATCACAATATTGTATACGCATTATGCGTGAGTCTTAGGACTATGGACTAAAGACAACGATCTCACGCATCAAGGACAATTTCTCACGCCTGACTCACAAATCCCTCATTCTGATCAGCCATTCAGAGGAGCGTAAATTTACAATAGGTCATTTACAATAGATGATACATGACACACTTGGGTTTTATAATAAAATCATTGACGAACTATGACACTAAAGCGTCTTGCTGCTAAGATTACCCCTAAAAACGCACATTTGATCACATTGTCTGATGAAAAGAGTGGAACAATGCTATTTAAGGTCTTAAAAACGGGTGTAGAAACTAAGGCCGGACAATCAGGTCCTTTGGGTTTTGTCAGTAAAACCCAAGGCAAATGTCAATAGTCAGTTAAATTTTCTCTATTTGTCAGTTGTCAGTTAAAATTTTGGCCATTTGTCAGTTGTCAGTTAGCCCCATCCAGACCCTCAAATAAGGTCTTCAGATCATCTCGGGATGAAACAAACTATTCTTTTGACAAATTTTAATATTTGATAGATCATTCTTTTTATGAAGTATTTCACTTCTAATATTATTTTGTACATAGAAATGTCAATAAAAAATTTAAAAATAATCTTTGTGAAAAAGCAAAAGCGGATACGGAAACGCCCAACTCAAGGCCGGGGCGCGACATTCATTATAACAGAAATGGCCGTTTTCATACTAGAGACGGATTACTCGTGTGAGACGGGTTATCCGTTTGATGATTCGTGTCAGATAGGTAATACTTCGTAATTTGAAAATGGAATAGTTTTAATTTTGAATTAACAATCCGCCTGACTTTATCCGTCAATTTCGACGGACAGTTTCAAGACGGGATTATCCGTTCCAGATAGCCTGTGTACTGCCGCCCCCTCCCCTCAGAAAAAATCGGAGAAGGGGTGTCTGTGAGGAGGGCGCTTCTTTACACAGGCTAGTCTCAGACGGATAATCCATCTCTAGCTCTAGCGTGAAAACGGCCAATAACAAAATTCCCGTGTCCGGTGTTTTTAATGATAGCGAAGGACTGTACGGAACGACTGTCTACCGTTGCCTTGTCCGTAGGCCTCATTATTCCGCGCGGCTAATGCTTTTCGGGACACGTGGTCCTAGCGAGTTCGCCACAGAAATGCCTTGATCGAGATTGCGTGGGAAGACGCCCTACAGAGACGGCAATGTCTACCGTAGCGTCAGAGAAAAACAGGGAAATGTTGTTTATCGGCAACGTGTTTTACAAACAGTGACATCTCTGCGTGTTGTTTCACTAGTGTTTTGAGGGCACGACCTCCTGAAAATAGCAAATATTAATCCCCAGCAAGAAGCCACACTTTCGGTATGGAAAAAATTAGTTCCCCGAGAGAGTGGAGGAAATGGAGCCTAGGTTTTCGTCAACACCTAAAAGGCGCTTCGCCTAACGTACGTACGGAGTCTCACTAGCCGGGAAATTAAAAACGCAACCATAAGTGAGTTATGTAACTCCATTTAAAAGTGGCAAATTTAGGGAACAATTTCTTTTACGGTTAACTCTTTTTTACTCTATTTACGGCTAACGGTTAAAATTTTTCAATTTTCACGGCTATCGACTAAATTTTTGGCCGTTTTACGGCTATCGGTTAACCCCATTGAGACCCTCTTTCCATCATTCTCTTCCCCCCCAGGGCCGAGTTGTTCAAAGCTGGGTTAAGATAACCCAGGGTTAGTGCGAGATTTGAATTCAGATTTGAAAGCTTAAAAAGCATTGCAGTTTTAATTCTTTTTGTCTACAAGTTGATGATTGGAAGCTCTAAAAAAAAACAGAGAAAATTATCCGAGAAAATGCTTTTGAGCACAAGAAAAAGAAACCAGGTTTAAATTTAACCCCGGGTTAAGCGCTAATCGGCCTTCGAACAACTGGGCCCAGGACTTGAGAATTTACCGTGGGGGAAGGAGGACCGTTTCCATTGTTCTGGCCTTAGCCTGGTCCAGGCGTCCAGCTGTTAAGGTGCGGGCGAAACATAGACCGCCACGTTACACCATCTGAACGCCTCTGATCTCAGTAAAATAAATCCACAGTGCTCTCTGTCTCTATCCTATGCACAACTTGAAAAAATTCCCGGGCCACGTTTGAATCAAGCGTTTCAAGTTAGATTTGGTGTAAATGAGGGTCTGAATGGGGGGTCAACATGTCGGTTGTCGGTTAAAATTTCATTACTTTGTCGGTTGTCGGTTAAAATTTCCCAGCCTCGTCAGTTGTCGTTAAATATCGGTTAATGATTAACAAAACAATTTAATTGCTGATGTTCGTTACTTAATTCGTACAGTTTAAACTCTATACTAGTAAAAAACTTCTCCATTCATCGTCAATTCATCATTTGATTGCAATGGCACTTCAATTAAGTTTGCTTTGTTTGAGCTACGCGATCGCTTATTTCACCTTTGCCAATGAAATCAACAATCTTTCTGTACTGAATTTGTTTTCATAGCGATGATCATAACGTCTAGCTCCCATGACGACGTTACTTACATTCTGTAAGTTCGGAGGTGGCTGCATGAGGATACCAATCCGAGCACGAAAGTATCTGTCTGTCACATGTGAAGCACATGATGTCAGCTGAGGTCGATGAGGTGCTGCATGACTGAGCGGGATTTACAGGGGGACCCAATGACCAAATGTTTCCAAATACGCCAAAAGTGTCTCAAATGGTTTTCTCTGTGCTTCAGAAACCTCTTTGGTTAATTTGGAGTTTCCCTAAAAACTATTTATCTGTTCGGATGTCTTAGGCGTACTTTGGTCGTCACGAAAGTTTTAGGTGGCTTTTTCGTCTCATCCGAAAGTGTTAGCTACCCTTATGGGTCCGGTCAAACGTATGAGGACATGAAGTACCCTTGCTTTCATTAGAAAATTTTAGGGAACGTTTTGTCTATACACTGGAAGTTTTAGAAGATCTTTTTTTTTACAACAATCGCAATATCTGAGTATAAAATGTGACGAACCCAACCTCCGAATAGCGTAGTTAAGCTATTAGAAAATGTCCGAATATTTTAGACGAATGGAACGGTTATCCAGAAAGTTTTAGCTTTTCACAAGCTTTAGAAATTGCTAGGCAATAGTTGCTCCTTCGAACAGTTATTTTACAGAAAAAATTCGCTGGGTGCCCCTGGATTTACGCATTAGACTTTTTCCCTTGGCTCCCTTCCAGCCCTTCGTACGGCTTTCGCCTGCTCGCTTAGCACCCTTAGCCGATGAGGCTGTGCCACTTTAATCTGTCTTGAGACAGTTCTTCCCAGTTCAAAGACCAGCGAAGTAATCATGAGAGAATAGTGTTCAAGTGAGAATAATATGGGTCGGATTTCAGTTAAGTTATTTTTAGTGACTGAAATCTGTTTCGCGGTACGTCCGCGTGGAATGTTTTGAACTCACCTCTTGACGATATCTGAATGCGGAAGTTAGCAAAATAGTTTCAACGAGAACCTCTCAATTTCTTCAGATATATATCCTTTTATTGATCTCCAAGCATCCTTCATAATTTTCTCTGTCAAATGGAACACAGCGGCAGCGGCGCTCGATTGCGACCTCTTAACCATTTCAAAAGAAACTTACGATCACTCTTATAATTTCTCTCATGACTCGAGCATGGATGAACAGCACGCAGTGAAAGTACTGCAGCAGTACGTCTTGTAGGCTCGATTGCCTCGCGCTGTGCGGGAAATGAGTGCGCGCTTTCCTGGATTTCCAACGAAAAGGAGGAGAAACAAAGGCGCACCATTTGAACGGTCCAAACTGAGCTTTGAAGGTGGTGTAGGTACAAAATAGGCTTCCTTCTATACATGCCGGGAGAATAGCGGAAATTGAACCTACACGACTTGTACAAACATTATCCATAAAGGACTGCAAAGGACCGCAAACGAATCTGTCGAAGGACGTAGGATCTATAAAGACCTGATCAGCAAAAATAAAAATGTAGACATATTAAATTCTGTAAGCAGAATACTGCAATGCTGATCGTACTACGTGAAAATTAACCCTGCAAGACAGAGTTAATTTTCACGTAGTACGATCAGCATTGCAGTATTCTGCTTGCAGAATTTAAAATATGTCTACACGACTTGGTTTTCATAACAATTTCACATGACAGGAAACTCTATACAGTAAGTACTGAAACTGGAATTTAAAGTCATTTACCTCTGGTCTGAAATAGAGCAGACTAAAAGACCTTCCCTGTGCTGGAAACAAGTCAAGCAAAATGCTTTTGACTCAAAAGGGAAATAAGAGACAAAAAAAAACCCGACTTATTTCCGAATACAAAATATCTGTACAATGTTGGACCATGTCGGTAGTCGGCTTGTTTTATTGCTGTTGGTGTAGTCGTTATTTTTTTCTCGTTTTGTCGGTAGTCAGTTAAATTCGCCGTTTGTCGCTAGTCCCCATTCAATGGCTTTGAGGTCTGCAAGATTCTTCTGCAAATACAAATACTGTGCATTGGAACATTTTTTGGGGTTCTACTTCAGAACATGTTAATATAATTCGTGCCCAAATCCGCTACTCGAGACAGCAGCCGGTTGTAAACTGCATTTCCGGTTTCATATATCTGCCTACTCGGCGCTTTATCGTCTGAAATGGCCGACGCAAATTAAGAAGTAGACGCTGGTAAAAACGAAAGAGGAAATTAAAATGTACCAAATACAAATTCCATTTTCCAATGCCTTAAGAAAACAGCCTTTGAACTTATTTTGGAATAAATCTGTCACGGTTTTTGATAACTAAATTAAGTCACTGTTTCTAAGAAAGGCTTTCCTTTAAGTTCAATTTCCTTTGGTTATTCTATTAACAGGACATTTGTTTTGTTTGTGCAACTGAAATAAAATTAAGTTTATACGATGTCTACTCCTATAAAATGTCTGTTATGTCTAAAATAGTTGCCATAACAAAAAGCTCGATCGAACGTTTAAACTGAAATAGAAAGACGTAACTGAAGGCCTTTACAAACAAAATTTCGGTCAGCTATTAAATCAATGATCGAAAACTGAGTTACAGGAGTTCACTCTCGGCGATTCGATTGAAAGCCTACAGTCCGTGCTACGAGAGGATCGGCGCTAAAATTAAACTAATCTTTTGAATTGTTCTGATTACCTGTGAGAAGCTCACTGCCTTCAATTCTTCCTATTTCCTTCGATGAATGTAAAAATGTCCGTTCCTTTGTAACTCTTTGAATCGTTTATTTTATCCTGATACCACTCGTTTGAGTCGTCATTTTCAAAAGTAAGAAGGGTTTTTTACCCCGGAACTTTGAAAGGTCTTCTGGGAAATTCAGTACTTTAATACATTCAATGCAAGCGTTATCCAATCATATTGCAGCTAAATTTCTCAGAAAGCGAAACTCGCTTCGGGGAATACCCGCTGCATATTTAAACGTATTATCACTAATACAGCCCCTTCACCTGCTGCAAGTACAGTCGGCTCCCGATAACTCGAACCTTCAAGGGAAATCGAAAATAGTTCGAGTTATCGGGAGTTTGAAGCAAATAAACGGAAGTAAGGAAATAAACAAATGGATGGGAGGGAAGGAAAGGCAATTCTCAAACTCATTAATAATTCATTAAGAAAATACAAAGGAAATTAATGTTTAATGAGTGTTTGGAAATCGGATGAAACACTGCTTAGTATTTGCATCCTTAATTTCTCCTTCAAAAATGATTTTGTTTGAGAAGAAATATCAAACATTCGACACAGTGTTTCATCACCAGATGAAACACCTCGAAGTTCGTCAAAAATAGTCCGCTGCGCGTCGTATTTTCAACTCTCTTCTCGGTGTTTCATCTGGTGATGAAACACTGCATCTCATGTTTGATATATTACTTAAACAACAGATTATACAGGAATGGACCGGCACTGAATTTGAACTGGAGTGGCAAAAAGTAAAGACAAATAATTTACTCGGTTGCTTTGAAATAAATCAATGTACAGACGGTTGCTTTTCCGACTTGTCACACGTTTATAACATGGTTCGAGTTATCGACGGTAAAATTTTATAGAAATGAGCTGAAAGCAAACAAAAATTACTTCGAGTTAGCGGGAGGTTCGAGTTACCGAGAGTAAAATTACAGTAAATGTAAGAAGGAAATCCAGGGGAAATCGACTTTGGTTCGAGTTAGCGCGAGGTTCGTGTTAGCGATGGTTCGAGTTATCGGGAGTCAACTGTAATCGAATTATGAAATTCTGAAATTAGAATAGACGTATTTATAGGTTTTCCCAAGTCCCATTATGGTTCCAAGACCATCTCGAATGTGGAGATTTTACACTGTAAATCAGAAAGATCTGTTTTAGGCTTCAGAGGCTTTTGGGGCCGCTTCGGTGAGTAAAACACAGCCGTAATTAACTCATAATGTGTCAAGATTTTTTTAATGTAGATTTTATTTAGGACGTTTTCCAGCACAACCAAGCAAAATAAATTATGTACAATGATAAATACGTAAAAACTGTTATAGCGAGGAAGCTAATGACTACGAAGCGACAATAAAGAATAAGGAGTGTAAAGTATTAATGAGTCAAATGAGTCATGAGTCATGAGTCAATGAGTCAGATCTGACAAAAAAAAAGTTTCGGTAGAAACAATAGAATTAAGCATTATTTTTACTTATTTTCTCTACTACCTTCATTGCTGCCTGCACAAGGCCTGTTTCTGACACGAAATCTCGCCATAGGCTGTTTGTTAGCAGTTCCCAGGTCCTGCCGCATAGCAGAAGCAAAAAATTTTGTGAGTGCCTCGGAAGAAAGTGTTTAATTCCCATTGAACACAGCGCTTTAAGTAAATTGAGATAAATCAGACATGCAATTTCCTAGCGCTCAAAGACTCAAATCTGGGATCAGTCGTTCTCTGATATTCGGTGTGTTGGTGTTTAGCTGTGTTTGGGCCCGGTTTGAAGTAGAAAATCGGTCATGAGTGCGTTTTATATCTGTATTGGTATGTTACTCATTAGCTTGTAATGCTGGTGTAAAGGTAAGTATTCCGGGAAGTATTTATTAGGTTAATTTTTAGCGAGGAATCTTATCAAGGGCAGGTGCGGATCTAGAATAAATACTGACCGATTTCCTACTTCTAGAGAGGTCTGGGGGCATGCTCCCCTGGGAGCAAAGTCCCCTTTCCCGGGTTTCTGAGTCATTCAGATGGGATATTTACAGACTGTCCGAACCATTTTCCAGATATCAACTTTGAAAGTTTAAAGTTTTTTACTAAAAATATATTTATTATGAAAAATCTGACCGATTTTCGTAAAACGGTGGAAACCGGTATGGATCCGCGCCTGAAAGGGAATACAATTTTCTTTCATGCTGTGGATCGCTGTCGATCATGAACACAATGAAGACGATCCAGGACACTAAGCGTCTGTTCCAACAATCAATAGCAGAGTTGTTTTCAGTTGATAATCTTCCCAATATAGTTCACCACTTTTTCCAGTCAGTTTTACTTGCCTCAATAGGTGAATGATGCTACAAGGCGAACAAACTGAATTACAATAATTGTAATTTGCCTGAGGAGGGGTATGAAACAGCGAGTGGAACAGTCAGCTAAACAGTTGTACACAGTCAGTGTTTATATTAGAAACATACAGTGTACGAATAATTATTGTTGAGGAATAAACTGTATAGCCATTGTAATTTTAAATAGCTTTCAAGGCTCGTTGATTGATTGAAATCTTTGGGCATTCATTGTTTGCATTATGTTTGTGTCTATTTACATTAGCTCGCCTCTTTAAGACTCGTGTATCAACTAATATGAACAACCTTGGGGCAGCACTTCACTCCTGGTATGGAAACTCTAGTAGTATGGACTGCCTGATGGTTTAAATGGTTCTTGAAGGGTGTCTGGGAATGCTATTTTTTAGGGCATGCAGGTAGTAGTAGCGGCAGGGCCTGGAATACTGCTAACAAACAGCCCAGGTTGAGATTTCATGTCAGAAATAGGCCTTGCATGTTCAGGCAGCAATGAAGCAAGTAGAAGTAATGCTTAATTTTATTGTTTCTACCGAAACTTTTATTTTTTCAGATCTGACTCATTGACTCATTGACTCATTGACTCATGAGTCTTGACTCATTGACCCATTTGACTCATAAAACATCCGTTCTCAAGAATAAGGGTGTAACCAGAAATCCTTGAGCCGTCGATCTCTGTCCCATGTGACGTCGGTTGGAGACGTTTTTAAACTCATTAACGATGCTCGACAAGAATTTCATTGATTATACATTTTCTATCTTCAGCAGTGGTGAGAAAACCTAGGCACAAACTAAGCTTTTCCGTTTTTGCGATCTCGGAAATTCTTGAGCCGCTGATCTCCGAGAAAGCCGTGCTTTGTTACTAAGGAGGTTCGGTGACTGTAATCTGTCCCATGTGACGTCGGTTGGAGAAGTTGTTATTGCGCGTGCTCATATAACAGTACTCCCCAGGCTTTGTGATGCGGAAACACGGTGGATTACAGGAGGCTGACGCGTTATCAAGCTGAGCCTGCAGTCTTTTAGGATCACCGGTGTAACACCCTGTGTTAAGGTAAAGGTTCAGCTTCTTGGCGTCAAATTCATCCACATAATCAACGACTTCAAGAGGCAGGCTGGAGCAAGCTTTGGGTTGAAGAGAACTACATCCTTCCTTCACCCAACACACGTTGGTGCGATCCGTGCCTGAAACACACATGGAAACATTTGTATGTGTGTGAGCTCTGAACGAATTTATATTGAAGTAAAGTAAAATGAGAAAGATGATTTTTCAGTAATTGATTTTCATGTCCTGGAATGTTCGTCAAACTCTTCTATTTGATGGAGGCAGTAAATTGAAAACATCTTTCTCATTTATTCAGCAGGTTTTTAATTCACCACCGCGTTTTAATCAAGAAAAAAGTTATTGTAAAGAAAGAACATTAACCGGTTTTTTTTTTTCAACTAATGTAGTCACTGAGCAGGCTTAAAAAATGAGGCGGGGTTGCTTTTATATGAGCGTATCAACCGTGTACCTTTCTCTTTCTCTCCCAAACAACAAAATAAAAAAAAAGAAACTTCTTACGTGCTCTTCCTTCCCCAGCATTGTTCGGGTTATTGTTCCAACCTGGAGAATAAAAGAATTAGGAGGGAGATAATAAGCAATTTTAGACCCTTTTCAAGTGTTAAATGCTGCGACAACACTGTAGTAAAGAGTTTTAAAAGTGTTTACTGTAGCGTGCTTTTAACAAAAGTGATAAGCAATGATTTTTAAGTCTACATTCACGCTATACCGGATAGCTTTTGCGACGCCACGAAAATGATACTGGAAAGGGTTTCTGTTCAAACACAACGGAACGGTGACTTCGGCGAGGTTTCTGTGACTGAGCTGAGCGGCGCCGATCTCGAACATAGAGCGTTACATATCGGATAGGTTCTGTACCATTACTTTGGTGCACTGGGTGTGAACAGGTATTCGGACCGTAGCGGAAGTGAATAAGTAGAGGCAAGTATCAAATGGAAACTACTGAAACGGAAGTAAAAACTCAGGAGTGAGGACTGGGATTTAGTTCACCAAACCCCCTCGACCAACCGCGCCGGCACGATATTCGATTTGTGTGAACGACTTGCTACAGTCCCGGGCCGTTTCTAGCGCTTTTCACACTTTTCGTGTTGGCACCGGTATTGTGTGAATACAGCCTAAGTTAGTCACGCAGGTCTTGTCACGTAACGCGCGTTTTGTGACGAGACAGTAACGGCTACGTGGGGGACTAACTTAATAGGCCATTTCCGAGTTCTCCCAGGCCTCTGTATCAAAACAAGGTTAAGTGCTCAGCCTTTGATATGGAAATGATTTTCCATTCTCATGCAAATAAAACTTGACCTTATTTTGAAAGTGAGGGATTTTGGAAATCTAAAGTGGCCTATTAGTCCCGCTAGCTGGGAGTAGTTCTTACCGGACCAAACGAAACAAACTAGATCATCAGTTGTAACAGAAACGCGTTCTGGGAAGAAACGATATTCCATGGCGGGATACGCCTGGACAATGTTCCCCCTCTTTCCCATTCCAAAGATGTATCTAATGTTTGATTGCTGGTACTTTTCGGGAAGAAGATTCCGTGGCTTCAGTAAGAACACGTGACTTCTGTCCTGGAATGTTCGTCCAACCTGAGCTGTGTTCAGGGCGAGCTGAAGATCCGTTTGCCCGTCAGTTGCTTTAGTTTTCGGGTTGTTCTTAACTCTGTGAGAGCAAAGACGATCACTTTAAGATAGATCTTCGTAAAAATATGTGTTCCAGAGGTTATTTGGCTATCACGATACAGGGAGACGGGAAGGAGAGATCAGTTTTCTGGTGGTCATGTAACAGTTTCCACGACTATAGAAATAAACAGGCTGATTTAGCAACAGAACAAGAACGTCAGTTGACGATGGGAAAGCACGCGAAAAGGACTAAACGCGACTTCCGGTGACCAATTTGCCGCTCTGCTATCGGTCAAGCCAGTTGTCGCCACGGCCCGGTTGTTCAAACGATAGATAGTGCTATCCACCGGATGAATCACTATCCAGTGGATAGAGATTTATCCGGTGGATAGCACTATCCAGCCTTTGATCAACCGAGGCCAGTTTGATTTGCACTCACCGTCGTCATCTGGGGTTCCCGTTCTGTGGCTAAATCAACCTAATGACAACCGAGGCTCTTTCACGGGGCCGTGGTTTGTCACGTCGATCAAAAAAAAAGAAAGAAAAGAAACAAAGAAAAAAACGCACTTGAACAAGGCAAACAAAGGAAACCAACCCTACAGAGTGTCAGAAATTACTGTTAATAAGGACCGTCTGTGGAAAGTTTCCGCCGGATAAATTGCTTTCACTTATATAGTGAGGAAAGGCCGTCTTCAGTGGTTTACACATCAAATTGGGAACTACGAGCATTTGATTGTTTGAGCTGTCCACAGAGACAAGAAAGCGACCCTTGCGTAGAGGTGTTAGTAGAAATTCACCTGTAAACAACCCGTACAATTAGTAATCATTGCTACCATTGAATTTTGATATGTTTGAAATTTTTCGAATATTCTTGGATGTACATAAAACGTAACCTTAGAGGGAACAAAAGTGAAATAGCTTGAAACCCCTTGGCAGGAGTGTTATCGAAGGATTCAGTCTAACGATGTGCATGCCGTTTTCCTTAAAAGCACAATAGGCCTTTCAGACAGGTGGTCAAAAGTACAGAAGTGCCATGCTGTAGCCTGCGAAACCATCCGTTTCTCCTCGCTCTTCGCCGCTGGGGACGTTTCGCGCGTTCCTCCGCGCGAAACGTCCCAAGCAGCGAAGAGCGAGGAGAAAGGGATGTTTTCGCAGGCTAGCCATGCTGGGGTGTAAGAGTCGCACTAGGACAAGGAAAGGAACTCTATTAGTTTCACTTACTTTCCGTTGTCTTTGACATTAAATTCACGTGGGACGTCATCACTGGTGATGTTATACCTACAACAAAGCGTAACTCCATCATTTGGGCAAATGCACTGGTATATAGACACTGGATGGTCATGAAATTATCATTCTATCGTAAACAACCTTCAATTTGACTAATATTAAAATGACCGTTATTAGTGTAACACGGCTTATTACTAACAGAAGACCAACAACATCGCGAATTTATTGAGCAACCAGGTCAATAACCAGAGTGAAATACCATCAACTGATTTGATACAACTCACTTTGACTCTCAAAATGAGTACCGAATAGGTTTTCGAAACGTCAGTCACTGTCAACAACAGTCCGTTCTAGGACTAAACATACCAGGACTTGATTTCCAGCCTTTTGATTATCATAACAATTTTAAAACGCTCGGCGTCGTGTATTTTCGTCTGTGGGTTTTGGTTGGTGATGATATCTCTTAACCCTATTCAGACAGGGGGGAGCTTTTGGAGCCCCCCTCGCGAAAAAGTTTAAACAAGTTCAAAAGGTTTTAAGCTATGACCACCAAACTTAGTAGTTTGTCCTATCTGGGAACATTTTTAAGTCGTCGTCAACATTGACGTTGCCATGGAAACCGAGTTTTGACAGCCATATTTTTATCCCATCAGTCCTTAAGAGCTTATAAAGATGGCGGGTCTCGTGAATAAGGTGGAAGACCTCAGATAACAATGACCTTAACCAGGTTATGGCGTCCAGCGGTTTTAGTGAAAACAAGGGTTTGGGTGGGGTGCTCAGTCTCGCGGGCTCACAAAACTTGGTCTTGGTTTTGGATTTTCGAATAAGGTCACCTCATGTGGAATCCAAGACAGATTGTGGATTCCATATTCCGGATTCCAGGTACTGAATTTCAGTCCTTGTCAATGGGACTTGGACTCTGAATTCCAGTCGTTAGTGGGATTCTGGATTCCTTGAGCTGTATTCCATATTCCAAAGACCAGGATTCCGGATTCCACAAGCAAAAATTTCCCAGAACTCCCCGGAATCCAGATTTCCTTACATGATGCGAATAAGGTCTGTGGCCGTACACTTCCTACCTTATACGTAGCACGCAGCGCTGTGTTGTGTTGGTAGGAAAGCAGGGTACTTTCCACTTATAAGAAGAAAACTTGCCCTCCATATTTATTCCGTTATGGTTTACGACGGTGGACGGAGCGTAGATTACGTCGGGTGGTTTCTGAACGAGAACATACTGCACCGGTTCATCAGCTCCTTGGGACACTTTGTGAGGCTGATAAGGAATGCCTCTTTTGAACTTCATATCCCCCATAGCGTGACAAGTGTTCAAAATTCCAGAGGTTCTCTCCACAATGTTTGTGATGAATTTTGTCCATCTACCACCTGCAGCTTTACAGGTGTTAGCAGTGATGTATTTAGCAACGCACTGTTGTGCAATATGGTTGGTATGTTCTCGAGGACAGTGTAAATTTCCAGCCAGCGTGGATGGCATAATACACATGTCTGCAAAAAGATTAAGCAATATTCGGTTATTTACGAACGAAAATTAACCACCTCAAAATTGAGCCTTCTTGCTCTGTCAGTGAACCACATAACGCTTTAGAAGAACTTAAAGATTTCATGCGTGTGATTTTAGGAAGGGAATCATCATTAAGTGGCAGAGATAGTTTTTCAAGTCCGGGACATTGTTTGAAAGAAGAAAAAGAGAAAAGAAGACCTCCTGATATCGCTTCCGTTCGAGCACAAAGCGGTTCACAGTGATCCGCACTTAACAACTATTAGGGATGGCAACTCCGTGAAAGTTCGTGCAGAAAGCGTTACTTGCATTGAACTGTTTAGACTGAACAGAAGAGCTGGGTCAACAGTACTCTATTCAAGACCGGCATCTTTGAAGTCGACAAGATGGCGCATTCTATCGCAGACAACATCACTTCCACTTTTGAGATGTTTAAATTTCCTCACAGGTCGGGGTTGGGGTCGGCAAAGTCGAAGCTTTCCTTATACGATGATCACTACTTTCTAACCTACAGAAAGCCTGTATAGTGTGTAAGTCATTTTAAACACTGATTTCTATTCACAGCAAAAAGACCAGTTCGATTAAACCAGGAACCATGTAAAGAACTTTCAGACTGGCGTTGGCAAAGAATTAAACCAACGATTCAACTTGTGCTATCACTTGTGCTAAATTTGTAGTAGTCAAAACTTAGCAAGTTTCTTTTGTGTAGGATTAACACTTTGGATTAACGATTTGGCACATACTCACGTTTGTAGCCGTAATGAGAGTTGTTAAAGTGTTTCTCCATTAATTCCAGAGTCTTTTTATCACTGACTAGGACAGCAATGTCGTTCCACGGGGTGGGGCCCCAGTATGGATAGTAATCACGTTCTTCAGGTACCTCGAGGCCCCTCCTTGTTCCTGCTGGATTTTGCCTTGTGTAGATTGGCAAATCACCTTTGAGTTTCTGGTCAGCGGTAAACAAACCTATCAAACAAGGCAATTTGGGTTAGGTTGCATGGAGACAATTTCCTTGATTCAAATGAATCTCATGTCCATACGGCTTATTCGAAAAATAAGGGCTCACGTGGAGGCTAACGCGTTGAAGGTTTCACCTCTTCGAAGATGAGCATGACACTGAGTTTGTGCTGTGAGACCCTTTTGGGGGACAAATTTTGACGCAGTTTTGAAGAAAACGTTGTCGTCAACAGCTATGCAAGTTTCTTAGAACAACAGAAGTTTTACGAGAGAAAGAGCTCATTCCCCACCGGATTTTTTGATACATCAATATGGCCGCAGTTCCATCGTTTTGGGTACACCAATATGGCCTTAGAGCAATCTGACACAACACCAACCAACTCTTTTTATCAACTCCCTGAAAATGTACACAATTAAAGAGTATACTTGCCTTTGTTTCGCTCTCTGCGGAAGCAAGCTTGATAGTAACTGAGTGGTTCATGAAGGTCACGGTCCTTTCTGATGTAAGCATTTTCCCGAGCTCCGTTTGGTGCAAATGCTTGTTGGGTAAGTGTCTGACCATTACGAATGGTGTGATAATCAAAGGCTATGTTCACATCTGCGGAAGTCATCTTTCCTTCGGGCTACGGTTGACACATGTACTGTAAGATGACTTGTGACTCCACCCTGTCGTCGGTTTTTGGTCCGGTTCCATGTTGATTTGTCCACATGATTTCCACCTCGGTTTTGGCTTTTTCGTGACATCCACCCATGTAGAACTCCTGATAAATAAAGGTTTATGAGACATTGCTCTCAAACTAATGCAAAAACCCTTGATTCAATAGTATGATTTGTAATAAATAATGGATTTAGACAACTTACAGTCAGTAAGGGTACGTTGCTTAGTCGGATAAAACGATTACCTCAGAGATTAAATCGACGATCGCATATTATTGCGATCAAGTTTAACAACGTTAACCGTGCGATGATGGCAAAGGAATGCGCCAAAAAGTGTGCTGCACGTTTTGCGTTTAGAGTCATTTTGCTTATTAAATCTATGTCTGTTTTCTTTGTCTTCCTTGTGGTTGCTCGAACTCGTTAGTATCGTTACCAAGAAAAAATAACTCTTGATCTGCGACTATTTCCTTGAAAAACCGACGATTTGATGGAAAACGAAGCTCAACGAGAATTACGTCCTCAAAGGCTTAGTTAAGTCAGTATACTTCAATTCGGTCCCCAGGATTGAAGGCCCCCTCTGAAAGGTGAAATTAAGCACTTTCACGTCGTAGTCGTGAAACGACGGCAAAATTAAATGTACAAAAAAGAGCGTTGTTGTTTAATCGCTTTTTGACATTTTCGTTGCTGTCGCCGTCGTCTTTGCTTACGCTCCTTAATATCTAGACACCAGGCCAGCTTTTTAACAGTCATATCCAGACACCCATCCACCCGTTCTTATCTCAATCAATCTAGTGTGAGCCTCTATTATTATTACTATTATTATTATTATTATTATTATTATTATTATTATTATCATTTTTATTATTTAATTGCGGGCGACAAGAGGAGCCCGCAATCCTAATCTCCAGGTTGTTATTACGCACGCGTCGCATGTATGTAGCCAGCATTCGTTTGGACTTCCACTATTGAATGTATAGAATGCACTGAACGCAATCTGATCATGCCTGTTTTGACTGTCTGTCACGTGAAACTTACGCAAAGCACAGCGCTGGAGCAAAAGCGTTTTGACCTTCGATCGTTGTCGCCCGCACTCCGTAACCTTTGGTTATTACTAGTTCTAGTTATAATTACCATTGGCAGCTGTCTGATTTCAGATATGTTATCTCCTGGGTTACTATCCAGCTTGTCTCCAACATTGTACCCAGCCTTTCCATTATTCTATAAAAGAGAAAAGAATGCTTTTAATACATCGACCCGCGTTTTTAATCGCCTTAAGGTATGGTGTTTATATTGTTTTTACGTACGTGTACAAATATGAGAAACCTCGTACGTTCGCGTGAGGACACAGTTGTAATCTTTCACTAAAATGTTTGACCTTCTTGATTAGTTCATCGGTAGTAACAGCGAGTCAGGTTTTACAAGGGTCCTCTTCCTATGAAAATTATTGGAACCTACTCTTCGTTCTGTGTCATGTTGTGAGGTTATTTTAAGGAGGACAGCTTATTGGTTGTTAGAATGTCGTCACGTTATTTTAAACATTTCACTACCGATCACACAGGAAGAAAGAAAAATGACCTGCGAAGTTGGTATCACTAGATGTTTACCGGTTTCTGGGTAATTGGGTCCGATCACTTCCGTCGACTAGTCAAAAGATTTCTACATGGAAAAATCTGGGGAGAGTACCCGACGACGGGAAACATGGTCCTCCTGGCTGGCGTCAATCAGAGAAGAAAGCGGTAGTGAGAAGAGTCTGGTGATGTTGATCCGACGGTCAGGGGAATAACAAACAACAATGGCCTTCGCAGAACTTGGGTCGAACTAATAATAGATCTCAAATAATTATCATGGGCACATGGATTCACTCTCTTTCCTCATTTTCTCTTGCCGAAAGCCAATAAGCGGGGTTGTTCGTCGTACACGTTTGGGGGTAAAATTTCAGGATTGGCACCCTTCACGCCGCTAAATCCTAAAATGACCGCCGTTATTCGCGATAACTGTAAGGGACATTTACAGGCATTGAGCCAAGAACATAAAGGATCTATTGTTTGCCCCCACTGAATTACCTATCTTTTTCTAACAATTTTCATGTGCTGGTATGGGAACTCTTAGCAAAAGGCCCCGGGAAAGTTTTGCTTGTGATATCTGGAATCCTGGCCTCTGGAATCGGGAATACAGCTAAAGGAATCAGGAATCCACTAATGATTGGAATCCATAATCCAAGTTCCACTGACAAAAAATAAGGAATCCAGTACCTGGAATCCGGAATCCATGGAGTGGAATCCAAAATCCAAGACTGTCTTGGATATGTCATAAATTACTTTGGGCGAACGACTAAGGCAATCTCACAGACTGGCTTGACACAAACACAAACACTTCCTTTAAGCTTCTGTCTGCTTTAGACTTTATTTTACGGAGAGAAAACTTAGAGCTCTCACGAAACAACAATAATTAGGAGATTTTTGCAACTCTTTGAGCTGAAAAAATATGTACTTCACTTTTCTCTTTCGTTTCTTTCCATTTTTCTTTTTCAGTTTTTTTTTCTTGCATTACTGAGTATTGAGAGGCCGTCCGTGCAGCAGTCGGATATGAACATAATCTCCCACTCCGAAATATAACATACTACGTGCTTAAAGCAAGAGAGAATGCTTAAAGATATGCAGCAAAGATCAGAACAGTCCTACCTGTGAATCAAACAGTCTGGCGTCGTTTCTGACGTTGTCTTGGTTACCATTCAGTCGATTGTTTGATCCGTGTGGAACATGTAGGTATATGTCTGACAAGCAAAGTTCTGTAAGAGCAGCCATCAGGCAGCTCCAAACGAAAATGCTCTTCATTTCCTACGCATATGAAAGAAAAGAAAAACGCAAATTGATTGGAATTTTCACTACATCCACTAAATCAATTAATATCCATCGCCGGTGACTGCTATCATGATATCATTAACCGAGAAAGCTAATTATTTCAAGAGCATTATTTTAGGGGTCCATCTTTTTCATCAGACCATATTTTCCGCCTACTCCTAATAAACCCATGTGGTCCAGCATGTTTAGATATTTTTCTTGTGACCGTCAGATTTAAAGTTATTTAGAAACACTTTGTGCTCTATTTGTATTTATCGATCCACTGCGTAACAAAAACGCTTTTGTTATACATCGATGTATAACAACATGCGCTTTTTCGCCAACTGTTCGAGTTCATCCAAATCAAACAAACTCCCTGCGGCTGTTTAGTAAACTTCCTATTGACAGCTCCCTCTCCCGGACAGAAATTTCATAACCAAAAACAATTTTCCACAATCCAGAAGTCCATAATAAACGGTTATCCCGCGAATCTATTATTAAAATTTTTTTCTATTCAGGTCTTCGTTGTGCAAAGCCGTTTTTCCGCATTCAAAACTATTTTAACACAGCTCTCAGCAAGCACTTACTGAGATGCCTTTAGAGTTAAAGCGGGTGTTTGAGCTCTATATCCTAAGCGCAGCTAAGCCTGGTTGCGCTATGGTTTTCATGACGTCCACGGACAGTTATAAAAGCCATCTTCAATTGTTTTCCACCCACATAGATGTATGTTTCACAAGGGCCAGAGGTGAAAATTTTGTGTGTACAAAACGTAACATTTAACAAAAACGTCTCATGGCAGCAGTGTCTAAATCTAAACAGTTCAAATTACTATTTCACCATGATCTTTATTAATCGATTATTATCTGTCTTTTAAAACTTTTCAATTGAACGATGACAGAAGGGAAAGAAGCGTTTATTAACTGAAACTACTAACATTATAGTTACATAGCACCACTCCTAGCATTTTACACTTATGTTGAGTGCGGTAATTGAATTTAATTGCAATCAGCAATTAGAGTGTTCAAGTTGACTTGTGTACTGGAGAACTGCGTTAAATAAAATTCTTTAAAAAAGAGAAAAGAGGTGAAAAACATGAAAGGAAACTAATTGCACATTTTAAACTGTCTTCAAGCTTCTTGGCCATCAATCTGAATACATCTTATCATGGCTACCCATACTTAAGTGTCAAACTTAACAGAGCCGGTTAGTCGTTGAATTGAAAATAAAAAAAGAAATTAAATAAATAACAAAAAACAAATTTAAAAAACATTTAAAAAGTACGACCACTGATTTACATCATTATGTTCATATATATTAAAAATACCAGTAAGGGCGTCAAATCTAAAACTAGTATTGTAGCATATTGTGTAATTGATAAAAAGAAAGTGACAAATATCAAGAACTATAATTATAAGTCTCCAGATTACGAAGACTGGACAAGGCAAGCAAGTCTCTCAAATGCTTTGGCAGTAGATTATATAATTTTTGGGCGGGAACCAAATGAATTGAATGCTTGCAAACTTTGCAACTGGTCGTCTTTAATCTAGGACTCGGTGAAAAGTTCTTTGCTTCACAGGCCCCATTTAATATCTGACTAGTCTTCCACTGAAGTCCGCAATCTACTCAGGGCCAATAAAATTTGCAAAATCAGTGGTTTCTGTAATGTAGTGCACAATTTGTAATCGCCCTTTTCCTGGTATTCGTAATCCTCCGTTTTGAGAAGGCCGTTAATAAAAGGAACAGAAACACATGACCTTTTAAATTAACAACAGCAAAAACACCCACACAGAAGTAAAAATTTCGATAAGAGCATACCTCCACTTAAGCCTTCAGTTGCTCAGAGTCGTCAAGATCTAAAATAGACTACCGCAGTCTGCAAGTGCTGGGAGCAGGTCACTGACTAAACTAATAAATACTATTAGCCTTACTCACTCTTTTAATTGCAGTCTCTCTTGATAAGTTATACAGAAGTTGATAAATATGTATACCACTTTATTGACGCAATACGAATTAAATATTATTAAAATAGTAGAAATTCCAGCAGAATTTAGAACCAATTTAACCAAACTCGTTTTTGTGTATTTAACTTAACCGCTTCAACGACTCAGCACATGACAATACTTTTATCAGACAATAACCAAATGATAAGGTTAATAAATATACGTATAAAGACCAATTGTTGTTTCGAACAACCAAAAGGACCCTTTTTTCCACGATTGCCCCCATTGCTTTGATTGAACGTTCTTTAGATTTTTATTATTTTTACTGATCTGTTTTTAAGCCGCATGCTCTTTTCAGCGTACTTTATTAACAGTTATCAGACTTTACTGGGAAGATCCAAAAATGATCGATCACGTCTGTGGATGCTCACAAAAAATACTCATCGAAAACAGGATTCTTCTGCTGCGATTTTAACTGCAATTTGCAATAAAAGACAAGATCGTTTATAGCCTGAAAAATGTTTTGCAATACTATGTTCATAATATACATTTGCAAGTCATATGGTGATCCCAACGTGAAGTATTGAAATAAGAGCTGCCTTCAACTTATTTTAAGAGCGTTTTCCATTTTTTTCACATACAATTCCTGTTGAAAATATTCCTCAATACTGAAGCTGATGAGTTCTTCAAGTTCAGACAAGCTCAGAGTTAAAAGATTATTTCCTAATTATAGCTATTGGGACTGGTGTTCGCTTTTCAAACAGGGGCAACCAACCATTCGAAGGAGCAAATATTGCCTAAAATTCTCTAACGCCCGAGAAAGCCCAAAAATCTCTGGATAACCATTTCCACTCTTCCAACCTGTGTTTCTTCACATTTTATTACCAAGGCAGTGCAATTATTGCTCAAAGATAATCTCTCCTGAAAATTTTGGCATAAGGACAATACTTCCCCTAGATTTTTCCAATGAAGGACTCCGCCAGCTACTCCTTGTCCTCGACCGGACCGGCAATGGTGTAGCTCAAAGTCACGGTTTCGCCGTATAATTGCCAGACGAAAAGATTCCTAAAACAATGGAGACGACCAAAGTTCACCTGAAGTGAGATATCTGAACGGGATATAAATAGTTTTTAGGAGTGCTTCAAATAGACCTTCCGCTGTATTGCATAACATCATGGTAAACCAACACACATCCATCTAAAGTAGATGGGGAAAGAGGAAAAACAAAAGAGGGAATTTTTTGTCGCCTGACCCTTCTCCCTCTCCTGATATTTTGCGCCTGCCACAACGAAGGCTACAAAAAAACCCTTGGACTTGTTTACTTGCTGTTAATGGCCCTAATAAGAAATTTTATAAACATGTTCTTTTGTTAAGACTCCGGTTAATGAAAAACAACAACTCTCTGCGGTTATTTAATAAACATTCTTTTGGATACTCTCCTTACCGGTCAGAAGATTTATAAGCCTGAACAATTTTCCGCAATCCTGAGACAAGTATCCCGTATTATCACTATTATCACTATTTTTGTTTGTCTATTTTTGGCCAAAACGTTTAATTTTCCGCATTTAAAAACGCTCCTACGCAATTTATCACGTCTTATTCAAGTTCAGCGTAATGAGTCAGTTTCACTTACTCATATGTTAACGTTTACTACAAGAGATCCTTTCTGTGTCAGCGAATTTATATTGTATTTGAGCTTTTTTTATTGATGGGCGTTGAATTTTATTAAGAAGCTAAGGTACTGATGAAAATGATCGATGCTAGAAAACATTTTGCTCTTTTTAGGACAAACCAAATGAATACTAACACATCATTGTAAAAGCCCTCACAAAAAAATTACTTTAACAGCAGTTCTCTTTGCAGTATTCGATGGTTTTCAGTCGGTTATAAATATATTCCGTTTTTGTAATAATTATAATAAGTGTTAAATATTCATGACCAACTGTTTTAAAAGATATCGTAAACCTTAAAGTCCCTTTCATTTGTTTATGTTCCCAGCAATGTTTATGTTTCCACCACATGGGAAGAGAAAACCAGGAAGGCAACGAACGCTGTTTCTCAGATACATTCAACACCTTTTGGGAGACACAGACAACATGATTGGCCCGGGCAAGCTGTCTGAATTGGCACAGGATCGTTGTGGCTGGAGGAAGCTCGTAGTCGCCTGCTCTGCCGCCGACCGATGATGATGAATGTTTTCAAACAGAAACTCTTTTTGAAGAGGGCATAGAGAATTATGGACCATTTTTAAAAGCTTAAAATTGACACAACCGCCATCAAAAAACTCGGTGGGATTCGATATATTTTTTGACCTTCTTTCCTCTACTCCTAAAAGTCAACTAGAGCTTAGAAGGATAATTGTTTCACGACTGAATTCTTAGTAAATATATCGTTTGTACAAGTAGGAGCATTAAAGCATTCAATTGCAATTCAGGTACTTTTATTGAATATGCCAGATAGTTATAGTCTGTAATTCTTACATTATAATCATTCCCGACCATATTCGCCCGGAACTATTTGTTAAAAAGTGGCGATAGTTAGTCCTTCAGTTATAGCTGTCAGATACAGCTCTTGTAGCTCAGTTCAAGGCAACAAATTGGACATCTTTTTGTAGTAATCAGAACGTTCACAACAAATAAGTATTCGAAACCATGTGCATTAAGAGGGCAATAATAAATTAGAGTTTTATTACGAAGATAATGCGGCATGGGTGACTGTAATCTGTCCCTGTGACGTCGGTTGGAAAAGTTGTTATTGCGCGTGCTCATATAACAGTACTCCCCAGGCTTTGTGATGCGGAAACATGGCGGATTACAGGAGGCTGGCGCGTTATCAAGCTGAGCCTGCAGTTTGTCACCAGTGTAACAACCTGTGTTGAGGTGAAGGTTCGACTTTTTGGCGTCAAATTCGCGGTCCACGTGATCAACAACATCAAGAGGCAAGCTGGAGCAAGCTTTGGGTTTGAGAGAACTGCATCCTTCCTGTACCCAACATACGTTAGTGTGATCTGTGCCTGAAGTGCAAACAAAACTGTTCGTCAAATTTGGAGACAAAGCCAAATGAAGTACATAACAATATATCGTCTTCATTCTTGTTGTCAGCAGCTCCATGTGCAAACAAGAGTTTTGGCGTTATCAATCATTTTTATGAGCATAATTTTCATCGTTTTCAGAAACAGTTCTGTTGGTGCAATTTAAATTTTCGGCTTGGTTTTGGCACTAGCACTAGGCCAGTGTTGCAGGTCATTTTTTAAATCGTCCTGCTTTGTACCACATCCATGTGAGCCATGGGACCAATAGCTAAGTAGCCTGGGTCCCACAGGATGTGACCCATGAATATATAGAGCGTTTTCACTCACGTGGCCAGCATCTATGCTAATTTACTACAACAAAAGAAAGTTTTTACATAAGAAAAGAGTTCAACTCCCACAGGATTGTCTTGGTACACCAACATGGCCTCCGTGACGTGAAGTAAAAACGCTCTATAGTTTCTTGTTCTAAAGAGAGTACATTATTTTGTTGTTTGACCATAGGTGTCACATCATTTACCTACAGAGCTCAAATACTAAAACAAATGCGAAGTCGCAAAATTAGCTAGAGTTGATTTTTAATAGAAACATTTAACTTACGTGCTCTTCGTTGTCCATCACGATTGTTTGGATTGTTGTTTGAACCTATACAAAGAAATATAATGAAAATGAGAGATTGGATGCTGATTGTGTAATTTAAGAACGTGTTTGTTTGCTTCATGTGATTTCTGGACTGAACGTACGATCTTACAATTGTGGCAATATATAATGCTACTAGCTCTTCAAGCTTCTTCGATTGATGTTCAAAAAAATAGGGTCGAACGCTGTACCGTCTATTGAAAGACCTTCGTCAACTCAAGCTCTGCAAGAAAGACTAAATTCTCATGAATGCACACCTTTGTCTTAAGAGATCAGATACGGCTAACCACAAAAACCTAACACTAAAAGAATTCTTGAATATCTCCAAACTCACCCGACCATACGAAGCAGATAATATCTTTGGTAGTTAATGAAATGCGTTCAGGAGTGAAGCGATATTCCATGGCGGGGTAAACCTGCACGGGACGAAAAAACGGATTTACCGAACGTCAAAGGTGAAGTCAAACGGGCGATAAAGGCCACCTTTGCACACCTTTGTACAACTTTGACGCGCGACAAATGTTTACCTTTGCTCGCGGTCAAAGGCGAGTCTTCAGGCGATACAGGCCGTTTTTGTCACGCCTTTAACCCCTACCTTTGACGCGCGTCAAAGGTATATTTCATTAGCATTTGTACCCCTATCAAAGGCGTCGTCAAATATGTCTGAGATTCAGGCCAAAGGTGTGACAAAAGCGCGGTAAAGTTATGTCTGTGATTAAAGTCAAAGGCTTGTGAAAAGTGTCGTCAAATGTGTCTGAGCCTCAGGTCAAATGTGTGACAAAGTTGTCGTCAAATGCGTCTGAGATTTAAGTCAAAGGTTTAATAAAGGTGTTGCCAAATATGTTTTTTCCTCCCCTCGCCTCACGCTTCGCGCGAATGCCGCGTTATTGCCTCGCTAGTCATAAGCGCTTGATATACAGGCTAGAATCCAACTTGAGATTTCAATCAAATTCAATTGCGACCTGGATACCGTTTAAAAAGGTGGACAGATAAGAGACTGAGTTCTTAATCTTGTACTTTATTGTCCTAAAACCTCATTAGATGATTAGAAAGCTGAATAATTCCGATTAAAACTTAAACGCATAAAAATGATTTTTTAAAACCTTTTCACGATTTATTGTCTAAAGTACTCATTGCAGTCTGTCAATGGACAATCATAATGACTGCCGCAAATTTTTGAAGCACTATAAATGTTCCAGATACACACTGTTGTCACGGACGGCAACCTGCAAAATAGTTTAAAACACTTCTTTCACGCAAGCCAGTACAAAAATCATGGTAAGTAAGAAATGTTCTTGATCAGGAGCCCATCTGTCTTGATGTTATCTTTGCAAAGATTTTCATTCTAGAGTGCTTTTGATTCTTGATGTAAGTGAAAGACACACGCCATGTATCTAACTTCAATCTTCCTCTGTTGTGTGTTTCTTTCCACTGGAGACTTATCACTTTGCCTTGTTTCTTTTATCTGTGAAATAATTGTAAAAGAATATAGCAATTTGAGATAAAAACTTCTGTCGTAGTGTTTCAAATAAATTTTTCGGCCCCACTCCCTTTTTACTATCGCTCTTTTCCTGCAGAAAATTCCCCTTTCTCTTTACCTTTATCAAAACTTAAAGACCCAGCTAAAAATGTGTAGCGAACCTAATACTTTTGAATGGGAACATTACATTTCGTGTACATGCATTGTCATTAAGTTCGTCATTTGTGAAATTTGACGTTTGAATCGAGCCTTATTATCACTTAATTAAGTCCAGGAAAATTCAATGAAAATTTCCCTCCATGCCCAAAGCTTAAAATTAAACTAAAGAAACACTTTATATTGTACCTAGCCTGCATAACAAACGTTTCCAATAGAGTTATTGCGCGAGTTAGCCCCTCCTGGCCCCTCCTTCCTCTTTTTTTGCCCTCTACGAACTTAGTCTCTTGCAGAAAACTCGCGGGGGAAAGCTTGCTACGCAGGCTATTTTTAAAGTTATTGTCCAGTCACAATAAAGAAGGGACAGCTCGGTATGTTTGAATGATTATTATTAAATGTTGAAACATATCTAGCTGCCACTGTGGTGGCACAAAAATCAATGGAATATTTTAAAAATTATGTAGCCTGAGCCCCATTACGTATAGAACCCAAAAAAATCAATAGAAAGAGATACTCACGTCTGTAAAACATCCGAAGTCTTCAAATAACACACTTCTTTCTTTGATAAACTGCACTGAATCCTGTTCAAATAAGCTTATGTACTTTCTTCAGTAATATGCCCATCAAAGTCTGGTGCAGATATTTTTATTGAAGTACACTGTCCATGAAAAAAAATATATGTAAGTCTTATATCATTTCATTACCCTGAAGTAGTTTTCGTAGTTAAGTATAACTGTTAGAAAAACCAGAGTTGGTTTATAATCTTGATGTTAGTAGGTTCTCGCATGGAGTTTTGACTTGAATTGCATTGTGAAATATAAGCCAGCTATTACTTTTGCAGAAATGCAATAACCCTATTAAGAAAAAAGGGCTTGATCTAATGTAAACTCTACTGTAATATAGAAAAATTTTTTATAGTTTACTGAACCAGATTTAACAATCAGAAAAGCTCCCAAGCACGACATACACGCCTGTTCGGAGTTGGTTTCCGTAAGCTTAACACAGTAACACAACTATGAAGTTTGAAGAACAAACTATTGCATGAACACATAGAAAAGAATGACACGTACCTTTTGAACAAGTTTGTGGTCTAAACTCTATCAAAGAGAAGGGTGAAAATATTTGTTAACAAAAGCTGGACTGCTTCGTACAAAAAAGCAGCTTTTGTTTTCTTCAGATCTGCGTAGTTTGTTTGTTTGCGCGGGCGGAGAGAGTTTGCAGCCGCGACAATTTCGCGCCAAAAACAGGGTGTCTTGATTGGGTTCAGTCTTCCATCGTCCAATCGTTGAGTCATTGTTTTGCGTCGCTGTCATTACATGGTATATTGATCGATCAAGGAGAAAATGATCCACTCAAGATAAGACAAAAAAAATCACTTCGAAAAAGTTCATATTCTAGAACATTTTCAAATATAATTATAAAACAGCAATTACAATGATTACCCGACCGTGTTCGGTATTGTCGTATAAATATCTTTAAAACAGTATTCAAATACAGCTTTTTAATTTCCTTTCTCAATATCAGTTTCGACATAAGTGTTTGTAGACGTAATTCATTGCATATTTGCTCTCACCTTTCAGCACCATTCAAGAGTGTTGTAAAAGTGTAGCGGTCGTATTTGACTTCATTTTTGACTAGTATCAAAGGTATGGTCACAGCCACTACACTTTTGACCTCATCTTTGACGTGCGTCAAAGGTAAAGTCAAAGTTACCAGCATATTTGACAACGACTTTGATCAGGGTTAAAGGAATAGCAAAGAATTGATTCATTTGACTTCATCTTTGACGCGCGTCAAAGGAGAAGTCAAAGTTGTTACCAATTTGACTTCACCCTTACCGAGGTCAAAGGAGTAAGCAAAGAGCTTATATATTTGGCGACATCTTTGACGCGCGTCAAAGGTGAAGTCAAAACCAATACCATATTTGACTTAACTTTTGACTGGTGTCAAAAGTGCAGTAAATCCAATTTTTCGTCCCGTGCTGTACAATGTTTCCTCTTTTACCCATCCCTCCAATGTAATATATATTGGAATGTTGGTATTTGGCAGGAAGAAGACTGCATGGTTTTAGAATGATCACGTGACTTCTGTCCTGGAATGTTCGTCCAACCTGGGCGGTATTTAAGGCAAGCTGAAGATCCGTTTTACCATCAACAGCCTTGGTTTTCGGGTTATTCTTAACTCTACAAAAGCACAAAAACAAAAAAAAATCTTAATGTTTCCGAAAGAGTTGTTCGGTAAAGAGTAGGGAGCAAATTTCGGTTGGGGGAGATAGTGGACAAATTTAGTTTCCGCGAGATTTACCACTAGTCTCTACGAGAGGACTCCCAAAGGCTTTACTTAGACTGGGATTGGGGAACTGTATGGCAACTGATCGGCCCCAGGTATTCTACAAGTGGATAGTGCTATCTATTAAATAAATCACTATCCAGTGGATAACGCAATTGGTTTCCCTAAGAACGAATAGTGGTTTATCCGGTGGATAGTGTTATCCAACAAAAACTGAAAAAGTGAAGTCAGGACCAAAGCAAATGGTAAATACCAAACTCATGGTCGAAATTTGCCATTAATAAAACTTCCTGATTTTTTTGGACAGTTGTCTACCAACAGTAGTAGTGAGCTTTGCTGTTCAACACTTATGTTCAGTGCCAATGTTCCGATAGCTTTGTGCATTGGCGTTGAACTCGCGGGGAACATCATCACTGGTTATGTTGTATCTATCAAGTTACATGATAAAGTACAAAACTGTATTAAACGGCTAGATCAAATACTATTCTGGTTAACTCTCTCTCATTGCTTGCCCGCATGATAGGTATATTTCCATTATATATTTGGTCTCAGTGTATGCGCAAAGTTGTCAGTACACGTCAGTATTGAAACCGACTAACATACCACTTACCTAATACGTAAAACGCAGCGTTGTGTTGTGTCGGTTGGAAAACGAGGAACTTTCGACTTGTAAGAAGAAAACTTGCCCTCCATATTTATTCCGTTATGATTAACGACAGTGGAAGGCGCGTAGATGACATCCGGGAGTTTTTGAAGGAGAACAAACTGTTTCTTTTGATCAGCTCCTTGTGAAAGCTTATGAGGTTCATATGGAACACCTCTTGCCAGCTTCATGTCTCCCTGGTCATGACAGGTGCTCAAAGTCCCTGCTGTTTTTTCCACGTAGTTGGTGGTGAACTTTTTCCAGATGCCAACAGCTGCTTTACACGATTTCGCTGTGATGTACTTGGCAACACATTTTTCGGCCAACTTGTTGGCATGATTTCTGGGGCAGGTCTGTTTCCCCTGTGTGGATGGGATAATACACAAATCTAAAGAAAAGAAGGTCAAGTAAGGGTTGGTTTTCAGGTACTGTGCAAGCAGAGGTCTTTTTATGTATGAAGATCGAAGGGCCGGGCCTTTCTCGAAAGGTAAGGTTGAGGGCGGAGTTAGTATTCAGCCTTGCAGGTTTGAAGCGTAGGAAAGATATAAGCATAAACACTCTAAGCTAAAGTATGATAAGAACTGCAAATTCTTCAATTATCATAATTTTTCAATTGACTGTTTTTTTAACGGCGAGTCAAATAAGGTGACAAATTAAGCGTTAACGAATTAAACCGAAGTCAAAACGTGTCGTTTCAATGTAGTGAAAAAGTATATGTTTGAACCGTTGGTCCCTGCCTTTCTTTACTCCATTTATTTGACTCTCTAGATCTATAAGATGGACATCTCTGTTAAACGGACACCTAGAGTTGCCTTTCTTCACTCCCTTTATTTGACTCTCTATAAGACGGACACCTCTGTTAAACGGACACCTCGAGTTGGTCCCTGCCTTTCATGACTCCCTTTATTTGACTCTCTATAAGACGATCATTACTCTTGGAAGGACAATTCGCGTCGGATTCAAAGAGAGAGTTGAATGTACAGCCAAAAGGTGTTTTCAAAAAATCTCCACTCTGGAGAGCGTTTTTTAAAAAGATGCGTTTTCCGTGACCGCTTTTACCGGATACGTGTATACGGTAGGCCAAACCGGAGGGAAAAAATCTCCATTTTCAAAAGAAAACGGATACATGGACGGGGCCTAAGTTTTTTGACATCATCAGCGTGCTCAATGGGTACATAAAGCACATGGGACGGGGTCTAATACCTCTAGCTCTCGAGCCCGCTTTGCAATCCTTCCCAGTGCATCCATAAGCTAGAAATACGTGTATCGCAGAACCTCGCTAAGCACCGGGGAGGAGGCCCGTAAAATGTTAGGGATGGGAGGGAGGGAGAGAAATAGGGTAAATTGTGTAATTGGGGAGGGCTGATTTCAACAGTGGCTGTAATATTGGAAGCAGAGATTTACTCAATCTCCTTTTGGTTGGAGTCAACTCGAACCGAGTACCCTGGCTTTAAAACGGATATGGGATTTTAATGGGGTTGTTATCATTAAGGCAGCGTAGCCAAAGTTGTGTAGCTCTCTTGTTCACCCTGTTTGACCCTCCTTCATGTACTTCAAGTTGTCAAAAGGAAATGGCTGTGACAGTGGATGGCTGCAGGCTAATATGTAGTGGCATAACAGCTAACTTGTGCCATCTCCTATAATACTATTGTAATAATTTCTTCTTTGTTGCTCGCGCTAAATTTCTATTCAACGATCTGTTGTTGCTCCAGAGGAATTCTCCCCGGCAAGGATTTACATCCACTTTTTTAATCCAGAGTTGTTGTGTTTGCTTTTGTGGGTCATTTGCATTGGTAGGAATTTGCTCGTGATTCACTGGTGCTATAAAAATTTCTTTCACAGACGATGAATATAACAGTCGAATGAACATGAACCGGAAATACACATGCTGCGTCTAATCACACTGGATGGGGATACCAACCGGAAGTGACCGATATATCTGTCTGAAGGCCACTAGGCTTTCGCCTGGCTCCAGGCCAGTGCTGTCTCCAAAAATGTAGGTCGCTTGGCGTCTTGGTCAGCACTACAGGGCGGAAAAACGTAATGAGCAACAAATTGTCATTAAAAAAACCCAGAAGGCTAAAGGCTCTTATACCTGCTGACAATGAAGAATTGAATTTTCTGTATGAAAACAACCTACCTAAAGGTCTTCAAAGCAAAAGATCAGCTTCGCAAGCTTCGCAAGCTTCGCAGCCAAGCCATGATTCACCATTAAGCTATTTTTAACAACTGGTCTTTGCGAGGGTCTTTGACTGAAGACAAGGATCAAGTAAAGCTGGTTTTGCAAAGGTAATAAATCTGGGTATCTAAAAAAAACAACAACTATAAACTACTAATAACACAATAAAAGCAAGTTTTAATTCAGCCCGGCAAAAAAAAGTGAAGAACTGGACGCAAAATCAACTCACAAATCGAATGCACAATCAGAAAAATACTCTCCTCTTTGGAAACGTTCAAAACTTTTTATTCCACCTTAGATTGAGAATCATCAGTTTTTCCTTTAACCTTGGTTGTTCTGAATCCAAAGTAATTTTCAAGTGACGAAAAAAAAAAACAAACAAACAAATGACACGTTTTTAACTGAAAGGATGTAATTGAAGTTTACTGCTTTAAGAGATGGCATCACTTTTGCCGTGTACGTCCTTACCTCCACTGATTTAAGTGACTTACCGTTAATAATTAACTAAGAAAAACCTCTACAAGGCAAAATTGAGATTATTTGATTAGATAATTAACATGAATAAAATATTTTTCTCGCTTTATCGCAGAGACAATTCTGTTATGTTAACTGGTTGTTTTATCACGTTATTTGAACAACTGTTGAAAGCTCTGTCTTGGATGTAATCAACAGCAGCTTTCTGGGCCCTTTAATTATCGGGACTTTCGAGAAACAGGCCTCTGGTTCGCGCCTTGCTGTCATGTTGTTTCCTTACACAAGAAACGTTTTTGTGTGCTGAGATAGTAAATGCAGTAAATACGGAACTACATTTAAATGCTGTGATATGTGAGTGTGGACATTAGAAAGATGTGAATTGTTTGTTGGCTGGTTTTGCTTTAGCCTACATGTAAATTCAAAAGATGAATGTGCACATGACCAGATATCTGAACTTCCTATTAGGGTCACTGTCCCTGGCACACGGCAGAGAAGCAAATGGTAATTGCCATTACTTATGCGTAACTACTGTAACTCTGTTTCGTTTGTCCTTGTTTGTTCGTTTGTAGTGCTTAGTGCAGTGCAGGAAAGATGTCTGTGAAAGACTTGGCCTCAGTGAGGAAGATGTGGAGCTGATCAAGTGATTTTGACACAGCAGTGGGTACCCTAATGCATGGCTGGTACAACTAGCTGGTGTTGTAGTATTTGATTTCTGTGTTGCTGTAAACACCATAGTGCCACACCCGCAAATGAAATGCTCATAATGCTCAAAGAAACCCTGCCCTGAATTCAAGGGTATCTAGATTATAAAACACAGATTGGGGACGCCTGACCATGGATAATCATTGATTTATCGATCTTCGTGCCAATTGTCGGAAATCCCGCCTATGCGACAAGGGTCTCAAGAAAGGAGTTGCTAGCCCAAACCCGTTCCTTCCTTAGGTCTTTCTTCAAAGTATCTAACTGAAGCCGCAACTTAACGTCTTGCTTTGAAACTAAATTTACGTAGGACTTGCGCCATTTACGGTAGTTACGTCACTTGCTGCAAAACAAATTTGTCTTGTGCCGGTAAAACGCACTATATGTACAGATTTTGTTCCAAAAAGTAGAACCACCTTCTACATTCTGCAACAACTTTTCGCAACCTGCAACAACCTGATTTGTTGCAAGACAGGTTTGATTCGTGGGTGGTAAAACGCGCCACATCGCTCTTTAGCTCGTTTTGCAGCAATGGTGCAAAACAAGTTGCAGCTTTTTGTTGCCCACTTTACTGTACCTTAAAAAGAAACGATTTTTCAGGACTTACAGATTTTAATGGGAAGTACAAATGTGCGAGTAGGCAGTACAATCTTTAGTGCCAGGCAACCTAAACAACCAAGCAGTGCCAATGCTGTGGGGGGGATTCCTTAGCAATCCTCGCGGGAAACAATGGTATCCTGTGGGACCTCCCAACTAAAAACGTCCTAAGGAACAAACCCAGCACCTGGTGCGGAACAAGACACTTTTCCTCCGGAATATACAGTGCACGATTTGGGGACAACTGATTAAGGACACAAAGTTTGTGATCGCATCACATGCTCACACAATCACTATACCTTATTAACTTGAATTTTTAGTAACGTCACCCCAATAGCATGCCGGTCTGTTCTACCAATCACTTGTCATGTGAGGTGACACAAATTTGGTTCACGAATTCTAGTATCACTACAAGGCTTTAAAACACGCAGCGTCACAAGGCATCACAAGGTATCACAAAGTATCACAAGGTATCACAAAGTATCACAAGGCATCACAAAGTATCACAAGGTATCACAAGGTATCACAAGGCATCACAAAGTATCACAAGGTATCACAAAGTATCACAGAGTATCACAAGGCATCACAAAGTATCACAAAGTATCACAAGGCATCACAGAGTATCACAAGGTATCACAAAGTATCACAAGGCATCACAAAGTATCACAAGGTATCACAAAGTATCACAAAGTATCACAAAGTATCACAAGGTATCACAAAGTATCACAAGGCATCACAAAGTATCACAAGGTATCACAAAGTATCACAGAGTATCGCAAGGTATCACAAAGTATCACAAGGTATCACAAAGTATCACAAGGCATCACAAAGTATCACAAAGTATCACAGAGTATCACAAAGTATCACAAGGTATCACAAAGTATCACAAAGTATCACAAAGTATCACAAGGCATCACAAAGTATCACAAGGCATCACAAAGTATCACAAAGTATCACAGAGTATCACAAAGTATCACAAGGTATCACAAAGTATCACAAAGTATCACAAAGTATCACAAGGTATCACAAGGTATCACAAAGTATCACAAAGTATCACAGAGTATCACAAAGTATCACAAGGTATCACAAGGTATCACAAAGTATCACAAAGTATCACAAGGTATCACAGAGTATCACAAAGTATCACAAAGTATCACAAGGTATCACGGAGTATCAAAAGGTATCACAAGGTATCAGAGTATCATAAGGTATCACAAAGTATCACAGAGTATCACAGAGTATCACAAAGTATCACAAGGTATCACAAGGTATCATAAAGTATCACAAAGTATCACAAAGTATCACAAGGTATCACAGAGTATCACAAAGTATCACAAGGTATCACGGAGTATCAAAAGGTATCACAAGGTATCAGAGTATCATAAGGTATCACAAAGTATCACAGAGTATCACAGAGTATCACAAAGTATCACAAGGTATCACAGAGTATCACAAGGTATCACAAGGTATCACAAAGTATCACAAGGCATCACAAAGTATCACAAGGCATCACAAAGTATCACAAGGTATCACAAAGTATCACAAAGTATCACAAAGTATCACAAGGTATCACAAAGTATCACAAGGCATCACAAAGTATCACAAGGTATCACAAAGTATCACAAAGTATCACAAGGTATCACAAAGTATCACAAGGCATCACAAAGTATCACAAGGCATCACAAAGTATCACAAAGTATCACAAAGTATCACAAAGTATCACAAGGTATCACAAAGTATCACAAAGTATCACAAAGTATCACAAAGTATCACAAAGTATCACAAAGTATCACAAGGTATCACAAAGTATCACAAAGTATCACAAAGTATCACAAGGTATCACAAAGTATCACAAAGTATCACAAAGTATCACAAAGTATCACAAGGTATCACAAGGTATCACAAGGTATCACAAAGTATCACAGAGTATTACAAAGTATCACAAGGTATCTCAAAGTATCACAAAGTATCACAAAGTATCACAAAGTATCACAAGGTATCACAAGGTATCACAAAGTATCACAAGGTATCACAAGGCATCAAAAGGTATCACAAAGGGAACTCACCTTTACCGTAGCGCTTTTATCTCACGGGAAAAACATTACATTCACTAACATTGCACTCTTTTGAGCGCGCAATTCAACTGAACAGAAACTAAACAAAGCAGTTTCTTTTTTCAAAATATTTGCATAAGATGTTTAACATTTCCGAAATCTGTTACGTCAGTACAGGATGAGTTATGTAGCAAAACGATTCCTTTATATATTGTGACAAGGGTTTCACTACGAGATTGTGCTCTGTGCAAAAATCAGGGAAAAGACATTTTCTTATTACGCGTGCAATTATGGTGCATAAACTCACCGTTTTGTTTGGTTTGTTTGTTTTTGTTCTTTCTTGTTTGCATTTGACGATTCTCATTAAGATGTAATATGGGGTTGACAGGCCTACACGACTCCCCAGCGCGTGTTTAAAATAGCCTTTTTATAGTTTGGCTCTCACGAGTATGTCTTTGAGCGACCGCCCTCTTTTATAAGATACGAGGGCCGGTTCTAGTTTGTAGATTTTCGCTCAGTAATGGTTGTTGTTCTATTAAATGCCAGTTTTTCATGAGAATTTGCTTTAGGTTAGGCACTGATGGTTGGTATTGTGTGACAAAAGGCAAGATTCGTTGCTTTGTCTTTGGTTTCTGTTGAAGGGCTAGGTTCCTGTCTTTGAAGTTCACCTTTGAGCGGGTTGTGTTAATGAGATCCTCTGGGTAACCCCTCTGTAGCAGATGCGCTTTGAAATTTGTAATTTTCTCTTCGAATATTATTTTGGAAGAGTTTGTTCTGAGGAGTCGGAGGGCTTCCCCCTTTAATGAAGCCTTTTTTTAACTCCTTGCGGGTGACAGGAACCAAAATGGGTATACTGAAATGGGGTGTATATATAAATGCAAAATTTGCAATAAATTCACACTGTAGTTATAAGAAAAATTTAGCCAATATTTCGCCGTTAATTAACGGCTAAAAATGCATGATACTAATATAATGGGAAATAGTTGGCCGTTAAATAACGGCTAAGTTTAGCTGTATCCTTATATACTTCGGAAATAGTTAGCCGTTAATTAACGGCTAAAAATGCATGATACTTCTATAGTAAAAATATTTAGCCATTAATTAGCGGCTGAAAAGTTATGACACTTATATAGTGGGAAATGGTTAGCCGTTAAATAACGGCTAAGTTTAGCTGTATTTATATATATATCGGAAATATTTAGCCGTTAATTAACGGCTAAAAATGCATGATACTTATATAGTTAAAAATATTTAGCCATTAATTAACGGCTAAAAAGGTATGACACTTATATAGTGGGAAATGGATAGCCGTTAAATAACGGCTAAGTTTAGCTATATTAATATATATGCCGGAAATATTTAGCCGTTAATTAACGGCTAAAAATGCATGATACTTTTATAAAGGGAAATAGTTAGCCGTTAAATAACGGCTAAGTTTAGCCGTATTCTTATATGTACGGCAAATATTTCGCCGTTAATTAACGGCTAAAAATGCATGATACTTATATAATGGGAAATAGTTAGCCGTTAAATAACGGCTAAGTTTAGCTGTCTTCAGATATATATATATGGGAATTATTTAGCCGCTAATTAATGGCTAAATTTCTAAATTGTATAAATATTTATGAAAATTTAGCCGTTAATTAATGGCTAAATTTTTCGTTTGTATGAATAGTTAATGAAAATTTAACTTATAAATAGTTAATGAAAATTTAGCCATTAATTAATGGCTAAATTTTTGGTTAGTAAAGAGTAAAATTTAGCCGTTAATTAATGGCTAAATTTTTCTTTAATAGTAATACAAAGTGACTTAACGGCTAAATTTTTCTTATAACTACAGTGTGAATTTATTGCAAATTTTGCCATTGTCTAAACACCGACTGAAATGTCTCAGTTGGTTTGAAATGAGTACTCACATCAAGGGTTGCGTCTCTTTTGAATCTTTCCCCTTTGTAGATGTAGGTGTCCAGGAATGCTGTTTCCTTATCGGAAATTTCAGCCGTAAATTTGATCGTAGAGTGATGATTGTTTGCTTGTTCAATGAAATGTTCTATTCTGTCTCTGTTTGTAGTCCAGAGCGAGAAGATGTCGTCTATGTAACTTTTCCAAACGAGCGGTTTAAAAGGCTTTGGCTAAGGATTTCCGTCTCTACCTTGTTCATGAATATACTAGAAAAGGCGACTGCCATTTTCGTGCCCATGGCCGTACCATGTGTTTGAAGGCAGTTTTTTCCATTAAACTGGAAAGAATTTTCTTGGAGAATTAGCCTGAGCGCTCGTTTTAGTAGAATATTTCGTATGCTCTGCATACTGTGTCTATTCCCTCCTCTTGCGGTATATTTGTATACAAGCTCGTAACGTCCATTAAAACAAGTATGACCTCCGCTGGCACTTTCGTATTTTCTATGAAATTAGCGAAGTCGGTAGTATCTTTAAGATACGACTTTTGTTGTTGTGCTATCGGATGAAGGAGTTTGTCGACAAATGATGATAATTTCTCCGTTGGGCCATCACACCCTGATACTTCAAGGGCTACTGATCGTTGTATTGGTAGTTCCCATTCAGATTTGACATGGTAAGGATGGGGTTCATTGTTTTCCCCTCGAAATATGTACATTAGACGCATTCTTCTTGCAAACTGATCAAAGTCACGCAAGAGTTGTTGCCTGATTTGTGTTTGTTTTGTAACGGGTGTTGGAATGAATTTAAGCCCTTTTGCCAGTAAATTAATCTGGTCATTTGTAAGTTCTTTGTTTGAGAGTTTTTTTTATGTGTTTTTTTGTTCGCCTCTATTGTGATAGTTTTTCTGGCGTCTGACCTTTCTGCGCTCTTTGCGCTTATTAGTTGCTAGCCGTTTGGATTTTAAGATTTGTTTTTTGGCCCCATGTTTGTGGTGGGAGTCAGAGAATACACATGTGTACTTTTGAACTTCTTTATTTTCAATTGCTCCTAGTTTTTCCATCATATTGCCGAACTGGGCGATTTGTGCCAAAGTGCTTTACTGTTTCGATCGTTACGTTGTTTTCAGCTTGCGCTGCGCGCGCTGGTTCAATCATACTACAGTTCTTAGTGTTCAGTGCTATAGCCGGTGCGGCTCGCTTTCCTTTCACGGTTTCGGCCTTAAAACGGCCGATTTCTCGTTGATGGAATCGTATAATCGCATTGAGTGTTTCTTGCTCCGCGTTCTTACGGATTTGTTTTATCTCTCTCTTGAAGTCCTCGTCCGCTGAGGGATATTTTGGCCCTCGCCCTATATTGTAGGTTTTCTGGGCAAGTTCCCCTGTCCGTGTGCCTTTTTAAAGCTTTGATCGCACCTTCGGCTTGGCTAATTTTGTCCTCCGCGGATAGGCTATGGCTCCGTTTACGGTTCTCTGTGGATGGGCTGTGGCGGCGACGTTTTCGGTACTGTTCTGTCCTTGGTTCGCTGGTACTCCTTTGAGGGCGCCTGTCGCGGCTTTGACGTTGCTGTTTAGGCTGTTTAGGTTTTCTAGGCACTTGATATGGAGGGATTTGTTCATCGTCATCGCACTTGCCGAGTAGATCATCCTCGTTAGCGATGTCGTATGAGACTTCCATCAAAGGCATTGCTTGTGCCAGGGGCATTTAGTAGCCCATCTGACGTTATAATGTTTTCCGACATTTTCTGTGAATGGTCAGGCAAGACCGCGGTTTCGATCCTAATCTTGTGGATCTCGTCAGTTGCCGATTGAATTAACAGACTGATAGAGATGTGTTCTCTGTATCAGTCACAAAAAGAGTGTTTCTTGACCATTTTATGCTCGTTCGAAGGATCGAAAATCCTGTGTTTCTCTCGTTGACCCTCTTGTCTGAGGTCATCGACTGAGAACGATTTCCGAACCCGCTTCTTGCTAGTCATTATCAAGAGGACGATTGTATCTGAAGTACCAAACAATAAAACAGCAAACTGTTTTCATTAACTCTTTTGTCTAAACAAACTATCACACTAAGCCACGCACAGATACTTCAGCCGAAGAAGCGACGACCGGAAATACGTCGGTGATATCCTGTGATGTATCATCAAATAAACAATGAAAAAAGACTCTTAAATAATTCTTTTGTTTTAACCTGATAACGCGAAATCAAAGCAAAATAACACGGCTTTCCAAATAAATCACCCTCGCAAGACAACAACCTTAAGTTCCTTACCACTATTGAAATCGGTGAACAGCAAATAAATGAATCAATGATTACCAAAACTTCCCGGAGCCGAAGAGATTATTAACCACTATTTCATACTGAGCGATATCCTTTGAATGTTCCTATGTGGCATTGTGACATTGCCAACGTTAGGAAGATTGATTATGGTACACTCACACCTTCTCTCTTGTCTTTAAGTTTAGTACGCAAATTGTGATGTTGTGAAGCTCACAAATTGCAAGGCCCAATCCCCCACTCCCCAAATCGGGCACCAAGTGCTCCGGAAAGTTTCAATGTCCACCAGCAGTGACAATGTGTGTGACAAAAATTCTGGTTTCACAGGTTGCGGGTATATGCGAAAGTGATATATCGAGCATTATATCATTTGTTGCCCTAATCAAGGATGCTGGTGTAGCATAGACTTCATGCCCCTGGCACAAGCAAGTTTGTCATGGGTAAATAAGAGCAACGTAATGAAATATGTGCTTGAATAGTCCATAATAAAAAGTCCCTAATGAAGAATTCTTTGGATTGCCGGTGTTAAACGCGTACAACCAATCAGTGTAAACGTAGAAAGATGCGATCTAAGGGTTTTTGATCAACTGTAAAGGGTCTATATAGATGACGTAAAGAAATACCGAGGGACGCTGTTAACTTTTAAATATTCTTGACTGTGTAACTGATCAGCTACCCAACCTTTCCCCCCCTCCCCCGCCCTCAGACACATACACCGACATCCCGCCCCCGGCATAAAAAGGGTTTGTGCAAGCCAATAGTCTTCAGAATTCATTAGCAAAATGGTTTGCGAGGGTGGTATCTTGGGTTAAGCGTCTTTGCTTATCTCACATATCAAGTATTTTTTGTATTGAAATATAAAAAATCATTAATATGTCGGACTGGTTTCTTCTAAAAGTGGGTCAGTAAAAGCTAATGAGAGGTCGTGGGTTTTAATGGGAAAACTTGACCTATTTCAACGGTATCTGCCAAGTACTGCAGAGGAAATGGCCAAGAGATCTTTTCCCAGCGATTGGTTGCCCATAGATTCCAAACGTCCAGGAGATAGGGATACAAATTTGTTCAAGAAATAATCTCAATGTTTCAACGTAAAATTGTATCTTCAGGTGTTAAAAACGCATTGCGGAAGGGCGAGAATTGCTTAAAATCCTTAGTCTACAAACATGAACTATCTCGATTGCTCTTTATTACGAACTGGTTCATGAAATTACCCTTGCAAAGTTTAATGCAAGTAACTAACTTACATCTGCTAAATACCCGATCAATGTATTTAAAAATAGATAATACTAATAGTTGAGTTTGTAACATTAATTGCAGGAACTTACTAAAACGCCTCATTACCTTCAAGCCCCTCCCTCTACCCGTTCGTCTCCAATCCCTAATATAAAGCAGTATGTCAATATTTTTAGTTGCACGCTGAGCACACATAGCGTTTAAATGAAAGTGAGGGTTGTGGTGACTTTGTTGTCTTTGATTTGCAATTGAAAAGAACTGAGGTTTCTGTCAAGACAGGGTCACCACCAGTCTCGCTCAAAGCCAGAATACTCAGTTTACAACTGCAACATGGTCTACTCACAATATTAGCGAGTTTTAAAAACAGCGAGAACGCTGACGTCCCGGATATCATGAATAGCAACCGGAAGTTTGATGTCTCGTTTCGCCCCACGTAAGGGAATCCAATACAGTTTTAGATTCTAAATTCCACGCCGTGGATTCCGGATCCAATGCAGGTACTGAATTCCAGATCTTTGTCGGTGGAACTTGGATTCCGGATTCCAATCTTTAGTCGGATTCCGTATACTGGATTTCACAAGCAAAAATGTCTAGGATGCCGGATTCCAAAAGCAAAAACGGCGACTTGCTTGATGATACGCCTCCGTCTCATGCAAAGAATCTGAATGCCTTTGTTTTAAATCCCGATGTACGATTTTTGTCGAATCGGGGCACCGAAAGAATTCAGGGCATTTGCTAAGGCGGTTGCCGTTTTTGACGTCCTGGACGTCAACGTTCTCGTCGCTTACGGTTCCTATTATTTTGATGCCCAAAACTATGGAACTCTCACCATCAGATATCAAAGCAGCTTTGAATTCAAGACAGCTTTTTTTTTTTACTGATTTTAAAACCATTCCTAAACTCTAAACCTATTGTAGCTCCTTGCCACGTTAAATAAATTCAAATGATCGTGTGTACTCCGTTTTAATTAGTTACCCCTTCAGTGGTGTACTCATCTTATAATTCCCTGGCTTCCGGAGGTTTCCCTTCCTATCTCTTTTATCTCTTCACATGTGTTCAAATAGCTAAATTTTCTCTGTATACACCCGCGTTCCGGACGTCCTGACGAGCTGTCAGAAGTCGACAATTCTTCGTTCTTGTGAGTCTCTTATGTCTCAACGCTTATTATCACTATCCCTTGTTAGATGTTAGAAGGAAAAGAGAAAAGAAATAAACCCTTTTAAACTTGGAGTAACCGTTACACTTAAAGCTATCTAAGCTGGCTAAAAGTCTTTTTAACGTGGACAAATTTGTCCAGAATAAAACGCTAACAACATGCAAGGCCCTCTTGATTGCCATCCCAAAGTATACTCATGGCTAAAAATTCACCAAAATACACATAATACTGACAAACGTGAAGTAACATGACAGCAACAACAAAAAAAAGACCGTCAAAAACACTGCCTACTGAATCTTCAATCTTGAACACTACCTTGATCCAATCTTTACTTACAACTACGGAAAAGAAAGCTGTGTAAAAGCACAGTCTACGCTTTTCTCCTTCAACACAGGTTTCATGAGGTTTCATGATTTATGGTAAAGAAAATGTCAACGCCAAAATAAAAAAAAAATGTCATCAAAATTGTAAGTCATGTGGGTCAAAATTGTGGATATTTGCCATGTCAGAATAGGCAGCATAACGAGCTCCATCCATGTCACTTGCTAATCGATTATCATCTCTCAGACGATGATTATGACCACCAATCGTTGAGCCACATTCTGGGCAGCGGGCCTCTTCCATTGCACCACCACACTCTGTGATGCAGTAAATGTGTCCTATAATGAGATAAGAATAATAATACAGCCGACGATCATTCAAAGTGGACACCAGGGTAATTGATTTAGTAAGAGCGAGAATGTTGTATAGGTGATGTAGCCTGGGCGATTATTTAAAATTTCCACGGAAGGAAGAACAGAGGCTGAGTTGAGGGGGCGTTTGCTGAAGATTCCCTTCAAATGCATCAACAGCTGGAAAAATACTCTTGGAGACTGGGGATGAGATACTATACTTACCCTTCGGACACTTGAACCATTTCCCTTGTGCTAAACCCATGGCCTTTACAATCATGTCTTTTTCTTGTCGGGTGACCTCCTGGTAAAACACTTCAAGGCCGCACGATCGTCCGATCCGCTCTATGCGAGTTGTATAACGGTCTCTGACGCCTTTTTCTAAAATGAATCCAGAAAAAGTCTTTCGCTCATGATTTTTAATGCGATTTAGTAAAGACGCTTAAAATAGAAATTTTGAAAGTTATGCTTGGCAATACCCAGCGAGTTTGAAATATGCTTGGCGATGTACGACCATAGCAATTTTCCCATAGAATTTTGATAAGACAAATAGCATTTTAATTTATGCTCATGTTTGAAGATGCGAAATATATCTTCGTAAACAAACAATTTGAAATGAGTTTAGTAACAATCTGGTGTCCCTTGTTAGCTTGCTCTAGATGCCCCCTTTCCTATTCTTCCCTCATCCAGTTTGTAAACATTCGCCTTGCTTCACACTTAATAATAATAACTATTCGTTATGACGATAATGTTTTGAAACCCCAGAGCTTGTAGATTGTATTTATAGATACGCTAAAACCTTAACACCTGTTCTCACACAGCCATACTAAATGATCACCCAATCTCTGGGTTTCGTTTTTGTTGGAACGTTAGACCAGGCCCCAGTTGTTCAAAAGGGTGGATACATCATTATCCAGCGAAGAAGTGTTAGGGAAACCAATTGCGCTATCGAGTGGATAGAGATTTTCCCCGGCGCTTGATACTATCCACCCTTTGAAAAAATTGGGGCCTGATGCAGGTGTTTTGTTGCCCTTCTACTATATAATTATTGCGTTCTTCATCTCTGTCCTTCATTATCTATCCCCTTACCAATCACTTTCTCAGAATCCAAGGCTCTTTGTACGTGGTCAATTTTCACGGAGTCAGTGGCGTTTAGCTTATGGCCCCGGATGTCAAGTTGCATCTTCAGAATCTTTAGGTCAACAGCAAGCTGTGTTCTGTACATCTCCTCTTTCAGTTCCTCTAACTCTTGGTCACTGAACCGCGCCCGAGTCCTCATGACACGGAATCGGAGTTTTTCCACTAGACCGTCGAGTTCTTTTTCCCTTTCCTGCAGTAGTCTTAATAAGTGAGTTTGAGTTTCTTCTGACCTTTCACTCTCAGCTTTTGTGCCTTTGTGTATCTTAACCTTGAGTTCCTGAAGGAAGGACAACAGGCTGATCTGGTTCTCAAAGACATTTACTTGTTCATCTGTAAGATTCGTGCGAAGCAGTGACATCTCAATTTTCTTCTGATCGTCTGGAAACAACTTGATCGTTTGCACTTTCAAACTTAGCCCAGTAACAGCTTCTTCACGCTGTTGTTTTCCAAGTAGAATCTTTCGCTTTATTTTCTCGAAGTCTGCAAGAATCTTCTTAACAATGTTACCATACCTCAAGCTGGTACGAATGGGAGTTGAGCACTTAGGACAGCGCTTGAGCTGGACATCAACAGCATTCCCATCATCCCCTGCCTCGGCCTGATCCATCCACTGGTCCATCATCTCAACTTCAAACACATGACCACAATCAGCCAGTTCCACAAACCTTGCGTCCTCGTCGTCTTCAGTTCCGAAGAAAATCTCGGTGACTTCATCCTTATGACACACTCGGCACTTCTTTGGACATCTTTCCCCGCAAAGACCAATACAGGGATGCTGGCAAGTAAGAAGTTTTTCACACGGCTCGTTACATCGCTGACGATCACATTCCTCTCCGCACAATTTGGTGCATCGCAGATGCTCACATTTCCAACCGCATTTCTCTTTGCAAGACTCACAAGGCTCGCCACATTTTTTCTTGCAATTGCTGTGCGTACAGGAGTTGCCGCAGGGTTCTTTGCATGGGGGACAGTTCTTGGTACAAGGCTCAGAACAGGAATGACCACAGAATAGGGTACGGCCGCAGTCTTTCTTGCAAGGAACATGAACTCGACCGCGGAAACACAGACTGCAATTACCTGATATATGTGGAAAAGACAAAAAATAATAATAAAACGCGAGAAATTGAACATTGCTAAAATGGCCTCTGAGAATCAATATCAAACTTTCTACTAGCTGCAGCGAGAGTTGATAAGGTGACTTGCATCTTCATTGGTTGATGCCCACGTTTTGTTGAAGGAAACAGCTAGATAAGTTAATCGATATCTTCAAAGAACTTGTTTCCATACTTACCAACACATGGGTGTTCACACTTCAAAGTCTCTCCACATGGTGCCTTACAAGGAGTCTGCATAGGATTCACGTGACATGCTGTCTTGTTTTCGTGACCACAGGGCCAGGTTTTCAGTGTAATGGCGGTACACTCCACAGTACAAGCCTCAGAGCAAATATTTTGGCAGGGATGCCCACATCCGGGTAGAACCTTAGTACAAGGTGACGTGCATTTCACTTCAGATGGATCTTTGTAGCAAGGGACATTCTGAACATGGCCACAACGTGGGAGGGTTTTTAACACGAGCACCAAACAAGGTCCACAATCTTGGTAACACCTCCTGGAACACATGTGATTTCTTTGGCAAAGGATTTTAGCGCATGGTTTCTTACATTGGTACTCTTTATGTTCCGGGTCTGTCGGATGACACACCATTTCACACACGTGACCACACGCTAGTCTGGTAGCACAAGGCACTGTACATCCCCCCTCGGGTGCTTTCTTGAAGTCATCAGCACATGACGCCTGAATCACGTTCCGTGGGTGGTTTTGACACGAGAGTGTCAAAGCGTTTCCGACATTACCACGCTCTTCCATGTCGTCCATTATCTTTCTCCACAGCTCGCTCTTTTCTTTCAAAAGACTGATGTTGCCAATGCAATAGAAACCTTTCTTGGCCCGAGACAGTGCGACACAAACCCGATTTTCAGTCTGAAGAAAACCGATTTTTCCCTCCTCATTGCTTCGAACAAGCGACAGCAGGATGATGTCGTTTTCTTCACCTTGGAAATTGTCCACCGCACACACTCGAACTCCACGGAAGAAATCCTTAGGCATCTCCTTCTTCAGTTGGATTAATTGTCCTGTGTAGGCTGTTAGGACTGTAATCTTTTCCCTTTCATAACCTTGAAGGATTAAGTAGCGACAAAGAGCAGCCACAAACTTTGCTTCGTGTTCATTCGACCTGCTTCTTCCCTCCTCCTGATAGTCCTATAATTTCAAAAATTGAAATGTCGTGAAAATAGTGGAGGTGTAACTGTACAAAAGCTTATTGGGAGGAAAGTGCATTATGGTAAAGAATGAGAAATTAGAATCTCGAACCAAGGTCACACTAGATTTCTGGGATGCTACTGGGAAATGAAGCGGTAACCAGTAACCCTACCTGCTATTAATTGAAATCCGTCTTTACACTTCAATACAGTAAGTCATCTGTGCAATGCAGATGCTAATGACAGCGCAATTTTGGGTGGGGAAGACATTTGTACAGATAACTCCCGAATTCATCAAATTGAGGTTTACAGAATCCCCCCCCCCGCAACTTCTCACCATTCTCTTTGGGCTTTTCCTCTGTCCTCTAGCCTCTGTCTTTGCACATAGCTAGCAATATACTGATAATATTTGCAGCTACACATTAAGGGAGTATTCCATTTCGTGAAAGTGAGACCTACCTCGCTCTCGTCATGATCCACAAAGTACATGTTACGATTCACGCCCTTGATGTTTTCAAAATTCAGCACTGATTCGTGATTGTCCAACTTAGGGTTGAAATAAATGTGGTCGAGCATCTTGGATATTTCCGGTCTCATCCGGTGCTGTAGACGTAGTCGCTCAAAAGGCATTCCATTTTTCACCATTCTTTCAAAGAGGGATACGTTCAATTTGTAGTCTTTGGCGAGTTCATAGACAGTGGGATTGGGGCGAAGTTGCTGGTGATCACCAATTAAAATCAAGTGCTGGCATCCGGAAGTCAGAGAAGTAACAATGTGCGACTCGAGAACCTCAGCAGCTTCTTCTACAATCGTTATTCGCGGTTCAAGTCTCTGCAGCAGCTTGCGGAACTTTGCCGCACCTACATGAAAGTTATGAAAAAGTAACTCAAGAAGGGGTCAAAATTCTTCAACGTATTATAAAATGGCCTGAAACGAATCCTTAATTATCAGCAGCATCGAGAGGTTTGGTTATCAAACCATGGCGAGGTTCACTAAAATCCTATGGCACTTAATTTAAAACTACAGTAGCAGAGATAGCGCGGGTGGGGGACTGAGAAACTGTACCACTGTTTTACTTAGACCCCTTTTTTCACTCTTTTCCTCTCGTCATGGATAGTTCAACCTGCTTAAAGAACTAATCAAACATACCCGTGGTAGTCATGCCAACGACATCAGCACTCTTGAGTATCTCAAAGTCCTCCATGTTTTTGATGTCTTTTAGTCGCTTAGCACCCTCTTCAAATTGTTCCTGGAAAAGCGAAATAGTTTGGCGGTACCCATCGCTCACATCCTTAAGCCAACGTCGGTACAAACACCAGCGATCCTTTACGCTTAACCTCCACACATTTCGTACCTACATGTTAATAGAAGAATTAAATTAAACTAAGCAGTTTCAGATTACAATGGTGAAGCGAATGGGTGATGAATTTTTTTGTAGCCTCCCGTTAAGATTCGTCAAGTCGAATCTGTATGCATTCTGTCATCTTTACATGGTGTTCTTGTATAAATGTCTCCAACACTGAACAAATATATTCATATATCCTTAAACTTATGCTCTGGTAATCCTTGGTTTAGAAACATGAAGGAAAGGCTTAAGATCTGTAAGTATAGTTGTTCAAATATCGGAGCTGGTTATGTAAAGGGATTCTCTTGCCGTCAGTCAATGGTGGCCATTTGAAAAAAGGTTAAAGCGTAAGTGCAGGCAAATGAAAACTACTTGCAAGGTAAACCACAATGTAACACATGCTGACTGAATTAAAATAAAGCTCCGTAATCCTTTTGAGAAGCCAGAATCAGGCGAATTAAACAGGGCGTTTTTCCCTTTCTTTGTTTCCATCTCACCATTTTTGCTCTTTCATCTGGCATGACATCCTTTTTGCTCAGCTCTTGAATGATCGTTCTCTTTAACCTCTTTTTGAGCCGATCACCGTTCTGGACCTGCCATCCGTCGTCAGATCCTCCAGCACAAGCAAAAGGATCCACGATCTTCAGCCTTGCTCCTTTTAGGCCCGCCGATTTCGTGCCAAACACTCTTACGTCATCATTGTCCAGGAGTCTTTGCTCCTGCATAACATCTGCTTCGTACAACACATCCGGATCCTCAGTGTCGTCTTCCTCTTCCCCCTCGCCTCCTTCATCCCCATCTTGTGCTGCCGCACCACCTTTAGAGAAGCGCAAATAGGGACAGTTAGAACTACTGTTCTCGACCCTAGTTTTGACTTAATAAGCGAAGGGGTAATAATTCTACAATAGGCACAGTTTTGTGGATTGACTAGCATACTACATTACCTTCCTGAGAAATTCCACCAACAGTTCGGACCATTTCTTTTCCAACGGATTCACAAAATATATGAAGGTCACGAACCCTCCCTTGAAAGCAATAGCCTGGTCGAGCAGAAGCTATGGCTCCGATTCGGATGGAAAACTGGGTTGCTAACTCCATTTTGCTGCCTATGAACTTCGCATCTACTGCATTGCCATTATGCCACAGACGCGCAATTCCGGAATCGTTGTCATAAGAGGCACCAATAAAGTTCCAAGCGTTCATGGTCAACACTGCCTTTGTAAGGGCTGGAGGCTGGGAAAAATCTCTCCAGACAAAACGAGCCGTTAGAATGCCCCTTTCATCTTCCAAACCTTCTTGCCATATTTGGACTCCTAGGCCATCTTCGTGGAAACTTAGGATAGGACCTCTGTTTCCGACCGGAAACACATGCATCAGGAGTGTGATTGAAGTTCTAGTGTCCAGGTCACTCCCAGCCTGATTTGGAATTTCAATGAATGAATTCGCAGTTCCTCGTAGATGAATAGATCCACCTAACCAACCAACACGGGAAAAAGTGGCTAGATTGGCTCGTGACACTCTTTCCAGTCCACGACAATGGCTATTTAGCGGGAACACTGCTACAGGTTGTATAGATGCTGATAGTAAAGAAGAAACAGTCAGTTGTGATGCTTATTATTTGAACTCACAGTATGTCGCGGGGGAGGAAACACTTCCAGGGCTTTACGAGTGGTCCAAAATATCGGTATGAGAAAAGGGCAATTGCCTTACTAAATATTTCGAGAGTCGTTACAAACTTTAGATCGTTAAGATATGCATATGTTTTACTTCGTCTTAACGTCTACAATTTTAATTTTTCTACCTCTAGTAGCTTCTTACCTTGGTTAGGGTTGGCCGAGTTCCAAGAGAGATTTAACCAGTGTAGAATAGCACTGTCCTTTCGCCCAAAAAATCCGTCAAAAGGCTCTTTTAGAGACTGGTAATGTATAACAGTCATGCTTGATGACGCGCGTTGACGAAGATCATCTTCGTGTAGCACGTTTTCAAAGCATCTTTTCAGGTCTTCAGCTGCTGATTGTAACTTTGCTGTTGTGTGGTCCATTTCCTGGTGTGCATCGTAAAAAGCCCGTCTTATGTGCAGGGGAGCTGATTTGTCCTGAATAGAGGAAAGAAATAAAACTTGTTTCAGAATGTAAATTGGGGTGGCAGGTGATTCTAATTAACCGGTTAATATCTATAACAGCTACTGACCAAAGTAAGGAAATCCATGATTCTTCTACAATCATCTTTGATGTAATTCACAAGTGTCCTGCAAATTGCTTTGGGTATGAGTTAAGTCAAAATGAACTTATATTGGTTTCAACGTAGTTCGAATCTCGTTTTCTTTCGTGAGTAGCAAACAAAGGAAACTGAGAATTAAACTTTTGGCTTGGTTATGACCATTTTAACCTGAATTTCACTTTGACTTACTGCAGATGCATGAGCTAATTCCCATAGACAAACGTCTATTCTCGTGTATACAGGATTAATTAGCTAAGACTGTATCTCGGCTTGTGCTTCAAGTTTCATAATTTCGTTTACCGGCCACGCATCCTTATCTCCATCACTCACTTATTCAGTTGCAAGAAACGACAAATTTTAACTGTGGACAAGGAAACACGGGCATTTCTGCTTTTTTCACCACTATTTTGATGTGCTCGGTTGATAAAAGGTGTTCGCGAGATATCTGTGGTTTTTGACAGGCCTTCGACCCAGGACCTTCGATACTGCATTCGTTGAGGAGCGAAGAAAAGAATAGCTCATTCTCCATGTGACAATTGACTCTTACCTTGTGCATCTTGTGTTTCAGCTCTGACAAACTACAAGTCCTCATAACCTCACTCTTGCTTCGTCCCCCAATGCGAACGATACCCTTGGGATGAAACTTGTGGATTCCTTCCAGAAACTGATCGAGGGCATGATTGGTGAAGCAGACTACAAGGATTGGACGCCGCTCAGAAAGAAGCAAACGCTCATCCATATCGTCACCAAGCAACTCTGTACCAGTGTCCCATTTCGCCTTGTTATGCAGCAACACATTGGCTATCTGTGGCAAAAAATAAACGTTCTTTGCGGCTACTGATATTAGCAAGGGTGGGAACTGCTCTAGACTGCGAGTAGTTGAGGGAGAGAAATGCACGAGCGCGAGTGGAAACTACCACGCGCGAGGAGAAGTGAGACGTCTGCTGCTCTTCCCCACGTGAGTCACCTTACTAGTGGGTGGCTCTTGTCACGCGCGCTCGCGACTTTTTTGCTCGCTCTACTATCCCTGAGGAAAACGCGGGAGCACTCGTACTCTAGAACCTTTTTTATAATATACATGGCTAACCGCCTTGCTGGCCCTTTTGCGCTTTACTTCTATCTCACTAGCCTTTGAGAAAAAAGAATATCAGTGATGATGCGAGCAATTATACTTACCTTATTATATACATACTGGGAAATACTCACCAAAAAGCTATGTCGTAAATTGTCGTACGCAAAATAGTTCTAGCCAATCAGAGGAGCGAACGATGGTTTTCACACGTGAAAAAAATGATACGTCCAATCAGAATCGCGAACGATGTTTTTTCACGTGTGAGAAAAATGATACGTCCAATCAGAAGCCACAGAGGTGTGTGAGTTTCGCGCCAAAATTCCCGCCTTTAATTGCAGCTTGCAGCGCCGCTTCGCACACATTCAACGAGAAAAGTTTTCCTCAAAGAGTTTTTCTTGCTAAAAAAGTGAAAAACTTTTCGGAAATGGAGTGGAATAGTTTCGTTTGTTTCACTGTTGATGAAAAAAACGGTAGAGAGCCGGCGAAACAACAAAGGAAAGGGAAAAACAGAACGAGACGTAAGCTTTTGTTGTGCTTTTTGTCGGAGCTACTTTGCCTTTCATTTTAGCTTAAGCTTATAATATTCAAACCGGCCATTTTCCTTAAATTCACTCATTTTCAATTGTGCATTGAGAACAAACAGTTAAGATAACTTCTAGGTCTTGGATTACCTCATATCCTTACCGTCCTTTATGTTTTTAACAAACGTTTTTGCTAAAAAGCTGGTACTTCGTTTTCGTTGTCATTTTGCAGTAAGTGTGTAGCGGCAAATTTTAGCATTTTTGAAAGATTTAAAATAAAAAGGCCGCCAAAATGATGAATGTCTCAGTATGTATATAATAAACACAATACCACATGGAAAGTGCTTTGTACGGTATTTACGCACTCGTTGTTTTTGTATCAGAAATCTTACTCGTTCGCTGCGCTCACTCGTTCGATTTCTGATACGTCAACAACTCGTGCGTAAATACCGTACGCCAGCACTTTCCATGAAGTATTCTCTATATACAAGAGGCTCAGGAGCCGAACTACTCGGCTCCTGATAACAGGCCAGAGCCCCGATTTTAGTGCGCGCCGGAGGAGGCCTAATCTCCACAGCAACCACCGCAGATCGGTTTGCAATAACAGACAAGCGTTACTTTCGTAATTAGTTTTAAGCATTCCTCCAGACACCTTTGGAGAGCGCCGGACACATTGCCTGTCAAGAAACTTTGTACTTCTGATTAAACGAACCAGACATCTCAAGGAAACGCGAAATTTGATCAGACTAATTGGGTATTATAAATTCATTTCACGGTCGATTGAAAATTTCGAAGTCGATCTTCGAGGCTCGCTTCGCAATTGATAACTACAGTTTTCTCGCCGCATTTGGATTCAAATAGGCTTGATACGCTTTCAATGGTTTTTCAAGTGCTCTCTTTTAAGAAAGTAGTGCTCCGATGGCTTATTTAACTTCTTTCAAGAGTAGTATGCCGTGTCAATATTGGTGACCTTCGAAGCGAAAACGGCGAGTCGGCGTATCAAGTTTTTCCTGTGGAGCCACAAGTAGGAATACACTCTCTGCTGGCACATCTTTCTCCGGTTTGGAAGGAACATTTGTTTCTGAAATAGGCCAAATTATGGGGCTACCCTCTCCCTCAGAGCTTACAGGCGGCGCGCCCAAGATTCTGAGGTGATGGTAGTCTCTCTTTTAAAATGTCGGTCATTTATCCAAATTATTATTGTAGGTAATTTTTGTAGTGTCATTTATTTTTGAAATAGGCCAAATTAATTATGGGGCTACCCTCTCCCTCAGAGCTTACAGGCGGCGCGCCCAAGTTTCTGAGGTAAAGGTAGTCTCTCTTTTAAAATGTCGGTCATTTATCTAAATTATTATTGTGGGCAATTTTTTTAGTGTCATTTATTTTTGAAATAGGCCAAATTAATTATGGGGCTACCCTCTCCCTCAGAGCTTACAGGCGGCGCGCCCAAGTTTCTGAGGTGAAGGTAGTCTCTCTTTTAAAATGTCGATCATTTATCCAAATTATTATTGTAGGTTATTTTTGTATTGTCATTTGTTTCTGAAATAGGCCAAATTATGGGGCTTCCCTCTCCCTCAGAGCTTACAGGCGGCGCGCCCAAGATTCTGAGGTGATGGTAGTCTCTCTTTTGAAATGTCGGTCATTCATCCAAATTATAAATGTAGGTTATTTTTGTATTGTCATTTGTTTCTGAAATAGGCCAAATTATGGGGCTACCCTCTCCCTCAGAGTTTACAGGCGGCGCGCCCAAGTTTCTGAGGTAAAGGTAGTCTCTCTTTTAAAATGTCGATCATTTATCCAAATTATTATTGTAGGTCATCTTTGTACTGTCATTTGTTTCGAAATAGGCCAAATTATGGGGCTACCCTCTCCCTCAGAGCTTACAGGCGGCGCGCCCAAGATTCTGAGGTGATGGTAGTCTCTCTTTTAAAATGTCGGTCATTTATCCAAATTATTATTGTAGGCAATTTTTGTAGTGTCATGTATTTTTGAAATAGGCCAAATTAATTATAGGGCTACCCTCTCCCTCAGAGCTTACAGGCGGCGCGCCCAAGATTCTGAGGTGATGGTAGTCTCTCTTTTGAAATGTCGGTCATTTATCCAAATTATTATTGTAGGTTATTTTTGTATTGTCATTTGTTTCTGAAATAGGCCAAATTATGGGGCTTCCCTCTCCCTCAGAGCTTACAGGCGGCGCGCCCAAGATTCTGAGGTGAAGGTAGTCTCTCTTTTAAACTGTCAGTCGTCAACCATAGTATTATTGAATTTTCATTTTCCAGAGTTCATAGTGGTACCTTCTTTATAGTTTTACGTGATTTGTGGAAAAGACAAGACCAGGCTAACAAATTTATTCTGCTTTATGCGTGGTGCGACAATCACCGTGGCTGACTGGCCTCCAAAGTTCCTTATAATTTGGACGCTTCTCAGGAGTTCCTTCACTGCTTGTAATCCAGAATTGGCGTTTCTCAGCAGCTTGAAGCTCTTGCGTTGCATCAGTTGTTCCTTGGACGGCGACCTTTTCTTGTCCCCAGTACAATATCGATTCTCGATTCTCGACTCTCGATTACCATATCTTGCTCGAGCAAGGTTTCGTCAACGGGACCGGTACTAAGACGATTGTAGGAAAACTGTTTGGTAAAAGAAGAGTGCAATGGTGGCTTCGGCGCGTTACCTGTCTGATGCCCGGTACATCACTGCCAAACTGCGCAACAGAATGCGCGAAAAACCCCTCCGGTACTTGAAAAAAAAAGAAAAAAACCTGAGCAATGTAATTTAGTAACTTATTCGTGGTGTTCAGCTTCCGGCTTATTCAGCTTATTGCCAGTTGTAGGCAAAGTTCACGCGCACATTATCGCACTCTAACTTGGTCGATTGTCAGGAAACTCTTATGTCAGTCATTGACTAAAAACCCCCGCGCGTTAAGCCTTTGTGCGACGGACGTCCCTTAGAAACATAAATTGCCCACACTGATCGCCAATTCTACTTGCAAAGTGTTGCTGATTGAGTTGAGTAATGTATTCTAGAGTGTAAATTTTGTACTAACCTCGCAGACAAGGATGCAATGAGACATTTTTCTGCATAGTTAGGCCTGCTATCCATTGGGCAAGCATCCCTTTTATTTTCTTTCGATAGCCTGTCCATGCACTAACCTTTGGGTACAGAAACTAGCTGCCTCTCGCTGTACCAAAACTTAATAGTTTTGGCGTTCAATATTCTTAACGGGTGCTCACAAAACACTGGGACTGCATTGTGCTTCTTTGGCGCTTTGGTACCCTGCGAGCTTTGTTTCATCGCGTTTTGAAAGATGGAAATTTTGATATTCCCGCGTAAAAGAGGACAGATAAAACGTGTCTTTCATTGACAACAGCGAAACGCCCGGAAATGAAGGATGTTTTGAAAGAAACGGGAAAACTTATGAAAGAAAATATTTGTTTTGATAAGTGAAATTAATGAGAAATAACCATAAACTAGTTTTGTTTTCTCGTTTTCGTAAAAGCGGTTTGTCTGGTACCAGATTTGTACAATTACTTTCAATAAAACATGGATCGGGTTTTGTTAAAAAAAGCATTATGTTGACAGCTACAAGGCACATGCTTGCCTTAAGCTGCGAGTATCCCGCCATGTTTTAAACAAAGGGCCTCTGACCAAGCCGGCATTCTAATCCGCCACAAATATGTGAAGCACGCGTCTTTCAAAGTCGCCTAGTACTTAAAATCGGGGCTCTGGCCTGTTCTTACCGTAAAGAAAAAGTATACAAAAGATGCAAAAGGGCTACATGAACGTTCTCCAGTTGTACATAAAAGGAAGCATACATCTTTGTAGCTTTCGCCATCTAGAATTGTAGCGTTTTTTACTGTCCTCTGTTTTCTTAGTGAAAGGTATTTTCTTAAATCAAAAGGGATGTTAGGTATGGGTCGTGAAAGTGTCTATACCACCAAGTTCAGCAATACTTATCGTCATATATATATGTATCTGAATTTGATTTATCCGCTAAGGTTGAGATGATATTATAATGAAGTGTATCGTCGTATCCTCCAGTTCCACATGTTTAGACAATTCCACCTTCATCACGTTTGTAAGAGCAGATTAGCTCTCAAGAAGCCTGAATGTCGACTTAGACCAATTTTCAGATTTTCACTTACTTTAAGCCCAATATATGTCTTCCCGGTGCCTGGTGGTCCTTGAATAACCGCAAACTCTTTTGTCAGCGCCATCTGTATAGCCTTGTACTGGGAGTCATCTAGTTCCAGCTCTTTCGCGGAAGGCCAGGAAGCTAAGCTTAGAACTGGAACATTGTTTCCTTGGGGGAAGAAAAAAAGGACTGTTATGTTGTGACTAAAAATTACGCACTATTATTCTGGACCACGATGGTCGGTTCCTAGGGCTTTTCTTCCCGCAACGTCTTACATTCAATTTTTGGCTCACAGAGGAGTAGTTTATATTCCAAATGAAGCAAGATATTAGAACATCTTAATTAGAGAAAAATTTTCTTTAAATTTTCACCATTGTAAAGGTATCTTTGACGTTTCTTGAAAGTATGACGTGATAAGTGACACCTATTGTTGGTAACAACATTAAAAACTTGAAAAGCAGTGTTCAAAACGTTACCGATATTTTTGCTACACAAAAAAAGATATGTATAGTGAAAGCCCCATGTCAATCGGATAAAATGGCGTGAAGTTACAGCTAATAAAAGAAAATCAAATTTCCCGCCAAATGACCATATATGGTCAATATTAAGGGATATTTTAAACGCGAGAACAATGAATGTATTGGTACAGGGACAAGGACAAAGTTGTATAAAATCAAAGTTGTAATTTTTTACTTAGTGTATATGGTGCTATGACGCGTTTTTCGTAACAAAATACGCCATTGTGACGTCATAATGACGTATTACCAGCACTTCGTTGTCGTTTCGGTCTGGATTCATCTGAACTTTCAGGTGAATTGGAGTTTTCGTCGACATGTAATACTGTTTCCGATTCACGCTGAAAACCCGCCTTTGCTTTTGAATTTCTCTTACGTAGGAAAGCATGTCGGGAAGGCACAGCCAGCTATACTTGTACCCAGACCCCGGTTACTTTGAGAACGACCCAATGGAAGCCAAAACGGAAAATGTCCCGTCTGCTACAGATTTTGTTGTATGAAACAAACCTTTAAAAGCCCAATTTCACAATTAATATCAGCGAGGGATTTCTGACAAAAATCGGGAGATTTGAGGTCTTCGTCGGGAGACCGTGAGAAAAGCCAAAAAACCGGGAGGGATGGCAGGTCTGAGAGTCTGACTGACATGGTCAGCTTACGCGTATGAAATTTAAGCGAGTAACTGAGTAACAAGAATAGTGCAGTGATGATCGATACAACGTTACTCGATGTTAGAAGGATTCCATGCGGGCATTTTTTTTGTGTCTTTATTATTTAACCTTACTCTTTTTTCGGTTGAAACTTAATAATAATAAAAAATTCCAGGGCGCTACGTTTCCAGGCAAGTTTCATTTCAAGAAATTACACATCGTACCGTCGCAGGGGAAAGAAGAAGCCATTCCAAGACTTCAAGGGGCTGACAAGTTGGCTACTGTGGAGAGGGGTACTTCCTGGTAATGAGGATGTGCCGCTGGATGGGGTCGCATTTTCACGGCTGGACTGACTATAATAGGGTAGCATTTTCATTAGAGTTACTAAAATGGGAGCGACATTTTCAGGATTTGTGGCATCAGAAAATTCAAATAGGTAGGTGGGGATTTAAAAATGGGAAGGTTTTACTTCATTAGTAAAGTTTAACCCATGTGTCAATTCATTTCAGGGTGACCTAGTTTAAAGGCTTTATAAAGTAGATGCATAAAAAGAAAGTTACTATGTTGGGATCGCGAAAATTGCATTTTTCCCAAAGTGACTAAGATGGGGTCTATATTTGGCCACAGAATAGACTATAATGGGGTGGGGGTTTTGAGAGGCCAGCGGCACATACCAAGTAACACCCGGGTTGGCTACCAGGAAGATTTGAAAATTACATTGTAAGTTTGAGGTGTCTAAAAAAGAGTTCTACTTACCGCTCTGTTTGTTATCTCTAAGATCCAATCCGGCAAATCGTGTCCTCAAACGCATTAGACTGGAAGCGCTGCAAAACCCGAATCGAACAACACCGTTTAGACCGTTAAGTATATCAGTTACGGCCTTACTGAGAACACCGAAGAAACACTGATGCGTTTCTTTCAGTGTAGCAGTATTACCAGAATTATTTTGGTTGTTGCTGAAAATCCCTTATCGAAGCCCGACACATAAGAAAAGAGAAAACGAAAGAGGAAAAAAGTTAAAGGATAGGAAAAAGGCTCCGTTTCGTGTAGACGTCTCCCATTTCTTTGTGGCACCTTCCCACAGGTTAGAAAAGGCCATAAAACTTCTAAAACTAGAACCGCTTATGAAATTCTTTTAGATTTTTAAGGAAAAGTCAGAAAAGCCTATAAAGAAAACCGCGACAGTGAGATGTGTCGTTTAGATTTCCTACGTGTGCTTGAAACTCGTCTTCACAAATAGAATTGTACAAATTACAATTGACTCCCGATAATTCGAACCTTCAAGGGAAATAGAAAAAAAGTTCGAGTTATCGGGAGTTCGAGTTATTGAGGGTAAAATTATATAGAAAACGATCTGAAGGGAAATGTAAATTACCTCGAGTTAGCGGGAGGTTCGAGTTATAGAGGGTTCGAGTTACCGGGATTCGACTGTATTAAACATAATGAGCATTGTTTGGTTCAAGAGAAAGTTGTAGTTGGTCCTTCGGGCGATGAGGAACAAAACACATCATGGACATGGCCATATCTGCTTTGAAATTCCCTGTTCTTTATTTCGGCGGTTACTCGCTAGCCAGTTGAGTGCTTCCTCTAGCCCTTGGTAATGGTAATCCGAGCCAAATATTTTGAGCAAAGTGAAAGGCCCAGGAACAGAATGGGGTTAAAATCTGTTGAAGACCATTTCCAGACTCAGTGGCACAGGCCTGTTCTATTGCACTTTGTAATAAATTAACGCATTTTTTAATACTTGTCGAATTTTGTAATAACACTTGTCGCACTTCGTAATAAAAAAGCTAACGCACTTTGTAACAACAGACCCATTGATGGTCGGAGGACAAGTAAACCCAAATAAGTATCATCATCGACAACAAAAACAACAATAATAACAAAAACAATAATAATTGTTTATTGTTATTATTATTGAGGATATTTCAATGATGACTGATTATTTTATATAGGGGCTACTCCTAAAACGGCCACTGCAATAACACAGAAATATAATGCACTACTTATTTCCAACATCTAGGCATAACTTGATTGAGACAATGACGTAACTTGACGTCATTATCAAGTCACGTCGTTGAATTTATTGGCATCATGCAATTCCATAGCTTTTCCCTCAAAGCGAAAAATACACAAATAGTAGAGGTGTCTGACAAAATCAAGAAGTTGGCAAACACATTAATTATCTGAGACAATAACGTCGTTCATTGTCAAAGAAGGATCTGGAACCCACAGATTTCAAGTTTACAATCAACTGTACAAAGTTGTTACAGTAGTCTCGCGGTATTAAAGGGAAATGTCAGCGCCAAAAAATATCATAAGAATGTTTGGGCCTCAGTCAAGTGGTGTCCTGTTTGAATTACGATGAATACGTCTTGGATGGTTTATCATCATATTATCATGCACATATTTTGGAGAAACAAGTAGCATACTTCAAAGCTCTGGGCAGAGACACTTTTCAATATTTAGCTGGTCGCATTTTCTCTGCTTTTCTGATTACAGAAAATATGTACTGTATTATGAATCTGTCTTGTTTCATGTCAGTTATAGCGCATTCGAAATTTCCACAAAGTTAGCAATCATTGTGGCACAATGACGTGGGCAAATGATTTGCAATAGTACGATAATAACAGTAAAGATGATGAAATTATGATTATCTGATTATGATAATGATTGTGACACCTTGTTGTGCTCGATGTTTGTGTTTTTGGGTTCTATGAAATATTAGTATAGCAGGTAATGAAACCGGATTTCTTCGTTTCCTATGCCGCTATAAAAACTTTAAAAATATTTTCCTTATAAAGTCAAGGACATATTACTTTTATGGAAAACCTGGTAATAGGGATAGCAGCCAAATTTCAATACGAAATCCCATCACTACGGACTCTCGCTGTTGCATAGAAAGAGTTGTTGTTTCCTACAAAGATCTTGACCACTTTCCTTCACCCACACTTGAGAAAGTGGTGCTGAAAACCGTTCAGTGGAATGTTATTATTATTATTATTGTTGTTGATCACTGTTGATATTGTTGTTGAAGATGACGATACTTATTATTGGGTTTACTGGTCCTCCGACCATCCATTCAAGTTTATTACAAAGTGCGACAAGGGTTACCACAAAATGCGACAGGTATCACAAAGTTCTACAATTTTATTACAAAGTGCGACTGAACAAGGCCTCCAGATAAGCAAGGCACGCGATTAAGTCGGTTACTGCTTCTAATTGGATTTTTCCCAGACCTTTTTGTACACAACAACTGGAGTATCTCACACCAAACTCAATCGTCGCATTTAAGGTGGCTCCCTAGAGTATTTACTAATAACCCTAGCTATGAAGCATACGTTACAGAAGCAAATCTAGTTACTTTGTCTTTGCGATTTTGTTCACGAGATTCACCGCTAAGGTTACGCATATAAGAAGGCTCCTTTATCAAGTCTCATTTTCTGGATAAAGGCCGTTACCATGGAAACATCGCATCCTTAAACAGGCAGTAATTTTGTCATTTTTGCCCATTTTTCCTTAATATTTCTAATTTACCGCGGTGAAATGTCTTTAAACTTTGCCACTTTATATTAACGATATTGCTTAATATTTTAAAGTGGAAAAAACATGGGGTCGTTAAGACGGTTTTGCCAATATTTCGAAATTTGTAATTTTTCTTAATAGAGGAGTTTAGCTCTTACAGATTTTGACAAAAAAATAACAGTACAAAGGTACTGCGACAGTTAAGAAATGAGGCGATTTTTAAAAAAATTTACCGAAGGAAACGCGAGAAATTCACGGTTAATTAACTGCGCTGACGTCACAAAAATCCGAAAAACACGCGTGGTTCGGGGTCGTGTGAGCGAAATACGCGCGCGAGCCATCACGCCCGCATGCGCATAATGACATAGCTGTATGGAACATGTGCTTTCTACCAAAGACCATTTTACTGGTATAATTACCGGTGATTACAGTAATATCTCACCAGTTATGGAACGAGAAGATGGAAAATTCTATTTAGTTGCTTACACTAGTTATGTTCTTCAAAGTACTTGACTATTGTTGCCAAAATTCGAGCGGTGGTGGTCACTCGTGGTGATTGCAATGGCGATGAAGAAGGTGGTTGTGAAAGTGTCGCAATCAGCCCTTCTTTTCCAAACCTGCTGTACACTCTTTGGAGATCTTGAAATGCCAGCCCACTCCCGGATATTTTTTCAATCATGTTCTTCTTGAGGTATTGCGGATGATAAAGATTTCCTTTGAAAGTCCGCATTAGAATATGGCGGCGATCCAAATAAATCACGTCCTCAGCTGCGTGGCTTGCACTTACAACACCCGAGTTCTCGACCACAGTTTTCTCCGAAAGGTCTATCCGTGACTCAAAAAGTATTTTTCGTAGTGCTAAAACATCTTCTAAAGCATCGTGTGCGTTGAAGGACTTTTGGAACAGGAAAGAATACAGTGATGATTGGTTCGTCTTTGGGAAGGTTCCATCAGGATTTTGCAAGAAGGGAACTTTTTCTCTGACAAGTGTTTTAAACAACGTGAGAGAATCGGCAAAGAAAACGTCCATTGCCTGTAATCTTTCTTTAAAGTCGCTCTCAGAATTTCTTAACAGGACTGGAACGTCAAATGTGAGAGAATTGTGACCTAGGAGCACCGTTACGACATTCATGTTTGTGCGTGACTTGGCTCTTTCTACTGACCGTGAAACAAAGCCAAGAAACTGTGACATTGCTTCCTTCAACGGTAGTGTACTTACTTCTTTGTTGTCTTTGTAAAGTTTCCTTTCGCCACTTACCTTGACTATTTTAAGTTTGTTTACTTTTGACGCGAAATGATCAATGTCATGTACAGGTAAAGTGTAAGTTGAAAATTGATAAAGGCCAGTTTGGTCAGTAGCTGATAATTGACAGAGCTCAGCAGATTTTCCTGTAGTGTTTGTTTCAGTGTCAAAAATTAAGAAGTTATAAAATTTGTTTTCATCATATTTCACTTTTGTTGCCAGTGGTCGTGGAGTGTATGGTGAAACAATGGTCTCAATTTCTTTCATGGTACTTGCAGGCAAGATGCTCAGATCTAGGTTCAGTCCAATTCCGGTTTCATATGTTTTTCCTTCTTTTGCTTCTTTTTTAGCAGTTTGTGCACTGTTTTGCCTGCGGGCATTGGCTCTTCCCCGTTTATAAGCCAAAGAAGATTTTCTGAGTTTATCTTTTTGAACATGATTAGTCATTTTTTCTCCATACATTTCACAGAAATTGCCAGGCTCAATATTGAGTGCCTCAAGTGTACTGCTGATATAGGTATATCTTAAATTTGTCTGAGCGACTCCACAGGCCACACGAAAATCATTGCTTTCACTTCCACCATAGAATCTGATTTTTGGATTTTTCGATCCAATTACACTGTTAAGCGCCTCATTTCGATGGGAATTTGTCAAAGGTGCAAGCTTCTCTGCCACAGCATCAGTAGAGTAGTCATTGAAGATGTTATTTAGTTCTAATTCCAATTTTTTTCCATGCAGGTCTTTTCCATATGGCAGCTCTTTGTGCTTGTAGGTTCCTGGGTTGCTCTTAAATTTACACCAGCTAGTTTCACAGTTGGAGTGATCTCCAAAGGCGTGGGGAACAATTGACTTAATCGCAGCTTGGATCCCTTTTGGATCTCCTTTGTTTTGAGCAGTAGCATATGAAAAACACTTCACTAAATAATTTATCACCTTTTGAGATAAGGGGGAACAATTGTCAAATTTTTCATTTTGACTAAGGTTGTATAAACGTGTTGTGAGGGATCTTTTCATATGTATAATGTCACTGTTTTTTTCAACCTCGTAGGTTACTTTTTCTCGTATGTGTGCCTCTGTTGTGGAGTCATCATCACCTGTGTAAACTGAAAACTTAACACTTTGGTCTGGAGCTCTGTTAAACAATTCAACTGCTGCAGCAGGCTCCATTGCTTTCGATGAAGCCTCATGATTTTTTCGGCAGTCATGAGCTTTGGGTTTTTTTCCCATGGCCTTGGCACTGTCACAAAATCTACAACTTTTTGTCCTTGTTGTATAGTCCAGCACTTTACCAGAAGATAACCCCATAACTGCTCCTTGACCAGTGCGAGAGTTATGCCCCTTGCCGCGTTTCTGCCAGCCCATGTCATAGGAACATGAAATAGGCACCAGATTATTATCATCAACCTGAACACCATTTTGCAGGGCTTCTTGTTTTTCTATTACCAAATAATCCTGGCAGCTACTTTTTGCAACACCTTCAACAGCTTTTCCTACCTCTCTTTCCCTCAATTTGAAAGTGACAGAATTTATAGTTGGGGCATTCAAAGTAGAGAGCAAGTTGTTTATATGTGTTTGGCCAATACCCGCATGAAGACAACCAAGGGCCACTCGTGTGTTTACGTCAAAAGCAGGAGGACCACGTTGACCAGATTTGTGTTGTTCAGAAGTTTTGATTTCATTGTTTTTTCCACAGACTGGACAAATAATCACAAATGTGCTAGCTAGGCCATGGCGTACTTCATCCCTCACATTGTAAAAAGAAAGTGGACCTAAATATGATAAGTGAAATAAAAAAGGCTTTGTGTGAATAACACATCTAGCATATTTGATGTATTCTAGCATAAGAAATTCCTACTCTTTTTTTGCTCCTACCCGTAATATTTTTCCAGATGCTTTTAAGAGGGTTTGGTTGTCAAACTAGGGTATAAATTATACCTGGAGTAGATGGAAATAATACTGGTCACTTGCAAACAATGAATGCTTAGAAGGGGTAAAAATATGTATGTGCATAATATAATGCATTATCCTTTGTTTTGTTTTTTTTTTGTGGACTGGGTTGCATGGTAAGTTTTACAAAGGACTGAAATAGAGTCTTACGTTAAACAAAAACTTGTGGGTTTACTGTAGATACTAAATTCAATAGCAAACACAAAATGGTAGATTATGTTAAAGTCCAGTCCAGCAAAGTCCATTCAGTTCAGGCTTTATTTAGAAAGTGTACATACATTTACCAGATTGACAGTGAGTGCAGCTTTGGAGATGTTTCCGAAATGTGTCAAGGTCAGTTATACCAGTTCCATGGGGAAGAGCTGCTTCTTTTTCGGCGGCAGCCTGTTATAAGCATGAAGATTTGATGTTTCCAATGATTAGCATAAACGCGCGCTTAGTACTTTTGATAAAATTTTTCTGAAGACAAGAAGTCACCGCCGTGCTTACCTGAGTACTCCTTGTGTTGCGTTTAGAGGGTGGTTCGTTTTCGTCGGTTATGTTTTCAAAATCCAGCTTTCGTTTTGCCATGTAGTTTCGGTATCCTTGTTGCATCAGTGCCATTTTATTAGGAGTTCCTTTCGCTGCTTTCGCGAAGCGACCACTTGCGCTACGCTTTACCTGGTGCGAAGGAGACGAAGGAGTAGTAACAGAGAGGCTCTGACTGACGGATGATGTGGGCAGAGAGTCTTCTTCTGTATTATGAGAGGTAGCCGCAGCTATCCCCAAGACTGCGAACAAGGTACAAGGAAAGTTCCTTCTTTGTTTACAATGCGATTCACGCTTATGTCTGTTATGAGGATCGATGAATGCCGGTAAATTGCTTAACACTCGTAAAACATCTCCTTTGATAAAAGTTTGTCTAAAACTGGCCAATCTTCTTGCCTTAACAAAGTTGACAAAGTTTTTTCGCGCAATTTTTCTTAAAAGAGACGCCATGTTTTGTTTTTATTTTTGCGTGGACGTCGCGCGGATTTTAAAGCTCGCGCCATATTAGTACCCAGGCTGCGCACGGCCGATTTACTCTAGGGAGCCACCTTAAGCAACACCATTCTTAAATGTCTTCATAAAAGGATTTTGATTTTACCTGGTAGTTGAATCTCTGGACTGTTTGCTCATGATGGGTGTGAGATCAAACGTAACTGTTCCACGATACCTGTTCCTCAAGTAAGCTGGTGGGTCAACCTCTTTCTCACAGTTGACAATGTACTTCTGTTTTTACAAAAATATCACAGACCAGTCTCCATCAACAATTAATAAGGGGGAGTAAATATTAATTAAGGGGAATAATGGAGGTATTTAAAGAGCTATGTCACGAGGATATTGCTGTTTTAGGTCAATTCTATGTTAAAGCATTTGATTAATGCCTTTACCCATATACAGAATGCCCCTATAGAGTTATGGAGACGATATCAAACAAAATTTCATCAGGGAGCACTGGCCAAAATAAGTTGTTGCTGATTTTTGCCCGCAAAGCAGTGAAACTCGAAAACGTTGTGCCAACGTTTTCAAGTTTCAATCCATTTCCAGAGGGTCTCAATGGGGTTAACCGATAGGCGTAAAACGGCCAAAAATTTAGTCGATAGCCGTAAAAATTGAAAAATTTTAACCGTTAGCCGTAAATAGGGTAAAAAAGAGTTAACCGTAAAAGAAAGTGTTCCCTATATTTGCTACTTTTAAGGAAGGTACTAAACTCACTTATGGTTGCGTTTTTTATTTCCCGGCTAGCGTGGCCGTACACACGTTAGATAAAGCCCTTTTCGGTGTTGACCAAGACCCTGGTTCCATTTCCGCCGCTCTCTCGGGGAACTAATTCTTTTTCATAGCGAAAGTGTGGCTTGTTGCTGGGGATTAATCTTTGCGATTTTCAGAAGGTCGTGCCCTCGAAACACTAGTGAAACAACACGCAGAGATTTCACTGTTTGTAAAACACGTTGCCGATAAACAGCATTTCCCTGTTTTTCGCTGACGCTGCGGTAGACATTGCCATGCCTAATCCCTGTACGGCGTCTTCCCAAGCAATCTCGGTCAAGACATTTCGGTGGTGGCGAACTTGCTCGGACTAGGGTTTCTGTACAGTCCTTCGCTATCATATTAAAAACACTAGACACGGGAATTTCGTTATTTTGTTATTTCACACTAGAGCTAGAAACGGCTTATCCGTCTGAGACTAGCCTGTGTACAGTTGCTCCCTTCCGGACAGACACCCGTTCTTCGATTTTTTTTTCTGAGGGGAGGGAGGGGGGGGGCTGTACACGGGCTATATGGAACGGATAATCCCGTCTTCAAACTGTCCGTCGAAATTGAAGGATAAAGTCAGGCGGATTGTTCATTCAAAATTAAAACTTCTTCATTTTCAAATTAAGACATATTTACCTATCTGACGCGAATCATCAAACGGATAACCCGTCTCACACGAATAATCCGTCTCTAGTGAGAAAACGGCCATTTCTGTAGACTGTTCACAGCCCTCTATTTTTTCGTGAGATCGTCGAAATATAGCGCGGCTTACCGTTAATGGCGGCCATCTTGATTTTCAAATGTACCGAGGGAGCGGGCGTCGGGGATTATAGCTATAGGGGGAGGGGGGTGAGCGCTTCCTCCCAAACCACCCCCGTCCCATAAGTAGTTGACACTCATGCAAGATGGCAGCCCGTAACGCAAAGCGCTCGATCTCGACGATCTTACGGAAAAATAGAGGACTGTGAACAGTCTACCATTTCTGTTGTAATGAATGTCGCGCCCCGGCCTGTGAGTTGGGCGTTCGCGTGTGTGCTTTGCTTTTTCACAAAGATTATTTTTAAATTGACTATTGACATTTCTATGTGTAAAATAATATTAGAAGTGGAATACTTTATAAAAAGTATGATCTACCAAATGTTAAAATTTTTCAAAAGAATAGCTTATTTCATATCCTGAGATGATCTTAAGACCTTTATTTTGCTTAAAGATACAAAAAATACAGGTTAACTAATATTTAACTTTTTGAAACAAAAGAAGTTAATTTTGAACTTTTTTGTTAACCGTAACTGAAAAAAATTAGCCGATAGCCGTAAAAGAGCCAAAATTTTAGCCGATAACCGTAAATGCCACCACCCCATTGAGACCCTCTTTCCATCGTTACCATTCGTTAGCAACAGACGACGCGGAAAAGTTTCAATGCCTAAATATAGTTTTAAATAACAAAATTGGACGATTATTTTTGGAATCCAGTTGATGCGAAAACAAGTGATAGCTTTTTAAAAAGATAGCGAGCGTGACACAGCCGCTTTAAAAGCATTGGCGCCTATCTGGCATGGTCAGTTTCCAGCTTTCTCTTCAGTCTTTCGTTATTAGTTAATGACTGGTCACGACTTCTTGCAAAAGTAACGTTTCTTACCAGTTAACGGCATTGTTTCTTTGTGGCAGGGCTCAAAATGAAGTCGATAATCAATTAACTGAAATGCAACTCACGAAAGTAGTATAGTGCTTCCCGAATGCGCTTCTAACCTGTAAAGGCAGGCGTGCAGGATCCACCTCTTTGAGTCCTTCCAGTATATGACGATAGGCTTCAAAGTACACAGTGCTTTCTACCATCTGAAATACGTCTCCTTCTTCAAGTCTTACGTTGTCAGACAAGTTGATGAACTTTATGTCTACTATACCCTAGGGAGATATTGGATGCAACTGCCTTAAGAGCCATTATCTGAGAAAATCGAGAATCGCACGACACTCGTCAAAAATCGAATTTTTTTTTATTTTGCCAAAACATCCCTTTTAGTGACCTAATTTAAGGAAAAATAGTTTTGGGTTCAAACGATTCATTTTAAAGGAGAAATTAAAAAAAGTTTGAAAAATCGATTTTATGCTCATTTTTCGCACAAAACACGGCAGGATGCAATGGCAACTTCGAGAGAAGGGTGAACGCATAAGAAACATTCCCTGACATTGAAAGTTCACCGAATTATTATTTTGTTCTTACTCTTGAAAATCCTAAAAGAAAATTTGATAAACAATGCTTTACATTTTTATAATCGACAAGTCTAAAGAGGTCATATTTGTGACGTTAGACGTGCTAGAAAATGAAGGCCAACTTTGACTATTAAAAAAGGCCTCTGGTATATGCCGCTTGATCATAAAATCAATATAAAATGGAACCTTGGCTTTTGTACTAACTTACTGGAAAGTTTTAGCTCTGGAAATCAAATATCATCCTGACACCAAAGCAAGCGGTGAGAGCAATTGAATTGGGAAATTTATGCAAATTAGACGGCTTGCGGACGGTTGTCAAACTAAAAAGAAAGGTTTTAGATGAAAGGATTACTCACCATTGCTTGTAACACGTTTTTACGGCAAGGAAAGTTATTTTCAACTTCTTTTGCGTCGTTTTGAGTCACAAAATAAATAATTTTTAGCCAAAAGACAAACGTACGTTTGCTAAGCAACTGCGTCCGAATCCGGCCGTGAATCGAAAGTCCCAACGCGTCGAAGCAAGAGTTACAAGAGTTTTTACTTCAGTCAGGAGGCAAAAGGAATAAAAACTCATCGCAAACTATAAATGACTTCGATTTTGAAAACCTTTCATCACTTCAATCGTTCGTCGGCTGATAATAAACATCGCACAAGATCGTATGACCTTTGGCGTGTGACCGGAAATTGGTCACACGCTTCAGTCACGTCAGCATGCTGTCACGAAATTTTCGTAGCTGTTGTCAGCAATTTTAATACAGTTTTCACATTTTTTGACAAGAACTCCCCTCATCGCAGTAGAAACAGCCATGCATATTTATTTTTCTTTTATTTACCTACTAGGCTTGGAAACAGCTTTTTTGCCTTCGAAGTACTAAACAGGAGGGGTACCTCGGATTCCAAGTGTCGTGAGTGACCCGTGGAAGCGAAAATCAAGACCAAAAAAGAACGAATATTTTGAATACTTAAAGGGGCTATGTCAGCTGGAGAGCATGCGCTCTGAGGTTATGCAAATTACTTTCAACTGTCAAAATTCTATTGTTTTTAACGCGTGACTTTCTCCATGTGCGCTGTGAGGTTATGCAAATTACTTTCAACTGTCAAAATTCTATTGTTTTTAACGCGTGACTTTCTTCATGTTCTCTGTCACGTCCAAGGTTCCGAATTTAGAGAGGTTTAGCGAAATGGTTTTAGATAAGGGATATTTCGATAGAATTTATGGAGCGTTTCTTCTCTGGTTATGCTAGATCAAGAATAAAATTGCGACGACAATTTTACTTGTAGTTTTGAAGTAAAAACGCATGCCATTCATAAAATAGAGCGCAAACAAAAATTCAACAACAACATATTGTCTTATTCAACAAAATAAATGGAAGTTGTATTTTACAAACGAGCTACAAAAGACGCTAGACCGAAGATAAAGACCAAGACTGTTTCAAATCATTAACAATTAGACTAGTCTGTCGCTATTGATTTTATAATTTAGATGCTGATAGAACAAGAAACCAAGTCTTTGTTTTGATCTTAGGGAAACATACATTATCGCGCAAAATTGTTCGATCGTGCCGAATCACTGCGACGTCGAGAAAAACAGAACCCAGCATCATTGGTATACTACTCCACTATAAGCAGTCCGTTGATAAAAAGGGAAAGCAAACTCTGCTATTTTCCAAAATTATGCTCCAACACAAACAGTTCAAAAACATGGCATTTACAGGATCTAACTCGTACTAAGGTGCCTCTCTAAGTCCGTTGAGAACAATCTGGACGAGCAAACGGTCGTGTTTATCTTTGCCGTGAATCGAGATAAATACAAGAAGGAATCTAGCCGAATTTTAGAATGTTTCCTTCGCCAGGAGTTTAGTTTCGTCACGAAACTCATGGCCTGATGCTCTTGTAATAGTTTACAAAAAACGGCCGCCGCCAACTCGATAGCCGCTTCATTATATGTCCACATACTTTGAGCACAAGAAAAATCCAAGAGCCAGCAGCCTCTAAAATAACTCAATAGAAAGGTCCTGTGAACTATAGGGAAGATTGCATCAAAGATTCCATCACTCATTGTGGAGTAGCCGTCATTAACTCTGCCATTACAACGGCCGCTGATAAGAGGACACAGTAAATGCACGTAAAAACATTCCACAGGCAAACAATTTTAAAATAACGCCATAAAATTGTTCTGTAATCACCATAGAATGATTCTTAATACAAAACTTCGCTAACTATCGAACGATGGCTGAGATTTAGACAGATAAAAACAGCCTTCCAAAATCTCCGACACAACTTGAAAAAGTTGGGCTGTCTTTTTCAAGTTTGTTTTCATTGGCTCGCGCATGCGTGTTGGGTGACATAGCCCCTTTAAGTAAAGCCACAGCTAAAAAAATTTTTTTTTTGTTCAAAATACTTTCAAACCAAGAAAAAACATACTTCGATCATCCCCGTGACTTGGAATCTGGCCAGGGTACCCCCTCCCCCTCCCCTCCTCCCCTATGCCGGGTCAAAATACTAAGTTCCCCCGGCCCAATGTCCCGTAGTCAAGGGAGTATACTCTCTTGCTGTAGTAAAGAACTTGCAGAATAATACCAATTCTCCGTGGCCAACGGATTCAACGCTATAGTTTACTTTGGTTTTCGCTATTTGCTCACGATCAGGAGCCTATAACCCCAACCGCGACCAAATTATGAAACCTGTTATTACCAGAAAAAAAAAAAACAAAAGAAACAGTCAGTCAGATAGACAGTACATAATAAAAAGACCTCGATTAAGATTTAAAAAATCAATACATGACACTGTCGAATACGAAAACCCAGAAACCATTTTGTGGAAAAAAGGTTCGTATACAGCTATCAGCTGCTTTTGTCCACAACTCGCCGGTAGAGGTGCGCGGAAACTAGTGATTGTGAAATGGCTTCAAACTATGATCCTATACTGTTGGAATATTACTTATCACAGAAAGCTACATCTGATTTCTTCTAGCAGACACAATCCTCTTGGTTCGTGTGGACAAAGTAGCTCATCCCGGCTATTTGCACCATGCTACCATAGTCTCCCTAGATTCCCAAGCCTCGCACGCAGACTTTCCTGTCCCACGAACGTTGGGTAGGATTATAGGACGAGCCAAAAGAAAGTGAAGGCTATAGGCTCTCGCGATGATGCAAGGAAGGTCGAGTATTATATTCCCCTATCCTGGTCGCCCAGGGTAAGTCTGCGGAGGAGAGTGACTTAGGGGCTGTATGTTCGAAAAGTTGACTAACGCCCCCGGGACTAACGCTTTCCCCTGGATAAATCTATATCCAATAAGTAACGCAATTGCTTCTTCTTATTCGCTTGATAGTGATTTCCTGTTGTTCAACGTTTGAACAACAGGGCCCTAAGTATTGTGTTTCGCCTTGCACTAAAAACCCATAAACCCTATAAATTTCACTAAGGGACTTCAGCACCTCCCTTGAATGATCCATTTCGCTAAACGGGACCTCAAAACAACGATTCTGTGTATCCTAAGGGAGTGTATACTATACGTTCCTGGCTCTCGTCACTCACAGTGAGGTGATGGTGGCTCATACTCTAATAGACCTAACACAGTCGAACCTCCATGTGCGACCGCCAATCCAAAAGACCAAATTTTCCCATTCAAAGCCTTACATTTGGAACCTCCAGTAAACGACCTTCTGTAAGTGACTACGACCACTTTTTGGGCGTCACGGTTAATTGTTTTCCATAAGCGACCAGTTGACGCATTCTCTGCTCTCTATTTTTGCTGTGTGCACTATGTTCCTTGGAAGATATAAAGACCTTTAGTGACATCGTGGAACTACACATATCCTAACTTAGTAGATGTAGCCAACAAAGTGAAGATTCTGTTGTGATTCTAGACTATTCTATATCTCACTCACCTGAATCCCTCTTTAAATTGAGCATGAATTAAGAGCTGTATTTTTCAAAAGAGGTAAAAGATAATATTTTGCCAGAAATTTGTTACACCGCCATTTAATAGAAAGTGCCCGGACCTCTTCTCGGAATAGACCCCATGTGGTCCGATTCTTCTAAACGGCCACCTCCCGTTAGAGACCATTAAGTCTTTGCATTTTTGGTGGTCGCTTACTGGAGGTACGACTGTATTACTTTGACCTATCAGAGGCTTACCGATAATAAAGGGGATCTGGAAGGGGGCATGGATGCGACAATCACATGCCAGGTCGCTTACTTAAAATAGTGGACATCTAACTGACAATCAAAGTTTGTGCTTATTATTGGGGTTATCTGGTGTTTACTCACCTCCCAAGCTACCCTGGGCGAGCCAACTTTTCATCCATTTCCTTACAAAACTTGGTAAACCATTTATATGAGAAACAAAAGGTTGGTTCGGATAGACGCCTTACTACCAGTAGTGGGCGGGGTTGAGGGCTTCCGGAAGTCAGCCCTCCACTGAGCCGGTAGTGGTGGCCTCACCCTTCTAGCCCGGCTAATATTTCTTCACTTTGGCTCGCCCAGCTAGCTGGGACGACACGGTCAAGGCTAGACAAAGACAGCATGCGCCAGCACTGTTGACTCGGACAAAGTGGTCAGTTTTTTCCTCATACAAACGCTCGCAAAAGTTGGCTCGGCTGGGAGGTTGACCTTCTCTCCGGCACAGCTTTTCTCCATCCATAGGTTCCAAACAGTCTTTTAGCAGTCACGTTTGAAATTTATAGGAAAATGATGTAGCATTTCAAAAAATAATAATAAAAAAATACACTTTTTTCACAGCCTGTCAATGCCTAGAAGGTATCTATAAAAGAAATCAACTGCAGAACAGGGGTCAATTTCAGTTTTTTGCGCTTCTCATGCTAGCACTGCGAAGCGGACTGGGGGTGCGAGACACGCGCGATGCATGGGGAACAAGTTCTGCAGGCTATAAAAGAAATTAAAAAACAAACAAACAAATAAAGCAGGCCTGATTTTATTTCGATGAGTCTATTTTTTGTCGAAAGCAAACGTGAAAAATCGTATTAAAATTCGTGACAGTATGCTAACGTGACATAAGCGTGTGACCGATTTCCGGTCACACGCCAAAGGTCATACGATCTTGTGCAATGTTTATTATCAGCCGACGAACGATTGAAGTGATGAAAGGTTTTCAAAATCGAAGTCATTAGTTTGCGATGAATTTTCAATCTTTTGGCCTCCTGACTGAAGTAAAAACTCTTGCAACTCTTGCTTCCAAAGGACCGCAGTGACGTGTTGTGACTTTATTTCGATTCACGGCCGGATTCTGGCGCAGTCGCTGAGCAAACGTACGTTTGTCTTTTGGACCTTTTGGCTTAAAATTATGGATTTTGTGACTCAAATCGACGCAACAGAAGTTGGAAATAACTTTCCTTGCCGTAAAAACGTGTTACAAGCAATGGTGAGTAATCCTTTCATGTAAAACCTTTCTTTTAGTTTGACAACCGTCCGCAAGCCGTCTAATTTGCATAAATTTCCCAATTCAATTGCTCTCACCGCTTGCTTTGGTGTCAGGATGGTATTTGATTTCCAGAGCTAAAACTTTCCAGTAAGTTAGTACAAAAGCCAAGGTTCCATTTTATATTGATTTTATGATCAAGCGGCATATACCAGAGGCCTTTTTTAATAGTCAAAGTTGGCCTTCGTTTTCTAGCATGTCTAACGTCACAAATATGACCTCTTTAGACTTGTCGATTATAAAAATATAAGACATTGTTTTTCAAATTTTCTTTTTAAGGTTTTCAAGAGTAAGAACAAAATAATAATTCGGTGAAGTTTCAATGTCAGGGAATGTTTCTTACGCGTTCACCCTTCTCTCGAAGTTGCCATTGCATCCTGCCGTGTTTTGTTCGAAAAACAGGAATAAAATCGATTTTTCAAACTTTTTTTAATTTCTCCTTTAAAATGAATCGTTTGAACCCAAAACTATTTTTCCTTAAATTAGGTCACTAAAAGGGATGTTTTGGCAAAATAATAAAAAATTCGATTTTTTGACGAGTGTCTTGCGATTCTCGCTTTTCTCAGAAAATGGCTCTTAAATGATGGATAAAGCACAGGGTCCAGAAGAGATGTGTTTGTCGTTAGAACATCAAAACCCGTCGAAAACCTCTGAAAAAATGGGTTATTTTGATCGCGTTACAGTTTCGTTACACAATCTATAGACCGCAAACCAAAAGACTGAGGGCTCGCAAGATCGGCTTACAGTAGATTTACAAAGATCCCATCGGGCTAATTAATCGTGCTAAGCGACAGGTACAGACATTTTTCAAGGTGAGACTTTGAAGAAGTAATTCATTTATTCACACGAACCTCCTCTGGACCCTGTGATAAAGTTCTCATTGTTGAACTGAAAATTAGGGGTGTGATGGGGCAAAACGTCAGACAAGATAATTTGTTGTGGAAGAAAACCGGTTTGAGACTAATTTTGCCTCGCTTCGGTTGGTTTACGTTAAAATAAGCGGAAATATTCTTCTATCGAAAATTCAGGGTCACAAAAGCTGAAAAAATTCTGGATGATTTTTAAGTATTTATTATCGATATTTAGACTACGAGTAGTCCCCCATTTTCCCCCAGGGATAGTGGAGGGAGCGAAACGCGAGCGCGCGTGAAAATCACCCCACGGGAGAAAGGACTCGCGACGGGGAGAGAGAAAAATCCTCCCCGCCGCGTATCGCCTTTTCTCGCGTGCGGTGATTTTCACGCACGCTCCCGTTTCGCTAGCTCTACTACACGTGGTCTAATCGATATTATTAAAAACTGAATCATTGGATAATGCAATTCTAGCGTTTTGATTGACTTAGCCATTATGGTATATGAGCTATTATACCATGCTCTCCATATATGGTCGGTGTACGCGTCAGTTTAAAATTGGAAGCTAGCTGAGAATTTTTTCCGCGAAGGAGAGAACGGCGCCCGAAGCAAATCGTTTTAATTCATTTCTTAGAATACTAGAAAATGCAATTTCATCCGGAAAATAACAAACAAACAAAAAAGCCACAAGAGCTTGTTTTAAAGTTTATCGAAAAACACATGAAAATACATGGAACTAAAGTACCTTGACCAGCTACGAAAGAAGACAAGTGTTGTTTCTTCATGATTCACTCGCCGATAGATGACTGCGGCTTGTTTATCCGACATGAAGAATGTACAAATCACAAGCAACCAGAATACAGGCTATGCAGCCATTCACTACAGCAATCGAGGCGTCAGTATAGCTTCTTTTCTCGTTCAACAAAACCCGCTGGTGGCTTCAAACAACTTCATAACAAGCGACCGAGGTAATCAGTTTTTCTCCTTTGTTCTTACTTTTGTAACTGCCCCGAAAATCCAAATTCACAGTAATTTCGACGGCTGTTACTTAAAAATTCTTTTTCTTCACATTATCTGCCAGGTTTTTTTAGCTGTCGAGCTGTGTAAAATCCTAGAATCTCGATGAGTTTTTAAAAGTGTTCATCGCTACAATGTTTTGATTTTTCATTCATCCAGTCCAGGCGAGTCCGTTCGCGCGTTGACAGTTTTGATAGACGTGTGACATATGAATAGCGGAAGTCCCTTGTCTTTTCCGGTTTGTTCTAACAAAATTAAGTAGGGGAGATTCAAAGAGATTTTGTGGGCGTTTTTAATAAAACAATTATTCCACTCGCGCTTGTTGGATATGAGATGATTATAGCCAACTCGGCGCTACGCGCCTCGTTGGCTATTTACCATCTCATATCCAACGCGCCCTCGTGGAATAATTGTTAATTAGATCATCCTCAGAGACCCTGGGGCAGTCAGTAAGGTCGGGAGAAACGGTGCGAAGAACGTTATTTGGCACGGGAGCTCTTCCGCACGTGCTTGAAACCTTCGCTGCACCGTTTCTTACGACCCGACTGAATACCCCCCGGGTCTCCGAGGATGATATTAGGTAGAATCAGCTCATCTTCTCTTGGTAGACTGTTAGAGGAAGAATGTGTGGAAAAGGATGAAAACTTACCTGCTTTAATTCCTTAGGATCGCGATTGGCTATGGTAGCAAACACAAAACTTTCAAACTTGTCCTTAGAAAGACACATCAGCGAACCAAAGATCAATCGTTTGCTATTCTCCCAGCGCACATTTCTTAGGCTGGTGTTATCAAATTTAATCCTGTACCGAAGTCCGTCCGTCGTGCATACAGGGTATAACAGTCGGACATCTTTGTACACGCGGATGTCTTGAAAGGCACCAAGCTTGGCAGAGCCAATGCGCTCTAACAGCTTAGCAATTCCTTCACGTAGCGGCCTCACGAAGTCTTCACGAAGGAGACGAAATTGCACGTCCAAATAATGTTCCGCGTCATTGTAGCTTCCATCAGTTTTGTTCCTTCTGAGGAAGGGACGTTCTCCTTTCGAGATGTCCTGTTGCGTTGGTATAACGCTGTACTCACGGAAATTATCAGGTGGATCTACATCATCGTTCTCTCCAGCTATAACAAAAAATGACGAACAATTTGACGTGTGGCAACATTATTTTTGGTGTGGGTGTAGTTCTGTTTCTTTTAATCTTTTGTATTACGACGCCATTTGGTGATTGCAACCGTTTGCAACTGCAACGAGTAAAACTACATTTTTTGGGGAGTGCTTAGGTATGTTGGGCGACTTATCTCACCACAAAAAAAACACTAAACAACAGCTTTTTAACGTAAATACAGCCGTAATCGTATCATCTTCAGTATTATGCACACTCACCGTCTCTCCGTGGTCTCCCTCTGTGCTGTTTTTCTTCCTCCACCTTCTTCAGCTCATCTGCCTTTTGACTCCTCAGCTTCATCAGTTCCTCTCCTTCTGCCACTAGGGCACCATCAGGCTGTTGGGTGTCTGAATACAACCTGATTCCACAGTACAACTCAGACACTGGAAGGTCGGCGTATGAGTTCGGGAATATTCGAAGCAACTCCTTCATTATTTTCAGAGCATTTTTTAGAAACTTGGCTACTTCTGTGGAAGGCATGGAGCAAGCGGACAGCCTGTTGAGGAGTGGTCTTAGATGTGCAGAGAAGAATAGTGATTTGGGCAGAAGGTTTAGTAGCTTGATTAAGTACTCCTTGGAACTACAACCGCAGGCCTTGGCAACGATACTCACTGTCAGTACAATCCAGTCATCCTTCATGACTGATTGTTGGTTCAGTAAAAACTCGGTAGCTGGGAAACATCGGCTTGACGTCAAATCCAGAATGATTTCGTCAGGGGTTTTAGTGTTCAGTTCCTGGAGTGCTTTGAATCCCAGCCTTATCTGACGGGGGTTGTGCCCCTGTGCTCTGTCCTCATCACATCCACTCCTTCCTCCTCCTCTGCCTCCCCCTCTTCCAAAGCCACGACCACGCCCCCCTCTCCCAGCTCTTCCTCTTCCGGTACCGTTCCTTTCTCCGTGAGTGTTAAGAGCAAAGACGGTTTCTCTAGAGTAAGATCTTCTGATGGCACCATTTTCACGTGGTTTTCCACGTGAAAGTGCCCTTGGGTACATCAGAGTGGCTTTTCCTAAAAGCGAGAAGAAATTTTTAGAAAAATGTCATTTAGCTTCGATGCATTCGTACAACTGTTTGTTCTATAAGATCCGACCTTTTATTTTTTGCGACTGCCCTTTCTAACAGCGGCTGAAAAAAATTCTCTAGGGTGACTGCCATAGAATGCGCAGTTACAGGTGTTGAAAGAAAAACCGCAAAGACAACCCGCCTTTTTTCTTTCCCCGTTTCGTCAAACGTGCCCATCGACGAGAGGCGACCTTATTTGCAAGCTATTATCTTTCAGGCTTATGGTTGTTTTTTTCCCTAGATTTAACGATCGACCCCTTGTCACATAACGTTTTCCTTAATTAGCTGTAGATTGCGATATTTTGGTTCCCTGCTGCTCATGGTATTCATCCATAAGATGTTGGTTCTATCATTATAGAGCAGGTCAGTTTATTCTGTGGTCTTTATTTATCAGCTTTAGTCATCTACACTCGTTTTTCGGTCCCATCAAGTCACTGTAAAGAATCCCTCTTTAGAAGGTTTGCATGGTGTTGCAGCTCGACTTTGTGAAAGGGTGTTATCCCATATCTTTCTCAACTATCGTTTAACTCTTTGGTTCACAGCTATCGCTATCAGATAAAAAAATCTTTAATTTAAAAAAATTAAGACCAATTCTCAGGTAACAGTTTTACCATTTTGGTCCCCTTTCGATCACTATCTTTCCCCTCCCGGCTGAGTTGTTCAAAGCTGGGTTAAGATAACCCAGGGTTAGTGCGAGATTTGAATTCAGATTTGAAAGCTTAAAAGGCATTTCAGTTTTAATTCTTTTTGTCTGCAAGTTGATGATTGGAAGCTCTAAAAATAACAGAGAAAATTATCCGAGAAAATGCTTTTGAGCACCAGAAAAAGAAACCAGGTTTAAATTTAACCCCGGGTTAAGCGCTAATCAGCCTTCGAACAACTGGAGGACCGTCTCTAATGCTCTCACCTTAGCCTTGTCCAGGCGTTCAGCTATTAGAGTGCGGGCGAAACATAGACCGCCACGTTCCAGCATCTGAACGCCTGGAACTGGTCACTCTGATCTCAGTAAAATAAATCCACAGTGCTCTCTGTCACTCCCCTATGCACAACTTGAAAAAATCCCCAGGTGACGTTTGAATCAAGCGTTTCAAGATAGACTTGGTGTAAATGAGGATCTGAATGGGGGGTCAACATGTCGGTTAAAATTTCTTTACTTTGTCGGTTGTTGGTTAAAATCTTCCATCAATCAATCAATATCAATATCAATAATTTATTTACCCACGTTAACGTCTAAGAGCACAAGTGCTCGTTCAAAATACGAACGAGCATCAAACCTACAATTATAATAAAATCTAGTGTTGAAAAAATGATAATAAAAATATATGTATTTATTATATAGACACGAGTGTTTTACTGGAAAATATACCACTCGCAAAATTCATAAAAACTACATCTGGGACTCGAGTGGTTTATTTTCTATAATCTCACACGTGAGTTTATCGGTGACGTAATTTCGGTAATTCCCTCCAAAATTTGTAGGCGTCTTTCGTCCTTTGAATTTGAATTACACATTTTTCAAAGCTTTGCTTACATTTTGTCATTGTTAATAGAGCCCTATTCAGCTCAGTGTTATTTCTCAAGATTATTGTCAACAATGTCTTATATTGCTGTACTGTAAATTTGAGCCGTGACAATTACTTTTTGGGGAATGTAAATCTATTATTTTATCGATGCCTTTTTGTCTATATAATAAAAAGAACATTACACGGCGGCTTGAAGATACGAAATTTCTCTCGAAAATAAAATTCATATCTTCGCGCCACCGTGTAATATCCTCTCTATATATATATATACATATAATCCATAATCTATGTACACATGAATATAAAAAAATGATAAAACTTACAAAAATTAAAAAATTACAAATATAAAAATTACAACTGAGTTGACCTTAGCGTAGACTTAAAAATATTAACATTATCGGCCAGCTTGACATCTTCTGGAAGTTTATTACATAGTTGAGCGCACTTGTAATTAAAAGAGTTCCTCATAAAATTCAGATTAAATTTGGGAACGCAAAGATTAACACCATTTCCTCTTAGATTGTAACACGTTTCTCTTATGCTAAAAAAGTCTCTGATGTATTTCGGCTCTATATTCCTAATTTAAATAATAGGATCAGAGATTGCTGCTTTTTCCTACACTATAAAGTGTCCAACTTACATATATTCAAGAGTTCTAGTTAGGACAATGATTTCCCGTGCCCTGTCAGAGTCCTTAATACATAATGATTGTCGTCTTCAATTTTATTGGCCTGGACTTTCCCCACCCCTAACAGGAGGGGCCTACAGTTTTCTAGATGTGGTAAAATGAAAGACTTGTATAATGCTAGCATAACGTCCATAGGTACAAAATGCGTAAGTCTCCTAAGTGCCGGTCTTCGCATACGCCTTTTTTAGCTGACTAGAAATATGCTCTATAAAGTTCAACATGCTATCAAGTTCCACGCCCAAGATTCTAATAGAGGGAAGTTTAGTAACGCCAGAACCATTTAAAGTTAAGTCAAAATCGTACTTGCAGGTACCGATCGGAAGGGCTTGCGTCTTGGCATTGTTTATCAACAAGTAGTTTGCATCGAGCCACTCCGACAGGCAGCTGAGACCTCGATTCACAACAAATTGCAGGGCATTGGGAGGTACATCTGATGCATACGGAGTCGTGTCATCAGCGTATAATCTCAAAGACACGTCCGGGACCGCATAATTCAAGTCATTAATGAATATCGTAAACAACAGTGGCCCGAGGAAGGACCCCTGTGGGAGCCCCGCCCTCAACTCTGAATAACTTTAGCACACACCGTGCAAACAAACCCTCCGTTTTCGACCCAGTAGATAGGATGACATCAAACTCCTTGTCGGTTGTCGGTAAATATCGGTTAATGATTAACAAAACAAGTTAATTGCTCATATTCGTTATTTAATTCATACAGTTTAAACTCTATACTAGTTAAAAACCACTTCATTCATCGTCAATTAATCATTTGATTGCAATGGAACCTCAATTAAAGGGACACAGTCAGCTATGGGACCGCACTGACCTGGACACTACTTTTGCCAGTTTGAAAAGCGTTTACCTCAACCCGAAATCAAATATACGCGTCGGATACATCTAGAAATCCGTTTCAATCTTGTCTAGTGTTTCATTCGATCCTCGATCTTTTACAGAAAACCTCCCTTTGAACAAATATTAACTCATCCTATGATATTATTATATCATATTTGGCTAAAAATAGTATCCAAAGGAACATGTGACAGAAGAGGTGAGAAACGCGTAGGCGCCGGGTGGGAGAAATCGCCTTCGTTTGCCAAAATAACAAAAGAAATGAATCAATAACATTGGCGAGCAAATAATCGTTATACGTATTTGGAAATTCGATGGAAAAGGTAACATATGTTTGGAAAATCAAGCTTCCTTTGACAATGATTTATACAGACTCCGTGTCATTTCTCACCTCCACTAATGATCGAATTCAGAAGTATTCGTCGATGTCAGTGGCTTTCCCTGGACAAATCCATCGGTGAATTCTCTATAGTATATTTTAAAAAAATGAGTGCTCTTCTATGGCTTGGGGTCTATAATCACGATTTCGGCTTGTAACTAGTTCAACTCCACAAGGTTTGTTTAGATATTCTGGATGCGCTTCTCAATATCTGTTTCACGCGCGTATCTTGTGATATGCAAATCAGCCAAACCGGCTAAGAAATGGTATGAAATGCACATGTGCATCAGCTGACTGTATCACTTTAAGTTTGCTTTGTTTGAACTACGCGATCGCTTATTTCACCTTTGCCAATAAAATCAACAATCTTTCTGTATTGAATTTGTTTTCATTGCGAAGATCATAACGTCTAGCTCCCATGACGACGTTACCTACATTCTGTAAGTTCGGTGGCTGCATGAGGATACCAATCCGAGCACGAAAGTATATGTCTGTCTCATGTGAAGCACATGATGTCATCTGAGGACGATGAGGCGCTGCACGACTGAGCGGGATTTACGCATTAGACGTTTTCCCTTGGCTCCCATCGTACGGTTTTCGCGTGCTCGCTTAGCACCTTCGCCGATGAGGCTGCGCCACTTTAACCTGTCTTGAGTCAGTTCTTCCCAGTTCAAGGACCAGCGAAATAATCATGAGAGAATAAGTGTTCAAGTGAGAATAATATGGGTCGGATTTCAGTCAAGTTATTTTTAGTGGCTGAAATATGTTTCCTGATACGTCCTCGTGGAATTATTTGAACTCACTGCTGCCTCTGGACGATATCAAATGCGGAAGTCAGCAAAATAGTTTCAACGAGAACCTCTCAATTTCTTCAGATGTATATCCTTTTAGTAATCTCCAAGCATCCTTCATAATTTTCTATGTCAAATGGAACGCAGCGGTAGCGGCGCTCGATTGCGACCTCTTAACCAGTTCGAAAGAAACTTACGATCACTCTTATAATTTCTCTCATGACTCGAGTATGGATAATATAAACAGCACGCAGTGAAAGTACTGCAGCAGTACGTCTTGTAGGCTCGATCGATTGCCACGCGCTGTGCGGGAAATGAGTGCGTGCTTTCCTGGATTTCCAACGAAAAGGAGGAGAAAGAAAGGCACACAATTTGAACGATTCAAACTGAGCTTTGAAGGTGGTGTAGGTACAAAATAGGCTTTCTTCTATACATGCCGGGAGAGAAGCGGAAATCGAACGTACACGACTTGGTTCTCAAAACAATTTCAAACAAGTAATTTAATGACAGGAAATTCTATAAGTACTGAAACTGGAATTTAAAGTCATTTACGTCTGGTCTGAAATAGAGCTGACTAAAAGACCTTCCCTGTGCTAGAAACAAGTCAAGCAAAATACTTTTGACAAAAAGGGAAATAATAGACAAATAAAAAAACGACTTATTTCTGAATACAAATATCTGTACAATGTTGGACCATGTCGGTAGTCGGCTTGTTTTTT